TGGCTGGTCAACTTTCCCCGTCAAGAGTGTCAGTTTTCATTTTCTGGTGGTTGCAAAATTTCTCTGGTGTGGAGATTCTTGGTTAAAATGCATTTCGTTTCGTAAATACGTATTTAAATGACAAACATATCTGCATGATTTGCATGGTTGATGCAGTGATGAAGGTGAATTGTAGAGATTCATTAATTTTCGAATATTTATCAATATTCGAAACTAATAGTGGAAATATTTTTTTATATTGGAATAAACAAGGTGAAAAAGGTAGCTTTAATGCAAAACAAAAATTTCCACCCAATGTATAAAATGGATAAAGAGCTTGAAACATTGAATCAAAGTTTTTATCGGATCATCATATAATGTTCTTTGGAAGCCATTCGTATGAAAATGATACAATTTGACATAAAATATGATACGTCACGTGCTGTTCATCTCCTTCCGCGTGAATAATTTCCAAAAACTTGCTAACAATCATACCTTGGTATTTGGAATATCAATTTTCCAGCCATTTCGTATTAGTATTCAACACTTCTAAGTTTTCATTGGATTCAACGGTCGAATTCAACGGTCAATTCACTCTGGAATCCAATTTGCGGATCCGTTCCTCGGCTCAAGAAACAAGAACAATTGGTTGCACGTGGAACAGAAGCAATAAAGAGCTAATTGCTTTCTCCCCGTCTTTCAGGGAACATATATGAGAATTGGAGATATTGGATTTACTGTATTTCGACTGACTTTTAATGTATTTTATTTTAATGGACGACTTCTCAGACTGGATTCGTGCTATGTTTATGATACGATATTAATAAATGCAGTATTACATGATAAGCTAGTTCCTACTGAAATTATGAACCTAATATTCTACGTGGTGATTATTTCTTCTTACAAGAAATAGATATTAGATTTATCGAGCAACGTGTGCAATTTGTCCAAGTAAATAGATAAATGTTTTTCTTGACATCACGACGTTTATCACGACTCATCTCTTACAAATCGTCCCTCCAAGAGAATCTGTAGTGAAAAAAATTATTGTATTGCTCTCCCTGTGAAATCAGTCGCTGTTATATAATTTATTGTGGGAGTGCAAATAGTGCTGCTTTTTGACTTAACCATCAAACCTTGAACCATACCTGCGTCACTATACACACACATGCAGAATGAGACAAAGAGTGGATTCGTAATTTAGACCAAAACTAAATAAATGAAATGAATCCCATGTTTGATCAACTTTCTCAAGTTACCGTTTCAATTCACGTAACACGTACATAGTTTTCGAATCCCACGCAGTCCTTTAGAAATATGGGGAACAATCAGAGTCTGGTTTGGCCTGGTGAGCCATTAATTATAATGCGATTATTTAATTAAATTGCATATCAACCAGTTTATGATCAATACTTTGTCATGAGGAATGAAGCCATTTCTCTACATATTTAGATTTCCACCATTTCCCTTTCACCCCAAAAGCACCAGTAGTTTCAGGGGTTATGATTATCTTTGCCGTGTTTTGAGTTCACATGCCGAGAGGGGACGGAGGGACAAATGGACAATTGTTTTTGTTGTATTTGTGACGATGGTGCTTGACGTCTGGTTGGAAATAATGAGACTTTCTTGAGTCACACACTATATCAGGTTCTTCCTTATACTTCTGTCCAAATGACAGATTAGGAGCTTCTTCTTCTCAGACTGGATGAGACATAGCAGTTGGCAAAGTTGGGAACACTTGACTCTTAACAAATACAAATTGCGTGGCCAAGCACACACTTGACTTTCTCTTTTGTTTTCCTTCCTTATCTTCACTTCACTTGTCGCTCGGCGGAAAATGAAGGGATGGGAGAGAAAGTTGGTTGGTTGTGATTTTCATTTGCTTTCTCCCCGAGTATAATCTTTTATCGAGATGAAGCCACTTGGTCAAATCCAGTCCTTCTTCCTGCCTGAACGCGGCGTGGGTTTGTTCAATTTTCGGGATGAAATGATATTTACTGCCGGATCATATATTTATACCTTGTTGCAAAGTATTGTACAGATGTATGGCAAAACAGCGAAATGGTTGATGATGAGTGGGCAGGGGAACAGGAAGACTCATCCATCCTCGTGGGGAGGATTGTTTTGATCGGACTAAATATGTAAGAGCAATAAGTACATAATGTGCTTAATAAATTTCCTCCTCATGAATAAGTAATATAGAATTGAGCATCTGCTTCGAAAGTCTGCTTGCCAACTTTATAATTTTTGGGCATATGTACATACTTTTTTATGGGGAGTATAAAGTGAAAGTTTGCTCAATTTTGGAAATGTCGAAATAAAAATCAGATTGTATAACTGATTGCAACTTATGGAGAACAAATATGTGTTGCAACCTAGCATAAATTTGTATATTATTGAGTTTATCAAATGTATCGGACAAAATGCAGTACAGATACTGTTTTTCATCTCTGAAAGTATGCTATCCAACTCTATGGTCAATAAGTGAATACAAATTTAAGTGCCAAGCCTTACAAATTGCGCCGCCTCCACAATCTAATGCATATTCGTTAACTACACATTCTATTTACAAATTGTATAACATCGAAATTAGCTTAATCCTAAGGAAGACTTTGTATGTATGTATTTCCTTGAATGTAAACTGAATAAATTGCTGAGAGGCCAGCCTATTTGTCAATCCTTTCACCATTTCCACAAATATCGCTTATTTACATGAACAAACAAGCCAAACTACTTTTCCCCTCTTGATGGTGTGTAACTTTCATCATCATTCTGCTCGTGTACATCTGAATAAACGAACTTTAATAATGTGAAAAGTGTGCATCTAGGCAAATTCGGCGTAATTTCGTAACGAACAACTTGCTAATTTATGTGCATATTGCTGCTCTACAAGTTCAAGAACGACTATATTCAACACATTTAAATTAGGAAATTGGATATAATATTTCGACGAAACGGAAGTTATTATTGCTCGTCTACGAAATCCGGTGAAGCTTTCTTTGAAGTGAGGATTGATAATTTAATCCATCCTGATTAGAAGGTGGGTAGAGATGATTATTTGGGCCGTTTCTCCAACTAAATCACTTATTCGAGTTTTGTTAACCACAAGGACGATACATATTTAATCAAAAGAAAATAAAGTTAACCTTCAATTCAGAATTTGAATGGAGATCAATCTCGCAATCTAGGATTGTTAATGACGAAGAGTTGCTACATATGTACATATATTCATTCTGATATGATGCAAACCCAATAATTCTGTTATTGAATCACTCACAAGTGAAATTCTTAATGATGTACATACATACGCCTACGCACACACGCCTTACCAATTTGCCCGTTATCATAGATATTTCCAGATTTATGAATCTTATCGAGTTTCAAACCCCACTTGAATAAGTAAGTAAATAATAATTGCAATTATAATCAGAGATCTTGGAAAGCAAGTCACCGAAATTAAATTGATGATACAACTTTACTTACTGGAATTTGTCGGAAGGGATTAATCGTAATTAAAGATCTAAAGAGTCGTCATTCGCGGAATGGCCAAATTGAAATTAATCAAGCTCAAAGAAAACGGATTAATTCATTCGCTCCTTGCGTGGATCTAGTCCCACACAAGAAGACGACTTCCGGTGTAATAAAAGCAGTGTGATAAAAAACAAACTTAATCTTAATTCCATGCTCACCTAAAACTTATGCAGCTCAGCCCAGGTGGAGTTTACTTGGTAAAAAAACTGCTATTAGTTTTTCCTCCAAGTTGTTCACATATGTATGGAATTATATACTGCATTCTCGGAAACATCGTGTCCTTAAGGATTTAGTGAATATTTTATACCGTCCTCTATAAAAAAAGTCCCACTTTTGGATAAATTTGAGCGAATATCTTCCAAGAAATGTCACCCTGAAGAAGATTATTATTTCAGATATCTGACAAGACAAGCAGAACATGACCCAGTTTTCTCTAAACTATATCCGACCACCCACCGTCAGCAAATCATGCGAATTGCATTTAACACAAGAAAAATAAATGCTGCTGCCATTTTAGTTTCCTGCACGATCGATCTTCTTATTCCAGGATTTACTTTGACATACATCTCCGAAAATTCTTAAAAATTTGAAACATTTGTCCCACTAAACAGAATAATTTGACAGAAGAAGACGAATCCAGATATTATTTAGGTGCACAAATATATAAAATTTTACCCTTCCAATTTATCTCATCTTCATTACTTTCACTGCAATAAAGAGTTAACGACACTCCCACCAGTGTTCATTAACCTCACGAAATGAAGTCGCAGTAATATAAACCAGTTTCATTTATTTAGACAATGGTACGTGTGAAATGAATGTCGTATATTTCATCCCCCTCCTTTTATGTATGGATCATTAACTCGAAACAATGGGGATCGTATAGCAAACATGGAGAAAGTCACCTTTCAATGGGATCACGATAAATTGAGACACTAACTATTCACCACCCCAAATTGTCTCTTTCAGGATGACTAAGAAAAGCAAAATAGAGATCATTTTACGTATCAAAAGTCGTAACAAGGCATGATTTGATGAGAGCATATCTTTGAAATACGTTCCCTTTTCATTACTATTTTATTAGCAAGCCACCCGAAATGGAGTCGTATTTTTCATTTGATCCAATTCCAGCAACGAATCTCATTATGCACCAGCATCTAATCTTGAAAATGATATCGTTGTAGTAAAAGTTGCTGGAGAGATGAGAGGCGTCGTGTGATCTCAATAATGTCAGTTCTCAATATTGACTGGGTCTCCGTAATCAAGACCAGAATCACTGATTTCTCTTGATGGGATTGTATTGATTTAATTTCCCATGAAATATTCATGATTGAACTTCTTGGAAGTGCAGAAATGGGAACAAATGACAGAGAAATAGATCACTGTTCTCTGTTATATAAAATAGTTTTTGGGCTGAGAGAAGGGGAAATATTTATTACCGAGATTATGTATGTACGTAGGAGTGGAATAAGTATATACTTTGTACGCAGTTATGTTTATGACATTAACTTTATTACTTGTCATATTTACTATCTGGTTAGATTTAAATCCATATTAGACAAGATTAGTCCATCCATTTGGTTTGCAATCTTATACGTTCTTCACTTACTTCTTATGTAAGCACTCAAAATAAATAAGTAGCCAATTTAGTTACCCACGTAATCTATGAGAAAGAAAATGTATAAAGTGCATAAAAACCAGTTCATTACCTATTTATGCAAACAGTTACATATGAGAATTGCGTACGTATGTCTACCACTTACTCATGTGTTTGTTGCAAATATAGCCGCAAAAGCTCCAACAGTGACACCGGACCGTGGGGTTGGTGGGTGGACCAAAGTCTTTGAATCCTTGATAGTAGTGCATCCCGTGTTCCGGACGTCTATGGCAATTTTTTGTAGTGCTCAAAGTATGTAAAGTTACTTAAATAACTATTTTAAATTTATACTTACAAAATTGACCAGCGGTCAGTGAGGAAGGGACCGCTGTTGCACAATTTGCACCAGATACTTGTTGCATTTCTTCATTTAGTATGAAAAATACGAACAAAACGAGTACTCCTGATAAGTTCATCTTATTATAGCAAAACATGTAGAAAGTAATTATGTAATAATTATGGATAAACATTGATATTCAATCTTCCTGAATCAGATATTGGATGGCGAAGCCTTTTTATACCGCATTTCTACGTATGACAACCATCATGAATCATACCATGCTCATGGCCCTGCATTATTTATCAGATTATCCAAATAGAAGTTTTTATTTCTGAGAATACTTATTTCGCTACGTGACTTGAATACCAGATTCCAAGTAATATGCAGAATTAAAAGGTAAATGTTACGCAATATAAACTAATTATGGTCAGTTGACTCTACTAAAATAGCTCTTATATAATCTCGCAAATATGCATACATTATGAAACACACAACTCGAATTAATTAACTCGTTCCCTAAAACCTTTATTAGATTTTATACCCCGTTATGCGACTCAAAACTTGAATATAACACGTATGCAATGTTATGTAAGGTCATAAAGAGTTAAAATCAAGGCTGTGAACTTTAAGAAAGTGTTTCAATCTGCTATATTTACACGTTCTTACATCCACCCACGCACCAAAGCTCTTGCTTGCCTAAGCAATGTGCACATGAATTTTATACCATAAAACGACCAAGATTCCCTCATTTCATTCGTATAATAACTGTAAATCGTATGAGACGAATGACAAATAGGCACCACCACCGCTAACAAATAGGTATCTCTTTATTTGTTCCACTTGAATTCCTCCCTTGAGCAAAAACTCAAAATCGTCATCCTTTCTGAATTGAATAGAAGATTCAAACGAAATTCCAGGAAGTAAAATCCCTCAATCGCATTCAATCCCTGATCAATCACCCAAGAAGGTCTTTCTTTCTCTCATAAAATGTTCTCATTTTTTCGTCAATTTCAGCATTTTTCTAGACCCACCAACCAACTTTCCTACCGAAAGATTTACGAGGATGAGTTAAAATTACAGGATTCCAGACAAATCTTCTTCTTCTCTCCTCGCAAAATGATCGTAATTTGAAACCATTTCTCCGAAAATTGAACATGGAACTCATTACTATTCCTTAAGTAGGAGGAGAAAGTTGGAAGAAAATCGGTCTCTCTCTTTCAACCTCAACATGTTGCTCGTTACAAGGGTTACGTGCCCGTTTTCGGTTTAAATCCTCGTCCTCCTCCTTTATGAGGAGAAAGATGAAAACGATGAGAAAAAGCGAGTTACTTAACTGTATCATTAAATTTAAAAGGGGTTAAAAGAAAGTGAGACATAAATCAAGAGGATGAGTGGTTTATGATCTTTTCCCAAGGAGTCGAATCGATTTCGAGAAATATCTTGACGAAGAAATAGGAAAATCTTCCGTATATGTAGCTCGGGTTAAACTTAATCCCTGCAGATTAGAAGGGGTGAGCGAGAGAGACGTGCCCTGAGCAGAATTTATTTCCGTGAAATGAAATTAGAGAGTGAGAATGTGCGGAGGGGGGTAATTGGTTCCTGGGGAAAGTCTGCTTTCTCAACCGCCGAAAACACACAAATTCACATTTTCTTAGGAAAACGTCATTCTTCTTTTGACCTAGGAAAGAAAGAAAGAAAGAGATAAAGTGAAGCTCAAGTCTTCTTGGGCTCGATTGTAATCTAAATTCTGTACATATTTGCTTTTCGTGATTGTGGAAAAATGGGGCTGTCAAGAGACTAATCAAGCAAGAGGAACGTGTAAACTGCTGCCATTACGGATCACAGTTTAATTTCAGATGCTCAGATTTAAGATATTAACAGACTTTGTAAAAATCCATTATGTTTCGTGGGGAAATGAGGATTAATTAGATTTTCGTAGTTTGAACGGATTTAGGGAAAGGATCCTCTAATCGCGTGCGTCATTTAACCCTGAAATTGTTATCCTACCCTTTTCTCTGGTAACATGGTGCCCTTGAAAGTATGCCTAATTAGAAAACTTGTCTCCATAAAAAAATGAAATTTGTGCTAAATTGATGTTAACACACCATTAGCAGGACTCGAGTTTGATTATATGAGAAAAAAACTTTCACTCTCACTAAAAAGAGTTGATTTTCTCTTTCCCATGAAAATCCAATCGTGTCGCTAATATTAAAAAATAACGGCCGGATATTAAACTTGCGCTAAAAAATTTATGAAGATTGAAAACCTATTATGACACGTTAAACGGGAGGAGATGAAAAAAAATTCGTCCCGAGTCAACGTCAATCTACGTTCTCTCTCCTCCTCTTTCTACTAAAAAATAACATATTTTCGTGCTGAAAACGACAATGGATATTTAATTTGCGAGGTAGCAGCAGCCCAAAAAAAGTTGGGACGACGGAGGAAAACCTGTCATAAATTATTGATGCCTTCAAAATGTCACCACTCAATAAATGCTTAAATGCAGCATAAAAATCCATCCACATCTTGTGTACCTCAGGCTTTCCTTTTATTTTAATGGACTTTTGATGCTTTTTCGAACCTTTAAAAGTACAACAAGGACGGAAAAAAGATAGTCCATCGTCCCATTTTCAGGGCTACGTGGAGGATAGCGCCATGTACATATTTTCTTGGTTATTGTGAAGGTCACCCCTTCATAAGTACAGCCTTGACTGGTTGGTTTGTGACATGATTTCAAATATTTTATGAATTCTGCAGGTGGAAGAGTCGTCATTTTGGACGCTTGAAAGGGGTTTTGATGATGTGACGAGAATCTATCCCGACGTGGGAGGAAGGGTTGTGCATTTCTCACATAAACTTATGCAAATGTGGAGGCGATTTACATTTTTACGGCGTGAAAGGAATGAAAACTTTGCTCCAGGAGGGGGTTTCAGCAATGCAGTTGCTACTCTTTCTTTCCATCTCTTTGGTGGTGGTGTATCACTGATTATTGTGCTTTTGAGAGATAGAAACGTGTCAGATGGTTCATAAGTGCAAAAAATGGCACTTTCTGCACTTCAGTGATGATGTTTTTGCCAGAAGGACAGGAGTGAATACTTCTCAAGATAACAATCTGTGGCGGCCGAGGAGGAAACAACAATGACGAAGGGCAAACTTTTCAGGGAATTTATTTAACAAAACTTTCCCAGTTTTTACGAACTTTCACTCACTAATTTTTTTAGCAACTTGCCACCCAATACATACGTAAAGTTTGGCCTTGGATTTGGTTTTGTGGTGGAGAAATCCCATTTCCGTGTTGTCATTTCTTCGCCAGCAGGTTTCTTCTAGTGTCGTCACTCACTGAGGGTAACGTTATGCACTCGAAACATCCAGTGTCGATCCTCTGTCTCCATTGTAGTATGTAGCGTTAGATTGATGTCTTTTGTGGTAAAACGAGAATACATCTTCTCCTGAGGAGCAGTGGACCCTCTTGGGAATCAAATTCACCACCAGCACCACCACCACCAGCTTATCTCTCTCTTATCCACTTCCTGGGAATGAAATCCTATTTCCGCCATCTTAAAATTTCACGACGAGACGTCTCTCGGGTTTCCGTTGGGAGGTCAGTGTCTCCATTAGAAAGTAGGAAATTAGTCTCACCATCTTAACTACAGGTCGATAGGTCGTTGCTTATCTTGAAGATAGATAAGGGTGATTTTATTACCAAAAACAAGTCCATATAAATATACCTATCGTTATTTTCCGATTGTTTACGATTCTCGATGGTGGATTGGGTGATTAAAACAAAGCCATACACACGCTCATCTGTGACACAATAATGCGATTCGAGGAAAGAGACCTTTGTTGTGGAGAGGATTCTGCGAACGCGGAACAAGATAATTAAAGAAACTCATCAACAACATTCCACTTTGTGAATTTCTCCTTCATTCGCTCACCTTTTCTTTTCATTATATCCTCCCAAGAACTCATAATGATGGAAGGAAGGAAGATTTCTGTTAACGACATGTTTTTATGTATGTAACACAACCCACGTGGATGGGAAACCTTGAGCACCACATATCTTCCTTCTTGATGATTTTGAGCAAATGTAGCATGCATGACTTCAAAAAACCTGAATTTACCTGAATTTGCTACCTGGATTTGCGTCACTTGAATTTGTTTATCATCAAAACATTGCAATAAACCCTCCAAACGAATGTAAATAAGTAGCGTCAGAGCGATTCTAGTTTCCTTTAACGTTTCTCCGTATATGACCCCGTCCTAACGGTCATGAGGTCAAAAATATTAACGCCCTTGAAATCACAGTCAAATTTCCTTTAAAATAACACCCCAATTATGTATCTTTTGACCTTTGACCTCGTTCTCAAGGTCATAAGGTCAAAAATATTAACATCATTGAATTCGCGGTGGAATTTCCTTTAAAATGACACCCCACATGAAAATTAAGGTTAAATTTAATTTTGACCACACCCCCTGGCGCAGTGGGGTGTGGTCCGATTGACCCCATTATCGAACTCGACCGAGAACTAAAAATTAGAAACACAATGTCGAAAACGGCATTTGATTATGTCGACTCTTTCTGGAGATATCCTGCTTACGGACGGACAGACGGACGGACGGACGGACAGATGGACGGACGGACGGACAGACGGACGGACAAAACGATCACAATAAGTAGCTGACGCTACTTAATAATAATAACAGTGAATGTTGTGCTTTGCCTAGGACGAAATTCAAATTGGATATCGGTTGGGTTCAATAGAAGTGTACTCCCACTCAAAGAATGTCAGGATCATGATCGGGCCAATGAATAATAACGTTTTCTCCACATGTGAGTCGCAGCTCAAAGACAGATGAGTGAATACGTTGAGAGAAAGTCATTTCACATTTCATTTAACTGATGATGATGATGCTTTTACAGAAAATAGTGCCGTCATGGATGTCTCGTGCGTGGCCTTGGTTGTACAAAATTGAGGAGAAAACGTGGAGAAAATCGGCCGTGTAATAAATAAACTCGGATTTGCAACAACAACATACCAGGAAAAACTAGGCGTCACATGTGTACCAAGCTCTCTTGGTTGGTTTTATAACTTTGTTGGTTGGTTATGCATATAAAAAACGAGTCAGAAGAGTAGGATTTAGTGGTGAAAGTACTTTTAGGAATAAATTGGGTGACATCTAATCCCCAATTTTTATGCATTCTCATCTCAACCCATATTGCGAAAAGAAGAAGACAATGTGCAATGTACATATGTCTAAAAAAATCCAATGAACCGAAACATGACCGAAAACGGACGTGTTTGGATTTTGTAAAAACTTTGCGGTGTGATTTTGTCATGTATGGAATTTTGGGGAAATATTTTGTTAAAAAAAACAAAAAAATACAATCGAAAACTTATTAAACCGTATCCAAATTTCAAGTAATTTCAAGTATTTATATTTATATTTCCATTTTCCAGCTAAAACGCAGTAGTTTTATGCAATGTGTTCCATAAAATCTCTCGCAAGGGTGACCACATTAGTGAAAGTTATAGTAAATTAACGCAGACAATGCCATAAAAAGCAGGTTTACTACATTAAACAACCTTTTGTGGCATTATCATCATCATCCTCACACCTCAAATAATGAGGAAAGCCATTTGTTCTCTTTTGCTGCTTCTGCATGGTGAAATTTCGGAGAGAATGCACTGCGTCGTTGTCATTTGTTCTGTGTTGTGGTTGGTTGAACGTGATCAACGTAAAAAAAGTCCTGTAACGTTGGATCATTGTCCTTTAAGCCTGCAGATCCACGGTGTTATCATGCTCCATCACTCATCCTCTGTTTATGAATCTTCATACAGAGATGAGATATCTATTTACCCAACAAATTAGCCAGTTATACAAACAATGGATTATTTCTTAATAATATATGAACTATTATTAGTCTTCTTGGGATTTATGTGTTTACTCGTCTCATTGATCTCAGAATGGCGATAAGCCCCCGATAAGAATTAACTCCATTACGAAGTAAAAGTCATTTCCGGAGTGGGCTAGCTAGCTAATTGATTGGTGGGTGAGCTGTCAGTCTTTTTCGTCATTTCCATGCAAAAAATGCAGCTCAAACCAGTATTACGTATTCATAACCACACATTCAATTCGTTGTGTAACTTGCCCCCACATATGGTGCACATACCAGGTGCATCTGTATCAACAAAAAAACTGTGACCTTCGACATTATTCATCCCATTATAGCAGATCCACATCCATTTATGTGTATATGCAGCCCAATTTTCTCTTACATGCATATTCCACAATTTTTCTAAAGTATCGATCCTCCGAGAGAGTGAGAGAGAACTCGATAAACTACATAATAATAACTAACCAAACTTGACAGTGAAAATGTGACAGAGTTGTCCAACCCACCTTCGCTCACACTACAAAAAACCTCCAGGGAACGGAATCATAATCATAAATTCCGCATTATTAGCACCCATTACACTCTCACAGCCAAACTATACACATACGAACTCCCATTCTTCCCTGGTGTCAGTCGATATTCAAAACGTTCTAAGGCCACGCAAGAGCAAATAATCCCACTCCTACGGAACAGGAGACGCTACGACCACGGCAAACTAAACGGGTAGCGGAACTCTCTAATTTAAGCCTCGTGGAAACCTGGTAGTGGTGAATCCATTAGCTTACCTTACGTGTTGTATGTATCCATCATCCATCCATTTCTAAACCCAGGGCAACTTTCTCTCCTAGGTTTTGTTGTGAGACGGCGAGGTGACCATTACCGTTATAGGAATTGTATTACTTTCTCCTGCATATGGCTATACGGCACACATGTGCCTGTTCTATTACTTATCAAGGGCAGGGCGAATGTACATTTGTATGTATGTAGGTGCGTAGGGGAAAGCATTAAATTATGGCCAATCATGCCATACCTTTTCTCTTTTCATGCTTTTTACACATATCCCACTCTCGTCCTGGAGCATTGTAAAGTAAATTTAACCACCTTTCTCCGAGCAGACACGAAACGGGGGTTTGCTAATCGCTAACTATGAATTGAACGTACTACTACTGCTGCTGCTACTTACCACTTGTTTGGCTTTTCTGCTAGTGTATAATTTGTTATTCGGAGATAGGCGACATCGACCATTTTGAATTTCGGATTGAAAAAAATGTTGTCACAAGCTCAGTAACTCGAGTCGATAGAGTTGGTGGTTTGGTTGGTTAGTTGGCTATCTTGGAATTGAAAACTCGACTCTACTGGAATATTCATTAGTTGTTCGGACTTTCACCCGACCGGAATATTTAGTGGGGCAGGAAATTTTTAAAATTATGGGGGAACAACAACACGGCGCAATGTGGATGTTTTTGAAAAACTTTTCAAACAAGTTTTCAATACCGGATTTTGTAAATGGGAACGATAAACGAGGTGAGTTACTGGATTTTTGGTATGATTTTTATTTGAAATGCGAGTATTTTTTTGTAGGAAGTGCCAGAAAGCACATTTCATACGATCGGATCGGAGCCTCTGACAAGACGGACTTTCTCTCCTCGTCGAACCCAAATCTTCTCGACATTGTGGGAAAAGAGGACGATCTGGTGGATCCTGGTGGTGACGATGACCTCCATCCTGCATCCTCCAATGCCAATTCCACAAAACCTGTGGCCAAATCATCCCTAACATCGTCAAACACGACGCCATCAATCTCTTCGATCGCGTCCTCCTCCTCGTCCTCAATCCCACCGCCCCCTACGTCCCGATTCGGCTCAATCTTCAACAAGGGTGGAAGGACGGTGGACTTTAATCTCAAGACGAAAAAGTTTGTTTTTCCGAACCGAGTTCCGAGCTATCAGGAGGAGGAGGATAGAGAAAAACAGCGCCGAAATGCGGCTGCCACGACCAATATCACGGAGAACATGGTCAATAAGGATGCCAACTGGTTAGAAACTGAGGACGACGATGACGAGAGTGTGGACGGGGGGAAGAACTACGAGGAGGGGAGCAGCTGCAGCAGTGACTACGAGGATGACGAAGACGAGACGGGAAATGGGACAAGGTGTGGGATTTGTGGGTGCGAGAAAAAATACGAAGTCGTCAACAATGGGGGGCAGGGTGGACCAATGGTTAAGTTCAATTGAATAGTTAATGAAATATAAAAATGTGGTGCCTATTTATGTTATCTTATATTCGAAAGGCCTTCACCGGACAAATCTTGGTTTGCTTTAGATCTGATTTGATTTATGTAATAGTGTTGAGTTTCATTGGTTTGATGTCGTGTCATAGTTGATGACGGCACTTTTGCCACTTTCACTTTAGAGAAAACCATCCTACAAAAACACATTCCTTTGATGTGCATGTGCGTAAATAAGTTGAGGAAACGTAAGGAAAATTGATGACGTTACTTTCACTGCTCATAGTTCTTAGAATTTGTCAAGAGCATCACGTTGGCATTTCAATTTATAGCTGCAATTTTTATCACTTTCGTAAAATGTCACATGTACTTATAAATAGTTCTTGTATACACTCTGAATATATTTGCGATTTACAGTACAAAGTGCACAAATTTACTATATACATTACCCAAATCATTAATATTTTAACGTTAATATCGTCGCGAGGAATTTGTGTCAATTTCCGATTGGCTTTTATCCGTACATGACACCATTAGCCGGCGGAGAGGATGGGGCGGATCGAATGTCAGGTAAAATGGATTAAACTGACACCCAAAATAAATAGAATACCACTTTACCCACTAATATTGCCCTGTCACCATAAATTTACTGCAGCAGTAATTTAATGTCCGTGAACGAGATAGAGAAAACATGTTGGTGGTGACCATCCGATGATATTTGATGGCATGGACCGTGCTATGAGTCAGGGTCCTTGGGCTGTCATGCCATTCATGAGGAGGGACGTGTCGCAAATGCCTCATGTGAGAAGAGAGAAAGCTGGAAAAAGAGTGGAAATGCAGCCACATAAATTGTGTCGTACTTTCACTTGGTGGTGGTAACTGCATATCACAGAGTAATGTCACGTATGAGAACCACAATGAATGGATTGAGTGGAATTCCATATCGTCGTTGAAGATGCATAAAGGGCCAGTTTTTGTCCATGTTGAAGCTATAACGGCAACAAATCCGGTTGGTCTTTTTCCATCTTCAGCGACATAATATGTGTGTAATATATTATACTTGTCCCCTCAACTTGACATGGAGAAATAATGAAATAGAGTGTGACCAGATGATATGAAAGTGGAGGAGAAAGTGGGTGAAGGGAATTCATGTCCAAAAATTAGCCAAGTTATTGTATCCGATTGCATAGAAATACTCTCTCGCTGTCAGGTATTCACGATCGCTTTTCACACAAATTTTATGACATGTCGTATTGTGTTTAGGAATAGAATGATGGTGGTCAAATTAATGTATGTAATATGTACAATGCACAAAAGTTCTATGAATCATGAATTTCACAATAAATAAAGCAGTCTCACAATGACCATATCAAACCTTAATATTCTGTTACGTCATGGAACGTTAGGTTTTATTACGAGAAACGTCGTAAAATATTAATACGGTAACAACTAAACTATGTAAATGTATAATCCAACCTTAACACTTAAAGTTATTCTTTGTTGAATAAATAATTAATCATAAACATTCAAGTCAATAGCTACGCGTCAGTATGAACTTCAATGTTTAAGATAATCTTCAGATTTATACATACTTTCACTGTGTTGTCGCTCAAGTACATGGTTTGGTTTGAACAATAGTCCTCACACAAGTATGTTATTGACTGACGAGTGGTGAAAGTATGTATACATATCTGGTTCTTGATGTAAAAAATAGCGAAACAAAAAATAATAATTTACCAAAATTCACTCAGCCTCCATGAATTCGCCTTGTTCATCCTTAATGTTCATGAATCGAGCCATAGTCATAAACTGAGAATCCTTATAACTTGAGCCTAATTCCATTTCTATCGAGTCCTCATTTTCATCTGAAAATCGATCCGGTCGAGCAGGGCTTTCGCATTTTTCCATTTTTACTTCTGGAAGATATGGGTCATAAATTCGGTAGATTGGATCAACCCATTTTTTAGATCTGTGAAACACAAATTTGCACCATTTTTTTGTTAGTATGCATGGTTCAATAGTTACAATGATTCACCAGCATACCTTGGTAAGAGGAAAGGATCAAACGGGAAAAACGATTCCAAAATGTTTGAATTCGCTGCAATAATACTATCCATCGCGGACACACTGATTGATTCCCGAACCGAGGTGGGAATTGTGCAACGCTGGTTACGTTCCAAAACGGTTTGACAGTAAGATATCTGGTGAACATGAGCAGCTTTCACAAAGGCAACGGCAACGGGGGGAATCACCGCTTTGAGGGGATTCAAATCGCACGTTACAAGTCGACCAAGATTCAATGTTCCTGTGAAGGCGGTGCCTAAAGAAAACAATTCTCATAAAGTCAAAGTCTCCACACACTACGATTATAATTTTACAATTAATCACTTACACTTCCGACTACCAACGAGGTCCTTATTTCGAAATGCGAAGCAGTAAAAAATGGTTTGACAGACGGCATAAAACGGTCCATGCGTTTGAACATTAACACTTGACCAATGCGAACTTTTCACGCGCTGATCAACATATGCATTCGCCCAGTCGGCCATCGTACTCAGCCAGCGTTTTAAAGTTCTGAAACAAATCAAGACCAAAACTGTTTAAATATCAGTTAAATCAAATGAAAATAATTGTTCAAGTTTAAGGACTCACTTGACAGAAACGGCGGTAGATCTCGTCAGGAGCCCACTAATATAAACCATACATTGCATCCTTATCACAGCCGGGGTATTCACATTTGTCACCCTTTTCCACAAAAATTCTAAAAACTTTCGCATAAAAACGGGCTGCGAACCAGCCAAGTAAAAATAAATGAACTGAACGTTATGAATTCCAAATGTGGGCAGTATTTCAGACTCGAAGGTTGCAAGTAGTGCATCGAAAAGTGAATAAACGTCCTCGTCCGTCGATTCCTCAGCATTCAAAATCGTCTCGATGCATTGAAACACGAGAGTTAAACACAAGTCGACAGTGTTCACCAGAGGGTTTAATTGGGCGGTGGATTGAGCGATTATAGAATTAATAACTTGACGAGAATCTAGTTCGATTGAAAGACGTTGACCACTTTCAGATTTTATCATTCGGCGCGTTAATATCGTTTCATTTATCATTTCGCTAAGTAGTTCAGAATGGTCGCGTGGAACGTTGACATCTATTCGACAGATTCTGGAAATAATAAATAATAATAATTAGGAATTGCATTTTAAATTGAAATATAGTTTATTAAAATTAGTCTATAAACCTTACTTATGAATGCACAAGTGCAAGATTTGGCAAGTAATTTGTGGAGCATATTCCATAACTTTGATAAGATTAGTCACATAGCAGAAATGCATGTACGGCGGTCTTCCCATGTATGGATACAAGGCCCCCATCGTTTTAACGCAGCTTTCCTTCATTCTGTTAAACAATAAGCGATGCACAAATTGTATCTCACATTCTATGTATTACTTTGCTAGTTAGATTATCCGTACCTCGGAATCGGGAAGGCTTCCAACAATTTAGCTAAATTCCGATGAACCACATCAAACATTTTTTGGTCTTCTTCTTTAATACGGTCGGGATTCTGAGTGTCTTCCAAACTTTGAGGTAAAAATTTTCGAATCAGTGCCTGCAGTATATTCCCTGAGTAACACGGTCTGATGATTAACAGCTCGGAGATAAAGTCTTCAAAAGCAGTGACAACTTTAGGAGATCTCGAACACCAATCTGCATCCAAAGTTTTGCAAACTAAAGGCGTCATTTTTTCGTCTAAACATTCCACATTCTGTTTCAAATTGTCCACAAGCTTTAACATCGTTTGGTCCTACATCGATAAATAAACAGATTAGGTCAATTAATTAATCATATTCAATCTCAAGTAATACTCTAATGAAAAATTATTAATTACTCACATTAATCGACCCCCAATCACTCAAACAGTTGAGCAATTTCTTTAGTTCTCTCGTCTTTTGCAGATTGCTGACTTCCGGTGCGAAGAGGCCGCCTTTCATCGCCGGGAGCATCCCATCCAGAACTTGGCTAGGTTGTTGCGGAAGAATTAGTTCCGTTTTAATCGACGTGACCGTGGTGGGTGGTCTCCTCTTCTTCCCAACAACCCCATTGTCCTTCTCCTCCCTCTTTATGGCTAATCCAGAGGCAAACAGGTTTGGCGACGATGACGATGTCGACATCCCTCCCTTGGCGACATTATTCTTATTACTGGGATATCCTCCACTCCCATCATCCCTGGATGACGATTGCGACGCCAACTGCTTGGCTTTCATCCGGGGCAGCATCTTTCCTTAACTTACTTGAAACTTTAACTTTAACGATGATAAACAAAGATATATAAATTTTAGATAAGTCTGTGTCCCACTACAAGTCGTTATTGTTACTGGATAGTCACTAATTTTCAATCTTATCACTTCAGCAAATTTCCTATGGCGGAGATGATACTGATGCATTTAACTGATGATGTAGGGTGACTATTTAACAAATAATAATGACCGTCGATTTCGTAGACATTACCATTTCAATTTTAATTCTTGTGTGAATCACACAATGTAATGAAACGTTTTCAAGCCGTATGTTATGAAATTTATTAGATCACAAAGACCAATTTTATTCAACGCAACGCAACCCTTCCAACATACAATGGAAATTTTGTAGACGTATTTTTTTAGGAAACTTATTTTTATTATTATTTTAATCGCTATTTTCCCTGCACGACTTTAACGTCCGTCTGGTCTATTAGCGTGAGAGCATGCTTTGTCTACGTTCAAATGGAAATCGCATGGTAGAAAAAGTCACAATTGGAGCCAGACTTTGGCATCGCAAGTTGCCTTTCTGCTCCTCCGTTCAAATTCCTACCCGGTCCAGTTCAACCAAAAAATAGGAAAATTTAATAAAACCACATTTCGTCAACATTTCTTCAGTCAGGGAAATTTATTCATTTCATTCTGGCGGATTGGTTGCTTATCCGAGAAAGGATAAGCCTCAGCAATCCTTCCAACCAAAAAGGGGGTGATAAGCCAGGCAAGAAAATATATAAAATTGTTCATATTTTATTCGTATTACCATTACCGGCACACCCAGCCAGACCCAGCGTAGCTAGGACAACGAACTTGGTCTGATAATTCGCCGAAAAAGTCGTGACCTAAAATTATTTTTGCTTTTTGTGTGAAAAGATTTCGACGAGGCGCCTGTCGACAGCTTGACTGACCCTACTCATCCGACCGTCTGACCCTTGTCGAATCCGTGTGGACCCTTCCTGCCTTTGCAGCTCAAATTCAAATAGAACCAGTTTTGACTTAAGAAATAATTTGAAACTGACAAGATGGTTGCCCTTCGAATGTTTGGTGCTCGGACGGCAGCTGTGATGCCATTCAGACATTTCCAGGTATTTATTGTGTGATTGAACGATTTGAATTTGGGGAATTAGCAAGTTAAAGGATGTTGACAAGGGATAATCAATGTATTTGTAAAGAGGTGTAGTAATTTTGGGTGGGGGGATAGACTGGGGAAGGGGAATAATCTGTCTGAGATTTTAAATATGGTTGAATGTCAAAAATAAAGATAATATTTTGTGTTTTGTAATTCAAGGCAAGTGCAGTTCGTATGATTTCCGGAACTCGATTCCAAAATTCCTTCAACCAGCGGAAAAATCAGGAAAATACTGGGTAAGGGAGGGATTGACATAGACATGGATACAAATGAAAATTAGCAGACAAATAATTTGATCATAATTTTGCATTTTTATTATCAGACATGGATTTCGAGGATGTATTCTAAAGCCCCTTGATGGTTTTAATCGTGGATTTGCCTCAAGTCAAGGACCATCGGGGTATTTTATTTACGAATTGGTTATTAATTTGAAACCAAATTAGATCAGATCGACTAATTAGTCTACTATTTTACTTAAAAATTAGGTCGGGCAAAGGAAAAAATTGGTTGATGGCGATGGGAGCAGCCGTTCTGGGTATTGGTGGTGCAGCCTATGCTTATCTGCAAACAGAGGATGGTCGAATCATGGGTGACCAGGCTTTCAAGTGGGTGGAAGATACGTTGGGACTGGCTCCAACACCAGTCCCTTCCAAAATCACGGCAAAAGTAGAAACCAAAGGAATTGGGTCGTCTAGTTCTGTTAAACATAACAAAACTGATGAAAAATCTCTAGTCTCTTCTGGTGGTCGTCCTAATGAGTAATTAATTGGAGTCTTTTAATGATTGAATGAATTTGCTTTTGCTTCTTTGCTATTCTCTTCATCTATTCATCCATCCTTCCTTGCAAATTTAATTAAACTCTGATTAACTTTAACCTCTTCGGGCTCTTCATAATAATAACTCTGATTAATAGCATAATAATTCATAGCTTTTTACTTCCTTTGGGTTTCTGCTCATTAATACTTTACGCTCAAAAATAGATTGTGATTATTTTATTAACTCTGCAACATTTGAATTTCAGAGTAAAATGTGCTGGAGAGGATTGTGTCGAGAAGAAATGTAACTAAATATCATAATTTATTGGGTTCAATGTTAGACTGACTAAATCAATCAATTAATTAATATTTATCTCTTAAACTCAGGCGGTGACAGTGATTGCCTCCGAAAGATGGACAAGGAAGAAGAACTGATTGCTAAGGCTAACTCAGAATTGGAAAAAGCATTGAAAGACGTTAAGCCTAAAGCCGTCGAGGTAGCTTGCATAATATTAATGACTTATAATATTCTAATTTATTAAATAATGTTGTTTATTGAAAATTTTGTAGTACACCGAGTCTGCCTTAAAGGTACGAATTTCGTTCGGAATTTAATTTTTGAACAAGACTCTGAACAAGTATCATTTTCAAACTTATTTATTGCAGGCCTATTGTGAAACAACAGATCTTATCAAGTTGTTCATGGACAAAGTTTACTGTGCCATTGAGGAAGACAATTTGGAGTCTCCCCGTTTCGAAGAAGTCTGGTGCGATGTGTACGACACTGCTTTGAAACGATGCGAAAAGGTGATAAAAAAAATAATTTAATTTCAGTTACTTTCACAGGTTCAAATTCAAAATAACTCAATCTATTCTTATTTAAGGTCAAAGATGCTGTGCAAAAAGGTCAATGTGCATGGGAATTGTTGTGCCGTCTCCGGGAAGTGATCGAAAACGGAAAGGCCTGCAAGTACACTTCCTGCAATCCTCTCCTCATCACTGCCGAGGAAAGCCTTTTGTGTGGTAAAACCCTAGATTTTATTTAGCAGTTATAAAATGCATGCTATTCGTTGCCCTGATCTCTGTCTTACTTTTCAGCTGAGCGAGAGCTTTTGAACGCAAAATCAAAAATGGAATGCATTCAGAGCGAATCCAGATTGGTGGAGCAGTACAGAAATGTGGTCGAGGACTTCCGACGTGATCTCAAGGTAACAAGTTTGTTTTTGTTTTTATTTTTAAATGTAACTGTTTATTGTTTAAAACTTTTTTATAAAAACAACTTTTAGACTTCAACAGCAAATATATTTACGAAACCTTAATTGCTTCACTTTTTCAGGCTGAAGTCGATTCAATGATCACATCCGACGAGTGTAAACAGACGCTGACCGGTAACGAGTGCACCATGGTCATCACTCACGCGTACAAAAAAGTGCTCCGAATTCAGAAAGAGCTCGCTCAAGTTCAGGTAAGCAAAACCATGAAACTACCAGAGCTGGGTAGATATATATAATTTGATTAATTAGTTAAATATATATATATACTCAGCTCTGTTGACCCAACTTTTCAGGTGTGTACTGGGCAGGTGCCCCAAAGACTTCAATCGACTTTATGCTAAATTGCTTGCAAGGTGATCCGCTTAGCTATAACCCGTATCAACCATTTTCCTATTTTCCTGCATACATCACGCTAATATTTTCACGTCCCTACAATTTCATTTTTGTAGTAGTTAAATGCAATAATGCCCATATTTTTTTCTTAATCATTTTGTACAATCCCCTCCCTCCCACCTTACTGCATGTTTTCTTAACCTTATTGGCTTTGCTTGTTTTGTATATTAGCGTGACCTTTTATTCCAGGGTACTGGCGGTGATAAATGTGGAAATTCTGGCGACGGCGGTGGCTGCAACACATGCTAAAAATTCTGACTACCTCTAATTCTTTGCTTACATCAATATTCTAAATGCTTCAATATCTCAAAGTTATAACCTCTTAAAGTCAAGCTATTGTACTAAATTCAAATTGCAACCCTTCACTGGAGTTCATTGACACAATCTGTATCTTGTATGACCACAATAAAATCTATGCTTATTAACCCCTACTTATTTATTACCCTGTATTAATTACCAAATAATGCAAACATAATTATATTTTGCGCTTATGCCTTGTAATAGTTTTATATATTAATCTTAAAACCTAAGAATATTCTGTAATGGAAAGTCAATTGTGTTTTGTTTTTGTTAATCATTTGTGTGTTAATCATTAGATGTTAACGTCCAGTTCGAGTGTTGCGTCTAATAGTAACCAACTTATCCAGCGTGACAAGGTACATAAGCACTACCGAATAACAAAGTTAGGAAACATGAACAGAGCCTGGTTCCCACCTTCATGGTCCGATATAATATGTATATAACTTTTAAATTTTCAGATGGCAACTGAATTGCGAGAGTCATTTGAACGTGATATTGTTGAAGCCCTCAAGAGACAGGCACTCGCCTATCAAGAAAACTTTGATAACCAAATCAACGTTTTGAAGTCGGAATACGAGCGAAGGATCCAACAGCAGGATAAGATATTTGAAGCGGAACGTGTTGTCGAATTACAAGCAAAGTATAATCAAGCGTCCGCCGCGTTGGCTGCGATTGAGAAAGGAATTGAAGGTATCGAGAAATATGGAGAGATTTCTAGTTTATGTAACTGGACAAGTAATGTGATTACGAATTGTTATTACTTGCAGCCCGACAAGAAATGAACGCCAAGTCTCAAAAGTTGAGGAAATTGTGGTCAACCTGCAATACTTTGTTCAGCAGGGTTAACTATGCGCAGTATTATGCAGGACAAGATGCTGCTTTAAGCTATGCTACCATCAATTCAGGTACTAATTACAGAGTTGAATGCGATGCTTAATGTTGTAGGTGTTAATTATTTAATATCTCTATGCAGCGGATATGGTAAAAGATTTCAAAGAAGATGCATTTGCTTCCCAGCTCATAAAAAGTTTGCCGGAAAAAGTAACAAGTTTTGAAGATTTGAAACAGCGGTTTTTTGATAAGCTGGAACCAACATGCCGAAAAACTATGATTTTAAAAGAAGGAGAAAAATTAAGCTTGTGGAAATATGCATTGGGTTCATTAGAGTCATTAATGATTGCCAGATGTGGTGAGTTAATCGCGATTTGTAGTGTTATCTGTTATAAATATTCGTAAATTACAAAAAAAATATTTCTGCAGAAGGAGAACGTAAAACTGCCAAGAAAACTTATGAAATTCTCGATCGAGCTGGATTCCATTTAAAAAGAGGAGACTTGCTCGAAGCTGCTATCACTTTAAATTCACTAACTGGTATAATACACCAATTTATAATATGCCAAGTAATTAATTAATTGACATGTAACTTTGTGACAGGTCTGCCCCGTCAAATCGCTAAAGATTGGCTGGATGATGCCAGAGCCGTTTTAGAAACCAATCAGACACTTTTCACCTTAATGACATATGCAGCATCGAATAATGTCTATTAATTTTTTTAGTTTATTTAAACACCCTCAAATTCGCAAACTAGGAAAATTCAAAACCAAAATTATTGTGACCAGCATAATTTTCCACCCTCCTCATCAAGTTGTAATGTAAATTGTTAAACAATTTTAATTTGAGCTCATAGTTCCTCCTCAACAAATTATTGTAAGATCAAACAACTTCGAGTATGAAAGCCATCTAATAACTGGCAGGTCCAACTAGCAAAAACATACAAAAACATTGTAATAAACTAGAGACCGTGTGATCGCCACGCATCGTAGTTATCCAATTTTACTTGTGTTAATAAACACGTATTAAAACTGGAATAAATAAAAACAGTATATATTTTGTAGGAAAAATGTTGGTAGCAAGCCGGTTGCTTTACTTAAACGACAAATTAAAAAAATATATTTTTTTAGGAGTTTGGGAGCCTAAGATTTTTTTATGTATTATGCAATATGCGCAATCCCAAAACTGTTTGACACTTTATCACTGTTTTAAGAGACCCAAGCCAAAACTCAAGTAATCGTGATATGTAATGCATGCAATCATAAAAGGCATACCACGATTAATTGGCAGTGCCCCGTAGAATGATAAAGTATCAAATAATATTGATATACTTCCTTATCGCCTTTGTAGTTAGCCTACTATAAATCTCGTTAAGATAAAAGTTCAGATAATATGATTGCGATATGATATGAATACGAATACCTTATTGCTAATTAATAATGGGATGGTTTATTCACGTTGAGAGCATATATTCATATCATTTCCTTCTCATCTCATACATAATATGTTTTTATGCAAGTCAATACCTCACTTGAATAATATTGATTATTTTTGTTGGCATAAACTGCTGGAATTAAATATTTATAGTGGAGTGAATTGTGGACATTGGTAGTGACGTGTGTCAAGTAAAGTTCATTTTATGAAGCAACCGGTTTCAAAATTTCATATTTATTTGCAAACTAAAAATTTTGCAAGTGACATCATTTTGTGTCATCATTTCATTCATTTCTTTTTTCTGAGCGGGATTCTCAGGACGAGCGAGCGGGTGAGAAATTTTACAAGATCAAACCTGACTTTTTTTCATTTGCCAGTAAAACAGGGAGGCAAAAGCAGTCAGACAGAGCTCCTCTCTGTTCGCTATCTGCTCTGCTGCTCCCAAATTCAAAATTGCAGCAATTATCTTTAATTTTCTAAGTATTATTAATAGCTTAATTGATATTTAGTAGACGTCTCCGTCCGTTTGTGCGTGTAACTTGCTGCCAGCAAAAGATGCCTTCTGCAGTAAGGTCTGAATCAAGGGCCGGGAGGGAAAATGGAGAGACGTCAAGTACAAAAAAGTTGAAACGGGATCATCACAGCAGGGTCAAGGAAGAGATGGAGACACCCCCAGTTACACCCTCGCAAGTGTCTAGTGATCAGTTGGAGAAAACTCAAGAGCTCGATGTGACCATGATGGATACAGAACAATGGGTGGACACTGGTGAAGATTTGCTACTTGAAACTGCCAACGGGCATAGTGCAGATTACGACGCCCCTTTGATGTCGCCCATTTTCGACGACAACAACAACAACGGAAATAAGAAAAGTAAAAGGCGGAGACGTGCCTCGAATCTTTCGACGGATTCTTCTGCGGAACAAAATAATGGATTGAATTCATCGATGACCAATGGAAATCTGTCATCTTCTGCGGATCTTGATAGTGGGAAGAGGGCCGGCAATGGACGAAAAAGAAAACAAACTATGACCCCACCACTCACCTTTGAGGACACTGATGAAGACGATACTTTGAATGACGATGACGATTTTTTGGCTCCACCCACACCTCCCAGTAAGAAAAAACGACGAGGAGGACATGGCAGTGAGGTCGGTTCGACTAAGCCAAAGCCTGCGTCAAGACTTAGAACTCGCACCAGGAGAAGGGTGTCGGAAGAAGAGGTTAGTTACTTAAAATTATTATAATGCAAAATAAAATTGGTAAAATAAATAAACTAATTTGGTCTTTATTTTTACTTCTTTTTCGCTAACAGGGAGCCACTACTTCATGTTCCGGAATTCTCAAAAGTATAAAAATGTACAATTTTATGTGTCACAAAGGATTTTTCCAAGAATGGCACCCGAACCTCAACTTTATCACTGGTGAAAATGGTTCTGGGAAAAGTGCGCTTCTTACCGGCTTGCTCATCGGACTTGGAGCTAAGGCTACACTCACATCAAGAACAAGATCAACAACGAGTCAGTGGTCATTTTATTCATTTTAATTTATTCTGCAACTTTTCAATTTATCACAATTCCAATTCGATTGCAGGCCTCATTCAAAAAGGAAAAGACTCTGCCCGAACTGAAATTACGCTTTTAAACAATGGAGCACTGCCATATGAAAAATACGGAGATGAAGTGATGATTGAACGTACTCTGTCGAAGAATGGATCATCCACTTATCGGTTGAAAACCCATGGAACGTTTCATAAACTGAAGAGGCACGAGTTGGATTTCATTCTCCTCTCGCTTAATATACAGCTTGACAACCCGGTGGCTATTCTTAATCAAGAAGTGGCCAAAAACTTTTTGAGAACTAAAGATCCAAAGGACAAGTAAGTATTGTAGCACTTATAAATTATTAAAATATTTGGGTATGTTTTTTTTTTTACATTTCATATCTATTATTGCAGGTATAAATTGTTCTACCAAGGAACACTTCTCTCAAAATTGTTTGAGTTGATGTCTGATAGTAAAAATGCGATCGAAGTGAGTCGTAAAAATCTCATGTGTCAAAAGAACGTAAGTGGAGGAATCTTTTAATGTGTGATCGCAGAAATGATGGTAACAAAATATTTTCATGCAGATGCTCTACGACCTACGAACTGAGATTCGTGAACTGGAAGCAAAATTAAAAGAAGTGGCGAATTTATCAAACATTCGCATGAAGAACAAAGAACTCGGCATCGAATATCTATGGGCTGTTGTAAAAGACGAAGAGAAACAAAAGGAAAAATTTCATAAAGACGTGGAAGGACATGAAGAAGCCATTAGAAAACTTGTTAGTAATTTGGATGCAGCCAAGGAGAAAAAACGAACCTTACTCCAAGAAATGGATCCCGGGCAAGATGGGACGGCTGAAATTAAGAAGAAAATCAAAGAGAAAGAAGCTGCACTCGAAATTTCACGAAGAGAGCTCACCGATGCTCAAAAAGTGATTCAAAAATGCAACGCTGGACTGAAATTGAATCGAGACACGGTTCGGAAGAGACAACGAATGTTGAAGGATGTAAGCGACATGTTGGAAAAAATCAAGTCGAATACCGAAGCAGATAAGGAACGGGCCATTCGGGAATATGAAGAAAATAAGACGAAACTTTTAGCTGAAAAGTTAAAAGTTAATGAAGAATTACTTTCGTTAAAAAGAGATTGTGAACAATTCTATAATGGAGTTTCTTCTGCCGGAGATCATGTAAATAATATGATGGATGAATTGCGCAATTATAACAATAGTTATGGTAAGTTTACCCCCATAGCTAGTGAAGACATTTATCTGATTTATTAAACTTAGTTACCAGACTTAAAATTTTTGTGTGGATTTGTTGTAGAGTCTAAAAAGAGACAACTGGATGCTCTTCAATCCAAGGGATCCAATAAATATGCTATCTTTGGACGAAATATGGAAATATTGATGGGAAAGATCAATTCAAATATCAGAAAGTTTTCTAAACCTCCACGTGGCCCAATTGGGGCTCATTTAACTGTCAAGGATCCCAAATTTACAGGACTTGCTGAACATGTTTTAAAATCAAAGAATTTCCTTGTTACTTTTATGGTTAATAATAGCGATGACCTACTTTTGCTAAAAAAATTAATCCAAGAATCCTACAACGGAGCCAGAAATGACTATGGAAGACCTAGCATTTCTAATGCAATGCCGGCTATTAAAGTCAATACCTTTTCGGATAGGGTGAGTACATTTGTGTAGAAACATTTTGTCTTCAAATTGGTCAAACTGTTGAAACGTGAGAAAGTAACAAAGCATTGTTCTTTAAGATGTATGACCTTGGACGACGTGCATCAACATCAGCTCGTTCTAGTGAAGCTCCCAATTTGCTGGATCTTTTGGAAGTGGATGAAAATGATTGTGTTATTGTGAATGGTTTGATTGACTATGTCGACGCCGAGTCTACTCTAATGTTTGAAAATAACCAGAAAGCTGCAACGACAATGAAGGATCCTTCAAAGTGAGTTACCTTCCGTGATATTTTGTAGTTTCGAAACAAATTTCTTCATAATAAAACTACATTTTTACATTCTAGGTTCGCAAAAAACACTAAGCATGGATACACATTGGAAGGGTACAGATTTTTGCCGTATCCAAATTATGCTGCTCATTTCCAAAATGCGCAAGTTGCTAGAGCTCAATATCTAAAATCAAGTGCCAAAGCACAGATTGAGTGAGTTATAAATTAATTAATTAATTTTGCAATAATTATTTGTATATTGTCTGACATGCTACTTCAAATTCACAGTGACTTAAAGGTTGCCCTACTGGAACTCAAAGAAAAGATTAACGTACTAAAACCACTCTTGGACAATAAACGTAAGGAGGAAGCAGAACTCAAGAGGCGACACGGGCTCATGATTGCTCAGCAAGAAAACAAGCGTCAAGTCCTTAGTAGAACGGAACGTAGTCTTAAAGAAAATGAAACCAAGAAGTACAAAGAGCCAGATTTGGCTTCTCATGTGAGTGGGCGAACATTATAAACTTGGTATAAAGTTATTGAGGAGCAAAGATGGTTATGATTTATTTTCATTTGTAGGAAGAAGAGGTCCACGAATTGAGGGGGCAAATTGAACAAGTAGAACAGGAAAATCAGGAACATGAACAGCTCATTGAAGCGACGAACAGGAAACTTGAGGCTCTCCAAAATCAGAAAGAAGAATTGCAGTTTTCTATGAATAAATTACAAAAACATATTGACAATAGTGTGACTGAACGTCAAAAGAAACAAGAAGAAATACACAGCATCGAACGGGTTAGTTATTAATAACAAGATTTTAATTCATTTTAATGGTTACGTTTTGTTGTGAGAACGGGATTCCTGTTTGTTTTTGTTAGTTTGTCGATCGACTCGATGGGAAAATTGCAGATCTCCGACGAGCGAAAGAACCCACGATGGAAAATTTTGAGAAATCCAAATCTGAATACGAAAGGAAATTACAGCAAGCTCAAGAGGCAGGACCGCAAGTTCAGTGCAAGAGGTGAGTTTTTAGTCTCCATTAGGAAGAAATTGGAACTTTTAATTTAATTTAAACATTTCTTCTATTGCAGATCCGCTATGGACGTCAAGAGAGAGGTGGAAGCCCTCCGTATTCGTATAACTGCAATGGAGAAGCATATTGGCGACGCCGAAAAGATTAAGAATGATCATCATAAGAAGAAAACTGAATTCCGTGTAAAAACTAAGGAATTTCAGCCTATTTGGAGATGTTTCACGGTAAGTTGTGTCATATTATGCACATGGAATTTGATAGTTCTAATTATTTTTTCCTGTTTTCCTTGATTAATCTAGATGCTGAAAGATTTGATCAATTCACAAGTCACATTTTTATTCCGTAAAAGAATGGGCATAACGAACGGCCTCACTTTCATGTATGAAGGACTAGTCCATCAGCGAGGATACAAAGGACAAATGAAAATAGACCATGACACAAAAGAACTTCACTATTACATTTGTCCTGACCAATCGTCATCCAACCGAACGAATGAAGCCATCGGTGAAAACGATAAGCAGACAAAGTTAGTCGGACATGGTTCATTGAAATATATATAAAAATAAATTACACCAACTAAATTGTTAACATGATTTAATGATTTTCTATAAAATGTATAGGAAATCACTGATCGAGTATTCACTCGGGTTATCTGGCGGTGAACGCTCCTTTTCTACAATCTGCTTCATCATTTCACTTTGGCAAGTTATGGAATGTCCATTCTACATGTTGGATGAATTTGACGTCTTTATGGACGCATTTAATCGTAAAACCAGCCAACAAGCATTGATTACTCATGCAAAAAATCAACCTACGCGTCAATTCTTTCTCTTTTCACCGTTGGACCTAGTAGAAATTCCTTCTCAAGACGAAGCCACTGTCATTCGGTACGGTGTTATATTTCTTATTTACACTTGGTCATAATTGTATTACTATTTTTTTGTTTTCATAAAATCATAGCTTACAACCTGCTCGTCCCGATAAGAAAACCAGCATGTCGCCAGATAACGAATCAGAGAATGTGGATCCAGCCCCACGTTCATCACCCATTACAAATCGAAAAGGACCAGGACCACGGCCTCGTCGCACTTCTTTTACTGCAATGAGTGAGAAGAACTCATCATCTTCTCGCTCTCGCCGTTGAAGCTGATGCCATTTAAAAACAACCTAAATTTAGTTCCTTTCGATCGCTTTAAATTTTTGAACACTACTTGTGATTTTTAAGCCGCTCAAATATATATATGCAATTAATTAGAATAGGAAAACTACGATTGTAACCTTGTAATTTAATTTGATTTTGAATTTAATTTTGAATTAGTTAATACCGCAATTTAAATTAATTCGAGTACAAAATTTTCGATTTCAAACCTTTAAGATATTTTCACACTTGTCAAAGTACAATTTTTTATTTCCAATCAAACTGCTCTCATTTTTTTCTACACAAATTGAGAATTTCCCTTTGAGTACTTTTCTTAAAATAATAAAGACCAAATTCTTATGCAAACTACAAATCATACCTTTAAACAATTATTTATGCAACTCATCCATCCATCCATCCATCACCCACTAATAAGTGGATAGACTACAACTCATCGTCTATCTTTGGCGTATAACGAGTAAAGTAAGCACATTCTTGACCCTACCTGACAATCCGTCAGCCACCCATCAAATCCTGTCTATCTACGGCTGATAGCAGAAATGCAACCAAACTAGATCTTGCCAAAAAGGTGACACCTACGACAAAACTACATATATAAATTCATATCCTTTAACTCTCTTAAGTGGTCAACAACACCCTCATAGCTCAGAGATTTCTATTGTTAATTGACCAGCAATTGCGACGCGTATGCACTGACTCACTCCCAAAAACATTACGCTATTTACTCTCATATGTACATATATACATTTATTTATATATGCACTCCTAAAATTCACTATGAATTTGCCTTCACAATCCACAACAAGGTTCCTCCTTTTAATAGGCAAATTCTCTGCAAATAAAACAACATCTCTAATTCACTTATCTTACCGATTGTTATTATTATTAAGAGTGGTTGCATTCACAAATCTGTACATTCCTCCATCCTCGGTCACGTTATCTTAAATCAACTCTGAAAACATTTACATTTCGCACAAATGTATGTAATAATGAGGGTTGGTTATGTTGACATTTTATCTTCATTAGTGTGTGATGTGATGTGCTCCCAGTCTGCATACGTAAATATACGTCAAATAATGTAGTACAGTCATGGTAAGGAATTTCTCGATATTTTTATTATTTGCATTTTCAGTCAGTGACAGCAAGTGTGTAAAGTTACGGTGAATAATGCGATAGTCCGAGATAGTCTCGGACTGTGAAACAAAAGGTGTTTTATTTTTGCTCGTTGAGAAGAAGAGGTGCGATTGTATTTCTGTTAATTCAATAAGTCACTCGACGTCTAATAAATGATGTTCAGATTAAATTGTTGCATTGTGTTTGGGATCATATAAATAAGTCGTGAGCAAGTTTTTAGATTGAATCAAGTTGTTTGTTTGGTGGTAGTAGTGAAATAATGAAAATCTTTGTCTTCTCGTTATTGCTATTACGATATGCCGTATGCAAATCTGAGAATGTAAAGTTGTGAGAATGAGATGAGTTTGAGGACTGAGAGGTTAATATGCAGATTGAGAAATCGCTGCTGCTGGTTGGAGAAGATTGGAATTTGCAATCGTTACATGTGTGGCGTTTAAATATTTGCATTACATAAATTTCTTGAGTTGTAAGGTGAGTGTGTTTGGAATGAGTCTAGGATTTTGCATTTATAAAGTCAAATATTTGCGATTTGACGGGTAACGTATGTACATTTCGGGATTTTTGTTTTTATTTCAAAATGTTAAAGCGTAAATTGTAAAGAAAAGAAAGTACTACACAGTTTGGGTAAGTGCTTGAAAACACGTATCTATAACTTAATTTTCAACTGGACACTTTCCATAGAATTTTAAAATCGCGATTACCATTTGACTGAGATTTTATTTTATTTTATGTATAATTTTATTGGAGAAAGTAAATCTAAATTCTAATTTTTCTATTATTCTATCCCACCTAGTTGAAACCTCCTCCCACTCCACAGCCCCACCCACCAAAATGTTCCGTCGGCTATTCAAATCCAACCCTAGCAGTAGTACAAGTCTAAATTCTTCCTCCTCGTCGTCCACGTCACTTTCTCCCGGTCATGAGTCGGACATCTTTGCCGTAAACGATGGCGTCGTCACCCCCTCCACCGCAGAGACTGATCTTCTCAACAATGAGACTAACAACAACCTTCCAGAAGAAGAAGGAGGAAAGCCATACTTTCTCCAAGACCCCACAGCCAAAAGGAATAAAAAGAAAGCTAGAAAGATGGACAAGCTATTAACCATTTCATCCGAAACTGAACGGTACTTTTCATCCGAAGAGTCCTTGGACCCCAACAGTCTCCATGAACGCGCCCCCATGGAAGGAGATGACCCCGACATGGTCATTATCGACACCACGGAGAAAGCAGCAGCAGCAGCTCAGTGCGCAGATCGAGAGAAAGTAGTTGACTCACTTTCACCAATCTCAACATTTCCCTGCCTACCAGAAAATGTTATTGGGAAACATCAACAATATGACTTTCACCCATCTGATCGTCATGTAGTAGAAACTCCACCTATTACCACTTCCTCCTCAGCAGCAAAGGGAGAAACTGGTACAAAATGTAACCTCGTCGAATTAACTCCGCTTAATTATGCGCACAACAAAACTTTAATTGAAGACGAGGACGACGAGCTAGGAGAAAGTGAGTTGTGCTCGTGCAGCAGTGGTGAAAGTGGTTCCATAAATCTTAAAGTTTATCGGTTACGGGACGAAGATTGTAAAAATTCAACGTTTGAAGATTCCGTATTTCTTCCTGATAATTCTCTAAATTTGGGACACGTCGCGTCTCCACCGGAATTATTATCGTCTGCAACGTCACGTGGTTCATCAACCCCACCCACGTCGCAAGATTCATCTTCTGAAACAAGGCCTAAATTCAGGCATAAACTTGAAATTTGTCAATTGCCATCGTTTGCTTTGTCGACTTCGTCAATATCAGATCGTCCCTCGAGCAGAAATACGACGCCTGAAGTAAAAGACGAATTTAATGATTGGCAATTCTGGAGGAATGAGTTTCTAGATATTCAAACGACTGATGTGAATGGAAATATTCTAAATTGTGATAAACCACATCAAAAAAATAACAAATGTGTCGACAAGAATCAAGTGGTGCAGTCGCAATCAATAACGAGTTCTAGCAGACAGAGTGGCAGGCACGATGGGCACTATTACTACCTCATCCCATGCGTCGAGTGTGTAAAAGCGAGAGAGATTTTGACCACGGTAGCCAATCACTCAGACGGTACTGGTGGTAAAGCATGGGTCAAAAAGAGGAATCCTTCCATAATCACCGTGCAAGAAAATCACCCCTCATTCTGCGGTCATCGGAGAACTTTGGCGAGAACGACGAGGGAACACGTGTTTAACACCTTTCTTACGAATAATAGTGAGAATAATAGTGAGACTGAGCTGGTCTCGCTTTTTCCAAGATTAATCATGGGGAATCAGGCTGGGAAAGAGGGCAAGGACAAGGGGAAGGGAAAAGATAAGCCAAGCATCAAGGGAAAGTCTGATAAGGAGAAGAAAACTCAGCAATCCGTGATTACAACAACGACGACGGGAACGGGGCCGACGCCTGGAAAAAGTTTAAAAAATAGGCCAGCACCAGCCCCACCGGTGGGAAAGGGTATGCTATTTACGTATTTTTTTAAATTTTAGAATATATCGTTACAGAAAAATTTGCACTAAAATTTCAATTAGTGAGTCATCACCAATTGAGAGAGCATGATGACTCATACGTATAGAACTTGCATGTACATAAATTGGCATCCACACTCACTTTTCTATTCTCTCAATCTCTCATAGATTCTATTCTTCTCTCTACAGAGGAAATGAACGCGTGGGCGTTATATGCACATGCACAGTCTGTTTCCTATTTAACCAATATTGCATAGTGCATTACTTTAATTTCGGATCAGAAGTGATCAAATTTTAGGAACTGTTTTAATAATTTTGAAATTCGAGACATTTTACACCCATAAGATGTAAGATGTGCGTACAAGACGATGAGAAAAATGGTCAAAAATACCATAGTTTATTATGTTACAGGTCCATGTATATGTTCAGGAACTAAATATCTTTCCTATAATAATGTCATATCAATGGTCACTAATAATTTCTCCGTAACACATGCATGACAATAAAACAATAGAAACCAGTGCAAATACGGGGAGTAATAAATAGCAAACTCGCAAAATGAATGAGCATGTATGTCCATATGCAATATGTTGCACTCGTCATCACCATTTCTGCCTGCACAAGTAGAACTTTGCTATTAATGCAGATTGCATTGTTGTTCCATTTACCATGTAGGAAAATCTATATTATTATTATTTACACTTTTTTGTCATCATCTTCTTCCCTGTTGCAGCAGGAGTGCCCGAAGGGAAAACACCTTCCGGAGTGGTACCAGAAGTCCATCTGAGCATAGTCAATGATGACGATGATTGTTGTGAGGATGAAAAAAATCATCGAAATTTCGGCGACGACGAATTCGACCAAGACTTATCCGAAGCGGATTCTTCCCTCACAGTAGCCGACACTTATCGAACCGCTGCCACTGACGGTGAGCCTTAAAGAGCTTCATTTTACAAGATTTTGTTTAACGCAAAGTTGTGCACATTGTGCAAAACCGTGCCAAATAATTATCAGTCACAAGTTTTTTACAGCGTGACAAATTACATTTCCGTTCAAAAGTTAAATAATTCACATCCGTTGTCTCTCTCTGCGCATTATTATTAACAGCGAGTTTTTGACTATAGCGTTTGTAATTTTTAACTACAAAGGATTCCAATATTTTGTATATTTTTCCTTAACGTTTAGTGTTCTGTTGGGTACAAAATGCAAGGATTTGGTGGAGTGATTCCAAACTTGCTCAATAATTACAAGGCTTTTTTTATCCCAACATACTTAGTAAAGTGATGGTTTTGCAACAACAATAACAACGCCTGACACAGGTAGATTGTCAGTTAGTCGTATTTAAATCTCATCCACATCATTGTGTATCTGTCATCAGGACATTATGTCATTTAAATAATAATATATTTAATTAATTCGGGAAAATTATGGTTTTCATATTTAACACCAGTTTTGACTTTGTCCCAGGAATCACTGGAACTGAGAGTTACCACACCGCGTTGGGACTCGGGGTATGGAATTACGACGATGATGATGACACGCTCAGAAACCAAAGTGATCAACTCAGCATAGATTCCTTCGAGGTATGTAAATACAGAGAAAATCATTAATTAGGCAAGATTACAGATAAAAAGATAACGTATGCATACACACAATCCTTCTCAAATAGTCTCACTCGCACCGTTAAAAGGATGTCAATTCAAGACATGCCGTAAAATTTAACCAACCAGTAACTCCTTCTTTTTCTTAACAGTGGTTAAGCATTATAATCATCGGTGTGTGCAGTTTATGATGCATATACATTCAGCTGCTAAATCTCTACAGTCACCTTCTTACTTAATAACCAAACTTTTTTCTTCAACTTTAGTTGAAAACCTGACACCGGAATGTTGTAAACATGTCTTAAAGTTTGAGTCTGAACATTTGCTCTCCTCACCTCCAGATATTTTTCTTGACGAACATTTTTCCTGATTTTTTTTTATACATTTCAACAGACACGAAAGTTGAGAACTTTTGCATATTTGTGACTCGAGAAGTTGCATACATATATTTTTCGAAATATCGTGTTACAAATCTTCTCTTATATACTTAACACTATTTAAATAGTTGACAATGCCTACGGCTGAGAGTAATGGAAATCTCGTGTTTGACGAGGAGGACGATGCGAGCAGAGCGTTCGGTGCACTACCGGAGATTATGTAAGACATTTTTTTAAATGCACACCATTTTTTGTATAATAAGAGTCATACTGACGATTTGGCATAAATTTACAGTCCACAAAGACCTCAACGAGGGATGACCACTTCGTTTACGTTGACAAGGAAGAGAAAGGTCGAACTGTCCTCGATTTCATCTCCGGAGGATGAATTGCCACCCACTTCCGGTTTCGGGGGGAGGAAAGATTCCACCGTTAGCGAGCAGTGTTTGACAGGTGGGTGGGGGTTCTTTTATAAAATAAAGTATTGGTATGGCAACCACTTTTTCGTCGGGGTTTGTCGTCGTCGCAGTCGTCTGAATAATTTCGCTGCAAGAAAATAGTAAATAGAAAAATGTAATCACTCAAAAAACACCTTTCTCCAATTCACTTTTGTATTTTACGTCTTCCAAAATTGAAAATCCGAGTAGAAAGAAATCGAAATGAACCACTTTTGGAAAGATAATGACAACAAGACCCTCAAGATGAGGGAGTTGTCTCGTCGCTACGTCAATTCTTATCTGTACAAACTGAATCAACAATACCACGACACGGGTGAAGGGAATGGACTGCACGACAATTTCGAGGAAGAACGAATCAGGATCAATATACAACGGGCCAAAGTGCAACCCAAAGTGCAAAATCAAGTTGTTACTGAACTAGAGGATGACCATTTTGATCATGAGGACGGGCAATTCAAGCAGACGATGCAAAACACGCTCATGTATCTCGGGATGATCCTGGTCGTCACCCTTCTCTTTCTCAGATCGTTGGAAATAATCTATCAATTTGTCTGCATGTGGAGGACACGGAGATTTGTGGAGCGTGGGACGAACACTGACCTTGATCTTAATTATCATCCCGTCATTTCGTATGTGGAAGTCGATTGTGGAGAGAGTGAAAGTGAAAGTAGGGAAAATTCTTTGGTGCATAAAGTACATGAAGGTGGAAGTGGTGATTTAGGAGGTTGTCCAATAATTAGTTTTGAAGTTATACGAAAATTTCAATTTATATATTTCCGGAATTACTAATTACTCAAGTGCGACTGTTGCTTTAAATTACAGGAAATGAGCACGAACTTGTCGGCGTTGGAATCAATTGTGTCCCACCACGGCGATACGCATCCGTCTCAGATGTTCCTCCTCCAGAGTCGAATGTTCTCCGAAAAGTCGCAAGTCTCACCCTCGCGGAACAACAACACCTCCAAAAAAATGCTTCCAGACCAAAATATATTCCAGAGAAACTGGATTTTAAATCGTACGAAAAGTTCGAAGGCATTATGCTCATCAATTGGTTCATGTCGTCATCGCCGTCGAGTCACGAGGGTAACAAGGACACCACTTCATCCGCATCGTCGGATCTCAGACTGCTGGCAAACAATTTTTGCACAATGTTGCTCGCTGCGGGGGTGGTGAAGCAGATCGAGGATTCTTCGACATCCCTGGATCCTATTTTCAGAACGGATTTAATGTACGTTTGGGCCCACTCGGAGGCAGTATCAGGCGGACAAATACCTGGAAAATTGCCCCCAGTCCAATGGCCCCCTAGTAATAATTCAGCTTCAGTAGGGACGACGCCACCATCGAAAGCAGGGGCAAAATATACGGAAGCAGGTAGAGGAATTTTTTGTAGATGGGTAGATTTTTTTATGCTTAAAAACTGATAACTTTTCTATTAACTAACTATAAAATATGCAATTAATTGATTGGGCGTAATGCTTGTACGTTTGGTGAAAGTATTAACATTTTCAATTTCCCCATCTGCTGCCTCGCCATCAGGAGGGGATGGAACAGAGGGTGGTGATTCTACGACTAACTATGTTGGTGGTGGTGCGAATAGAACGTTATCTCCAGAACATTTACCTAAACCGGGAATCGTACCCGAAACGGTCTCTCATTTCGAGAGCGAAATTGATCTCACGAGAGATGACCAAGATTCCAAAGGTGTGTGTTTTGCTATATAAATAACCAACTAAATCTGCTTGTCGTTGTTGTATGTACTCTTGTAGAAAATGCTTAATGATTTTAATTTATGGGGTACGAATGAATGATCAATAATGATTTTAATGTCGACCTGTAGAATTTCAAAGTGCACTGTCTGGTCTGAAACGCGAGCACAAAGAGGTACTGGAAAAGAAGGAAAACGCTCATGAAATAAATTTGTTCTCCGTTCGAGGAGAAACTGCACAACTTTTGGAGAAATATGCGAAGCGGATCGAGGAGCTTGAACAAGAAGTGGACAAATTAAAAACCTTGCAGGATATTCAGGTACAAATTAAATAGTTTAAAGTTTTTATGTAATGCAGTTTAACTAATTACTTTTTAATTTTCAGAACCTTAATCAACAACTTGACCAGGATTTTAAGCCGACTTCCGCTCCTGCACCGCCACCCCCGCCGCCTCCTCCACCCCCACCGGCTTCCTGTGGCCCACCTCCTCCTCCTCCACCCCCACTTCCGCCAGCTTCATGCGGTCCACCCCCACCTCCACTCCCCCCGAGTTCGGGTGGGCAACCTCCTCCTTACGTTCCTCCACCTCCTCCTCCTCCTGGCCCTCCTCCACCAATGTCAGGTTCGTTTGGAGGCCCTCCTCCTCCCCCTCTGCCTGGTGGACCACCACCACCCCCACTTCCCGGTGGTGGTAGTAGTTCCACAGGTCCTTGCCCTTTGCCACCGCCCCCAATGGTCGTTAAACAAGGTCGGTTATGTCTTAATATGTCTTGATTCGCTTTGCTTTGCCCTTTGGTCATGGTCCCTGCTTGTTGCAAAATTTGCATTTTACTTTATATGCAATTGAAATAACGATAATGACATGCATTAATTTTGTACATATTTGTAGAAGTGAGAAAAAAACCGATCACACCTTCAGTTCCAATGAAACCTCTCTACTGGAAGCGAATCCAAATCAAGGAGGCGACCCCGTTCCCAATCACAGTTGTACCCACGCCTGAAATCTCGAGGTATGTGGTGACTTCAAATTTTACTAATTACAAATTTTCTAATACATTTGAACGCAATTATGTCTTAACTGAATAGGATTTACGGGTATTAAATCAATCATTGCAATAGTTCATGTCATAAACTTTTGGTAATGATTTTGTTCTTTTTATAACAATTTATTTAGTGGAAACATTGCTGACGTGCTCGACACAGCCAAACCATCCAAAGTTTGGGAGAAACTTGACGAAGTTCCCGTTCCAAGCTGGGACGATTTCCACAAACTGTTCTCACGCCAAGTTGTAGAAAAGAAAATTACTAAAAAAGTTGAAGTTAAACCGGCGAAATTGCAGTCAATAAAAATTCTGGACAGCAAACGGTCACAAAATGTGGGAATTCTAATCAAGAGTCTCAACCTGGATATTGAACATGTTAAACAAGCTATTTTCGAATTTGATTTGTCTGTCATTAATTCGGAAGTTTTGGAAAAAATTCTAGAAATTGTAATTCAACAGCAATTCTAATTTTGTAAAATTTTTCAAAACATTTACTAATTATTATTCGTTTAATTTGGTTTAGAGAGCCACTCCCGATGAATCTGAAGCTCTAAAGGGTTCCGTCGAATCATGCCCTGATGTACCTCTAGACAAACCGGACCAGTAAGATTTCATATTTTTATTCAATTCAAAACCTTAACTTAAAAATTATTTTTCCTTCGCAGATTCCTTTTCGACCTCCTTTCCATCCCAAATTATGAGACGCGCATTAAATCTTTGACCTTTCAATGTTCATATTTCGAATCTCTCTCGGCTGTTGAGGGCAAATTAAGCAATTTAGCACTCGTCTGTGAACAACTCACGGCGTCCAAAGACCTCCAAAAATTACTCGCCTTAATCCTAACTTATGGAAATTATATGAATGGTGGGAATTGGGAGCGAGGTCAGGCCGATGGATTCAAGCTAGAAATCTTGCCTAAATTGAAAGAGACCAAGGCCAATGAAAATAATTTCACCTTTCTCCATTTCATCGTGATGAAGTACATTGAGGTAGAAAATGTTTTAAGTTTTAATTATGTGTGAACCGATTTTGAGTAATATTTACATAATTGTAATTTAAATTGCTATTATTTTCAGGTCGAAGGTGTATTAAGCAGGGAGAATCCAGAGGATGCCAAGCTCCCAGTTCCCGAGCCTTCTGACATTGAAAAGGCATCATGCTCAAACTTTGACGAAATTGAGAGAGAAATTAAAAGCTTGACGACGGAATTGGAACGTAATTAATTAATTATATCTACATAATATAATCCTTTAGCATGTTTTTAATTGGAAATAAAATTTGTATGCAGTGTGTGAGCGTAGGATGCAAACTGTGATCGATACCTCAACGCCTGAACATTTGGAACCCTTTAAGGCTAAAATGACCTCGTTTGTCGAACAAGGTAGTCTAATTATATCAATCATGAAATAAAAGCTCGAAAATTAATTGCAGTCTAATAAAAAAATAATAATAATGTACAGCTAAACACAAGTCGAAGGAGGTCGAGGAGACGTTTCACGACACGAAATTGAAGTTTACAAATACCATGATATTCTTTGACTTTATTCCGACCAAGAAAGACGGCCCAGTTCAAGAATTCTTCTCCACCTGGACCCCGTTCTGTAATGACTTTAAGACCATTTGGAGGAATGAACAACAAAGGCTGTTAAAAGAAAAGTTAAAAGAGGCAGAGAAAATTGTCAAGCAAAAGCGCAGTCTTCTCTCGAATATCATCGTCAAAAAGCCGAGAGCTAGTATGGGACTGGTGAGTTTGATTTGTAACTTTTGTATTTTACTTCAAAATTCTAAAATGCACTTCAATTTTGCAGAAAGAGAAATTATTAAAAAAGAAAAAGGAATCGTGCAAAGATTAACCCGCATGGATACTCAATACTCATCATTGTTATTGATAATAACTTATTATTTTACAAGCTTTAACTATTTATCAGGAAGGAAAGTAAGAAAAAAGTTATTGTTAAAACCCACCTCGGTCTAAACAGGGCCTAAATGACTTTTAATTAATTAAATTTAGTAAGAGAACGTCGTTAAAAGATATTCGAGCATCTAAAAACTATGTGTGTAGATCACACATGTAACTTTTGCTTCGCGATCCGATCCACGATCCGATCCACCTGAACGGAAATTACCGCGATCCGATCCACGATCCGATCCACCTCGATGGAAGGTACCGCGATCCGATCCACGATCCGATCCAAGCGGATGGAAAGTATCGCGATCCGATCCACGATCCGATCCAGGATTGGATCGGATCGGCTCGGCACGCGTTTTACGATCCATCGGTTCGCGATACACATAGTTACAAGTGTATTTATCGCTGGTGGCAGACTCATTTTGTATCGCGAGCCGATCCACGATCCGATCCAAGCAGATGGAAAGTACCGCGAGCCGATCCACGATCCGATCCAAGCAGATGGAAAGTACCGCGAGCCGATCCACGATCCGATCCAAGCAGATGGAAAGTACCGCGAGCCGATCCACGATCCGATCCAAGCAGATGGAAAGTACCGCGAGCCGATCCACGATCCGATCCAAGCAGATGGAAAGTACCGCGAGCCGATCCACGATCCGATCCAAGCAGATGGAAAGTACCGCGAGCCGATCCACGATCCGGTCCACGCCTGGATCGGATCGGATCGGCTCGTGGATCGGATCGCAATTTACGATCCGGTTCGGATCGCGATCCACAAAGTTACAAGTGTGGTGTAGATTCTCTTGTCTTCTATTATTCATTTCAAGCACTTATGTAACACGATTTTAAGAATGAAGCAAAGTGCATGAGAGATTGATTGTAGTTTGTTGGCCATATAATATATTATGAAAAGTCGATTTATGGTGGTTTAATAGTATAAACTTGTGATATTTTATTTAAATTACAAAAAAGTGCTTTAAATAAAAACAGAGATATAGAGAGATTTATGTAATCTACGCAATTTCATGGAAAAAAGTAATAAATTATTGGCGAACCGAAGAGATCTGCACAAAGCATTCAACTATTTTGTAATGCACCTGCTGCTGTGTCAATAAGTGGTCATATTTTTCACATGAATTTATTTACACCTCTTTAAATAAACATTAACGGGAAAAATGTTACTACACGTCATCTTTCACTATTACACGTATTTTTAATAATATTAGCTTTTTAGTTTTTATAAATATTTACATTTTCTCGGAACTACTGGATAAATAGTTATTTTACACTTTCCATTTCTACTTCCTACAAAAAGTTGTTAAACAATCAGATAACAAAACATGAAAGTTTGGACACGATAAAAGCGTATAAAAACATTTCTCCGCATTATTGTTTACATTTAAACAATGCATGGAAAGTAGAAATCCAGAGAAAGTTTTTTTTATGAAATTGATAAACCCACAATTCTTTTAAGTCTAACGTACAAAAAATAGTGTAAAGCACTATACACAAAAAAATTGTGCAAGATTTACTTATGGCATACGAATTAAAAAATGATGTGTATGCATTTCCTCATTCATCGGTAAAATGTTTGTGGTGGATTAAAGGATATGCATCATTATCATCATCATCATCATGTTTATTATCCAGTGAAATTGATGGCTGGATGATTATGATAACCGATGAATGGTGATATTATTATACGATTACTACCTCAAATCATACACAAATGTCACGTATTAAACAGGGCTATGTAAATTTACTCATCTGCATATGAAAACTGTGCCACGTATGTATTACAATTTCAGAGATATCAGCACAACACTCATCATCATCAGGGAAATAAATCGTTATGAAACGATTTATAAAATGACTATTAAATAAAAATTTCCATTTCCAATACCAGAATTTTAAATAAGAAAATCTCATCTGTAACCAGTAATTTTTATTACTGATCTTTAGTTTTTTTGCATCTTCCCGTTTTACCATCTTCAAGGATGACCATGTCCAAGAAGCCAGATGCCCTCGAGCAATCTAACTTTATGTTGTTTTCTTAAAAAACTAACAAGTCATTTAGCATCATCACTATGAAGCATGAATTTTTCCATCCTCGTCCACGTACCCTGCGCCCACACGAAGCCTCGCACCACAACCTCCCACGCCACGCCAAGCCGTGACCACGTCTCTCATGCGGCACCTCTCGATTTGGGAGGGCGTAGACGAGTGGCGTCGTCGAATGGGATCGGGCCATCGGCTGTCGGCTAAGCCAATTCCACGATTCCACGATGGAACCTCCACTCCGACTACTCTGCGAGTTCATCATCCGGCTGCTAACTCAAAACTACACACTTGACAGCCAACAGCCACCACGAGCACTCGTCTTCTTCTCCTTCGCTAGCTGTCGAAATTGAAATTTTGAAAAGAAATTTTGTACTCGGAAACTTACTCGTCAGACGTCAGAGTGGGTGTGGTGTGGCAGAAGGGAATTTTTTAGACGTGAGATTACTAGGAGGTAGAAAAGAAGATGAAGATTAGGACGATTTTGGCCGTGGTGTTGGTTGCCGTGGGGGTGGTGCGAGCCGACGAAGAAATCAAGACTGACGAAGGAGTTATTGTTCTCACCAAGGGGAATTATGCCAAGGTGTTGGAAGACAATCAGCATGTCCTCGTCGAATTTTGTAAGTTTTTGGGTGTTTTTTTTTGGAAAAAAACTATTTTCATATTTATTTTTTAGGCAGGTCAGAATTTGTATGGGTTGTTTTTAGCAACTTGTTAGTGGGAACAATTTTTAGGGTGGGGCAGAAACAGTATCTTGATTAGTCAGATTGATTAGTGTGCAATATATCTTGCAACTTTTGCCTATGCAAGAAAGCAGGTTGGTTTTTTAAGCAGCCGGACTGGAAGAAGAATGTAGATAAGGACACGTCTCGTGGCAGTTGACACGTATTTTATGGAACTTGAGATAAATTTATATGATGTCACTATTCTCTAGTAGCTCCACTCTTATAGTATTACTACATTTACATAACATCAATTTGAACATTTATTAATGAACTTTGTATCATTTTTTTGTGCATTCCAGATGCCCCATGGTGCGGACATTGTAAAGCCTTAGCCCCAGAATATGCCAAAGCAGCCAAGAAATTAGAAGAATCCGGTTCAGCCATCAAATTGGGCAAAGTTGACGCCACGGAAGAGTCGGAATTAGCAGAGGAAAACTCTGTCCGAGGATATCCCACCCTCAAATTTTATAGGAACGGAAAGGCCATCGACTACTCTGGGGGTAGGACAGCGGATGAGATTGTTCTTTGGTTGGAGAAGAAGACGGGACCAGCTGCTAAGACCATTTCATCGGCTGAGGATCTCAAGAAGTTCACGGAGGATGGTGAAGTAGCTGTTGTGGGTTTCTTTAAGGTAATTTTATGAGATGACTATTTAATTAAAGGTTAATTAAAGGGCGTTGTTCTAATTATTTATTTAATTGTGATTAGAGCGAGACATCCGATGCGGCTAAAGAATTTTTGAAGGTCGCCGATGGTGTGGACGATTATCCCTTCGCTATCGTCACTGATTCTTCACTCATTTCTGAGAACAAGGTTGATGGTGATGCAGTCGTGGTCTTTAAGAAGGTAAATTCAACTAAATTATGATTCACTTGTTAATAATTTAATCAACGAATTATAACTTTTCACAGTTCGATGACGGTCGTGCCGAATTATCCAAAGATTTGACGGAGGAGAACATTTCCAAATTCGTCAAGGGTGAAAGTCTTCCATTGATTGTCGATTTCAACCACGAGACGGCTCAGAAAGTGTTTGGTGGTGAAATCAAGTCCCACGTCCTCATGTTTTTGTCCAAGGAAGCCGGTCATTATGAAAAGTATCTCGACAGTCAGAAGGAAAATGCTAAAACTTACAAGGACCGAGTTTTGTTCGTCAGCATCAACACGGACGATGAAGATCATGGCAGAATCCTTGAATTCTTTGGGATGAAAAAGGAGGAAGTCCCTGCTGCTCGACTCATCAAATTGGCCGATGAAATGGCAAAATACAAACCAGCAACTCAAGTTTTGGACAGTGCTGATGACATGAAGACCTGGGTCGAGAGTTTCTTGGACGGAAAGTTGAAGGTGCGCATACTTGATAATATTTTTTGTATTTTTTTCTATGTAAAGTTTACTAATGTGATCTTTGTATCAATTTTAGCAACACCTTCTATCTCAAGAATTACCAGAAGATTGGGACAAAAACCCCGTGAAAATTTTGGTTGCCTCGAACTTTGATGAAGTCGCTTTGGATGCTGAAAAGAATGTTTTGGTCGAATTTTACGCCCCGTGGTGCGGACATTGCAAACAGCTTGCTCCAATTTATGATAAAGTGAGTTCGTTTAAAACTCTTAAAATAATAATGTTTCATTTCATTCTCGTGAAAATCTAACTAAATTGTTCACTCGATTAAATATAGCTCGGTGAGAAATTTGCCTCCGATTCCACCGTCGTCGTGGCCAAGATGGACTCCACCATCAATGAATTGGAACACACCAAAATCAACAGTTTCCCCACAATCAAGTTGTACAAGAAGGGCGACAATAAAATTATCGAGTACAATGGAGAACGAACGCTGGAGGGATTAACTAAATTCTTGGAAACGGACGGATCTTACGGACAAGCTGCCCCCGATCAAGCAGAAGAGGCCGATGAAGATGACGATTCACCAACTAAGGATGAATTATAAAATGGTTTCCCACAATTCAAATTCTTGTTTAGTAAATTCCATGATCGAATTAATTCTTAAATGAACGCAACGTTTTTAGCTTGCGTTGTTAAAAAATTCCCTCTTCGCACCAAACAAAACGAAAAATTTAAAAGTTATTACTTTCTATATAAAAATTGAAATCAAGTCTTTTTTTATATACTCGTGTTACAAAATATATCCATATATTTACTTACTTATTTAATTGTTGTGGTACAACTACTTTTGTGGAATGTGGTAAAAAATAAATGAAATTATGAGATGAGGGGTGGAGACTTAAAACAAAACAAAAACTCGTATCTTTTCATTCATGGAATATTATTTCATGCAAGTATTTTGACATTTCTGCTGGAATCTCGCTGCTGCTGCAGAACAGAAATAGCTTGATTCCCCTCTTTCTAGTTTCCTTTTTTGTCCCATTTTTTTGCATAATTATTGCGTTAACTTATGTGGTACACAGACAACTATTAGTAGGTGAGTTAGAGATAGGAGACAAAGAGCGAGTGTGGCTAAAATGATCCCAGCTTAGCAGCCCATCATCATCCACCCACTCCTTTCCGCTCACTTTGAACTGATTCAGGTTGGAGAAGATTTACAAAAATAAATAAATAGATGATAAATAAATACGTGGATAATTAAAGTTTATAATTCTCCACAAACTACTAGTCAACGGAAGATAAGCCTCATCCTTCTGCCTCATGGGGGACCGTTTTCCTTGGAGATTGGATAATCAAAAGTTAGATAAATCTACTACGACGTCTAGAGTGGATTTAGGTTAATTTTACACATAACAAAGTAAATACTTTGCGAAGGTTTAATTAATTGGAGATTATTACAATGTTCAATTGTTACATTGTGGGGAGCAGTTGGGGAGTAAAATGGGGGGTACGAGAGTGGTTGTAAAGTTGATAGTTTCGTTTTTTCGCCGGTATAAATGTGAAATATATAAGAGATTTTAATAATTCACAGTATTTATCTATTTCCAATTAAACTACTGCAAATTGTGAGAAATGTATACGATATTCAGATAAGGACAAGGGTGGATTTTGGATAATTGTAACTCTACAAATGTTCAAAAACAAAGAAAGACTAATTTGACCAATTACACAATAGTTTAAAGTTACCAATTAAATTAAAACAATGGCTGCCTCATCCTCTGGGACGTCTGGAAGTAATAATAGCAACGCCATGGAAGAAGAGACGACTGCAACTGGAGAAAATACGGCTGGGACCATGATGGCGAATTGTGTTGAGATTAGTTTTGAGGAATTTTTGAGACGACGATCAGAAGAAAGTTTGCAATTGAGTGGGTTTTCCGGGGGAGCTGGGGGTTCCATGCTGACCGGAAACGTCGAAGTGGACGAGTCACCGCTAAAACCATCCATTAATAGGAATAAAGAGTGTAAGTAATATCATTACGGGGATTCAAAGGCTAATTTTTTGTTTAATGAATTGTTTTGGTTCTCTTAGCATTAAAGTTGAAATTGCAAATGAGGAGACCAATCAACCAACTTGTTGAGCAGGGGATTCTGCCGTGTAAGTTGATATTTTTTTCGGTATTTTCTTTTAACCAATTTCCTAATTTTCATTTGCTTTCACAGCCCCCAACACTCCTCCGGCGTATGCTTGCCAACGAGTGAAACTGGAACGTGCGAGGATGGGCGATCTACTTAAAGCAAAGATTCAACAGAGGCCGAGCAGACAAGAACTTGTCCGACAGCACATTTTGGAGGGTATGCTTCTTTACTTACGATCTTTAAAATGAACAAAATGTAATTCTTGTGTAAATTCACAGAAACCGATCCAAGGGTGGCTCCCTTACTCGCAGAAAAGCAAAGAATGCTGAAACGAGCTCGTCTTGCCGATTCTTTAAATGATCATTTAATACACCGACCCGGTCCTTTAGAATTAGTCCAGGTTTTTTATTACTCCTTGTGAAACCACATTATTCCTCATATGCAGACACTAAAATAATTACTATTTTTCTAGAAAAACATTCTGCATGCACCTGATGAATCCATCGAGAAAGCCATTAAAGGTAGTTGTTCTTTTCTTTCCTGTTTTTTTTAATTAATTTAAAAAATATACTGACCAATGATTTTTGCAGAGGGTATCGTCCCCTTTAAAGCCACGTGCGAAGGAGCCACGCCAGGTCCACCTCTACCAACGAAATATATTTGTCAAGAGGATGATTCAAGTTCTGATGTCTCCTCACCAAGTGTGAATCTCGACAGTGTTTCTGCCGAAGAAAACGTTCCAACCCCATCCGCACCTCCCTCTGCCCCTGATCTATCCCTTCCAGAAACCGTTTTGGAGGTGCAAAATAAAGTGCTCCAAGCGGTTGCAACAGTGACGCCTGTTAAAATTGTGGAAGCTGTACCGATCCCAACCCCGCCACCGCCACCACCTTATTCATTTACTATCCCTGAATCCACTACATCATCGACACAACAAAACATTGGAATATTTGCTGTACCAATATTTGCAAACGCATCACAATCAATACAACAACAACCAATTTTTCAAAGTACTCCTTCCAACATAACTTCCACTACTCCGAGTACTAGCAGCAGTTTCAAAAGTCGCTCTAAAAAAATTAGTAAATCAAAATCCCAATCGAAACCAAAAACGATCAAATTTCATGAATACCGCGGACCACCAAGTGCTCAAAAATCATCAACAAATATTTCTGAACAAAATAAACGTCCTGCGGAAAGCTCATATGAATTATTACTTCAACAACAACAATTATTTCTACAATGGCAATTAGAGTGGCAACACAGGGTGAGCAAATAATTAATAATATAAATAATATTAAACTAAATTAATTTCATTTTGTTTTCTTATAGTTTCCCAAAATCCTTCTCCCTGCCGTTTCGAAAATGTCTGCCGAGGAGAAAAAGGCATTTTGTTCCACACTCCAGTCCTCCACCTTCCCATCCTCCGCCCTATCTCATCATCATAATCTTCATCCCGTGGTATCATCTTCGGACAAAAACTGTCTTCCAGTCTCAATACTCTCGTCTAACCCAACGAATTCAGTTTTGATACTTAGCTCAACTGCGGAACCACCAATTTCGACAAATAATAATATTAATATTAATAACAATAATACTCACTCGGTTAGCTACGTGCAGCAACCACAACAAATAACGCCACAACCTGCGGCGACGACGACAACGACGGGGGCGGTGGCGACTACAACTACATTGGTCATCACGAGTCCACTACCTCAGAGTTCGGTTAATCAGAATAATTCAGTAATGCCCGCAGTGACGACTTCTTCAGTAGTTAAGGTGGAAAATAAACCGACAAACGAAGTACCAAAGGTTCCCACCACCTCTACCGCTGCAACTACCACGACGACCACCAGCAGTACTTTATCTCAGTCAATAAAGTTAAACGACTGGAAAGTGAATGAGCTTAAAGCTGAGTTGAAGAAGAGAAATTTACCAGTTAGTGGATCGAAATCTCAATTAGTTGAAAGACTACAGGCGAAAATAGACAAGGAGAAAGAAAAGGGTTCGAAATGTGGACAACAGACGGTTAAAAAAATTGAAGAAGTCAAAGAAAACGGAATCGACAATAACAATGTGCTAACAATGACGCCATCGCAGGATGTCAAATTTTTTATAACAAATAACAATTCAACACCAACTTTATTAAATTCGGGAACTTTAGAATTTTTACATAAATCTGGAATTCTTAAACCTCGTGGTGAAGGGAAGGACACGGCTGGAATAATTTCAGTCCCGACCAATGGGGTACGATCACTGATCTTTATCTTTGTTGATTTTTATTTAATTGCTCAATCTCCTTGCAGGTCTCACCCAGTTCGAGATCTGTACTTCAGCAGAAAATACAACAAAAAATGCAGCAACAACAGGCAAAAACACAATCAGAATTAATTAACAAAAATGAATCCACGCCCGCTGTGACCGTGGTCAATGAGCTTAGGACGTGGATGCCGAGTTGTAATGGGAACGCGGCACAGCAACCGGTGGAGGTAATTAAAGTGATACATTTAAAATTTCCATAAAACTGCACTTGCTTAAACGTTCTCTTTATTCACAAAAACAGCAAGTGGAAAATGCAGTGGATGCATCCAACGCTAACACTATTTCTGGAGGAGGAGGAGAAAATTCATGGGTTTTGAAGATCAGGGAAACCCCACCACCACCAGCATCCTTTGAAAATTGTTTGGCTGATTTATTATCAGAGGCTACTAGTCAGCCCACATCAACGCCCTTGATCGTTAACCAGGTAAGCTTTCTTACATAATGGTGAATATTGTGATAGCATCTTGTTTCATTAACAAATTATTTCACATAGGGCTCCCCGTTAACCCAACAGCAACAACAACACGTCAAAAGTCAAATGGTTGATGATGTGCTTGAAATACTCATCCGACATGGAGGTTAGTCTTACACTCACTTGTTTTTTGCATTATTTTCTAATATTTTTTTTTGTAATCCACGCAGAACTTCCTCCCAGCGCCGCCTCCACACACCACATGCACCCATCCTCCTCATCAACCCAACAACCTCATCGTTCTGATGGAGGAAACAACTTCCAACCACCCCCCGCACCTCCCCTTCCTCCCACAACATTCGCTGTAACTTTACCAACAGAAATCAGTTTCCGTCGCCTGGCGCAGCAACAACCTTTTAGGGAAGAGAAACCCTTGGAAAGAAAAGGATCCCTGGGAATCAATTCACTAACTAAAGAAGCAGAGGAAATTTTAAAAATTGGCGAATCAAATCCAATCGAACCACCATCATGTACACTTAATCTAAACAAAGATGGTGGTGAAGAATACATGGACTTGGACACCGCCGGATTATTAAACATGGAACTAAAATCTAACAAATCCTCCTTGCTCAACGGTGGAGGGGATTCAATAGTAATTGACGAATTGTTAACAGAAGCCTTGGAATTCCCAATGGACACTGAGTACTCGGATTGGTTAGAAAGTTTCTCTGCGGATAACAATTTCCATCAACAATTTAATAATCAATTGGATAAAGAGGACTCGAGAGGGGATCCACTCTTATCTTCAACAAAGAGTTGTGAAACTTCCAATATTTTGGATAACAATTTTCCTACCCATACTCCAAATTGTATGGACGTTGATGTGAATGATGGGAGCGAGTTTGTAGGAAAAATTAAAAAATCTACAAATACTTTGGATGAACAAAATCTTAATATTAATGTCGGAGATTTGTGGGACTTTAATTTTTAAAAAAATTTCTCGTTTTACAAAAATCTTTCATTCTCTTTCCATATATTGTTTGTGTGGGTGCATTTGTGGGTGTGGTTGGGGGTGCTTTTTTGTGAACTTCTGTTATCCATAACATAACCAATTTATTATTAATAAAAATAAATACAATTGACTGACTTTAATTTAATTATGAAGGTTTTTCTTTGTAAAGAAAAGACGACATGTAAAAGCATGATACGTGCGGCGACGTCATAAAAAACAAGAGTGCATCTCAATTCGCAAAATATGTCATTAATTTTTTTTGCGAATTTATTTTTCTAATCTCTCCTGCTCCTGTTGGCCATTTAGATAAGGGAAATGTTATAAATGACGTGTTTAAACAACGACGACGCTGACTACAGTTTATTCAATTCCATGAAAAATGGAATAGCTGAAAATTCAACACCTTCTCTCCTCACTCACTCGCACACATTCTTCATCCGACGGACCCGCATATCAGACTTTTGTATATATGAAAAAGCACGGTGATACTTTCCATGCAAAATGCCATTGCATCTTCTTCAACGTAAACATTACAACTCTCTTGTAATAGGATTGCAAAAATTATGCGAGGAATGAATAGCACATACAGCAGCAAGGCCATCACCATCATAATAATATCTCCAATAAGTATTAGCCCTCCTCCTCCTCCTGCTACACTTCTTTAACAGAGTACACCATCCATATTCTTATCGGATCCTATTTACTTTTGCATATCCAAAGTAGCATGGTTTACAAAATGGTGTGACCCCCATAATTAATAAGTAGCGTTAAAAAAATAATGAAATTCTACTCATATAATTCACTGCTCCACACACACACCGTTTCCAACCAATCCAATTTTACGACTGTACAGACAGTTCCTTTTCTATCAAAGTATTGGCATCTCTCTATTTCAGCTTAATAATAAATACCCATCCATAACTAAAATTACTTACAGCCGAGCCATTAACATATTTCGAACGTAGTAATCACCTACTCATTTCTTTATCCTCTTTCGCTCTATCGCCAACCAACAACAAACGAGGAAACAACCTTCTGTCCTTTTGGTCCTTTTACATGATCTCTCTCTGTGGATATTTGTTTTGATAACGAACATACACAAACCTCGTCTACCTACGAGAAATACGAGGAAAAGCAGGGTAGCCACTGCTGCTTTTTTATAAAAATTGCACACCAATTCTGACCAGTAGGAATTAACAAATTAACAAATAATGTATCAAAATCTGCCAAAAATCAAAGAGTGAAAGTGTCAAGAGAAAGTTCTACGGCACCTTCGTGCTTACACAACACAAAACAAACAGGGGGTGCATCCACCCATTCCATCGAGTTGGTCGACATCCTCCGGGTGAAAACTTGGACCGGGTAGATTTCCCTTGACCTCAAAGTGTCCAGTTCCCCCCACGTGCCCCTCGTGGTCGTCCCCTGCCATTGTTAGCTAGGTCTTCTCTGTGTTATTGGGTCTGGGCAGGATGAGAGATGGAGGAGATGTTGTTGTGGTTGTCTGGAAAGGCCCCTAACGAGCATTTCTAACATCACCACCACCAACAGAACGTGATGCAGCAGCAGCGAGGAAAACTACCTGCTTCTTTTTCCACCTATATAGAACTAAGAACTAAAAACTAATCCCTTTCCTCCATCCACCACTCACTTTCAATCTTCTTCTTTTTCCTGTTTACTACAAACATTATTATAGTTTTTCCTTCCATCCTTTCTCGGCGTGTGTGGGGAGCGAGGAGGGGGGATTGAGTGGGGGTGGTCCTCTGGTAAGTACAAGAATTTTTGTTTCATCATTTTTGCCACGAGCGGAATTTCTCAGAGCCGATCTCATCATCGTCGTCGTCGTGTTGTTGTTGTTTTACTTTTTGCTCGGCATGTTGAAAAGTATGCTCGTTTGGTGGCCCTCTTTTCGAGTGTATTTACAGATTTTTAGCTAGCAGCATTCTCGGCAGCAGCAGAAGAAGAGCAGCATGGTCACACACACACAGAGCATCATCAATTCTCGAGTCTCCTCGTTCCGTCGTTTTTCTTCTTCTTCTTCATCATCACACACCAAAAATTCTCCATCCACACTCGGAAATCATTTGTTTCGCACTACTCTACAATTTCGCGACGACGCTGTTTTGCTAAACTTCTTCTAGAGTCGTCCTTCAATAAATTGGTGAAAAGACGGGGTGATTATCGTTATTTGTAGTTATCAAGAGGAATTTATTTAGTGCTAGAAGGACGACACGAGTCTGTGAAGGTGATAAGATAACACACAAGTTGATTTTTCTCCGTGGATCTTTTACTATTAGTGTGTATTGTGTGAGGAGGGTAATAATATTTATATTTTTTTGGATAAGCAAAAAAAGGAGGATAAGAGGTGATTTGTTGTTCTTATTAGGTATTTATTTTAGTGGAGTTTTTAGGATAAGATTAGTTTGTAGTTGGTGGCGTTGTAGGTATGCAGCAAGGTCTTTTTTGTTCCATTCATGGCAAGTTCATGTTTTTTATTGTCGTCACATAGTCTGAGTTTAATTGCTTTTTGTCAAATTCGATCAATTAATTTCATTCAGAGGTTTCATAATAAAAGTGAAGTTTTATTTAGGCATTGTTGAATGGAGTGAAGGTTAACGCACGTTATGCAATTATTCATAAAAAATATATTTCAAAATGGAAAAATAAGTTTATAGTTGCAATTCAGTCACGTTCTCAGGTTGTGCTTTTTTGAGGTTAGGCTGGCGAGGAGGTGGTAGTTGAAACGAGAAATTGTTGAAATTTAGATCCTACAAAAAAAGGTTCATATTACGCGTTTGAGTTTTTAATGACATGCACAGTTTAGTAAACAATTCGTCGTTCTAATGTAAACAAAATGTGTGTAATTAATAACATTTAACATTTCTTGTGAATTTTATTTGTATCCTGGTGTAGACTCTCTCGAGAAACTTGAAAAAGAGATTAAATTTGTATCAAAAAAAGACGAAATAATATCAATTGAATCTTGGGCGCTGGCGCTGCTGGTGTTTTTATAAGTATCCGACGAGTATTTAGGTGAGTCTTACTACAGAATTATATGTTAATGAATAATTGATAATAATGTGAATTTTTCTTTGAATAAATAGTTAAATATCATGATGTCCTCCTCCGAAGAAAGTCGCGGTGTAGAGAACGATGCATTGGCACTCCTCTCATTGAAGGATCCCACCCTGCAACAGTCTAGCAGTCATCTCCATCACCATCTCTCTCAACACCAACCAATTACAGTATCTCCACGGCCAAGAAAGGTCAGTTGGTCATCCGATATGATGATGAAACAACCGATTGCACGGTTGGAAACTCGAGACTTTGAGTACCTGGTCAGAACCAAAAAAGTAACGATTGGAAGGAATTCCTCATCGGGGACCGTGGACGTGTGAGTGATGAGCAGATAGGTTCCTAAAATATGATTGATTTGGTAACTAAATAATGGGTTTCGTTTTTGAATATCCAGGAGCATGGGAAACTCTTCATTTATATCGCGAAAGCATATTGAAGTCCGCTACGAACCACCTCATTTTTTCATGAGCTGCCACGGGAAGAATGGCGTGTTTATTGATGGGATTTTTTATCGAAAAGGCCCGCTCATGACACCCCTTGCGCCAAAATGCACTTTTAGGTGAGTTTTAATAATTATGTGACAATTTTCATACTTTTTCTACTTTTTTTTAATATGAAAATTTATCCGTGTAGATTCCCTAGTACAAATTTCCGTGTACATTTCGACTCGTTGGTGATCCCTCCCGAGGATACAGATGAAGATATGTACCAAGAAAACAAAGGAATCGATTTTTCCAGAACAGGCGGATTCGTAGAAGGTTCATCATCTTCGAAATCAGGGTTCTCTATGCCGAGTGGGAGTGGTGGTGGTGCATTGAAAATCAAGTCAGAATTGTCATCCTCGGATTCTCCACCACTTCCACACCATCCTTTCCCAAATGTAATTTATAATAGACCATCCTATCCAGTTAGCAGTCGTTCTCGCTCTCCAACAAATCCATATAATCAACATCACCATCAAAGAATTTCACCAAATAAAAGTCAAACACCACTCAAAATCAATATTCCTGATCCCAGTGAAACAAACTTCTCATCTCCGTTCCCAAGTCCAACAGGGACGATCAGGTAATTTATCCTGCAATTTCTAAAACTGTATGCATTGTACTGTGTTATAAAATCAATCAAATTTATTTGTGCAAAATTTCCAGTGTGCCCAACTCTTGTCCCGCAAGTCCTGGTGGGGGTGGAACCCGTCGAAACATTGGGGCAGATATACATATGGCATTTAAAGCTGCTGCATCTAGATCGCAAGGAATGTCGGATGATAAACAAGAGGTTTGCAACTTGGTTGTTATAAACATTTCGTGCTAATCAGTAGGTAAACTTTATTATTGTTACAATTTACTCTTCTTTAGGACGATGGGAAGCCACCCTTCTCGTACGCCCAGTTGATTGTTCAGGCAATTGCATCCACGTCGGATCATCAGTTGACGTTGAGCGGAATTTATTCTTACATTACGAAACATTACCCTTATTATCGCACTGCAGACAAAGGGTGGCAGGTATTCGATTCTATTTCAGCCATCTCTCAAAACTCAAATATAACAATGACTTTTTGGTTAATTTAGAATTCCATCCGGCATAACTTGTCGTTGAATCGTTATTTTATAAAAGTGCCTCGTTCTCAAGAGGAGCCAGGCAAGGGTTCATTTTGGCGAATCGATCCACAAAGCGAGGCGAAACTTATTGATCAAGCATTTCGCCGACGTAGGCAACGTGGAGTCCCTTGTTTTAGAGCTCCATTCGCCCTGTCCTCCAGGTATTTTGGTCTCTTTGGCGTTATTTATTCGCGGAATTGTTTAACAGCAAATGATTTGTGATTGTGATAGGAGCGCTCCTGCCTCACCTACGCACATGGGAGGGCTGGCAACTCCAGATTGTTTATCACGAGAAGGGTCCCCCGCACCATCTGACTATTCGGATAGTATGCACTCGATGACAATGCCCATCAATCAACAACATCATTCTAATAATAACAAACAAATCAGTCAATCCGCTCCCGGGTCCCCCAAAAGTGGTAAGAAAAAACTTTCACTTGCTTATGATACATTTATGAGTGGTAGTTTAACACTAATATTAATAAAAATTGTCAATTTAATTTGTAGGTGGAAGCTCCCTGAGCACAGTGTTACTCGGAAGTCAACAAAAGATGGCTGTGCAACAGCACTTGCTTCCATCGCCAACGTATGCACCATCGACATCGCCGAATGCGAGTAGCATCACTTTAAATGGGACGGATGGAAGCAAATCCGTCATTCTGCATAATGCAGTGTCAAGTGAGTTGTTTGTAAATGTGGAGTTTGTTGGATTTAATTTGCTGATATTATAATTAAACTTAATTCTAGGTGGTCCAAGTACAATTGTAGTTTTGCGTCAAGATGAAGAACTTGGTGCAAATCATAATCAAGGTCAAACTATTATTGTCCGTACTCCTAATCTGGGGTGAGTTAACATAATTTGTATCTTTATAAATACTCTACCAATGAATATTAATGTAATGCGCAAATGAAATGTAATATTTCAGGACTCCACCCACCACAAATTTCTCATCATCAACTACAACCACCGGTTCATCAAACCAACAACAACAACATCCACCCTACTCAACACCAATCTCTTCTTTGTCATCTTCCGAGGCGCAAGTGAAAACTGAGGACTCGATATCTTCAAAGGATGGGATGACTAACGGTAATGGACGTAGTGGGAACACTCTCCTTTCCGGAAATACAAACGACTACCAAACTTACACAATGCAGCAAATCATTACAGAAGCATTAGAACGAAGTAATGTTGGATGTAATAATCGTACTGGTAGTTCTAGTATTACGGCAAATGATGTGGGAGGAGTTGGAGGAAGTGGAGGTGAGCAACAAAAGGGACAAAAACGAGCAGATGGTGAACAGGAGGATGAACAAAACGAACAAAATTCACAACAACAAAATAAAAGGGTCAAGATTTAGGATGGATTTATTAGATTTATCTATTAGTTGAGTTGGAGGGACGAGCGTAGTTTGGATTATTTTTAGAAAGTTTAAAAACTGTAAAGTAGGAATATAAATGTAAGTACAACTATTCTAAATACTAGTGTATGGAGAGAGTATGTATAGAGTGGTTGGTAACTGGTATACCACTTTTCCTGTTGTGTGGGCTGGATAAATATTTTAATTATTAACTAAATTAATTATTAATTCGGTGATATTGCAGCATGGATAGCGACGACGAGACGATGACTTTGATATTCTGGTTTTTATCAAGTCAGATCTTTATGATAAATGTAATTTTTACTACTATTGATGAGCAGAAGAAGAGTAGGTGTGACTGAGTTTAAAGACGACGGACGGTTTTTAAAAGAATCAACTGTGAATAATTCTAAATTTATTAATCGTATTTAAAATTAATTGTTACAAATTTCTGCAGATATTTGATAATTGTACAGACGATCGATAATACAGAGAGAAAGAGCAAAGAGTATAAAGTAGTAATCGAAATGATAATAGGTGTGGTATGAGAGTTTTAAAATGGATGATCATTAAACAATAAATGTGATGAAATAATTTGTGTGTTAAATTTAGCAGGAATTTAGGGAAGGCGGAGACGTATAAGAAATGAAGGGTCGGGAAGTAGACGAGGAAAAAGTAGTTGATAAGATTTAGTCAGTTCTCATTTTTCTTGAAAAATCTTATAAAATGAGAAATGAAATAAATATTTGGAGATGTTTTAAAATTGAACACAAAATTCGTCGCATGATTAAAGAAAATAATTTTCTTTGGTGTGCATTTCATGAAAGTTGTCGAGTAAGTGGAGGAGAAAGCAGTGTGAGAGTGAAAAAGAGATGGTCGGAATTATCCGAGGAGAAAGTTCGTTTCGTTTCACTTTCACTTTTTGGTCCACCAAATCTTTCATCGATCTCTGTGAATTCCATACTCACGCAAAAACACTAGCCAAAAACAGTGTTGTTGGTGTTGTTGTGAAAAGGATATGGTGAAAGTAAGTGAAAGTTAAGAAACGGGTAAATTTTTTCTACCCGTTTTGAAAGAAATAAAGAAAAAAGTTATGCTTTCAGAATGATGCACAATTCATATTCATGGATCCTGCTGGTCCTGACCGTTTGCAGTAGCAGAGTGGATTCACAAAGAGGTAAAGTTGGTGTTGGGATTTATTAAAAAGTTGAGTAAATAATTAAATATGTTCATAATTATTAGTGGGAGGAGGAGTGTCCCCACTAACCACGAGTTCCACTGATCAATGCAACAAAACTGTTGGAATCTATGAGGAAGTCACCTCGCCACCCGTTACAGCAGAAAACTATGGGAAACCAATCCTATGCCATTACAGGTTTAGACCGTTTCGTACAAATCTTCGTGACTGGGTTCTCAGGATAAGGTTTACCAAGTTTAAAGTGGGAAGGATCTACAACGAGTCAGCCTGTGAAACTGGCTACATTCAGGTATTTTATTTAGAGAAATGGCTACACAATTCGGATCCATTAATCACTTATTTTTCATAGATAATCGATGGGAATGGTAAAGGCGGATTAAGCAATCGTCGTGAACCAGGGAAATTTTGTGGTGAAATAGAACAACCGTCGACTTTCATCTCTGAAACCAGCGTAGTCCGACTCGTGTTCTATGTGGACAATTTCACAGAACAAACATACTTCCGCTTCGATTCACGGGCGGAACAACAGTATGAAGTGTATCTCAGATATGGACAACATCCGGAATTATTTCCTAATCGAAGAGGAGAAGTCGTCCCAAATACTTATTGTGAACGGGTTTTCAGGGATTGCAGGTGGGTCTTGTTATTAATTTTCCTAAAATTGTCGTATTTAATAATTTATTACATCATATTTGTCGTTGTTATTAGGATGCAAACCTGCTACGTCCAATCCCCGGGGTATCCTGGTCTCTACCCAAGAAACTTGCACTGCAAGTACGCCATAAACACGCGTCTCCCATTCATAAAATTGCACATTGAAAATGAAGAATTCAACGTGGATGGACAAAGATGTGAAAATTTAATCATGTGTCCAATGAAGGCAATTGGGACGGATTGTCCAAATGACTACATCAAAATCTATGATGGCAAAGATGAAAAAAGCCAACTTATTGGGACCTTTTGTGGCGTGGGAAAGGTTATATACTTTTAGAAATATTTCTCCATGGGTTAATTATGCAATGAATTAAGTAACTTTTTTAAACTACAGTTCCCCTTCTCCATAATCGGGACTGGGTCCGACCTATTTGTTGAATTTGTAACCTCTGCGGCTGGTCCATTGATGAATACTGGATTCCATTTCAACGTTGGACATTGGCCTGGACATGTGGAAACTTCCGGGAAAAGTAATGGCACTTGCGATTGGATATTTACTAGTAAAGCGTTAGCAGATTCTGGGGATAAACAAGGACTTTTTTGGTATGCACTGATTTTCAACTGTAAAAAACATTAGTTTCTGAAATAATGGTGTGTCTTTATTTATTAGGTCCGTCTCCCACTGGTACCCTCAAAACACACGCTGCTCGTATTTGATGTTGGGCGAAAAGGATGAAATCGTCCGATTGCTCTTTCCGTCATTCCGCATAGAAAAGATTGATGCCCCCGTAAGTCACCGCACAGTGCTTCTCTCCATCGCCTAAAAATCTACCTATTTGATAAAGGTTACTGGTTACTGTACAGGTTCGAAAATGGGAGGGTGATTGTGCTGAATCCTTGACAATTTATGACTCTCACTACGCCGACGATTCAAAAATAATTAAAACATTTTGCGATACATCTCGACCACCAGAAAAATATGATTTTGTTTCCACGTCCAATGCCCTCTACGTATTGTTTGAAAGTAAAACTGGAAGTTATTCCGGTTCTTCGCTCTACTATTGGTCCACCTACGACTTTTTCAGCAACGCTCATTTTGGGGAACCCGTTCCTGGGACCTGTGACGAAGTATTTGCGTCTTGGCACAAATCGGAAGGGAAATTCGCTTCACCACTGAATACGCTAATGTATAAAAACGACGATATGAAACTAATTAATTGTAAATATCGATTCATTAGCATGAAACGATTGTTTGCAAGAATCGTCGTCAAAATTGATAACGTCAATTTCAAGTATAATCAAGATAATTGTCTCAATTGTTGGGCGGACAGAGTAGACAAAATCCTAGTTATTGATCCTCTTGCTCAACAAACGCCGCAACAACACAGCGGTCTCACTAATTTAAAAAGATTCAAAACCAATGTTACAAGCTCAAGGATTTGCATTTGCAAAGAAAACAGTGGACATTTCAACTTTCCAGTCACGCTCACGTCTCAGGGGGAAGAGGCCGAAGTCGTCATGAAGGTATAGTAATTTATTCGTTATAGAAAAATGATAATGATTTATTGTATATGCACAGATCGACCCGCGTCACTCGTTATCAAACTATTTCAAATCGAACGTGCCAATATTTGAGGGGAGTTACAAATTCATTCATGGACCATTATGTGGACCAACGATGATAGGACCCAGTGCAGATGGCAAATTGAGATTCCCTTTCTATTTCAATCCTGCATTAAGGGATGTGAGTAGACCTTGTTGAATGTCTCTTTTAATAATAATCACTTTTAATATTTTTGTAATACGCAGCTTCCCGTCTCCTGCCTCTGGGAATTGAGGGTACATCCGGACAAAGATTTATGGATAAATTTGGAAAAACTAGTCTTCACCGTCACAAGTAAATCCTGTTCTGATGCCAAATTGGAATTTTATCTCCCAACGAATCCTAACCCACCTTCATCCGGGAGTGGCTCATTCCATTCTTCACACGGAATAAAACAACAATCAGCACAACAGCACCATCCACTTTTGACTTTATGTGGCGATTCAAAAGAAGGTGATCGGAAAACAGAGATCTCGTCACAATTACCAATCCTCTCGTCAGAAAAATTACAACAGGGAGGACCTTTCACCATTAAATTAGAAGCCAGCGGTATTAACACAATAATTAACGATTAATTAATTGTCTGATGGTTATAAAATTTTTAATACTTGATTTCCAGCCGCTTCAAAATTAAATTTCATAATATCGTGGACAGAACTTCACCAGCTTCCTAAAAATCCCGATGGAACGTTAAAAACTTCTAAACTCGAAGGTAAAGAAGATTGTGGATTTTTATGCCCAGGTCAACAAGGGATTTGTATCGAGAGGAATTTAGTTTGCAATGGGATTCAAAATTGTCCAAACACGACTGGAATTCATGATGAATCGGAAGATCAATGTAAATTAAGTGATAGTCATTTCGTCCTCTTGAACCACCATTTAAACATCAGTTGGATTACTGCCTCTTTAGTCGGTGGAGCAGGAGCATTGTTCATCTGCTTAATTTGTGTCTGCCTATGTAGATGTTGTTGTAGTGGGAGGAGGAGTGGAGGCAAAAGAGGCGCAGTCACACCTCCAGAAGAAGATTATTTAACTTGACTTGTTTTTCTATGAGAATTAGGTTTTTTGCTACTCAGGATCAGTTCTTTGTTATACTACAAATTTCTACTCACAATTTTAAATACTATAAAAAAATTCAGTAGGAATCAAATATTGGTAAAAATGGGGTTGTCGTTTTTTTGGTAGCAATAATTTCTATCAATAAATCTTCTCTTACAATTAAATTTTTAATAACGTGTTCAAAAAGTTAGTCCAAAAAATAATAAATTACTATTAAATCGTTAATTTCTAGGCATCTGGTCTCTATTCGCACCCGCCTTGTGTGAAAGGAAGGCAAGATGACCCTTGTTACATTTGTTGGCATAATGTCCTTTATATCCGCACTGAAAAATACCCAGTAGAGTTAAATAACCATAAAAATTATCTCCAGAAAATTATATATTTCACACTCACCTTATAACACACAACGTCCTCCAACGCCCTCCTGGGTTGCTGCTGTTCTCCTTCCGGCCTGTCATTATTTCTTCTCTGGTAGAATTGTGGTCTTGGATGAAATTGATATGGTTGAAATCCACCTTGTTGTTGATGATCGTTGGAAAATCTGGGACCACCACTTCCACCAAATCGTCCATGAAATTCTGGTGGTTTTTGATTCTCTTGTTCATTGTCTGCGGCGCCGCCAGCGGATCGAGATTCATGATGATTCAATCCAGCTCGAGCCAATTGTTCTTGAACTTCTGGATTTTTGGGACATTGGAACGATTTGTGACCCATCTCTTGACACATGTGACATATTATTCCGGCCTTTTTCTTTGCTATCTCATCCGCTTGGGGAAGCTCAAATGTCGCACTGCACGAGATGTGGAAAATTAACAGCATGTATTGTTTTAAAAAAACTATTTGTCTGATCAGAAAGATTACTTACTGGACGAATTTGCAGTTGGGTCCATCGGGACAAAAACCAGCCAGATAATTAAGACACAGCACTTTACGAACGTGTTTATGTCTACAGTTGGGACCATGTCGACAAAATCCACGCTGATACCACGGACATTCACGCAATTTTGCTTCAGGATCAATGTGAAGGAACGGACATTCCTGAAATTGCATGAAATTTATATTATTACTATGTTATAGAATTAGTATCGTTTCGTGTCTACCTTGTTATGACAAGCATTGAACCTCGTGTAAAAATAACATTCCGGCATTTTTGTCATGTCAAACTCGTGAAGAAATTCACATTGGTCTCCTTTCTTACACAATCCTCTGAAATACATATAATAATTAATTTATCAAATTATTATTAACTCGGAACCACTCACCTCAACCAATGTTTGCACACGACCGTTCTATTTTCACGAATGTGACGAAATGGACAGAGATTCCCTTTTTGACCTGCAAATGTCAATTTGTATCAAATACGCCGTTATTTTTTATGTAAAAAGGAAATGTCACTCACATGTTCCAACCAGATAAAATTCACAAATTGCCGATGTGGATTCTGTAAATTGCAATTATTTAATCACGTATTTGTATATAAGTTGCTGAAATAATTAAATAAACTCACTGTCCATCTGCGGGAAGGGGAGGCTCACGGCCCCCAATTGTTGTTCAAGTGCAACTTCAATATCAAACTTGAAATTCTCCTTATCCACACTCGCCACTAGTGCTTCCATTTTTGATGAGTTTGTTTTATTAATCAGATAGAAAAGTTACGGCAGTGGGAAGAAAAAACTACAGAAGTTTTGAATCAACAAATAAACACAATGAATAACTAATTGTTTTTACTACTAGAAATTTTATAATGTAAAAAGTAACAAGAAAAATTGTAAGATTGTAAGATTTATTTATTTTAAAATATTAGAATTTTTAGTTGAGTTTTGTTGAATAATTGACGAATTGAGCAGACTTTTGGATTTGCGCCTTTTGTCGGCAAGTTTGAATCGAGTTTTGAGAATAATCGTGGCTGGATTGGATTCTCAATTTTCAATATTTCCGGCTTTTCGAGCTATTTTTTAAAATAGAAAATTGCTATTTTCTCGGTAAGTTTAATTGATAAGTACTTATCCATATTTTTAATGAACGTTCATGATAAATGTAAATTAGAAATATTTTATTTTATTTTTTTCAAGGTGATCAAAGATGGGAATTTTAGAAAAGATTGCCGAAATTGAAAGGGAAATTGCCCGAACTCAGAAAAATAAGGCCACCGAGTATCATTTGGGACTTTTGAAAGCGGTGCGGGTTTTCGTCGTTTTTCCCTTAAAATCGATCCGATTAAAATAAAATTAATAAAATTTAATTAAATCAAATCCTGCAGAAATTGGCAAAATATCGCTCCCAGCTTTTGGAACCTACGGGTAAAAAAGGGGAGAAAGGGGAAGGGTTTGATGTTCTGAAAAGTGGGGACGCCCGTGTCGCCCTCGTAGGATTTCCATCAGTTGGAAAGTCAACGCTTTTGAGTACGGTGACTAAAACGGAGAGCGAATGTGCTGCTTATGAATTCACGACCTTGACCTGCATTCCGGGAGTTATTGAATATAAAGGGGCGAACATTCAGGTGAGTTTTCAGTTAGTCGTCGATTAAGGTATTTTTACCCCGTTTAATGTACAGGGTGGTTAAAATGTCACGCCACAATGGAAAATTTTTCAATGGGAAAAGTCCCTAAATCTCCATTAGTTACAAGATTTCGGATTGAGATTTTTATAAATTATTATCAAAACTGATGACAAAATTCTTAAAATGTTGCATTTTAGAGACAAAATTTCGGTGACTAATGGAAATTTACAAATTTTTCCCATCGAAAAATTTTCCATTGTTGCGTGACATTTTAACCACCCTGTATTTTCATTTGACATTTTTGTGTAGCTGCTGGATTTGCCAGGAATCATTGAAGGTGCCTCCCAAGGAAAAGGAAGAGGGAGACAAGTCATTGGTACAATTTAAAAAAATTCACTTGTCTAAAATTTAAAATTTAGTACAAAATTCCCATGAATTTTAATTCCCAGCCGTTGCCCGCACCGCCGACGTGGTTTTGATGATGTTGGACGCCACGAAAGGAGACGTGCAGAGGAAATTATTGGAAGCAGAATTGGAATCCGTTGGAATTCGACTTAATAAACGAAAGCCAAATATTTACTTCAAAATTAAGAAAGCCGGAGGATTATCTTTCAATTCGATGGTGCCGTTAACGAAATGCGATGAGAAATTAGTTCAACTAATTCTTCATGAGTATAAAATGTTCAATGCGGAAGTGCTTTTCAGAGAGGATTGGTGGGTGGGAGTATTGGAATTTTATGGTTTTTTTCTGTACTAATTTATTAATTGCAGTACTGCAGATGAATTGATTGACGTCATTTGTGCGAATCGTGTCTACATGCCGTGTCTTTACGTTTATAATAAAATTGATCAAATCAGCATTGAAGAAGTGGATCGGATTGCTCACCTGCCAAACACCGTCGTCGTCAGCTGTAACATGAAATTGAATTTGGATTACCTTTTGGAAGTTTTGTGGGAGTACCTTTCGCTCATCAGGTTTTTTTCATGATTTTTTAATGGCAGTGGAGTGTTGTAGGCTAATAATTTGTTTTTTTCAGGGTCTACACCAAGAAACCTGGTGAACCTCCAGATTTCAGTGATGGCTTAATTTTACGTCGTGGTTGTACCGTTAGCCACGTGTGCCACACAATTCACAGGTCAGTGTTATTTTTCAAGGTTATTAAAGTTTTGTATGATAAATGTTTTTTTAATAGGACGTTAGCCGCAGATTTTAAATATGCGCTCGTTTGGGGTGAGCATTTTTTTTAATTATTAAGAGTTTTTGCAGAGATTAATCGTGGTTTTATTTTGCAGGGACGAGTACTAAATACTCCCCGCAAAGAGTCGGTGCGAATCATGTTATGGCGGATGAAGATGTCATCAGGGTGGTCAAAAAGTGAATGCGGGGACTGATTTCCGATAATTTGTTTTGGGATTTGTAATAAGTTTTTTCCGGTTTTTGATAAGAGAAAGTTTGTTTCACTTTCTCTGTGAAAATAAATCATTTAAGGGGAATTTGAGATTTTCTCAGGTTTCCGTTTAAAAAGAAAGTGAATTTGCTTTGTGATGTTGTTTTATCATGAAAGTCTCCCGTATTTAACACTCACAAAAAACTCCCTAAATTTCTCACCAAAATTTCTTTTTTTATTTCATCATTTCCACCCCCAAAAATATCCAACAAATTCCAATAAATAAATAATTTTCCTCTCTCTTTTATCTCACAAAATTTCCTCTTCGATAGTATTGCAAAAAGCGTGGCGGTGGTGATTGTCACCCGTCGAGAAATATATATCGATAAATATGGCATCATATATAATAAATTAATTGGTTGACTCGTATCTGAATGGATCTAATCTAACCAGAGTCCACTGCCCCGTCTCTTCTTTGCGGTAGTAGCGAGGTCGATTGTCCGTGAATATGGTGATTTCTGGAAATGGGTGCTCCTGGATGTGGCGGAGCGTGTTTTTTATCTGAGGGAAATTATGTATTTTTTAGAATGGTTCCATTTTGTTAATGATTTAAAAAAAAATCTTACTTCGTTGACGATGTGGGCGGGCTCCACTTCTGGAAATTTATTAATTTCAATAAGTTAATACATTTTACGATTATTAATTTTATAATAGTTTCCCTCACCCGGTGACGTCGTTAAATGTTGAAGAATGAACTCATCCGACTCTTGCAGCATAATGTTTGCACATCGAAGTGGTTCGTAGTGAAATGGACCGATGCGGAGGAGGCAGGATTGGTAGTCGTAGATTTCTAGTAACTGCATTGGAAAAATTATTAGCAAAATTTCTAAAATTACCAAATAAGTTAGCACAAAAAACTCACCGCGGGTGAGCCCGAGAAAATTCTGGAATGTCTCAAAGGGAGATCGGGTCCTTTATCTGGAAACGTCGCTGGGAATATTTCACCAGTTTTTATATTTATCCCCACGCCGTACAATATCGGCCAAGGGGTGTCGCCCCGGATTATCGTGTTCAGCTGGCCGATGCCTGCAATTTGGAGATAAATATTATAAATTGCAAAAAAACGCGTTATTGACTCACAGGCAGTGACGAGCTCCACTTCGCAGGGTTCCTTGCTTACGTATTCTGCAATTTAAATCGTGTCATGAAATTACCAATAAAATTAGTGTTATAAAAAACTAACGGAGTAATGAAAAGATGACGTCTTCGCTGTATCCTCTCGAGTCACCGAAGGATCCGACCAAATGCATGTGGACTGGACCCTGCTCAAAATATCCCAGCGACAAATCCTGGATTCTGCTCAACATGGAGGTTATCCCGTCTGGAAGGTTTTTTATTCGTTAATTTATGCACAAAAGGCGTTTTTATCAATGGACTAACCAACGCAAATGGCTTCGAAATGACCGACCGCCACTGCTCCGGTTGTTGGATGGCGTAGAACGACGGCCAAACAGGTCGTGCAGTCATCCGTGCCCATGATGGCGATGTTTTCTGGGGATTAAAAAATTAGTATCGTTGAACAAGGAAGAAAGACAAAAAACTCACTGTCATGAGGAGAACAGACGCCGAATTCCCTTTGTGAGACGTAGAGAAGACCGACGGGGCCGATTTGTTTGGGAGGTGTGGACGCCACTTGAGATGCCGTTTCTTTTAAATGGGGGTACATGTGGTACAGGCTCCGAGAATCCGTGGGGATCTCGTCCACTTTCACGCCGCCGATCAGCAGGACCATTTTTTGATAGTCGGATCTGGAAATTATTAATTTTATTTATTGGATTTATTAACGGATGATAATCACACGACAAAATCTCTCTTTTTCGCTCAGCTGAAAATACCGGAAGTGCAAAAGACGTCGACCACCACCACCGACTACACACAAACTTTTATCTCTTGTCCAAATTCCAAATAATCAAAAATCAAGTACATATACACGAAAACGGAGAGAGAAAAAAAACCAGTCGGGCAACTTTTTTCTCTCAGATCTGTAAAGTCTCAAAACCGTGTGTGTGCCGTGGAAATAACAATCATCATCATCATCGTAGAAACGATCATCGACGTTACGTAAGCAGGCAGCCGTCGTTTATGTGTATCGAAAAAGAAGGCGGAGATTTATCCCCCGGCTGAAGAAGAAGATCGTAAAGCAATAATGATGATCGGGAAATATTGTTTTTTTAAGAAGAAAAAAAGGTCAGCAAAAGTGGTGGAGTTTTTGTAGGAAGTTGGGATTTTAGTCATTAGAGATTTCTTTTAAAAGTCTTGTCTCATTTTTTTTGTAAAGATGAAAAAGTTTGTTTTTGTAGTGTTTCCATTTTAAAGTACCGATTTCCAGTGCACCACAATTTCATCCGCTTTTAGTATAAAAATCGAATTATCTCTTTTTTTCTCTCTCTTGCTAAATGGTCAAGCATTTTTCCACTCGACTCCTCACACTACTCTTCTCACTCACTCTTTTTCATCATCTTCCTTCATTTTCTGTATCATTAAAACAATTATCGAGAGCCTGAATTTATTTACTCGCTAAAGATGTGCTGTTGAGAGAAATCCCGTTTCCTTTTCGTCAAGTATCGCGTAATAAATTTAATGTTTAAAAAAGATTAATCGTTTCCTTTGGAGAATTTGACGTGAGTCAGTAGTGTTACGATCGAGTAGAGTATTTCCCATTCAGATCTCAAATATCGCAGAGATGGAACAATGGACCATTGTGTATGGTAAATAATCTGGTGACATAATCTTGCGGAGATATTGGAGAGGAGAGGGGTGGTTTTTTTGTAAGGGGTGGGGGATTTTAGGAATTATCGTTGGATTATTTTAGAAAAAATTGGGTGATTGTGGGGATTTTGTCGTGTTGCTGTTACGCGATTTTTATTGTGAGTGGATGGGAAAATGTGGACACAGCTCGGTCAGTGTAAAATGTGATAAAAAGAAATGGAAGCTGCTGCTGCTGTGTGTATAAAGGAAAAGAAGTCGAACGAGAGAGAGAGAGATAACCTTTCCTGATAACCTTTCTTATCTTCAAGAGAGAGAAATGTGAAGTTTAAGATGGTTGGATGGTTGCTAAATGGGAGAGATGTAGAGAGAGACGAGTTATTGAATAGTTATATAAGGATTGCAAGATTGGAAGAAATATAATAAACCACACTTAAAAACAGTTATACACGTTTTGATGTAGAGAGAGATTTTAAAAATCACATTTTGTAAATGGGACCTTAAATTTTGGTAGTTAAAATAATTTCAAGAAATTTATGTACCTTTTTTTAAGTCGCACTCTTTTTGTCTCACTCTTAAAACTAGTTAGAAAAACACTTGTTGAATCCGACTCACTCTCCAGCCCCAGTTGAGAATTGAGACTGAGACAGATTTTGAGTCGACTCGACTCTTTTTATCCACACACGACACGATGAACGATGATTATTATGTGTTTGTTGGTCTAATGGAATGGAAAAGAGAGAAAGAAGAAAGATCATGTGAAACGGTTAAATATATAGGAAAAAGGTTCGTCGATGTTCAATGAGGTGTGTTGGAAGAAGAAGGGTTATGATTTTGTTAAAAAGTTGTTGCTCAATCGTTTAGTTGTGTGTTGCTGCTTTAAAGTAAATACAAAATAACAAAGAAATGTTGAGAAAGAAGAAGAGAAAAATTGAGAGATCAAAACGATGGGACTCGTGCTGGGTTTTTAAATGTTTTATTCATAGAAATTTAGGATTCTTCGTCGGGAATGATCTTTGGAGTTTTGGGTAATATGGAATAATTTATTGGGGAAGTTGAGAGAGTGGGGATATGTGTGTTGTGAGGTATTTTTTGGGGGAGGGTGGGGGTGTGGTTAAAGTAGTAAACTATTTGTATAAATAAATGGAATTATTATGTGGATCATGACAAATTTTTCCATTTATAAAGTCAATTTTGAGGTGTTTATATGAATACTATTAAAACAGAAAATTCTTCAAATCACGCAAGTTATTTGATTGCACTTTTTTTGGGAGTACCGTTTGGAAACGGAGATTAAAATAGTGTCAATTTGATGTGATTATGATGTTTTTTTTAATAAATTGGTTGGGGAAGTCTATTTCGAGAAATATAATTTTTAAAGGAAATAAATTAGGAAAGAAAATTAATGCGAGAAATAATACTTTCGCATTTAAACGATGCTTTCTTTTGCATTTTCTAATAAATACTTTTCTTTAAATTATAAAAATTATTGGTGTTTACATGAATGAATACTAGTGTCTCGTTGAAGTGGATTAATCGGAAAATCACACAATTTATTGAATTACATTTTTTTGGGAGGTTCGTTTTTGGAAACGGAAAGTAAAACAGAGTTTTGTTCAATTTTTGATGTGATTGTACTATTTTTTTTAAATTACTTGGGGAAGTTTATTTCGGGAAATATAATTTTTAGGAAAGAAATTATACTTTCACCGTTAAACTACGCTGCTTTCTTTTAGCATTTTCTAATAAATACCTTTCTTAAGAAAATTACAACTAAATAATAACTACGAAACAACCACAAAAATCCAACTCACCTTTGGCAAAAGTATCCACCACTTGTAATTGCACTTGTTTTAATTGGTTTTCATTTTTTTCAGCTTATTTTAAAATCGCTAATAATTATTATAAAATTCCGTTAATAAATAATTACAAATTCAACGTAAAAAAGAAAAGAAGGCAAATATTGGCGTCGCAGTTGTTCAGTTTTATCTTTATTTTTGTACATCTTTTGGTTACAGAGAAAACACGCCCGCTCTCCCAAACTCATTTCAATGATGATTCTGTAATGATAATAAAAGGATGATCTATAATGAAAATTTGTAACAAATATCACGGAAAATATAGAAATTTTCAATCCAAAAAAACGACGGTCATCCCACTTTTAAATCACAATTTGATATCTTGGTTACACAGGAAAACCACCCATTTTTAATCGAAACAGGAAATGCCATAGTTCATACAATGTGCATGGTCGTCTGAGCAGACGATTTAAGATGGATAAATTCTTATCTTTTAATTAGAATTGCTACTCATTTCTGATATTTATCTCTGCTTTTGAGATAATAAATTGATTAAATTTAGTCAAAATTAAGGATTTCTGCTAATTCCTTAATTTCAAGAGAGGCTTTCAACCGATACAAATGAGTCAATTTGATCATGCCCACAATCAATGATTTTCATAAGAAATATTTCCCTAATCAGCCCTGTTCATTCATCCGATTACTTCTTAAAATTTCATACAAAAACACATTCCTCAAATTTGTCTAAATTTCCTCTTAAACAAAATTTTTGCTTAAAACTCTGTTCTAATTTTATCTCAATTTTTTTCTCTCTTTCAAAACTTTATTTCCACCTGCTCCTGCTACTAAAATATTTGACATGCTACCCTGCGATCTTAAATGACTGTAAATTTCAGCGTATTTAATAACAGTGAAACATTTTACATAAATCACACAGCCTTTGCTGTTAAATTGGTGCAAAAGAGATCAAGGAGCGTATGATAATGTGATACGGAGCAGTAAATGACATTTTAAAAAGGTGCAATTTAATCCAGACACGCATTTCCGTTAATAATTAACTATTTTTTTATAAATTGCGTAATTATTTTTGTCATGCTTTTTAACTCAAAAACACACACACAACTCTAAAATATAAAACAATAAAGCACCTAAAAACGACCCTAAAAAAGTGACCCTAAAAAAAGATATCAATAATAACTACACTCGTCTTAATTGACTAATTAAGAAAAATTTTACGAGAGTTAAATTATTAACCCCGATTCCGATATCTCTTAATCAATTTTTATAAATTGTAACTATTTTCCACCAAAAGCAAAAGAAATAACTGTATCAAGTGTTTCAAGTTGGATGAACTTTATTTTTAGTTAAATGAAATCAAAAACTCGAATCTTCATCAACCATTAAACTTGTTGGCGTCTTACTTTCAGACACACCGAGAGGTGCACTATCTCTGGCATAGGGCTCTCTGGGAATTATTTGTGCCAAAAAACTCTCTCATCCAAAGATATCTATACACCCAAAATTACTTTAGTTTTAGCTATTTGCTTCATTCTCAATCTGATTCATTAATGAAGAAGTAGTAGCTGCAGCCGAGATAAAAACGGAATGAATGAGTACACACGGCTCCTGCCTTATGAAAGATAACAGTTTTTCATATGTTTATAAGGGCATAAAAATGATCTTCCTCCTACTACCTAGATTTACTCGCTGCTTGTGCTTAAATTATGCCTACATGGGTTCTACTCGGCTTCGTATTAAGTTTTAAGTTTAAGACGAAGAAGAAGAGTCATTTCCGTTCTATTCTGTGATGTTTCATCCAACAATCCACCCCTGCAGCCATTTGGAAACAGTTGCAGTCTGACAAGGCAAAGGCTGGGAGATCGTCTCTCTTTAAATAAATCTTAAGTATTTTTTTTGGAAATTTGATAAAAAAACTTAGAGGAAAAGTGAGAATAAATATGGTAAATTTGCAAGTGTGATATATATTTACAAAAGTTTATTTTTGACTGAAGACTGAGAAATTTATAAAAAAAGGTATGATTTTTGTTATATAAATAGCGTGTCGGTTGGTTATTGCACTCGGTTTAATATAAAGGGGAAAAGTTTGCGTGTGTGACAGATGCACATACAAAATTTCCTTTGTTTGGTTTTGGGTTTATACAATTCCTCTGCACTCTGTTGCTCTAATCCTAAGAGAGTTGTGGAGTGTGTGTTGTGTGGGTTATTAGGGAATTTTCGGGTAGTGTTTGTGGTGTGGATGGAAGGAGGGGGGAGGAGGAAGAGGAGGGTAGATTCGGTTTTAAGTGGTGGTGGAAAGGAGGGGATGGAAATTCGGAATAAGAAAAAAGAAGACCTTGACACAGGCGCATTATTGCAGAGTTTGTGTGTCTAGAGAGTGGTGGAAATCAGGTGAAAGTTGGTGACTTTTTCTGTGTGTTTAGAAAAAAAGAATTGGAAAGTGGAAAATAGGATAAAAATAAAAATGAGTTGGATTAAACATCATAGGACGAATGGTAAGCGGGGGTGTTTTAGGGTTTTTGATGGGAGGTGTGAATTTTTGTAATAAGGTTTGTATGGGTAAATGTAATTTATGGTAAAAGAAAATGAGACTTTCACCAGGGGAGTAGTGAAAGATATGATATTTTAACATTGGAGAAAGTAATTTGCCTATAATTTCACCATGCTTAAAAATGAGCTTAAACACCGTGAATTTAGACTTTCACCGGGTGTGAATTTGTTTGTTAATAAAAGGTTCGCGTATATTTGGGAGAGAAAAATAATGAGACTTTCACCTACGATTCTCATTTTATCGCATTTTCTCTATTTTCGTTAGTTTTTGTAAAGAAAACTAATTTTATAATGAGACTTTCACCGCACGTTCCTTTAAGATATTTGGAGAAAGTTTGACGCATTTTATGAACATTTTAACATTGGAGAAAGTTGCCAATAATTTAACCACGCGTAAAAACTTGTGCCTAGAAATGAACGGCCACCACACTAACGGGAACGGGACCACCCTGACCCCCACCAACGGCCACACTACCACCAACAACAACTGCACCGAGTCCAACTGGAACCTCGGGATCTGGTCCGTCGGTGTGATCAACGCAAAAAACAAGCGTTACCTCACCGCTGAAACCTTTGGCTATAAAATCAACGCGAACGGGACTTCACTAAAGAAGAAGCAGACCTGGAGATTGGAACCCGCCGGAGCAGACGGGATTTGCCTCAAGTCCCATTTGGATCGCTACTTGGCCGTGGATCAGTATGGAAATGTCACGTGTGATCAGGAGGAGAAGGAACATGGGGCGTTTTTCGAAGTGGTGGCGAGTGGCAAGGAGGGTGGGTTGACGATAAAACTAAAATTTTTTCTAAAATGGGTGAATAATCTCTCTCTAAAATTCCTCCAGGAACCTGGACGCTCCGAAACACCTCCCGGGGCTACTATCTCGGCGCAGAGTCTGACAAACTGATTTGCACCTCTAAAATCGCCTCCACTTTAGGTGAGAAATGGTTCATCCACCTCGCTGCAAGGCCGCAAGTGACGCTAAAGTCCGTGGGGAGGAAGAGATACGCACACTTGGCCGAGAATGAGGAGGAAATCCACGTGGACTCCAATGTGCCGTGGGGGGTGAGGACTTTTACTTTAGTGTTTTGGAGATTTTTTGTAAATTTTGTGAAATTTAGGCGGACACCCTGTTCACGCTGGAATTCCGCTTTGGGGACTCGTGTTTTTATGCGTTGCACACTTGCAACAATAAATATCTTAGATCCGATGGGAAGCTGCAGGTGGGTTTTTATTATTAAAATAGAGTGGAGTAAAAATAAATAACAAATGATTAAAAAAAAGGACGCCTGCGACCCGAGCTGCCTCTTCTCGATCGAGTACCACCACGGTCAAATGGCTTTGCGGGACAGTTCCGGGCTCTATTTGGCTCCGATCGGGTCCAAGGCGGTTCTCAAAACGAGGAGCCACACCGTGACCAAGGATGAGCTATTTGGTGGGTTTTTCTAGTAATTTATTATTTGAGGGTGGAAATAATAATTTATTTTTTGCAGTGCTGGAAGACTCTGTTCCGCAAGGGGCGTTCGTGGCTAAACTCAACGGGAGATATGTCTCCACCAAGCAGGGTAATTTTAATTTGACTAGTTTTTAAAGAAAAAATATTAAATATTAATAAATGCAGGCGTGGACGTGACGGCGAACCAGGACGAGATTTCCTCCTTTGAGACATTCCAGCTCGAGTTTGAGCCCAAGAGTAAAAAGTGGTACGTCCGAACCATGCAGGATAAATACTGGACAGTCGTCGAGGCCACGGGGGGTATCCAGGCCGGGGGGGACAAGCGGTAGGTTTTTTAATAAGCGCTGTTAGTAATAGATTCATTAAATTAAATGCAAATTCTGTAGAACGACATCATCGCTGTTCACGTTGAAATGGTCGCCCGGGGGGACGCTCTACTTCATGGGCTGCAATGGGAAGTACGTGGGGGCGAAACGGTCTGGTCACTTGTATGCAAATGTGGAGTCGCCAGAGGAGGATGAGTCGGCCCAGTTTCACTTTTACCTCATCAACCGGTAATATCGCATTATTAGTAATTTAGGTCAATTTTGTGCCTAATTTTGAGTGTAACTTTAGGCCGATTTTGGTGTTGAAATGCGAGCAAGGCTACGTGGGCTACAAGAGCAACGGTCTTTTCCGCCTGGAATGCAACAAGGCGTCCTATGAAACTATCGGGGTTGAGCGGAAGGAGAGTGGGGTTGTTCATTTTAAGGGTAAGGTTTTCTAGTAATTTACTGTATCTAGTGCTAATTTTTTAACTAAAATTCAGGGCAAAAGGGAAAGTACTGGTCCCTCGCAGGTGACGAGATCGCAGCGGATTCGGACACCCCCACGGATTTTTATATCGAGTTAAAAGAACCCAATCGGATCTGTATCAAAACTGGAAATGGACTTTATCTTAACGCCGAGAAGAATGGAATGTTTAAAGTTGGAGCGAGTTCGGAGCCGACGCTGTGGGAGTTTTGAACAATTTTGAGAGAGAAATTGGGAGAGAATTTTGTGTGGGGGTCGTTAATTTATGAAATTTATTAATTTATTTATATAAGGATTATGAGAAGGCTGAATTATTGTGCTTTTTTCTAAGTTGATATATTTATATATAAGAAATTTTGTACGATTTTATTACGATTTTTATATTGGATTTTTTTTGTGGTGCTTAGAAATTGAGGGGAGAGTGGAGAGAGAAGTAAAATGTTGTAGATGAGGAATTATTGTTGGTGGTGTTATTGTATTATTATTATATCGCTTGGTGAAAGTAGGGAAAAATTCCATCCATTTTCGAAGGAAGAAAATAGAAATCAATTAAGATGAATTGTTATTCTAATAATTTTCATAATAATTGGAGGCATGGGCTTTCTTATTAGGAGTGGAGGTGAGGCAAGAGAAATCATATTTTCTCGAGTGAAAGCTCGTCATGCTTTCTTCTCGTTTGCATCTTTGCATCGTAGAAAGTAAACTTCAGTAAATAACTTTCGAATGGAGTAGAGAGATGGGTGAAAGCATGCCCCATGGAAAAAAGTAGGAAGAGTGAAAGCTCGTCGCCATGCTTATTCCTGTGCATCCCTTGGAGAAAGTGGGCAAAAATTCCATCCATTCTCGAAGGAGAAAAATAGGAATCAATTAAATTGTGAAAAGGTGGAGAAAGCAGCTACTTTCTAACTAGTTAACTTTCTATTTCTCATGAGATTTCACCACGTTTTCCTAAAAAATTAACCGACTTTCTCTTCAACAAAAATGAGAGGGATGGGTGAAAGCATGTCGAAACGAGGATAGGGAAAGTGAAAGCGGGGCTTTCTCTTGCTCATCGCTTGGTGAAAGTGTGGTAAATTTCGATGAAAACGAGATTTTATTTAAGAAATCGAGGTAATTGTGAAAAGGTGGAGAAAGCAGCGCCGATTTGAAATTATTCTCAACTTTCACCTCCAAATTTCCAGCTTCCACTTTCAACTTTTGCCTACTTTCTCCTACTAATTCCACTTTCGCCTCTGCAAAAAAACACATTTTTCTCTTCTGAACAAAACATTTATTCACATAAACATCTGAATATAATTATCACCTCACAAAAGTAAAAAAACCCTACCCAAACATATGCACCAACACGAGCCCCACGCTGACCCCGCACCAAACAAGCACCCCATAAATCCACCCATCTCCCCGGAAAGGACTGGAATACGGATTGCTACTCCCCAGACCCACCCTTCTCCTCGCCTGGTACAAAATCACCGAGGGGATGACGTACTGGATCCCGGCGCCTTTTTTATTAAAGAACAAAACGTCATTTTAATTAACCAAAATAAAACCATAACTTCAAAAACCCACCCGCAAAGCTCCCCGTGAAATTGACTAGCAGCTGCACGTCTTGCACAAAGACCGAGACCAGAAACGGAGGGACGATGGCGAGCAGGGTGTAAATCACGTTGGAAAACTCCGACTCATAGTCAAACAATGTCCTCAGATTGTTCTTTAAGGTGATGGAAATTATTGGGAAATTTGTGGACAGGGTGAAAACGGGGAAGAGGGCGAGGAGATAGTTGATGAACCCACCGTCCCCGTCCCGGATGAAGTTTAGCGTGTAGAGATCTTGGACCTATAGGGAATAGGTTAGATTAGTGTTTTTTTAATTAAAATTAATGGTTAATCGAACCTCCTTGAAAGCGAAAACGCCCGTGACGGAGAGGAGGATGTAGAACGTGGCGATGAGACAATAATCCATCGCGAAGAGTAAATTAATTGACTTTTTGCTCCGGATGGGAGTGACTAGCGAAGGGAGCGAGTGGTGACACATGAAGGAGTAGATCGAGACCCCGAATAAAGTGGGGAGTTGGCGGATGTTGGAGATTTCGGGGGAGATGGGAGGGGAGGTGGTGGTGATTCGCTGGATTGCCAGGGTGATCATCGTTGTAAAGGCTGTCCACCTGTGGTTAGGAATTTTTTTAGTAGCGATTTATTTATTTTATTGAGAAATTACCTCAAAAGGGTGGTGGCGACTTGAAGATATTTGGTTTTTGAGATGTTGAGGAACGCAAAGGGTCCGATGGTGAGGATGAAAAGGATGCAAAAAAGCCGATATGCTCCAAAACGGTCGATTTTTGGGGAAAAGAACTCTGTGCAAGTGGAGTTTAGTTCGTTGAGGGTCAGGTTTTTTGAACAGGTCACGTCGCGCAGGGATTTTGAGACCTGAGAGGTAAAAGAGGGTTTAATTCCTTGATTTATAATTATGGGAAATTAAATTGTGAATAAAAACTGACCACTGTGATGTAGATGGCCAAGTCCCCGTAGAGATAGACTACGAGTGTTGTGTAGAATAAAACAACGCCATATTTTGGAAAGTATAACCTCGCCATGTGGCCCATTTCCACGGTTCGGCTGATGTCGAAACAGGCTCGGCTCAGGATTTGCTGTTGGTTTATCGAGGTGGAGATTAGTGGGTCGTCCTCGTCGGTTTCTCCTGGGTCGAGGGAATCCGCGTCGTCTGGGGGGAGTGATGGGGGTGTGGGTGGGGAGGTCAGGATTATGGCGTTGGAAATGGCCATGGATTCGATGACGAAGGTCACGGTGATGTAGGCTAGGGGGATTTTTATTAAATAGTGGAGTTATTATGGGTTTTGAGGGTGGATTTCTGTGAGTTCAACTTACAGACTAGAGCGAGAGCGACGAGGACGAGGGAGGAGAGAAGATATCCTGAGGAGTGGACCACACCTGGAAATATTTTAATGGTAAAATTACGGAGGATCCAGAAAAAAACCACTCGAAAACATCCGTAAATTCCTCACCTGGGATCTGAAATTTTTAAAATTTTACCACTTATCAAAACCAAGTCCAGTCAATTAATATATAAAAACACTCACCGCCAACGCCCCCGTCCCCACGATCACATTGAAGACGTAGATCAATCCAGTCTGAAAAATTATGATTAGAGAAAACTCGGTGGGTTATAAAAATCATGTAAAAAATGTGAATTTACCATGGCGGAGTACTGAGCACTGCTCGGATGAGTGGGCGATGATATCAACGGCATTTTTTTTGGCTAAAAATTTCGATTATTATTGTCGGGAGTTTTTATTGTTTAGATAATCTCATATTATTGTCTTTAAATCTGTCGAGTTATTGTCAGGAAGACCTTTAGTTTTATTAATTTGTTATTTACATTTTATTAATTATCCAGACCAAATCTCTAAAATTCTGAATATAAAAACCTCGTGGAATGTTTCTGCTGCTCATCTTCTCTCTCTCGAGCAGCAGTGATGACACATTTCCAGAGACGTCACACTGATATGTCAACAAACGGGGTGGAGTGATCCTCTAAAATTTCAAATATAGCGCTTTCTCCAGAATTTCAGCGGCTTCCAGGCAGAGCTGAACATCATCAACAATAACATTAGTTTTTAAATTATTAAACATTTAAATATAGTAATTAAGACGAGAGCATGCGATTTGGGAGTCACGATGCACATAAAGCAAGTGATTATCCAAGGGTTCAAAAGTTACAGGGAGCAGACCGTGGTGGAACCCTTTCATAAAGGACACAATGTTGTTGGTAAGTGTTTTTTGGAGCTTTGATTTGTGGGAATTTGTGTTTGTATTTTATTTTTAATTTCTTTCGCAGTGGGGAGAAATGGATCGGGAAAGAGCAATTTCTTTTATGGTAAGAAAGAGTGAAGAAGTTGTTGGTTTAAATAAATAATTAATTATTCCAAAACAGCCATCCAATTTGTGTTGTCCGACGAGTTCTCCCACCTCCGACCGGAACAACGCCAATCTCTTTTACACGAAGGAACCGGGCCCCGTGTGGTGAGTTTATTTAACTGTTTTATAATTAATTACCACAATTAACTAACCCTCCTCTTTGCACTCACAGCTAACGGGCTACGTCGAGATAATCTTTGACAACTGCGACGGCCGTTTCCCCATCGACAAGGAAGAAGTCTTCCTTCGACGCGTGATTGGCGCAAAGAAAGATCAATATTTCCTCAACAAAAAAATGGTTCCACGAAACGATGTGGTTAATTTACTCGAGTCGGCCGGGTTTTCAAGATCAAATCCTTATTACATTGTTAAACAAGGGAAAATTAACCAAATGGCAACCGCTCCGGATAGTCATCGGTTGAAATTGTTGAGAGAAGTGGCCGGGACGAGGGTGTACGATGAGAGGAAGGAGGAGTCCAAGAATATTTTGAAGGGTAATTTATTCTCTTTTTACACGTGGGTAATTGCAATTAAATTAATTAATTAATTGCAGAGACCGAGGGAAAAAAGGAAAAGATCGAAGAGTTTCTAAAAACCATAGAAGATCGTCTCAAAACCTTGGAAGAAGAAAAAGAAGAGTTAAAAGAGTACCAAAAATGGGATAAGAAGCGTCGAGCGTTGGAGTACACGATTTACGACCGCGAGTTGAATGATACGAGGAAGAAATTGGAAGATTTGGAGGCAAAAAGGAAGAAAAGTGGGGAAGGAAGTGAAGGTTTACGATCGAAATTGAGGGAGGCGGAGAAAAATGCGAAGAATGCGAGCAGGGAATTGAAGGAGATGAGGGCTTGTGTTAATCAGGCGAAGGAGGAGAAACAGGGGATCGGGGTGGAGTTGCAACAGTTGCAGATGGAGAAGGTTTGCTTTATAGAAATATTTAATTTAGTGCTTAATTTAATAAATAATTCTAAATCAGACAAAATTGGAGAACCGAGAGCGAGACCTTGACGAGGAAATGAGCGGGGATAAGAACTCCAAGAAAAGAGCAGAAGGCGAATTAGAAAAGTTAAATTCCACGATAAAGCAGAAAGAGGAGGAGTTGCGAAGGGTGAAACCAGAGTATGAAGAGTTGAAAAAGAGGGAAGAGACCATCACCAAAGAATTGGCACTCAAGGAGCAGAAAAGGAAAGAGTTGTATGCAAAACAGGGGAGAGGTTCGCAGTTTACCACGAAGGATGAGAGGGATAAGTGGATCACGTCGGAGTTGAAGTGAGGATTTTTTAATTTTTTTATTGGATTAATGACTAAAAAATTGATAATTTTCTAGAATGTTAAACAAGCGAATAAAGGACAAAGTTGATGACATTGACCGTTTATCGAAAGAGTTGGATTCCGATGCCAAGAAAAAGATTGAGCTGGAGGAAACCGTGGAGCGGATGTCGTCAGAGATTGAAAGTTATAAAACTAATATCGATGATTTCAACAAGAGATATTACGAATTGAAAAAGCAGAGGGATCAGTTTCACTCGGAGAGGAAGTGAGCATTTTGAATACGATTTTTTAAAGAATATAATTTTAAGATTAAGAATCTATTTAGCGAACTCTGGCGAAAGGAATCGAACCTCCAGCAACGTCTGTCTCTTAAAAATGAAGAGTTAACAAAATGCGAGGGTGAATTCCGATCCATGGCCGGGAGGGAAATATTCAATGGAAGAAACAGCATTTTACAAGTGTTGGAATCGTTAAAAACCAAAGGACAAGATCACATTGTTCAAGGTTATCATGGACTCGTGTTGGAGAATATCAGGGCGGATGAGGGGACGGAAACGGCCGTGGAGGTCACCGCGGGGAAGAGGTGTGGTGGGATTTTGAGTGGGTTTTTATTGGGGGTTTTAATTAATTAATTTTTCTGTAGGTTGTACTACCACATTGTGGAAACGGACGAGTTGGGATCGATGATTTTAAAAGAGTTTAATCGACAAAAACTCCCAGGGGAGGTCAATTTCATGCCTTTGAATAGGTTGATGGTGGGGAATGTGCAGTATCCCAAGGACCCGGTGGGTTTTTTGGACTCTCTATAAATTAAATAATGGGTTTTACAATTTTTAAAAAATCAATAGAACGTCATCGAAATGGTCCGCGTGATAAAGTACGACGAGAAATACGACAAAGCCGTCCGTCACATTTTTGGCAAAACTCTGATCTGTCGAGAACTGGAGGCGGCCGTGAAGACGGCGAGATCTCATCGTTTTGATTGTGTTACTTTGGACGGGGACAAGGTGGCCTCGCGGGGGGTTCTCACCGGAGGGTATTACAACACTTCGAGATCTAGTTTGGAGATTCAGAAAAGAAGGGGAGCGCTTCAACAGGATAAAAAAGATTTGGAGGTTGAAATGAGCGAGTTGAAGGGGGAGTTGTATGCGGTGGAGGAGAAAATCAAGGAAATTGGGGCGGAGCTGCAGAAGAATGAGACCAAGAATTCGAAGATTAAGTGGGTTTTGAATTGGGTTTTATGGTGGAGGTTTTGCTAATTGTTTTATTTCTCTAGGGACACCTTCGACAAAGTGAAGACGGACATTCGGTTGAGTAAAGAAAAGAGCAGCTCGATCGAAGTGCGTAACACTATTTATTTAGTTATGTCGATAATTAATTTAATTTAATCCACTCCAGCGCTCCCGCTCCTCAAAAGAACGCTCCCTGAACCAGTTAAAATCCAACTTAGAAGCTTTACAATCCACAAAAGAAGGCTTTGAAGCGGAACTCCACCAGGATTTGCTCTCTTCCCTCTCCGTCTCTGACCAGAAAGAGGTGGACATCCTCACGGACCAAATCCGTCAATTAACTAAAGAAAATAAAGAGACCTTCACCCGTCGGATGCAGAAAGAAGCAGAGAAAAACAAGTTGGAGAACACGCTGAATAATAATCTCATTCGGAGGAGGGATGAATTGACCCAAGCCTTGCAGGAAATCAGCGTTGAGGATCGGAAACGGGAGCTGGATAATTGTAAGAGTGAATTGAAAACGGTGGAGGGGAAGATTAAATCGCTGGATAAAAGTACGGGGGGAGCGGAGAAGAAGTTTTTAGACCTGCAGGGGAAGGTGGGGTTTAAAGAAATTGTGTTTCCAGTGGAATTATTTATAAACTGTGTAAAATTCCCTAGCTAAAAGGCCTCCAGGACCAACTCGAACGCTACAAAGGCGAGGAACGCGAGTGTCAAGAGCGGTTAAACGAGGACTCGAAAGATTTAGAAAAACTCGCCACGAAGCAAAACACCTTCCAACAAAAGGTTCAGGAGTGTGTTAAAAAGATCCGAGAATTGGGCTCCATCCCCTCCGAAGCCTTTGACAAGTATCACAATAAGAACTTGAAGCAGCTTTATTCTGAATTGGAGAAAGCTAATCATCAACTCAAACAATATGCGCATGTTAACAAGAAGGCGCTGGATCAGTTCATGTCCTTTTCGGAGCAGAAAGTGAGAATTTATTTAATAAAATTTTAGAGCAATTTTCCAATGATTAAAAATCCAATAGGAAAAACTCGTCCAACGAAAAGAAGAACTTGACGTCGGCTACCAGAAAATCTCCGAGTTGATGGACCACTTGGAACAGCGAAAAACCGAGGCGATTTTATTCACTTTCCGCCAAGTAACTAAATATTTCTCTGAAGTTTTCAAGAAACTCGTCCCGGGTGGACATGGTCAGTTGGTGATGCAGACTGGGAATCGTGGGAGTGAAGAACTCGTTGAGTTACTGCCGGAGGAGGGAAGTTCACAGATCCAGGGGTTTAATTCGGATTATTTTACTGGAGTGGGGATCAGAGTCAGTTTCAGTGGGAATGTTAGTGCAGAGATGAAGGAGATGAATCAGTTGAGCGGTGGGCAGAAGTCGTTGGTGGCGTTGGCCTTGATCTTTGCCATTCAGAAGTGCGATCCGGCTCCTTTTTATCTCTTTGATGAGATTGATCAGGTGGGTTCGTTACTTAAATTGGAAGGTGTGTTTTGTCTAATTTATTTATGGTGTAGGCCCTGGACGCCCAGCACAGGAAAGCCGTGGCGGATATGATCCATGAGTTAGCCGGTGATGCCCAGTTCATCACGACCACTTTTAGACCAGAGTTATTGGAGAAGGCTAATAAATTTTATGGGGTCGTGTTTCGGAATAAAGTTTCTCACGTGGAGTGCGTCACCAGGGAGAAGGCCTATGATTTCGTGGAGGATGATACTACGCATGGATAAATAGAGGTTTATTTTTAGGGACTTTTTCAATGGACTAATTTAATATTTTTTTGTAAAGTTATTTATCGTGGATGTGAAATTTGACGTAAAATACTTAAATACTTAAAGTAATTTTGAACGTTCGTTAATAAATCTGAGTTGAGAGATGTAATATGTGAGATGTGTTTCATCATTTTGCACATGAGAATCCACCCCGGGATTGCAAAGGTTTAAACCATTGTCACGTTTTTTTCGGTGTCGGATAAATTATCAAAATAACCGACACGAGGTGAGATTGAATTTAAATTAATAAATTTAATAAAAGGACCTCCCCTCCCCTCCTCACACACACACACACAAAATTACAGCTAAAATTCATCTCTGGTAGCTCAATGGAGACCTTCGCGGAGGAGAGTGAAAAGTTAATAAACCAGTTGAATTACCTCTTTGACTTCAGAATGGTGGATGTTTTGAAACAAAGTGGGTTGTTCATGGAGGAGGTGTTTACAAGAGAAGAGGCCATGGTGAGTGTTTAGTAAAAAAATAGTGAATTAATAACTAATTATTGCTAAATTGCAGCACCGCCTCTTGACCACCGCCAGCCACCTCACTCACCTGGGCACCTCCCTCCTGACCACCTTCACCCCTGTGACCCCCCTGTCCACGGAGAAACCCCCCAAAAAACGGACTCTAAAAAAACACGGTCAAATTTTGTATTTCCATCGTTTTATTAAAGAAATGATTCCAAAGGAGCACGCCATCGTGGACGTGGGGAGCGGGGTGGGCCATTTATCAAGAAGTTTGTCGAGGGATTTTGAAAGGGTGTATTCCGTTGAGCAGGAGTTGGCTTTTGTCAGGGGGTATCCTTCGTCAGTTGAGGTTTTGAATGTTAAATTGGGTGGGAATGCGGGGGAGGTGTTGGGAAATTACGTTACAGAAGAGAAAGCAGCCCTTATTGGACTCCATTCCTGTGGAGATTTGACGCCCAACGTTATCCGTGGGTTTGTGGAGGGTGGGAGATTCCAGAAATTGGCCATAGTTTCCTGTTGTTACCATAAAATGGTGGATCGTAAACCGATGAGTGAAATGTTTCAGAGGGTTGAGTTTAGGTTAGGGTTTCTCAGGTTGGCCAGTGAGAGGAGGGGGTTGGGGTGGGGGGATGAGGAGGTGGAGAGGGTTTGGAAGAGGGGGGTGGAGGAGGTGGTCAAGGGGAGGGATGGAGAGGATTTGATGGAGGTGGAGAGACAGGTGATTTTCTTAATAAATCACCGAAAAATCATCAAAAAATCTTAATTTTCTATTAAAAATTGCAGAACTCCCACTTGAAACCACTGATCCGCACGCTGCTCACGGCCCACTCGTCCCTCCAACGCCTCTGCGAACTAATCCTCCTCCTGGACCGTGCCCAATACCTACGAGAGCAAAACTACTCTCCCGAAATCTACTCTACAATCATCCCCCTCGAGTTATCCCCGCACGGGGAGGTCCTCTTCTGCTCTAAATAATTCTACAAATTTTAAAATAAACTCTATAAAAACAGATCGATGCGCCTCACCCACTCACTGCTCTACTCCAAAGCCAAACTCCGCTCCCTCCTGCTGACGATGCCCACGGAGAAACCGCACCTCCCCAAACTGAAAGCCATCCGCAAGCAAAAAACCACGGAGATGACGAAGTACGCCCCTGGCACGATAAACCTCCAAGTCCTTGGGAACAGCCTGTACCTCTTCACGGACCAGTCCCGGTACTTGTTCAACTGCTCCGAAGGAACTCAACGCCTCGCTCATGAACATAAACAGAAGTTGGCGAAGTTAAACCATGTGTTTTTGACGAGCGGGAGGTGGGAGAGGGTCGGAGGGTTGCCAGGGGTGGCCCTGACAGTGCAGGATATCGGGGTGGAGCGGGTGTGGGTTCATGGACCACCGGGGGTGGTAAGAATTACTATTATTTTATGGGTTTTTTTGGGGATTTTAATGAAAATACCGATTAAATTACAGTCCCGGCTGTTCACCACTGCCCGCCGCTTCATAATCCTGAAAGACCTCGAGGTCTCCACGGTGAACACGTGCCACTCTCCCCCCTACTCTGACCACATCCTGAAAATCAACTACATCAACATCGATGATGGAACTGACACGGAAATCACCGCAGAAAAAGAGGACGACACCACGGATTATTACTCTTCTTACAGAGCATCCCACGGCGAAAAGATGATCAGCGTCAAATCCGACGAGGCTGTTCTTCGTAAAAACGTGGCCGTTCAGTACGGGATCCATTTCGAGAAGAAGGAGGGGACTCTGCTCATTGATAAGTGTGTGGAGAAGGGGGTTCCTCCGGGGCCGTTGCTGGGGAGGTTGAAGGCGGGGGAGGATGTGACGTTAGGGGATGGGAGGGTTGTCAAGGCGGAGGAGGTCAGGGCGGGGGATTGCGTGGGGGCGGTGGTGTTGGGTGAGTTATTAAATTATTTGTGGTGATTATTGACTAAAAATTCTCTTATTATTATTAGTGCTTGACTGCCCCACCTCCACCCACCTGAAAAACTTCACGACCTCCCCCCAACTCTCCGAATACTACTCCTCCCCAGAAAAATACACCCACACCGTCGTCCACTTCACCCCTTTGGAGATCCTCCAATCCCCCGAGTACACAGAGTTCCTCACAAAATTCCACATTTCCACCCAGCATTTACTAATAAACGATGGATTATTGACCGACGCGAACGAGGCCGTCCATCGAATGCAGACTAAACTCAATTTAATCGATGAAGAGTTGTTCCCGTTGTTTGAAATTAAGGAGAAAATTAAGGTTAAACTTCCTGTGAATACTATTATTGGGGAGACCGGGATGAAGATTGGGCTGAGGGGGAAGTTGGGCGTGGAGGGGTGAGCTTTTTATTTATTTCTTTATTTTAAGCCTATTTTACATGGAAAACCCTAAATTGCAGCCCCACCTGGTCGATAAATCCAGAAAAATACCGCACGGAATTCACCTCAAAAGAAGACTTCACCCGAGAACTCGCCTTATTCAAATCCACCCAGCCGAAATTACCCACCTCCGAATCGAAACTAATCTTCCTCGGCACGGGCTCCTCAATCCCTAATAAAACCCGGAATGTTTCTTCATTTTATCTCGAAATTGATTCCTCAAACGGGATGCTGTTTGACTGCGGAGAAGGAACTTTTCAACAGTTAGAACGGTTTCCTGATTCACAAAATCTAGTTTCAAAACTCAAAATAATCTACATCTCCCACCTCCACGCGGATCACCACTTGGGACTTTTTTCTTTTTTGAGCAAAAAATTATCCCACAAAATCACTGTGATCGCACCGGTGCAGATTTCCTCTTGGTTGAGTTCTTACTCGGAGAACTTCCAAAATTTACACTACGATCTGTTACCTTGCGATTTATTTCTAGAGAATTCTCCTAATTTAACTAACTTCGGGTTGAAATCCCTCCGAACCTGTTTAGTGAAACATTGCCCGAACGCTTTTGGAGTGACGGTCGTGATGGAGAAAACATTGAAAAAAATCACCTACTCCGGGGACACGATGCCTTCGTCAGAGTTGATCCAATTGGGTCTAAACTCCGACATTCTTGTTCATGAAGCCACGATGGAGGACGGGCTGGAAAAGGAAGCCGTGATGAAGCAACACTCGACTTGCGGCCAGGCCGTGGAGGTTGGCAAGCAAATGGGTGCTAAATTCACTATTCTTACCCATTTTTCTCAGAGATACAGTAAAATTCCACTGATTGAAGGGGATGTTGGGGGGAATGTGGGTCTAGCCTTTGATGGGTTGGTCGTTGGGGTGGAGAGTGTCGGGATGTTGGGAGGGATGGGGAGGGTTTTGGGGGCGGGCTGGAGCGAGGATGTGGAGGAGATGGAGGTGAAGAGGTGTAAGAGAATGAGGGTTAAGGGACGAGAGGAAGATAAGCAAGGTGCTTTGGGTGGGGGTTAGGTTTTTTTTATATGTAAATTTTACATGTTCGGAAATAAACTAACAAAACAAAGAACAGAGTCTCACCTTTCCCAAAATTTTCCATATCTTTTTATCGATTTTGTTTACTTTCTCATCCTCACTCTCGCACATACACATCTCGCTATTTTTACGTTGACATGACAACAAGTTGGTGTTGAATTTATTTTCTGGACCGTCTCGGAAACTTTTGAAAATAATAAAAACATGAAGGAAACGATAAAATCCGGACTGATTGATTTCATTTGCAAACATTGCGGGGGCGATCGGGAGGCCGTTGTGGGGTGAGTTTTGCTAATCTTAAAATTATCTTAATTGTCTCGTAATAATTAATCTAAATAGAACGCTGGACGAGATAATCCTAAACTACGTCGTTGGGGTCCTCGAAGACGTTTTGGACCTCAAAAAGCGCAACAAAACCGAGGATTTCGACGTTCTGGAGTTTTCCGAAATGCTCTCTGGCTATTTTCCACTCTTTGGAAACATTCCCAATCACGTGGTCATCCAGTGGGTGGAGGAGTTGGTCAATGGGTTGATGGGGGGTGCGTCTGACCTTAATTTCTATTTCAGTCGTTTTTTTACTAAATTCCCTGGTGAATTTCCATAGCCCCCAAACAACCCCGCACCCTGGAAATGGACACCGCCTGGATTGCAGACGACCCTCTACCATCCACCACTACACTCTCAAAATCCCTCTCCGAATCTGAAGAAATCTCCTCAAAGTTATCCTCCATTTTGAACCTAAATCAGGAAGAAGAATCAGAATCTCATCGACCACGAACCACGAGTCAATCCGACGATTCCTCATCTCAAATGGAAACCTTGGGCGAAATGTTCCCAAACTATTCTCAATCTGATCTCGGAATGGTGTTGAATCTCGTCAATCATGATCTCCAGAGGGCTGTGCAAATCCTGCTTCTTGACAATGGGGAGCAGGAGATCGTCAAGGGGTTGGTCAAACCGGGGGGTCAAGCGAAGAAATCCAGTCCCGGTGGTGAGGATAAAATTGACGACAAGAAAGGACTCAAGGAGAGGTTGATGGCGAGGTGCGGTTATTTATTTATTTTTTTGGGTGGAAATACTAAAACAGTAAATTTTCAGATACGGCTTCATCGACAAATCCGAGGACGGTCGAGAGTTCCGGCCAATTTTACCAAAAGCGGAGCCTAAAAAACTCGTTCGATATCGTGGCGGTCAGATCGTGTCGACGAAAGGGGAGAGATTCACGGAGGTGGCGGTGACTCACACGGGGGAAGAGGTTAAATTAAGGAGCTATCCTACAAGGGCGCAGAGACAGGCAATCGCGGAAGGACATGGGAGGTTTTTCAGTAATTGACGAATGGGGTGCGAGTTGAAGAGGAGTTGTTGTTTGTTAAATTGTATAAATTATCGGATAATAAAATTAGTCGGTTGTTTAGTAAAAGGAATTCATTCCATTCATGGCATTTTCACGACGATTTTCTTAAAAATACAAAGGAAAATCTCACCTAGCCTCTTGACGAAACCCCGCTTGGAACAAACACCCAGAGTAGTGGTTTCTCTCTCTCTCAACACTCGTCGTGGTTCCAACAGATTTTTAAAATTTCTCTACAAATTTCACTAATTTATCCATCCACTACTTGTGATCAGCAGCAAAATGCCGCGAGGTGAGGAGTTTATTGAATTTCTTTGTAAATCCCCATAAAATACTTAACCTAAATCAATCGACAGGAAAGTACGTGAACCACAAGGGTCGCGGGAGGAGTTTCACCTCCGCCGAGGAACTCGCCAGGGAACAGAAAGACATGCAGAACAAGAAGAATGCCAAGGCCAGGGTGAGTCCACCGGTTTCTATGGTGATTTCCAATTACTAAAATAAATCTCTCCGCAGCGCCCCAAGAAAGCCGAGGGCGAGGAGTCGGACTCTGAAGAAGAGAGCGACTCCTCGGACGTGGATACTACTACCACAACACAGCCAAAGGTCATCCCTGAAGGTGGTGGAGAAGGTGGCGGAGGGAGTGAGAGTGAGGAGTCCTCGGAAGATGAGAATGTAGGTAGTCACACTTTAAATTAATTAATTAACTAATGAAAACACGATCCTTAGAGAAAAAGCAAAGGCGTTGAGGGCCTGATAGAAATAGAAAACCCGAACCGTCGCGTCGTTAAGCAGAAGAAATTGAGCCAGTTGGAAGACACGAGTGGGGGTCCATCCTCTTCTACACCTTCCGCGGCGGGAGGAGCTACGTCATCCGCCCCAGAACTGAGTCGAAGGGAAAGGGAAGCGATCGAGAAGCAGAAGGCGAAGGAAAGATATCAGAAATTACATGCGGAGGGGAAGACGGAAGAGGCCAGGAAGGATTTGGCCAGGTTGGCGATCATTAGGGTGAGCTTATTTTTAGTTTATTTTTAAGTGGCCAACTAATAAACTAACAAATTACTACTTCCAAATCCACAGAAACAACGCGAGGAAGCCGCTGCAAAACGCGCGGAGGAAGCCACCCAAAAAGAAGCCTTGAAACAAACTAAACAAACCGAAACGGCCAAGGCGCTCGGGAAAAAGTAATCTTTTTCTATGTGTAAAATTTCAATTTTTTTATATTATTCTCCATCGTCTACGAAGTGTGTGTGTAAAAAAATATAAAATTTATAAGCTATAAACTATCCTAAGAGACAAATCAAAGACTAAAGTACAACTTCATTTTCTTGGCCTGGGCGACCATCCCTTCTTTCACCAGCGCGGAATACAGCGTTCCACACGTGCACTGTTTCGGGTAACTCTCTCTCCACTGGAGAAGGACTTGGTAGAAACATTCACGATTCCCTGCGTGGCGGTGGGTTTGTTCGATGTTGACTAAGGTGGATTCTTCGAGTTGGAGGGATCGGCCGAGGGCTTTCCAGGAGGAGGAATTGAGGTGGAGAGAGAAGTCCCAGAGCGAGGTGGTTGAGTCCAAGAGGGTGGTGGAGGTTCTATGGATTTAAGAGGAATTATTAATAATTAGAGAGATGGAGAGTTAGGTTACTCACCGCAAATTCTGCGAGCTCTTGCTCGAGTTGTGCTCATCACTGGACTCTTCTTCATCCTCTTCATCCTCCTCCGATTTCTTCTTACTCTTTTTCCTCTTCTTCTTCGCCGGTGGCTTTTCACTTTTCTTCACTTTTATCGAACTCTTCGTTTTCTTCGACCCTGCAGCCACTGGCGACGACTTGGTGACGTCATTTCTCTCCGGTCTTTCCCCATCATCACTACTACTACTACTACTCCCCTCCTCGGTGTCCAACTCCTTCCTGGGTCCAGCTACAATTCCCACCACCTCCATCGACCCAAACCCACTGGATTTATTCGACTTCCTGCTAGAAAGGGACCCCGCCGGACTCTTCGTCTCACCACCACTCGCTCCACCAGAAAACTTGATACTCCGATGGACCTCGTATAGCGATTTGATAAACTCCTCCGGCGTCCCTCCCCGAGCTCTGTAACAATCTAAAATGGCTCGAAAAGGGTCCGCCTGCGTTTTGAACTTGGTTTTTATCTCGTGTTTCGTGAATTTGAGGTATTTTGCAAAGGTTTTCCAGTTGTCAGAGTCCGTGATGAAGAGATTTGTTCCCAGTTCTTGGAGGGCCATGGTGGACCAGCGACTATTAGTTATTAGTGAGATTAGTTAGATTATTAGTGGTTACGATAAATAATAATAGATTAATAATTACCTGTTGGGATTCCCATCATCTGACAGAAACTCGTTGGACTTGTCCTGCTGCTCCCCCTCGTTCCCTTGTTTCTGGATGTTAAACTCGAATATTGTGCTGTTTTTGTGCTTCACCAGGACTTTTCCGATGGGGCCGCGGTCGATGGATTTCGCTTGTTTGAACCTGCAGAATTACCAATTTAGTCCATATATCCATAGAAAAAACCCATAAATTTACTCACCTTAGGGAAAACTGAAAGTTCATCTCCTGCCCCCAAAACTCCTCTTCCTTAACCAAGCCCGCCTCCTCCCCGGCCTCCAAATTCGCCTCAAACAACTCGCTCTTCACGTTTACCAGGAATTTCCCGAATTTCACTAATTTACTCGTGGAGACGCCAACGATATGCGAGTAGGCTCTCACCTCCGGATAGTCTGATTTATAAATAGATATTTCTAGACCAAACTGATTGTTGTTGAACTGATCCATCGTCGCCTGGCACTTCATCCACGTCCCCGGGTTTTGCGTGAATAACGAGGAGAGGCCGAGTTTTGCGGTGATCAAAGTCGAGGTGAGGCAGGTCCACAAGAGGCGGAAGTAGGAGAAGCCCAGGACGGTGAAATGGATCAGGGTTTTTTCTTGGGTTTCTATTATTTTGAAGGGAATTTCTAGGACAGAGGACTCACTGCACTGGAAAACTTTCAACTCTGCTCCCAAGGAGACAATTTCCCTGTAGTTCAAAATCTCCACGGTGATTTCCACTGGTTTGAGGAAGGAGACAGAGTGAGGACGGAGGTAGATCACGGGGGCGGCGGGGGTGGAATCGGGGAGTGGAGTGTTCTCTTGGTAGTTGTCCTGGTAAATTTTTAGTTCAGTCGTGAGTTCGTAGGTCGTTGAGTTAGGAGGGAATTTCACCGAGATAAAAATCGGATTCGTGATTTTTAACTCTAATTCCTCCCCTGGCTTGAGTGTTTTTCGGAGTTTTATCGGGGGTGGTTTGGGGATGAGGAGGTAAGATCCGGGAGAAGTGATGAAAAATGTGGTGTAGGAGTTGCGGGGGGTGAGGGTGTCCAGGTGGGTTAGGGCTGGGTAGGTGTAGAGGTGGGTTTTTTCAGTGGCGAGGAGGTCTTCTGGTGTTGGCATGGAAATTAGTGGGGTGAGTTTAAAATCGTAAGTTGGATGATTTATTTCCAATAGTTGGATGAGTGGTGAGTGGATCTGGAGGGTGTCCTGGACTCGGGTTAGTTCCGGAGGTGGGAGCGGGGTCAGAGTGATGGTGAGGAGGTTCTGGGAGGAGCGGAGGTTGTAGGTTTTCTGGGGGATGAGGAGGTAGATGGAGGAGTGCTGGTGGAGGGAGATGGTGGTGTATGGAGGAGGGTGAGTGGATGAGGAGGAGGGTTGGGAAGAGTCTGTCGTGGTGAGGATATCGTCGATGGAGAGGATCGAGAGCTCGTCGGAGAGGATCGAGGAGGAGGTGAGGTTCTGGGTTGTTGTTGTGGTCGTGGTGGCCAAGGAGGTGGTGACCTGGAAATGGGTGAAAGTTAATTAGTTAATCGGGTGAAATAAAATAATTGAATAAAACCCCACCGACAACGACCCATAATCCGACGTCGTCACCTCCGCCTCCGCCGTCGCCTCTGCTTGAAAATCCATCACCTTTGCCAACAACCTCGAGGACCTCCTCGGACTCAGGATGGACGTTCTTTGCTGGACACTGCAGTGGTGAGAATAAGTAGCGAAATTGAGCACCGGCAACACTCGCGACGATGGCGGCGACAAATCCTCCTCTTCACTACTATCACTCTCACTACTGCTCGAATGTCTTCTCTGCCTCCGCCTCAAGTTCTTCGAGGATCTATGACGACCACGGCGGCGCCGGCGACTACCACGACTTGGAAGTGGCTCTTTAGGAGGGGTCGTCTCCCTCGGGGCATCCGTCGCAAAAGGGGTCGTCATTTTTTTCTCTATTCAATTTTTAGTGAATTGTGAATTGTCACATTTTTCTAATGTTTATGTCTCCTACGTTGGAATCCCTTCCCGCGGAGGGGTTTGGGGTGGGGTGAGATTTTTGGGAGGGTGGGAGGTTTGAATTCTTTACGAGTTTTCGTTTTGAAGGAGAAGAAAAAGTCGTGCGGTTTGGATAGATTTTTTAAATTGAAATATTAGTGAATTGAAAATTAAATAGATAAATCCTCAATAAAAACCATGCCAAAGGTGAAGAGGAGCAGGAAGCCGCCGCCGGATGGGTGAGTATTTTATTTTAATACAAAAATTCAGTGTTTAAACCAAGGGTGGTACGCTGGTATGTCTCTCATATTTTTAAAACATATTTTTAAACACTAACTGCTATTTAAAAAAAAATATTTTTTTCGAATTAAAAAAATTGTTCTTAAATTCGAAGTTTATACTTTTTAAACACTACAAAATTGTATTATTTTATTAAGAATTGTCAATTAAGCCAGAGACAGGTGCCTACAGCCAAAATTATGAATTTTGGCCCGGCAAGGGTCCAAGTTCATAGTTCCGGTACGGCAACCTGGCTGCGTTTCGCAGCGGAGAGACATAGCAGCGAACACCCTTGGTTTAAACAGTAAATTCCAATAAAGTTCATTAAAAATAAACTAAATTTGCAGGTACGAACTCCTGGAGCCCACCCTTGACGAATTGGAAGGCAAAATGCGTGAAGCCGAAGCGGAGCCGCACGAGGGGAAGCGAAAGGTCGAGGCGCTCTGGCCAATTTTCAAAATTCATCACCAGAGATCCAGATACGTCTTTGATTTGTATTACAGGAGGAAGGCTATATCCAGGGGTGAGTAATTACTTCGCTTTGCCCGAGTTAAGATGGGGTGTGGGTGGGTTGATTTGTTTATTAATTTGTCGTTACCTGTGGGGGGGGGGGATTTTTAAGAGTTATGCAGGAGTGAGGGAAAAGCGGTCCCGTATATTAAAAATTTATTTCCTAACGATTAAAAAAATAAATTAACAATATTCAGACACACCGACACTCCGGTTACATAATCCCACTCATTCATAACTCTATTCTAATCCACAGAGCTGTACGAGTACTGCTGCAAGGAAGGCATCGCTGACCCGAACCTGATCGCCAAGTGGAAAAAGCAAGGCTATGAAAATTTATGCTGTCTCCGATGCATCCAGACCAGGGACACGAACTTTGGGACGAACTGTATCTGCAGGGTGCCCAAGTCCAAGTTGGAGGAGGTATGGATTTTATGGCTTATTGCATAAATTAATTCGCAATTAGATGAATTACTAATGGACAATTTGATAAATTGCAGGGCCGGGTGGTGGAGTGCATCCACTGCGGGTGCAGGGGGTGCTCCGGATAGTTTTAATTTTTATTATTAAATTATGTCGCGAGGGTTAATGTTTTCTATTGTAAATTTTATATATCGCTATAATAACCTACTAATTTTTAATAAAAAAGTGTATCACTGGGTTGAATAAAAACTGGTTTTTCATATGAGTGAGAGAAATACACGAGGAGTGTTTGTTGTGTGTGCGTGTGTGTGTTGTGGGCCGGGGGCGAGGGCTCCTCGAAGTGGAGAGAAGAAAAACTTGAGCATCACTGCATCTACCCCTTTAGAAGAGCGATATTTTTTATTAGTAGAGTAGAGTCTCCCCTACACACTTACTATATTTTTCAAATCCATCTTTCAAAAGTATGCCACCACCAGCACCACTAACACACTACTGCACATTCACATTTACTCTACTTTTTTCCTTGGATTTTCTTCGAATTTTCCACACTGAAAACGTCGTCTCTCCTCACGATGAAGAAACCAAATAAATGGACGAGATAAGCCCCGTTCTGGAAGAGCCCCCTCCTCCTCCCGCACCACCACCACCCTTATCAACCAACCGTCGAAAACGGCACCATCGTCACCGTCCTAATCGAAGGATGACCCCACCGCCTTATAACAATTCCCCACAAATAGAGACCCACTCTCGAGAAAGGGTCTTCCTAAAAACCTGTTGCGATGGTTCCTCCGGTGGGATTAGGTGGTTCATTGTGGTTATTTTTTTAATCGGTGTAGGGTGCAGTGTGAGCGGGGGGTGGTGGGGGCGGGGTCAAGTAGTGGTGGTGGGAATGGTGGGACAGGGTCCAGGGAGGGATTCACACTCAGTTTGTTGATGATTGGTGAGTTGGATTTATAACTGTTTCCTTGGGAATACAATTTAAAAACCCATTAAAAATCTCTACAGGCGTCGGCATCGTCCTCCTCACGGTCTCCGCCATCGCTTGGAAGATGACCTCCCCAGCACCCACTCCCACGACGTCCGACCGCTGTTGTGCCATTTTCACCCGTTTCCTCACCAACCCCAGTGACCATCATCGTCACCAACAAGCTCAAGAGAACTATGCGGGTTGGTTTCACTTTATTCATTTCCATGGCAAACAACTAATTAAATTGTCCACGCAGCCTTCTCCACCTCAACTTTTCCCCCACCCCCACCACCCTCCCTCCTCCCAAACAGAGAACCCCCACCCTCCTACGCGGCCTCCATGCAGGAGTACAGACTGAGACTGCTCCTCTACGAGAGGTCAAATCCCACGGGGTTCCTGCCCTATTTTAACAATCCTCCGCCGCCTTACTATCTCATGCACCAAGCGCAGCAAGTGGCGCAGCAGCAGAATAGGAGGTTAGGTCACTTTTTGACTTGTTTCCATGGTGATTATATATTTATTTATTCCACAGAATAATCCACCACATCCCGCACCACCACCACCCCATCCCCCACCACTTCATCCCCCCTACCCCCTGTATCAGTACCCACCCCCACCCCTACTACACCATCCTTTACCACCACCCCTCCCCCCAGCAACCTCCCGACCCCCGAGTTACCGGTCGAGGTCGTCTAATTTAGAGGAGGACCCGCCACCTCCTCTCACTCCTCCGCTGACTCAACAGCCAGCGGGAAACAGCACCATGGCGACGACGCACCATGCCAGGTCCTCCTCTTTGCTCTCCACCGAGCCAGGAGGGAGCACGACAACGACGGTGGTCACCGTTTTGCACACCCACTCCGACCCCACCACGGAAAAAAAGGACAACAATTTAATTACTATAGTCCAGACGAGCGACTCGAGCCAGGTCAACTGTCAACAGGGGAGCTCTGTTATCGTCACGGTGAATAATGGTGGTGGGACGAGTGTGGGATCGGTGGGTGGGGGTTCCTGGGCCTGTGGGAACTGTGAGGGAGGGGGAGACTTGTGTTATTGCCAGCAGCAGCAGGCGCAGCAACAGCAAGTTGTCCTGGCGCATTTGTAACTTTTTTACTGAATGGAGAGAAAAATATATTTTTTATGAGGAGTAATTTTGCGTTTCCATGGGGATTTATTTCGGAGGTGGGTTGTTTATGTGAAAGAGCATTTTTCGAGGTTCATCGGGAAACGTAAGTCATTTCGTTCCCATGGCAACATTTTCGATTGAAGAGGAAATTTATGTTTCCATCGCAACGTAGAGGAAATAGGATATGCGAAGAAATATGTGAATTATAGCGACCGCATAATGAGAATGTCAGTGGTAGTCACGTGATTCAAATTTTATTGATTCCATGACAACTCTGTAATTTTCCATGGTTTCTCCAAAATTCACACCTTCATGATTTCCATGGCAACTTTCAGAGAGCGTACAAAAAAATATAGATTTATTATCCCCATGCAAACCCATTTTCCATGGTCACACAGCTAATTTTTCCATGGAAACGTCTCTTTTTTTAAAAAATATATTTCCATGGCAACTTTATTAGTACAAAAAATATCCCCAAATATTTAAATTATTTCCCGTTCCCATGACAACTACTCCCCCTCATCGATGACCCACTTTTTCTTCCTCGAGTACATCAAAAACACGCATCCGTTCCACAAATACGTCGCAAAAACGAACCACCCGAGATAAAAGCTGTAGGCGTAGCGGGAAGAGTCCCCAGGGGGTGTGCCTACGGTGGGCGTGTCCTCCGTGGGGGTGTCCCTCATGGTGACCGCGGGAAAATTCTCCAACTCATACCTCAAACACGTGATCACCGCTTCCATGGTCACCAGCGTCGTGGCGGCTGCGCGGAATTATTTTAATTATTCCATAAGTTTCCATGGAAATTTAGAAAAAAAATCACCCGTGATGAAAAACAACCCGGAGGCGAGGCGCTTGTAGACGTAGCGACCGTTTTTAAAAGTGTAGAATGCGGCTGCGCAGTAATAATAATATTTTTTTTACATTTCCATGGAAACAATTATTTTAAAATCACCCAAAATCGCCAAGAGCATGAGAAAGAGCGACAACAAGGCGAAGGTCAACTGGGTGCGGCGGTAGTCTAAAATTTTAATTTAAAAAAAGAGGGTGTAACCATGGCAATTAATTTAAAATCCCTAAATAGTTACCAAGGACATGCTGATCCAGCTCCGCACTCCTTTTCAACTCCTCCCGACTCGGGAATAATTTGTGGTATTTGCAAATCTCTATATGGAAATTTTATTTCAGTTTCCATGGAAAAATAAAAAATAAAAACCTACCCTCCCCCCCACCCCCACTGTTCTGAACAAAACAACTCCTCCACAACCCACTATGCCCCACCCCCTCCGTAAAATACCACCAATCCGTCGCTATGGCAACGATCCAGATGAAAATCGCGCCCCCCGCGACCACCGCGCTGAGCAACATGAAGCGCTTTTCTTTCCGCATTTGGCGCAAAACGTGGTCGCGACGGGATTTCGCGCGCGCTATTTGCGCGGCGGTGGGCGCTTTTTTTGTTATCACCACTTTTTTATTATTCTCAACCGTTTCCATGATGAGATGATAAAAAGGAATAACAGATTTCTTAACTCCGGAACCACTGCTCGAGTCTCTCGCTAAAAATAGCTCGGAAGCCAAAAGACAATAAAAAACGCACACGAGAAAAACAGACACTTTTTTTATTATCCCAAAAATAAACAAACATCACCATGGTTTTACAATCTATTCATCCCCTCGGAATTATTACCCCCTCTAAAATTCCCCCCTCTCCCCATGGTAGCAAAAGACTCTAAACTATTTAATTTATTCCCCCCCTTCCCCCTCCCCCCCGTGGTTCCATAAAAATCCCTCTGTTCCTGCCGCACTATGACAACCTCCGGATTTATGAAATAACTCTCATTTTGTGGAATTATATAATCTCCATGGAAATTCTCGCAAATGTCCGGGTTTTTTGTATAAACTTCGCATTGCCCGAGCCGGTCCATCCCGTAGTTTTCGTCATGAGTCACGTGGGTTAGCGGGGGCGCGGCAGAAGCGCGCTGTTTCCGGAAATACGCGGCCATGTCGAACAGCGCGGCGAGCTCGGATAAGGAGAAAGAGAGTAAAAATAGGTAAAATGAGTAACCATACTTGTAGCGGTAGTGGGAGGAGAGTTTGGGGGGGAGGATTTGAGGGGGGGTGTGCAAAGGGGAGGAGTCCGAGTGGGTGTGGTAAAAATTATTGGATTCAAATTCTGAGCCGATCTGGGAGACGAACGTCAAGAGGGCCGTCGCTTGGCAGAGTCCTGTAGGAATTTTTTTATATTTTTAAAAGTTGCCATGGAAATTAATTTTAAAAAATTTTAAAATTTAAAATTACCCGCCAAAATCAGCAGCGACGCCTCGATGATTTTCCTATTTTTCGTACAAAACGTTCCAAAAATCAACGTGAAAAACGCCAAAGTCGTGAAAAACACGGAGCTCAGGATGAACGGGAGCGTTAATCTGTTGGATACAAAAAATATTTTCAGTTTCCATGGAAATAAAAAAAAAAGTTTCCATAGAAACGACCTCACGCGGTTGACGCAGCCTAAAACGAGTTCCGAGTCCCCGTAATTCTTGCCCCCGAAATTTTCGAACAGTTCCCACGTGTCCAGAATTTTTTTGAAATCCAGACCCACGCAGGAGGTTTCCTGCTTGAAACTCGTACACGTTCGGAACAGGCCCAGCTTGGATTTTAGGAGGTGCGGCTGTGGGTTTAGGAAAATTAAATTATTGGGTGTCATGGAAACAATTATAGGGTAACCATGGAAATAATTATAGGGTAACCATGGAAATAATTATAGGGTAACCATGGAAATAATAATTATGTTGCCATGGAAATGAAAATTCAGTAACCATGGAAACAAAATCCCCATGGCAACCCCACTACTAACCTTAGGGTCATCATCATATGGCCCCAGCTTCTCGACCTCCGTGGGGTCCAGGATCGGCTCTTGCAAAGTCAGCCAATCCGGCGTGAGTAACGATGAGTACAGCGTTACCAAGGAAAATAGCGTTGTTAGGGTGCCCAGGTGGGAGAGGGGGGAGGAGCGGGAGGGGGAGGGGGTGGAGGGTTTTGTGGGGGGTGGGTGTGAGTGGTGGGTGTGGTTTTCAGGGGGGTGCGGTTTCATGGCTTTGCTGTGGAGTGAGTGGAAAATAGTGAGTGATGAGGAAAAAGACGTAGAAAGTTCGGTGATGGTAAGAGCCGGGTTTAGTTGTTGATGTGGAAAAAGGGAAAGTGAAAGTGGGTAGTTTAGGGGGAGGGGGCGTGCAGGTGGGACGTCGGTGGGTGTGGGGGGTTATTGTGATATGAAATGAATCGTGGTATCGTGGTTGTGGGGGGTGCAATTAAAATATGGGATGTGTAAAAACCCTCAAAATTCCATTGACACAACATATGAACGCCCCCCTGCTTTCGAGGGTGGTGAAAAGAGGGGAATGAACCGGTTGCCATGGTTTTCTTTCTTTCTTTCCGGGCATGCGGGTAGTGGGATGACTCATATGCAGTTTAATAAAATAAATAAATTTAAAAAAAACAAACTTAGGTGAAGGACGCGCTTAAAATATTAAAACAAGAAGCATTACAAAATGTCATAAATCGTTTAATATTTACTAACTTTTACTTCACCGGGAGCCCCCGGTGATTTATTTAATTATTTTTAGTGATTTGTGAACTTATATGCATAAAATCATATGCAATTATAAAATCTTAAACGTTGTTAATTCTCCTGTTTGTGGACGCTTGGCATACCAATTTAATTCTGCAGTGGGTGTGGATGCGTGGCATGCCAATTTAATCCCCCAGTTTCAAAATTTTAAGGATTGTTCTGTTCTGTCAAGGATGCCTTGACACTTAGCGATCTAATAATAACGTAATTCGATTGTCTAGCAACATTGGATATGTTGAGTATTGAATAGCGATGCTGAATAAACTATCACCGCACGTTAGCAACCAGTAACTTAACACGTAAATAGGTTGCCTAATGCAAATACAGGCGACCTTTTCAAAGTTGCAGCTGATTGCATACCTAGGCTTCGCCGTAACCATGGTGATCTTTTAACATGATCACCTTATGGTTACTTTTCCTTCACCTAAGAAAAAATGCAGAGTTTCCATGGAAAAAATTTTATTTAATAACAAAAAAAATAAATCATCTCGCTTTGCTCTTAACACTCCTCCCACCTCCGCTGAAAAAATAATCCTCGTCCCCCCACAAGTCGTCCCTATGGAAACGGTGGATTTTAATAAATTGTTCACATGGAAACGGTGGATTTAAAAAAAATCCCAATTTCCTACTCACCACTTGGCCCTCCTCCTCCCGCTGATGTTTTCCCCCCCAAACGTCCTCGCTCCTCCCCCTAAATTCCTGCCGTTCAAACTCTTAAACCTAAACTCCCCCTCCCCCTCCTGTTCCCATGGCAACTGTCGATTCCCCTCCAAACACCCCGCATCGCTCTTCCCCACCGTCGTGTTTCCCATGGAAATATAAGAAAATGTTCTTTTAATCATCTGGAACAATTTTGGTCTCGGTTTGGTTTCCATGGTTACCGACGAGGTCATCGTCGAGGCAAAACTTGCCGAGCGGGATAATCGCGTGTTTATTTCCGGGGCGTTGCTATGGGGATTTTAAAAATTAATTCCCCGGTTTCCATGGTGATTAACTAAACTCACCAAATGTCGCCATAGCTCCCGAATTTTTCGAAAAACATTTCATCCTCGTCGTCATCCTCAATTTCGTAGTCAATTTCAGGGAGGGGAATATTTTCCAGGGTGGAATAGTGGTTGCCAGGCAACGACGAACTCTGAATAAAACTGATTGGAAACCACCCAGACCTTTTCGTCCGTAAATTTTCTCCAAATTGCCAGCCGAACGGGGAGGGCGTGCCTAAGGTGGATTTTTTTTAGTTGTTTTTATGTAAATAATTTAAATTTTTTAATAAATTACCCGTCATGGCAACCAAATCGCCCTGCTCGAAATTTAATAATTGGTGAAATCCATCGTCTTCCTCATCGTTTTTGTAGGTGTGGAGGGCGGGGAGGATTTTGGGAGGGGGTGTGGTCGTGGGTGGGGTCAGAGGAGCTAGAGGGGGTGGTGGTGGGGGTGCCACTAGAGGGGGCGTGGTCACCGGTGGTGGGAGTGGTGGTGGAGCCGGGGGTGGTTGCTATGGAAACGGAATTTTAAAAAAATTAAAAAAAGACATACAGACAAATGACACGATGGTTACATAAGCCCAAAAAACTCACCCCCATGGCCCGACCCAGATCCTCCACCTCCTCTTCAAGGGTGGCTTCACTTGACGACCTACTACTCTCCAATTTATTCCCCAATTTCGTTTCCATGGTTTCCATCCCCCCTCCAAACAACTCGACCTGTTTGCCCCAGACCCACCCGAACCTTTTCAACTCCTCCCCGAGGACTTCCCTCAAGCTCTGTTCGAAAAACTCTTCCACCCTCACGCACTCTTCTTGATAAGCCTGCAGCCCTCTAATTTCTTTATCCAGGTTTCCATGGTTTTTCATCCTTTTCTTTTTTATCTTCTTCACCGTGGACAACGCTTTTTTAAAGGATTCCAAAGTCAGGTTCCGCTTCGAGGTGTAGGAGCGGTAGTGTTGCTATGGGGATTTTTAATTTAACAAAGAAATTGGCATAAATTTTAGCACAACTTTTAGCATGCTATACAATTGGCAGAGAAATTGGCACAAAATTGGCACAAAAATAATTATTTGTTGCCATGGAAACATTTTTTTTTACATAATTTACCTGCATGACTTTGAGGTCCCGTTCGAGATTGTTGTTTTCCAGGGGGAGGATAAAGTCAATGTAGAATTGTTTTAGCTATGGGAACGGTTTTTTAATTAAAATAAATTTTAGTTGTCATGGAAATTGTTTTTAAAAGTTAAGTTAAGAGTTGTCATGGAAATCTAAAAAAACTCACGAAAGCCAACTGCTGCGTGTGCAAATTATTCAAACGCGTTGCTATGGTTTCAAACTCTTTCCCATGTTCCTGATTCGATTTAGAAATGGATTTTGAAAACGTTGCCATGGTTTCGGCGTAGATTGAAAATGCGGCCGTGGAGCCGTGCAGTGATTTTAAATAGGCTTTTGCAGATTGGAGGATCGCCGTGGTTTGGGGGTGGTAGTTTTGGAACAGGTTCTGAAATTAGCGTTTCCATGGGAATTTAAATTATTTACATAAAAAATTACCATGGAAATAAAAAAACCCACCTTATAAACCCCATCGATGTTCTTGGAAATTTCGTTCATGGTTTCCATGGTTACTAAAAAATAAATCAGAAAGGACCTGCGTGATTGATTGCCATGCACCTACTGCGCCATTCACACAACGACGAGGAGATTCACAATTTAGAAACTTTTTCTTTTCGTCGTCTGGGAGATTATTTAGTGACGATGGTGATCATCGACTCTAATGAATGAATGCGAAAAGAGATGCAGGTGCGCGTGGAGTGAGAGAGTGAGAGTTTCCTTGGTGATTAGGATTTGGATAGAGAAAAAGTGGACCGGCTGGTTTTTTAAATCGTTTATGTTGTTGCCATGGGGATCAGGTTTCTCTGGGGGTGGGGATTTTTTTTTGGGGGGGGGGATTTTTATGTTTCCATGGAAATTTTTTCTGGGGAAGTTGAGATTTTTTTTTTAATGTGAGAAATTCTTAATTAAATTTTTAATTATTAAAAAAAATCGTTTCTTAGGTGAGGAAAAATTATTTAAAAAATAAAAAAATCCTTAGGTGAGTTCCCATGGAAATAAAAAAATCTTGGCATGAAAAAAACCCAAACCACTGCAGTCTCTCTTAGACACAACTGCAGCTGCACAAACACAACCCAGGGCTGGGCACAAAAAACCACACACAGTAATCACACACGATGTAAAACCAAATGGAGGTAATATCACCATAGAAACTCTAAAAAAAATAAATTACTAACTTTAAATCTCCATAGAAACACCCCCTGGAACTCTCATCATCACCATCGGACCCCACCCACACCCACCACTCCCCTCCTCCCCCCATAACCCCCATCTCCTCCTGACCACAGCCCTCCCCCCTCCCACCAGCTTTATTCCTACTCCAATTTCCCCATAAATCTCCCAAAATCGCACTTTTCCCAATTATCCAACGTTCAAAATTTATTCCAAGTCGATTCCGAGGAGGATGAAGAATTTCCACAAAAAAACCAAGTCAAACATCTGAATCACAATCAGCTGGAGAGCGTTAAGAGGAGGGGGTCAGTTCTGTTGCCATGGCAACCGCTTGTTAAATTTACTATTTCTGTTTCCATGACAACCGATAATTAAAAAAAATAATTTCCAGCACCTTCACCCTCCAATCCACGACATCCAAACCCACAACCTACAAGCTCTCCCCACTGCTCCAAAAAGGCTCGGAAATCGCCTACGAAGAGTTCCTCGACTCGATCGCCTTTCTCGGTCGGATTTTGTTCATCTACGTCCCTCGAATTTTAACGTTTCTATGGAAATCTCTAAAAGAATTGGGCTTAGCTGGATTCCACTTTATAAACATTTTGATCGGGTTAAAAACCACGAAGGTGACGGATCTGGAGAAGAAAATCCACTTTGAAAGATGCAAATTTTTAGTGGCAGAGTTGCGGGTGGGGGGTGGGAAGGTTAGGATTTTTAAGGTGGTTGCCATGGCGACGAATAATAAAAAAATAAATACTTGCAGACGACGCTGCACCCCCTGGCGCGCTACATCCAGCACCAGATCGCCAAGAGCAAAAAGGAGCGGATTTTACTGCTGAATAATCAGAAGCCGCCGCCGATTCCGTACAAGTTTTTTACGCCAAAGGGCTTGGAGGTGGATTTGTCCTTGTTTGACAGGTTGGATTAAAGAATATTTGTTGCCATGGGAACCAGGTGATTATTGGTTTTTTTTTGGTAGGTCGCTGTTCACGAGGATCACGCCGATTTTGGGGAAAATATTGGAAAAGACTAATAAGACGGACTCTTGGTTTTTGCAGGTGGGTGGGATTTTGTGATGAATTTTGGCGTGCTAAATTTTGTGCTAAATTTGTGCCAATTCTACGCCAATTTTTTAGCACGCCAATTTTTGTGTCAATTTTTGTGTTAAATCTGTGCCATTTTTGGCGTGCTGATTTTTCACGTGCTAAATTTGTGCTAAATTTTTGTGCTAAATTTTGGCACGCCAATCTTTGTGCCAATTTTTCACATTCCAATTTTCGCATGCATTTTGGCATGCTAATTTTCTGTAAATTCGCCACCTAAAAAAAAATTAAAACTGTTCCCATAGCAACGCGAGCGGATCGTGTGTTCCCTCGGCACGGACAAATCCTTCGAATTCGAAGCCAATCAGCAAATCCACCAGGAATACATGACACGACTCGTCAACGAGATCTTCAAACACGGTCAGGAGCTGGACAATTTAGATCACTTGCTAGTGGAGCAAGTGGGCGTTTGGAGCTGTTTGAGATGGTGAGAAGTAGTTGCCATGGAAATTGGGGATTCTTTTTGTTGCCATGGAAATTTTTTAAAAATCTCCATGGAAACTCTAATGTCCATGGCAATTGAAAATTCTATTAAATCTTAGCATAAGGTGTATCGCAGAGTATGTGTGAAAAAAATATGTCAAAAAATATGTAAAATTCTATTTAAAATCCCCATGGAAACTAAAAAAATCCTTATTTATTAACCCCCACAGCTGCCTCGACGCGCTTCACAATTCGCACCTCCCCGCCCACATCCAGCAAGAGCTCAAGAAAATAAAAAACTCCTCCCCCCTGTTGTCACGTGACGAGGTGTGGTTACGCGAACAGGAAAAACGCGTTGTCATGGAATTTTACGAAAGAAATAAATTCACCGCTCACGAAATCGCGTTGGAAGAATTGAGGAAAAAATCCCTGTTTCAAGCGAGTTATTTCGTCTCCAGGGATTTGTACTTTTTGAGAGAGGTATTTTTTTCACTGTTTCCATGGAGATTTTTTTTTAATTGTTGCCATGGAAACTTAATTTATAAAAATTATTAGACCGCCCCAATTCTGGAAAAGGAATTAAGTCGCCAACGGCAACCGTGTAAAGTTTACGAGTGGAAAGTTGCCTATAAAGATGAGGTGAAATTACCAATTAAAAATATTACCAATTAAAAAATTACCAATTAAAAAAATTACCAATTAAAAAATTACCAATTAAAAAATACCAATTAAAATCCCCCTAGCCACTCTTCACCACCACCAGCTCAACAATCTTCCACCGATTATTCTCCACTTTAATTTACCGTTACCTAGCAACCTTACTCACCCTCCTTTACTACTCCCTCCAAAAAATCCCCCTGGACTCCCCCTATTCCTACCAAGTCCTGTATAAAAAAACCCACTCCTCCCCCACGTCAAAACCCCACCGGACCCTCCACAGCGAACTCTTCCGCACCTGGCGCCTCGTTTCCAAGGAGAGATCAAAATATTTATCAAGTTTACACACAAAAAAAATAAACAGTCGTCATGGAAACTTTATTAATTTCACAATTTTACAAAGATTAGAAAACTTGGGAAACTTGTTTAAATGGTATTTCTACGGCGTTGCCATGACGATATTTTGGACTGTGATTTATAGTTTTGCAATTTTAGTGATTAATTTATCGTGTTTGGTTGTCGTGGTTACGTGCGTTTTGTGGCCGATGGTTTATTGCCTGGGTTACCATGGTTTTTGTGTTTTAGTTAAAGATTTGGATGGGGATGAGTATTATGGGTATTTTCCGGTGGGGAAGTTTCTATGGGTCGTGGGGGTTAGTGGGGTTAAGATTGCGGGAGGGGTGTGGTTTTACTGGTGGGGTGCCCCCTGGGGGGTGTGGTCGTGTTTTTGGGTGAGTTTCCATGGTTTTTTAATCGATAATTTTAATTGGTAATTTTTTAATCCCTATTTTTAATTGGTATTAATTACTAATTCCACAGTCTCCCTGACGACCTACTTAATCCGCCTTGGCTACGACTCGCTAATCTACAACCTCCTGATAAAAAAGCACGCCCGCGTTCCCATGGAAACCACCTCGCTCCTCGAGATCCTCCCAAAACAGCGTAAACTTTATAAAATTACGGAAAAACAAGCCTTGTTAATTTTACTCACAAAATTAGAGCTCGAAAAACTCACACATTTTCAAAACTCGACCCTCAAAAAATTAAACCAACCCATTTTCGAGTACGAAACCTTTTTCGAACAGTTTCTAAGCCCGTTTTCTTGTAATTTAAACTCAAATTTAAACGGTTTCTATAGAGATTTAGTTCGGGAAACGTTTTTAATTAAGGAGAAATTAGATTTTTTAATTGATCAGGAAAAATCTAAATTAAATTCGCTGATTTTACCGCGTGATTTTATAAAAATTACGAATTTTGATAATTTCTGTTGCCAGGGCGTTGCCATGGTTACCAGGTTTTATAAGGATTTAATTGGGGAGTACAAGTTGGATCGGGGGGGATTTTTCGGGGGGAAGGGGTTGGAATTTAATGATTGGGAGGGGCTGTTTTTGAATCTCGTGGGGGAAGTGTTCGGGATGCGGGTGCTGTTTGGGAATAGTGGGGGGGATTGTGGGGGGATGAAGATTTTATCCTGGTCAAGATGGATCAGCAGGTACGGGGAATTTTATTTCCATGGTTACCAATTTTAAAAATAAAATAATTTCCATGGTTACCAATTTTTATTACTAAATATCCATGGTTACCAATTAAAAAATTAAATTAAACAGATCCCATCGCCATGGATACCCTCTTCAGACCTAATCCACCCCCTGACAAAGCAATTTAGCTTAACCCGCACCGAGTACGAGTTGCACCCGCCGTACGTCACCATGGAAACCTTTTCGCCCTTCGTCCATCCCGATTATCACCATAGAGATTTGTTATTAAATCCGTTGCCATTGTTACATCCTGTCGTCATAGCAACGCTGATTTTAAATCGGGAGGAGGATCTTGTGGATTTGGGGGATGTCGCCGTGAGGGCCGTGGTCGCGGTGATGGAGGAGGCCGGGCCGGCTAGGGTTTTGGGCAGGGGGGAGGTGATTGAGGTGGGGTTTGGGAGTGAGGGGAGTGGGAGTGAGAGTGAGGGGGAGAGTGGGAGTGGTGAGGGGGAGGAGGAAATTGTGATGAATAATAGTTACCTTGGAACTAGTGTTTAAATTGTTGTTATGGTTTTTTTTTGTATTTTTTTATAGGAAATAAATTGTTTTTGGAAGGTGTTTCCATGGATTAATTATTTCGTTTCCATGGATTTAATTAGTGATTAAAAATTAGCGATTTAAAAAAATAATGAAAGACGGACAGACACGACGACTGCATACAGCATAAGCCCCGCATCGGGTAAAAAAACCCTGTCTCGGGCCACGCGAAGTAGTATGCAAAATCAACAATCGAAAAATTTCAACAAAATACACAAAATTTATTCATAAATTTACTAAATTAAATGGCACACTTAATCTCCATGGCAACGCTTTATTAAACCCCCCTTAACCTCTCCACATCCTTGTCCCCATTATTACTATCCGAATTATCCTTATAATTTAACCCGTCATCCTCATAAAAAGTGTTCAACTGCTCGGGAGTCAGCCCCCTGTTAAATCGGGCCCCTCCCCCACCGTTAATTTGCGTATTTGGAAAATAAACCTTTCCTCGTGACGATGGCAACGGATCTTGAGATCTTTTTTCTTGTTGTTGAACGGCCGTTGAGTAGGAAACGGGGGGCACGGAGATAAACTCGAAAGTGGGGGTTTTTATGTGGGAGGGGATTTGCTGATGTTGATGGGGGGAGGGAATTGTATAGATTTGTTGCCTTGGAAACTGTTGTTGCTGTGGGCGTGATGAGGTTAATTGGTAGTTTTGTTGTTGTTGTTGTTGGTAGTTTTGTTGTTGCGTTTCGAAATCGTTAGTGTTGAATTGGTAAATTATTGGGGGTGGGGTGGGTTTTTGTGGGGTGGTGGCAGGGGGTGCGGTGGGGGCGGCGGTTTGGGGGGTGCTGGGTGTGGTTGGAGCAACACTGGGTGTGGTTTGTGGTTGTTGTTGTTGCACAACTTGTTGCCGTGGTGGCTGCCTCACAATTTCCTGTTGTTGCACAATTTCCGGTTGTTGTTGCTGTGGTTGCTGCACAACTTCCTGTTGCTCCCCCCCCAACAACACCTTAAACTCCCCCCCATTTTCCATCGCATAAAGTTCATTCAACTGATCCTGCGTGATTTCAATCACCTGCGAATCCCCAATTTTTTTACTCTTCAACTTCCCCGTTGCCAGTAATTTCTCAATCTGATCCGATTCTAATTCAACCACTTTTGGTTGCTGTGGCAATTTATTCTTTACGATTTTTCTACGTCTCTGCTGCTGTGGTTGTGGTTGCTGAGGTTTGGTTTCCGTGACAACCGTCGATCCTTTATTTTTATTAAAATACTCTTTAAAACTGTTAAAAGCTGTTTGAACTAATTCCGAGTTGTTCCCCCCCGGTTGCTGTGGCAACTCGAAATCGTCAAGGTTTATGTTTTCCTCCCCGTCGAAACCCACGGTGAGGACTTGGGTTTTCAGACCGGTCTTTGGGTCGATGTTGCTGTGGGATTGATTTAATTTAGATTTAAAAAAATTGTGGAAATAATCACCAATTAAAATTAATGATATATATGGATTTAAATTAGATTAAATTTCATGGAATTAATTAATTAGCAATTAAAAATTGTCATGCAACTTAATTTCCATGGGAATTAATCACCAATTAAAAAATCTGGGGATTTAATTGGGGACTAAATTTCATGGGAATTAATCAAGAATTTAAAAAATCATGGAAATTAATCACTATGGAAATTTAATCACCAATTAAAAAATCATAAAATAATCACCTATTAATCGGCGTCAGCTTAACGTTCCCCAGCAAACTGCTCAAATCTAATTGAGATTCGTCAAACCCCAAGGATTTCGGATCCACGAGTTCCACCCCAGGGGGGAGATTGTGCTTTACGGGGGGCTATATTATCCAAAAATAAATTATAATTTCCATGACAACCAAAAACCAATTTCCATGACAACTTCAAAAAATCGCAACTTACCCCCTGGCAACTGACGACCCCCACCATGACAACAAACAAAACCCACAGCAGCATAATAACCTCGCTTGACAACGACTTTAATTCAACTGAATCGTCGCATCAGTAAAAATTTGAAAGCAAGAATCGTCTTCCTCTTCTTCCTTATTAATTTCGTTGCCATGACAACCAAAGGAGATGATGATGATGATGACATAACTTTTCTCTCTCTCTATAGAGATGCGAAATTTGCATAATACACTTTCACAAAAAAAGTGATGCGCGTTGCCATAGCGATTATTCAACACATATGAAATAATTTGCAAAAACTGGTTTGTAAACTTTCTAAAATTTATGGAAGTGTTTTATTTTGACTTTGAATTTTTTTCCATGGTTACAACCAAAATTCCATTTTATTTATTTTCTTCTTTATTTTTACTTGATTGGGGGGGATTAATTCCAGGGTTTTTATTGTCTGGGGGATGAACTTTATCGTTGTGGGGGTGGAGTGGAAGGTGGCGAGGAACCTGCAAAAAAAATTAGTGAATTATTGGTTGTCATGGAAATTATTTTGTAAAAATTAGTTGTCATGGAAATAATTTTAAAAAAACCAAGTAACCATGGAAACACTTACTCATTGGAAAAAACGACCCTCAACATCTCGGCCCCCAACTTCTCTCCATGGCAATTATTCAACGAATGATTCCCGAAATTCCTGCAAAAATTCCCACAAACGAGCACAATCTTCGTGACCATTTCGATTAAATGGCACGTATGAAAAATCAGATCCCCTCCCGTGTTGTTTCCATCGTAATCAACTTTATCTCCTGAATTTAAATTATTCGAACAAATGCAGCTATTTCTCGGCATGGTTTCCATGGCAACCTCCTCGTCACTATGATCGATTTGAAACACGCAGAAATCGTCGTTCAGCGTTGACATGGTGATTTGTTTTAAGGAATTTGGGTGGATTTTGTATTTTATCGAGAGCGTGCGGGGGTCCAGAAGGAGGATGGCGGTTGTCGTGGTTACGAGGACTGTGGGGATGAGCTGTGGGGTTTATGAAATAATTAAATTTGGTTGCCATGGCAACGGAATTTACTAAGAAAATACCTTCCCACTGCTCCTGGCGACTTTGTTTATTAAATCGGCAAACACGATGGGGCTCGAGTCCATCCGACGCCATTGAGAATTTTGACGCAGGCGGATGTAGTCCCCGAGGAAGGGGTGCGTTATGCTGCAATTTATTTTATTTTATTATTTGGTTGCCATGGAAACTAAACTTATTATTAGGTTGCCATGGAAACAGAATTTAGAAATCAAACCTCCTCTCATAGGACTCCTTTTCACCCTTGAAAATCTCGCTCGCCGTGGATTTTTCATTGAGCCGGAGCCGGTCCGACGGGTGGTTGTCAAGGCAACGGCGGTACTGGCGGCACTGCATTTTTAAATTAATTTAGTTGCCATGGAAACAATTTCGAAATTTTTAAAACTCACCCTCCACCGATGAAAGAGAATCTTAAGGAGCGAGTTGGTCTCTTGCAAATACGAGGGCACGTGCGGCCAGCTTTTGCTATTTCCATGGAAACGAATTAATTTATTTTCGTAATTTAATAACTTATTAAATTACCTCACTGGTGACGTTAATCGCGTAACCTCTGTGGTTAATTGGCGGAGGTACAAGAGTCGCTATGGAGATTTTTTCAATTAATTTCCATGGAAACTAATCATAAAATAATTCCTATACCTTCCACTGAATGTAACACCTTTGGATCGCATTTACAGATTTCCGCATCAATTTTAATTCCCTAATTTTCCGCACTTTTCTCGATTTCAAATATTTCCGCCAAAACTTAGCGATTAAAATCTGCGCCGTTGTCATGGCAACGAATTTTTTCCGGATTCTATAGCAACGGAATGTTTTTTGGATTAGCAAGGCCAGGTCGTCAAGGCGCTCGGTGCGGTACGTTTCCAGGGAGATTAACTGGGGATTAAAAATTAGGGATTAAAAAAATTATCGTCATGGCAACAATTTTTATAAAAAAAACTTACAATCTCCTCCCTTTTCAAAAAAATGCCCCCCCTCCCCACGACGAAATCCCTCCCCCCACGAAGCACAAATCCCCCATCAACGTGCAAACATTAAATTTGTCGTCATGGCAACCAGCACAATTTGGCCAAGTTTTTAAACTTAACAATTTATATCTCCTTAGAAACTGATTAAAATTAAATCTCTTCACGTGGCAAAACTTGTAAACTTTGTAATAATCTAGGATTCTATGGTAATTTAATTGGTATTTGACAAAAGAGGGTTCGATAATTGTTAAATTCGTGGAGGGTTTTATGCAGCGGACGTATTTCAAGTGGGTTCGGGTCAGTTGGGTGAGAAGGTGGTTTAATTGGAGTTTCACTTGGGGGAGGTTCGGGAGTAGTTTGGGGGAGGGGGTTGTGGAGGGGGTGGGGTTGGGGGAGGAGTAGAGGGAGGAGAGCAGGGGGTTCGTGGAGGTTGAGAGGATCTGGAGGAGAGAGGGGGCAGGGTGTCGGGGGGGTTGTGGGTGTAGAAATTTGTTATTTTTTTGGGGTGCTGTGACTTATGGGGGGATGTGGTGGGGGTGTTGTTGCCATGGTGACGTGGTGGGAGTCTGTAATTACAAATTACCAATTAATATCAATTAAAAATTAGCGATTAAAAAATACCAAATGAAAATTGCAAATTAATACCAATTAAAACTCACAAAAAATATCACTTAAAACCCATTACTATGGGATTATTAGTGATTAAAATTATGGATTAAAATTACCAATTAATACAAAAAATTGGGGTTAGAAATTGGGGATTATTGTCAATTAAGAAACCCCAATTAGAATCCACAAAAACCCACCAATTAAAACCCACCAATTACCTGATAAAACTCAACTCAAAAATAAAAAATAAAATTCGCGATTAATACCAATTAAAAATTAGCGATTAAAAATTAGGGATTAAAAAATGCAAATTAAAACCAAATAAAAATTAGGGATTAAAACCCACCAATTAAAAATTACCAATTAATACCAATTAAAACCCACAATTACCTGATAAAACTCAACTCCCCATCATCCCCATCCCCCTTGTGACCCCACCCCCCACTATTTTCAATCAGCGGCCCCTCCACCCAATCCAACCACTCCCCCACGGCCCCACCCCCTGAGGTATCAATCCAAATCCACTCCAGCCCATCCCTGACCCACTCCTCCTGATGCAACCTCAACCTCACATCCACCAAACACATTTGCACCTTTTCATTCACATAATTCACGATGAAATTCTCAAAATTCGTGTTTCCATGGAAATCCGTGAATCCCGTGAAATCCAATAATTTCAAAGAAAATGACTTATCCCCTTTGGAAACAATTCCCAGTTTCCTTGACAACCACGAAAATAATCTCGTGTAAATGTTCTGCATCAGCGCGATTAAAATCCTCGAAGGGTTCGGAAGCGATGTGATGTTCGGAATTATGTTTTGAGTGACTTGCAAAAGGTTCGAGATTATTTCGGAGGAGTTTTGTGGGCCGTAATTTATCGTGGTGGCTTCCGAGCCGTCGAGATTCGTTGTCATGGTGATGGTGGTGTTGCCTAGGTGGAGGATCGAGGAGAGGATTTGGAGCAGGGAGGTGAATTCAAGGGGGGTCAGGGGGAGGGTTTTCTGTGGGGGGAATTGGTGATTAATTAATTGGTGATTAATATTTTAATTAGTGATTAATTTTAATTAGTGATTAATTACTTTCAAAAACTGAAAGGCCTGTTCCTGGTTACTAAGCAACCCGTTGCTATAGGGATATAAATTTCCATAGTTTTTATTGACGAGTTTGAGTAATTTATAGTTGTCCGGGTTACGAAGGAGGTTGAGGGATTCTATAAAATCATAACAAAAATTATTTTCCGTTCCCATGGCAACCATGACGACGACTCACTGAGCACACCCCCTTCACAGCCCCCGACGAGAATGTAAAAAATGTGAAAATTTTGACAGTTTATTGCTTCATTGGAAGTATTGTAGTTTCCACAGAGACGCCACTTCTCCAGGTGGTCTGCAAATACAGTTTCCATGGAAATTAATTTTTAAAAACCGTTCCCATGGAAACTACTTACAGCACTCGAACCCCGCCCCCTGAACCTCCCCTCGAAAGTCAAATTCCAAATTAATCAGCTTGACAAATCTCGTGGAGTCCGTTTCCATGGCACCCCCGAAATAATTTAGCACCAAATTGTGATTAAATATTTGTTCAATTTTTTCATTGTGGTTGCCAAGGAAACGCAAATAATCCAAGGCGTGGAAATAATTTGTCGACTTTCCGGAGCCGGATTCCCCACTGAAGAGGAGCGTCTATAATTTCAATTTAATTAGTTTAATTACAATTAAATTGTAATTAACTCTGATGTGAGACCTGTGATTTGCAGAGACTAGAAAGGCCATCGTGGATTGCGCAGTTTATTGTGCTGTAACTATGGCAACGAGGTTTTTAATTTTCCACATGGCAACAATTAAAATTAAAAAAAAATTTACATGTGCGGCGGAGGTGTGGTGAGTTCCTCGTTTCCATGGAATAATTTCGCATAAATCTCCTTGACAACGGTCGAGTAAATCGCCAACGGCTTGTTCGGATTCACAAATAAGAGCAGATTTCGACCTATGGAAGTCTATCAAAAAAATTCAATTTAGAATTTAATTCAGTAACCATGGCAACCAAAAAAAAATAAATCCACCACGTACATAACAAATATCGGAGCAGAACCGCTTGACCAAATTCCCCACGAGGACCTGGCTCGTAACGATCAAGTCACAATTTCCGAGCACAAGAAAATCCCTCACCCCGACGTTATCCAATTCCCTTAGCAACTCTAATTTCTCTCGAGTCTGACATGATTTATTTCGTATTTTATTGCTGCTCATTTTATGGTACTGGTTGCTATGGAAACCCTTATTTAATAACTTACACATTTTTTATAAACATTATTTATTGCTTTTCAAACAGTTTCTATAGTTTTTCTTTTATTATTTTTTCTAAAATTATAAAATGCGCATGCGCCACGGAGTGAAAAGTGTGAAAGTGGTGAAAGTTCCATGGAAACGGAGTAGATGGAGTTTTTATTTTATTTCAAAATTGTCATGACAACTTGTTGAGTTCGAATTTCTTATAAAATTCAGTCATTGAGAATAAAATCCCGTCAATCATCGAGGCGATGGTGAAGACGCCGCCGATTATCGCGCAGAGCAGCGTCGTGAAGTGGTAGGGGTTCGTCGTCTTGGGGGTGTATTTCACTGTCAAGGGGGAGACGTCGTAGCGGAACTGTGGAATTAATTTAATTTTTTAGTTTCCATGACAACTTGAACGCTTATTTCCATGGAAATTTTATTTTTTGTTTCCATGGAAATTAAATTTAGTATCCATAGAAATAAAAATAAATCCCCATGGAAACCTCCGACTCACCCAAATCGCGGGACTCGACCCCCTCCCCAAAAACGACCGATAAGCATACGTGTATTGATAAGAGATTGTCCTTTTCGACCCCGCCTCGTAAATCGTGGGCACTATTTTCATGATGTAGTCATGGGAACTGAGACCTATTTTTACAGAAATTAAAATTATTTCCATGGAAACAATTCGTAACCTAACCTAACCCATTAATTTATGCTCATCATCCTCCCCGTCGATGCTCCTCCCCACGTTTTCCAAGGGGTTAAAAGTCCCGGGCGTGTCCACCAAAATCCGGTCCCCGAACCGGACCTGCCGGATTTTGTGGGAAAAATCTGGGTTCGAGGGTTGCCTAGCAGCGGAGTGGGTCGAAATGTGGAAGTTGCCTGTTGGTTACGGAATTTTTATTTTTTATGGTTACCATGGTGATTAAATTAGTTGCCATGGCAACGAGCAACCCACCTGGAACCTTGTTTATTTGAAAAGTTGAGTGGAATCTGCATCCATTCCCAGAATTTAGCGGAGTTTTTTCCGTGTTGTCAACGAAACCGACCTCGTGACGGCCCAGGTCGTCTTGGATGTCCACGCCGAGGTCTATAATTTTAGTTGTCATGGTTACTAAAAATTAATTTCTATGGCAACGAAAACTTTAAAAAGACTCACATTCACACTTAAGATTGGGCAACTCAATGTCTATGGAAACGGGGATCCGGTCCGTCGTCTCCGCCGTGGTCGGGTTGTCAACGTAGACTTGCGATATGCTAAAAAAATTGAAAATTAAAATTAATAATTAGTTGCTATGGAAATAAAAAAAGTAACCATGGAAACGCTCATTACATCTCCACCCTGAGGAACCCGGCCAGCTCGGAGCAGAAAAGGACGAAAATGACGACGACGCAGGCGATGGAAATTATGGCGCCGGCGAGGGTGGGTTGAGTCAGGTCCTTGGGGACTTTTCGGTAAATGTCCAGCCGGCGGAGGTCGAACGTCATGTTGCTATGGAAATTTTGGATTTTTAAGAATCTATGGAAACTAAGGTTTAATTTCTATGGAAACTCAATTTTAATTTCTATGGAAATTTTCCTAGAAAGCTTATCCAATTTTTTTTGTTTCTAAGGGAGCTGGAAAATTTCCATGGAAATTTATAAATTATAAATTAAAAAATCCCTATGGAAACGAAATTTTGACAGCTTTCCCGACTCTGAGTCCAAAAATTCAAATCCCCGGATTCCCACCCTGAAAACTCACCAAACTTTTCTCTCTTTTTCACTTCACTGTTGGCTGTGCGTGTCCCACTCCGATTGGGTCGTCACGGAAACAATAAAACCAAAAACAATAGAAATTAAAAAACAATGCCCAATTGAGAACAAAATGGACGACCGCCTTCCAACTCTGCTCCCACCATCCGGCGCACCCACGTTTCTTACACCTAGCGCTCCTTCATCGTCAAGGCAACAATATCAACAATTCCTGGATGTTGAAGAGTTCCAGCAATTGTCAAAAATCGCCAATTCTCAACAGCAAACGAGCAAATATGCTCAGTTACTCGCGGTTATTGAGGAGATGGGTGAGTTTTTATTTTTATTTTTTGGTTGTCATGGTAACTGGATTATAAATTTGTTGCCATGGAAACTAATAAATAAATCCCCATGGAAACTAATCCCTAGGCCGCGACGTCCGCCCCACCTACGCCGGTTCCAAGTCGAGCCAGGAACGTTTAAAGCGCTCAATTGTTCACGCGAGGATTTTGGTTCGAGAGTGCCTCATGGAAACTGAGCGATCCGGGAGGCAGTGAAAAACTTTCTTTCAGTTTTCTCTAAAAAACGTTTCAGTTTTCTAAATTTTTAGCAGTTTCCATAGTTTTTAAAAAAGTTTCCATAGTTTCTAGTTTTAAAATTCCACGATATTCCCTCTGCGAGTTTCCATAGTTTCTATAAAAAAAATAAAAATCACCATGGAAACGATAATAGAAGAAGACCTCCCGATGCAGGTGGACTGCATCCAATGGCACCCCACCTCCGACGAAATCATGGCCGTGGGGGCGTGTGAGTTTTTTATTATTTATTTTTTTGAGTAATTAATTCTAAAGAGTAACCATGGCAACTCTAGATCAACTCTCTCCAACGACGACGGACACGAGGATCGGGCGGCTTTATGTTATTCAACTAACTCCGAATGTTCCAGGGGGGTTTTCCGTCGTGTTGGGTGAGTGGGTTTTTGGGCTGTGCTGATTTTGTGCTAATTTTTGGCGTGCCAATTTTTATGCCAATTTTTTGTGCCAATTCTACGTAAATTTTTTGGCGTGCCAATTTCCTCTGCCAAAATTTTAGCACGCCAATTTTTTCTGCCAATTTCCATGCCAATTCCTAAAATTCCACAGAATACGAAACCCCCGGCGGGGTCCTGGACTTTAAATTCAGCCCCTACCCCACCCCCACTCCCCACTCCCCCACCCCTTTGGCCCTCGCCACCTCCACTGGCCTCTACACCTTCACCCTCCAAATAACCCCAACCTTCACCCTCACCCCGCTAATAACCATGGAAACCACGGCAATGTGCCTCTATCTCCAGTGGATCTCTCCCGTGTCGCTAATTTTCTCCGACGGGGACGGCTGCATCAATCTCCTTGACACCGAACTCACCACAGAAACTCCAATGCACCTAAGAAAAAGAAAAAAGCTCCACGAAGCATTAACCTGGATTTGTCACTATAGCAACGAACAGGATGTGCTCTATGCGGGCTGCGACGATGGGAAATTTAATGCGGTGAAATTGGAGAATTTATCAAAGGAGGAGTTGCACTGGGTCAAGAAGTTTGAGGTGGGCGTGACGAGCATAGCGACCAGGGAAGATATTGTCTCAATTGGGGGGTGAGTTTTCATAGCAACCATTAAATTAGTAACCATGACAACAAAAATTAACTCTGTAACCATAGGTACGACGACACCTTGCGCCTCTACAAACTCTCAAACACCCCCAAACCCACCCTCACCCCACTGACCTCTCTAAACCTCCAGGGCGCAGTTTGGCGGACTTTTATCCTGCCCAGTTTCCATGGCAACGCTTGGACCTTCGTCGTTTCCACGGCGAGGAAGGGGATTAAATTTTTGGAATATGATTTAGACTCCAAATCGCTAAGTCTAATTTCCGAGGAGATGAAATACGAGGGTTTTTTGGCGTATGGATTGGATGTGCGAATCGAAGATAAAAGATTAAAAATCGCCAGTGGGTATTTTGATAACAACGTTATCCATGCTTTCTATTGGGGGTAGGCATTTATTATAAATAATTTCCAAAGGGGGTATTCATTTACTATAAAAATTTTGTCATTTATTAAAAATTTTCTAAAAGGGGTGTACAAAAAACACTTAAATAGATTTATAGTGGCCATTTATCACTATTAGAGAGAGGAGGCGTGAATACCCCTAATACCGGGATACAAAATTTTTGTATTTATAATTAAAGCTCTAAAATGTTAATGTTTGATTGATTAATAAAGCACTTTTTTCTACGTTTCTATGGTTATTTTCGTGGTATTTAAATATTTATATATATAGAATTTGACTTATAATAGGGAGATTCATTTAGGAGGTGCCACAGGTGAGCACCCCTATTACACACTAGTTAAGTACGTGATTTCACTCAACAATTAAGTACACACATCGAGTCTAAAAAGGGTATACAAAAGTTTAATAAATATAAAAAGGAGATTCATTTAAATACTAAAGTCATGGCTGCAAAGATTCTTGGTGAATACCCCTATTGATTAAAATTCTCCATATCCACAAGCGTATATAAAATCTCTAAAAAAATCCCACCCACGTGAATACCCCTAAATAAACCACTCCCTCTTGACCCCCACCTTCACCCCCGCCACGCCCCTCACAACGGCCTCATCCGCCCCATCACTGCCCAAGGCCCCCTCATCCTCCTGGGTCAAATATTGTCCTTTATACAACCCCACCTGCCTTCCTATTAAAATCACGATCAAAATTATTAACAAGAACAGCAATGCTAAAATTCCCCCTAAAATCGCGGATTGGATCGTGGAAGAGTTGTAAATGGCACGGAGCTTGTCCTCGTCGAGCTTCGGGAGGGGCCGGGACTCGGGGATTTCAGGGGGGTGCGTCACGGGTTCCACGGAGCAGAAGTCTTCGATTAGGGTGGCTGCGGAATAAGGAATTGTTATTAGGGGTATTCATGATTATTTTAGTGATTTTTTAGGGGGGGCGTTCAGGCGGTGTGTCAGAGAATTTACGTGGTAAATTTGCAATTTTTATCCATTTTCTGACGCAGTGTGTGAACGTTCCCCGCAAAAAACAATTTTATAATTTTAGGGGGCGTTCACACACTACGTCAACGGATTTAGCTATTCCACCGCCAATTTTACTACCATTTCCCACTCACGTAACAAGTGAACGCCCCCCTTTTCCAATTTTTAGGCGTTTTTTAAAAATTTGTTCACACGTTACGTCAACGAATCTACACACAAAACTCCCAATTTTTTCTCTATTTCCGACACGCCACATGAACGCCCCCCCCCACCCACTAATTAATACCTGGATAACTATAAATAGTACTCGGCCGATCCTCCTGAAAATAGTATTTCAGCGGATACTGATCATCAAACTCCACCCTCGAGATGCACCCAATGAAGCCCTCCCGCATGGACTCGTTCTTCCCGATGTACAAATATTCGATATTGTTAAACTGCGCATCCGCCGAGTTCTTGACGTCAAAATGGTAAATTTTTGGCTCGAGATTGTCCACTTTCATTATTAGCTTCGTTCCAGAATCCAAGCGGGTGATTTGCACGTCGTGGTACTGACCCGTGGCGAAGTTCTGGTCCGGGAAGATCAGTTCTTGGCGTTCGAAGCCAAAGTCGAAGACCAGGCGGAGGTGGCCTATGTTTTATTTCATTAGGGGTGTTCAAGAAAAATATTTTTTTACATTAGGGGTACTCACGAAAAATTAAAAAAAAAATTCCCGTAATTTCCACCCAAAAAAAATTATAAACTCCCTCGTGAATACCCCCAATATCAAAATTACTAACCAGAATTGGACACCATCAACGTCAAATACTCCCCCGTCTTGTTACTCGAGAGCCCCACGAGAAACCCCTTTGGCTCCGTGGTTGTAAACCCGACCCTCAATTTCTCCGCAATCGTGGACTTGTAACTCCCTCGGAATTCCATTTTTACATAAGAGTTGGAAGCCAGGTTTATCCCGATTTCTATAGTAACAAAAATAAAATAGGAACTCCACGGCAAAGGGTTAAATAAATTTAAAAAACCCGCACCATCCGCGCATATCGGCCCCTTAAAAGCAGTGAACCGACAATCGCAGGTGTACTTATCGTAACCTTCTTCACAGGTCCCATTGTTCAAACACGGTCCACTGCCGCATTTTCCGAAACATCCCAGTCCAACCCCGTAAGGTTGCAGCTCTCCGGCCTGTTTCAAGTCGAACATTAACCCGTTGACCAGGAGGGACCGGATGCATCCAACGTAGCCGTCACGTGATTCGATGGTGGCGCCGAGATATAGGTCAGAGGTGAGGTAAATGTTCCGCTGGGGTCCGGGGGGCTGGAGGATCGAAGAGGTTTGGGAGCCGTCAAGGACGATGCGGAGTTGTTTTCTAGGGGAATTTATTTGGGAAATTAATAATATTGTGACGTAGTGTGTGGGGGGTCCTTAGATAAATTTAAGGATAGGGGGGCGTTCAGAGATTACGTGGGAAAATGTGGTCCCATCGTCTAAACTCGAGCGGGGCACTCACTTTTCTAACGACGTAATGTGTGAAGGTCCCCTCATAAAACCCACAAAAATTAGCAAAAGGGGGCCGTCCACACACTACGTCAAAATAATTGACTTAAAAACTGACCTATTCTTCTCCACCTGCACCGAGTGCCACTGGTCGTCCGCCAGACTCCCCGTGACCACAACATTGACTCCCAAAGGCCCGCTCCCCGCCTCCACCTGAAATTTCACTAAATTCCCATTGATGATTTCTAGTTTGAGAAAATCCGTGGGCCCCTTTGCGTGGAGGAGGACGGCGTTCTGGGTCGTCGTTTTGAACTCGAGGTAAATGTCCCAGGAGTGGGTGGACAAAATGTTCGTGCCGTACTGGTCGAGGGGGAACTGGAGGGTCGCGTCGGCAAGGCGGAAGGTTATTGGGGTGGAGAAGAGGGCTAGGGAATTAAGAGTTCGCTTAGCCCGAGTTATGGTTTTTGGAAAAATATTTTAACTTCGGCTGGCCCGACTCACCATCTCCGGTGCAGACCAACGGGCCCAGGGTAAATTTAGCCTGCTTATCATCCGAAACCGTCCCCGTGTCCCCCACCCTGATCGCCCTAACAGGAAGATAAGTCATATCCGTCAACCACCCCTCATCCGATAACCACGTGTCCAGTCCTGAATCGCAATTACACCATTTCTCAGGGACTTCGCATTGCCCGAGGATTCCGCAGTCACTATTTATTTAAAAACAAAATTAGACGCACATCCACCCGGTTACGTAAGACCTACCATTTCATGCTCCCCAGCAACCCCCCAGCCCAGTAATCCATGGGCGTGTTTTGCCTGGAAACCCACCAAGTGCTCGGAGAAAACGACTCCATCAAACTAGGCGAGTTAAATAATCTCGAATTCCGACATTCATGACGTAACCACTGCCTACAAGTGAGGCTCCGATTGAGCAAAACTTCGATCTGGCCCCAGCCAGCGTCGTACTCGATTTCTTGGTTGAATGCCCCGTTTCCTTCGTAACCGTCGACTAAAACAGGGGTTTCCGAGTGGTGATGGAGGATAGTTTCCACCGTGTTGTCATGGTAGAATTGGCAGGTGACCTTTGGATTTATTCATTTAGAGTAAGTAAAATTAAACTAAATTAATAGTTCCTTACGGGAAAAGGCTCCAACGGCCCGCTGCCATCGATATCTATGGTGACCTCCCTCTTGATATCCCCAATGTTCCCATACCCCGTTTGCCGATAAGACTCGCAGCTCAGAGGGTACAACGGCATGTGACACGTCGCTCCGGTGTAATTCTCATCGCAAATACACTCAAACTCTTGGGAGGTTTGACGACAAACGGAACCATGTTCACACCTGTGGATAAGGTTTTTTTCCGGTTTTACGTGCTTTTTACATGGTAACTACTTCGCGTGGCCCGACTTAAAATTAAAAAAAAACTCACGGATTGGGATTACACCTGTCCAACATCTGACAAGAGTCCAACACGATCGCCGCCGTGGGCTTATCGAAATCTTGTGGATTCTGGAAATTCCCATCAATCGAGATCTGCCGCAGACAACCCACGTAGTTTATTGTAGTAGATTGCAAAGTCGATGTAGTAGGAGCTTGGATCCCAGTTGAGGTCGATAAGGCGTTCTTGGTCAGTTGGGAGTGGGCATTCGTGTCGATCTGGATCAGGGAGGAGTCAAGGGAGGACTCCGGGGTGCCTGTGGATTTAAAAATAATTAAAATCCACGGGCTTTTCACTAGTAAAATTTAAAATCCATACCCCCAAAATGGTACAACCCCCCGGTGTGGATCTTAATAAGCCTCGACGTCCTCACGACCCGCTCATCCACACTCAGCACGATAGAATTCGTCGTGATGCTAAAAATGACCCGATGCCAAAGTCCCTCGTTAAATAATTCGTTAGGGAAATTATCCAAAACCAGTCGAGGGGACGTGTCCGGCTGTTGCACTTCGATCAGGAATTTTGACTTTTCAAAGTATAACTAGAAAATTACAATAAAATATTAAAAAATAATTCCCAAAAAATAAAACCGAGTTGCTCACCTTGCAAAACCCCCTCGAGGTAAATTTATGATAGAAAACCACCCCAAAGTCCACCCAGGTCCGCATCTCAAAAGTGACATTTAAAGTTCCAATCCCCTCATACCCCTTGAGCTTTATAAAATTCTTAACATTCGTCTCCAGGAAACTCACCGGAACCACGGAACTCTCCGGACAATTAAAAAAAGTATTATTCTTGTAGAAACTCTCCTCCGTGTCACCATAGTAATTGTCCGGGGGGTTCTTCAACTTATCAATAACATTCGTGTCGTTTAAATAGAAGTTTTCCATACAGCCGGTGAAATTTTGACCAGTAACAAGGCCCGTGTCGGAAAAGGGGACCCCTCCAATATACAAAATTTTATCCAAGTCCAACTGATAGAAATCGCCCTTGATCACGGCTTTTACCTCCACGCGGTCCACCGTAAAAGAGAGTTGGTTTAAATAACGATCGATGATGACGTCGTGCCAGAGGTTGTCGTCCAGCAGGGAGCCGGCTGTTATCGAGGTCATCTGACCACCCCCGAGGTTTATGTTGAGGATTAGCCGGTTGTCGAGGAGTTGCAAAGCGAAGTAGTCGGACTGTGTGCCTTTGGAGTAGATTAATGTTCCATCAGGGGAGGTGGTTTTGAAGCGGAATTTTATCGTGTCCTTTCGAGAGGCGATCGGGTAGTGGGTTAGGTTTCGGTAGATTAGCGAAGAGGAGTTGAACGAGATGGTGGAGGGGGCTGTGTGGATTTAGAGAAAAGTGTGTGGTTAGTTGTGCCAATTCCCTGCCAATTTTTAGCACACTCACCATAATCACACCCATAGAGCTCCACCCTCAAAGAGATCCGCTCATGCCACCGCGTCGGGTTAATCCTCAAATACTGCGCGATGATCGGGGTCTGGAACTCGTTCGTAAACGGGGCGTCGGATTCCGTGTTCCCCGTGAATAACTAGAATTTTTACAAAATATTAGTTTCCATGACAACAAAAAATTCAAAAACCCAAGCAAAAAGCCAAGCCCCAACCTCCCTGGAGTCCCCACTGCCCACGCCCACAGCGGAGTTTCTAATCGCACTCCAGTTGTCCCCGTCTTGAGAGGTCTCTAAGGAATATTCCTGAACGAAATTCGGGCCCGACCCGAGGGTGGCGATGCGGTGGATTTTCTTGGGTTTTTTCAGATTAATTATGAGCCACTGGTTGTAGTTGGAGGTGGAGGGCGTCCAGGCCAAAGGGCGGGTGGTCGTGACGGCTGAGTGGGTTAAAGAGTTAAGCAGGGTAATGAAAGTTTTATTTTAGGGGTAGTCACGTCACCTTGGTATATATTTTTTTTAAAAAAAGTGACGTGACCACCCCGAAATAAGCATTTTATATACATAGAAATTTAATTACTCTGCAGAACCGTGAATACCCCTAATACAGCAAGAGTTTTAGAGCGGTCCCATTAAAAAATAAAGCTTGTACACCAATTATCTCCTACGCAACGTGAATATCCCTAATAAATCCTAAACAAATTATAGCCCCAAAAGCATAACCTCCTCCCCGCAAATAAAAACCATAAAAAAAACCTTATTGCTCCCATCGTTCTCCTTGTAAACCGAGTAGTCATAGAGATTCGTAGAAAAAGAAATGGTGTATTCTTTGATAAACTCTGAGATCGAGGGCCTCCCCTTGGTCGCGATCGCCGTGATGTTCTTTATCGATCGGAGGTCGATTTGGAGGTATTGCGAAAAGTCGGAGGAGCCGCTGGTCCAGCTTATCGTCGCTTTTTTTAAGTTAAATTTATGGGAATTGTAATTTACTTAAAATTAACAAAAAATCAACGGAAAAATTAATAAAAATTAAAAAATTACAGTCAAACTTGGCATGTTCCGGGCCCCGGCCGGGTAGTTTTGACGTGGCTGACAAGGTCACGTCCTGGTCCTGAATCAGCGGCCAGCTGCAGTAGTCTACGGATTTAAGTAGTGTTTAGTTGCCATGACGACTGAATTAATTATTTGTTTACAATGGCGACGTTGGAATTATTATCGTACCTTCGCTGTAAAAAAACCCCTGCGTCGTGGTTCCAAAAAGGAGCAAAATCAAAATCACCCTCATTTTATTAATTTTTCACTAAATCACAATTCGCACTAAAAATGACTCATTTTGTTATGATTTCTCTACTGACTGACTGATCGGGTGTTGGTGTTTCTCCAGCAGCAGCGGTTTGGCCAGCTCCGCGGGAATTTCAAATTTATTCCAAAATCTCACCCACAATCTTACTCGCAAAATAATAAAAGTGAAAAAGATGGACTCCTCCTCCTCGGAATTCATAATCCTCTCGGGAAACTCCCACCCGGAACTCGCCAACTCCGTCGCGGGGTATAATTTCTCTTTTAACACTTATCACCGATATTAATTAACCCTTTCCAACGTGTTTCTTTAGCCACCTCTCCATGCGCCTCGGGAACTGCGATGTTTATCATAAGTCCAATAGGGGTATGTGTTTTTTTTAAATTTTTTAAAAATATTAACCCCTCGACACGGTCTACAAGTTCTCTATAAATTCCAAAAAAAACACAAAATTAACCTTTTCACACGTATCCACAGAAACGATGGTCTCGATCCACTCCTCGGTCCGCGCAAAAGACGTCTACATAATCCAAACCGGACTAGACAACAATTCAATAATGGAAATGCTGATCCTCGCCTACGCCTGCAAAACCAGCTCGGCCAAGAAAATCGTCGGAGTCGTTCCTTATCTCCCTTACTCCAAACAGTGTAAATTCTTAATTTTAACCTAAATTAACCTCCCCATTGCCTAAAAAAATCTCTAATTTCCAGGCAAAATGCGCAAGCGGGGCTGCATCGTGACGAAACTCCTCGCAAAAATGATGTGCCGTGCGGGGTTCACCCACATCATCACGATGGACCTGCATTCTAAGGAAATCCAAGGATTTTTCGACATTCCCGTCGATAATTTGAGGGCCTCGCCGTTTTTGCTAAAGTATATTCAGGATAATATTCCGGAATATAGGACGGACGTGATTGTAGTCGCGAGGAATCCGGGCAGTGCTAAAAAGGCGACGTCCTACGCGGAGAGGTTAAGGGTCGGGATAGCTGTTATTCATGGGGAGGTTAAAGAATCAGAGGCGGATGAGGTGGATGGTGAGTTTTTGTATTTGGGGTATTCATGGCATTAAAAAAAATTACAAATGAATACCCCCAAATTTATTTAATTTTGGTAATTAATTTTTAAATAAATTTACAGGTCGCTACTCCCCCCCATTGCCCCTCCCCTCTGGTGGTAGTGTTAGTGGATCCGATCCCCCCTCTGAACCCCTCCGAAGACAATCCACAAGTATGAAATCCAGAATTATGGACATTAACGAGTCCGTCGTGGTTGGGATGCCCAGCGGGATCAGGAAAGAGAAGCCCCCTTTAACTGGTGAGTTTTTCTTTGTGTCGGGCTAGTCGAAGTTCAAAATTATTTAACCCATCGGGCCACGCGAAATAAAAAAAAATCCTTATCCACCAGTCGTGGGCGACGTCCGTGACAAGATCGCGATCATGGTCGATGACATGATTGACGACGCGAGGACGTTCATCTCCGCGGCGGAAGTCTTAAAAGAACAGGGAGCCAAGAAAGTCGTCATTTTGTGTGAGTTTTTAGGGTTTTATTAATAATGATTTTATGGAAATTCCTAAATTTACCATGGCGATTATCCTATTCTTTATTTATACGACCCTATAAATTAAAATAATTTGCAGGCACCCACGGTCTGATGTCCTCTGACGCCCCTTCTTTACTAGAATCCTCCCCCGTGGACCAAGTCGTCGTCACGAACACGGTTCCCCACGATACTCAAAAATTACAGTGTGTCAAGATCAAAACGGTGGATATTTCGATTTTGCTGGCGGAGGCGATTAGAAGGATCCATCACTCGGAGAGCATGAGTTTTCTGTTTAAAAATGTTACACAGGAGGATTAGAGGGAATAAATGGTTTTGGTGCGGTTTTTTTGTATGAAAAATGTGGAGCAAGATGATGAATTTTATTTAGGAAATCATGAATATTTGGGGGATTGTAAAAATTATGATTTTTTGGAAAAAAAATTTGGCTTCGAGCCTTACTCGGGCTAAGTGAAGGAAGTCGTTAAGGATTGAAACTTATAGAAATTAGCGACCCTTCGTGGTAATCGAAAGAGATAGCTTTCGTGGAGACGGTGACCAACGACTGGTTCTGGTCGATCATGTGGGTCTAACGCAAATTTCCCTATCTCAGTAATGGAGCCACCTTTTGGGACCTCGTGTTTATATAAATTGATATTAAATCGGCCAAATTTTTTTTTAAAAAATTGGCTCTGACCCTGACTCGGGCTAAGTGAAGGAAGCATTTGGGAATTACCTTCGCGGTAGTCGGACAAGATTTGTATGGAAAAATTTGACGACCGCATCGCATCTCAGCGGATCCCTACGGTCCCACTCTTCGTGGAGAAAACCTCGATGGCTGTGTGTGGTCACGGGTCAAGAAGCGTTGCCACCGGTACTGGTCGATCAATGAGCTAAAAACACGTGGTCCCCGGCCATCCACCATGCAAGGAAATCGTGGAGAATAATAATTATTTTACAATTTTACAATAATTGTAAAATAGTGATTCTGACTCGGGCTAAATGAAGAAAGTTGAAGGATTAATTTATAGGAACTATTGGCAGTTTATATATAGTGGATTTCTCATACGATGTTAAGAGAACTTTCCTGGAAAGAGACATGGTGACCAACGAGTGGTTGCAGATCAGGTGCTCAACGTTATTACCCTTCTGTGGCCTTTCAATTGGAGCGTTTGCGGCTACCCACGTTTGACTCTGGTCATGGAGTCATTTCTTTGTTGCAATTCTTGGCATTAAGTGATCTATTGCTCATGGTTTTATTGAACCCAACTAATCTTGGGAGGTGATAGGTTACTATAGCGATTTCACGGGGCAGTAGTCTTTAGTCAATAGCGTTTGTAACACGTTTGGAGCGTGTAGGCTTTAGCGTTGGATTTTAGAAATTGGGATTTTATAAAAATTGATTTTTAGCCCAGGTCGAGAACTTTGAGGTTGGCATGATTTTGTCAATCAATTTAAAAATATAAAAAAAATCAAGGAATCTAAAAAAATAAATTAGTTAAGCCGACTCGGGGCTTGTGTTGTCTCGTAGTTGTCCGTCTGTTGGGGATCGGTGATGAAAAAAACGTCGAAAATGCTAAAACGTGATGGACCTTTTATTATTTGGGGTTCTGTAAAAATATTTTTATTTGGCAAAAATTTGGCTCATCTGAGAAAATCAGGACTCGGGCTGAATCAGGTATTTGAGGAAGAAACGCGACCGCATCCCGGACGGAGAGAGCGGGAGGTCACCCATGGTATCCATGGCTGTGTGATGGTCCCGGGGTCATCTGGGCACTACAGCCTCCACTATATGAGACTTCCATCAGGGATCCCAACAGACTTGGACAAACCTGATAGAATTCAAACTTAAAAATGCCTTTAAACTCTAGCCATTCACGGTCTAATCTAATCGACGTCCTAGTTCATAGACGTCGGCTGCCCACTCTGGATAGCCATTTGAGACCCCTGTTTACTGAGTCCAAGCTACGCCCCCCCCCCTTTTTGACCATGTATAATGTCATAATTTTACATTTTTCCGGGAAAAAATGGAGATGGATAATACCACCCCGAGTAATTCATCAGAACCGCCTCGGATAAATTTGGCAAATCACCACTTGTTCTGAGCAAAAATGGCAAAACTTTTTAAAAAACTCAAAAAATAACCACTCGTCAATCACAAAAAAAATCATCAAAACTTTCATAACTCTCATTATTACTTAACTGAATGGCATAATATAACAACTCCACAAAACTCTCTCTTATTCTTCTCTCTCTCTAAATCCCCATGGCAACCAGAGAGAAAAAACTCTCACTCTAACAAAGAGAATGCAGCTTAGGGGACGTCCATATATTACGTCATCTTTTTAGTGAGTGGGTGGAAAATTATGACAATTATGAAATTTTTTTCCGTGTCAAAATTCACTATATTAAAATTCCATATGTATATGTTAGGTTGGTGTAAAAACACAAATGTTTGATGACGTAATATATGGACGGCCCCCCATCGCATGGCTCACACTCTCTACTCTACAGCATCGTTTTAGAGACTTGCATGAGTTTGCCAGTCGCACGTGAGACGTCGAGGAAGCCCGTCGGTAGTCGTCTCATCGTCTCTATCCTTTGTTTCTTTCTTTTTAGTTTTTTAAAATTTCATTATTTCCATAGCAACCTATACGCTGTGGTTATAAATGGATTATAAAAATAAATAAATAAATAGTATTTTTCATCGCAACCATGCCAACCAACAACTCGTCCCAATCTCCTCCATCCCAACACACGCTGGACGAAATTAATTTACTCAATTTCTATGGAAACTGCGTTGATAAGGTATATAATTTATAATTCTAATTTCCAAAAAAAACATCACCATGGCAACCAATGCGATTATTTAGCGAAACTTTCTCAAGGTCATGCTACTCTTAACTACTAACCCAATCCTCACTCTCTGCACACTAACTCGCACTTGCCAATCCTGTTCTCGTCTCTCTGGCTAAAAAAAAATTATATACGTAGTTTTATCCAGTAACCTTGACAACGTTTTTTCTCACACAAAATTCTTTGTAGGAGAAGAATTTGCAACAACTCTTGGTGAACCAACAGCAAAATTCATCCTCGTCCCAGTCCAGTCGGTACAAGACAGAGTTGTGCAGGTGAGAGACTATATGATGCCCCCGGATTTTTGGGTTTTATTTCCATGGAAATTTTTAAAAATCCGATAATGGTCTGAATTTTAAAATTTTCACTTTTTTCTCATAAGAAAAATGCATGCAAAAAGAAGTCTAATTTTAATGTGCAGACCATTAAATTTGGGTCTTGAAATTTAGCATTTCCATGGAAATTTCCTATTTCTAAAAAATATAATGAAACTAACGCCATGGAAACCACTCTGAAAATAAATTCACAGACCCTTCGAGGAGTTCAGCGTGTGCAAGTACGGGGACAAGTGCCAGTTTGCACATGGGTTGAAGGAATTGCGGAGTTTAAACAGGCATCCGAAATACAAGACGGAACTCTGCAGGACGTTTCACACCCTTGGATTGTGTCCCTATGGTCAGTTGCCAGGGATACTTTTTATTTTTTGTTGCCATGGGAATTTTAACTTTTTTTTCAATGTTTCCATGGAAATTTTAAATTTATTTTCAATGTTTCCATGGAAATATATTAATTTTTAAAATATCCCCCTGGGGAAACCTAGGCCACCGCTGCCACTTTGTCCACGAGGAGATCCACGACATAAATAAATTATTACTTGGCGACCAAAACCTCTTGGCAACGCTGCAACAACAACAGGTTTTAATCCAAGCCCTTCAACAACAGAGACAGGTATTTTTTCCATGGAAACTACATTTTAATTCCATGGAAACCATAAAAAATTAAAAAATCTCTCCCCTACAGCTCTGGACCACCCCTGGCACCACCCCCCCAAATCTCACCACACCCCCACTGCCCACACCCCCGGCCCCCCCACTCTACATCCTCGACACGTCCTCCTCCTCCTCAATGTCATCCTCCTCGGGAGGCTCCTCCCCCTCGTCGTCACAACAACAACTTCCCACTTCGCAACCTCAGCAAAATTTCTCTAATAGACTCCCCGTTTTTTGGAATTTTTAATAACTTATTTCTCTATGGCAACTATTTTATATTATTTTAAAAAATTATATTTTTTGGGGGCGTGGTTATGATCTTATATAAAATTATTCTGTATTTCTATGGTGACGGATTTCTAATAAATTAAATAATATATTTTTAAAAATAATAATAAAAACGAAATTTTTAAGAAAAAAAAAAGTGAGAGTAGTAACCATGGAAAGTGAGAGTCGTCATGTGCATTTATAAATAGGTAACCATGGCAACCAGGATAGAAAGTGAAACTTCCATTGTGTGTAAACTTTCTAAAAATTTTTATTTATACACATATTTATAGTGGATTAGACCAAGAATCACCATGACGACCTTCGCTTGATGATGGTGTTGTTGCCGTGGTGATGGTTGCAGTGGAAAAGCCTTCAACTTGTTCGTCAGCAGCAACACTTCCTTGTTCCTGGTTTATTTTAGTTATGGTTAATTAATTTAATTTTAATTTTAGTTTAAGGCACACCCACCATCGATAAAATGCTCCCCATGTCCATCGGCTTATCGAGGATTATCGCTTCCAGGGTGGAGAGATCTGCAATTTTTTGATATTATTTTAGGGGGCAGGTTGAGATTTTTGGGATTATGTAACCAGCGTGTCTGTCTTTCGTCTTTATCCATTTATAAAAAATCTAAGACACCAACTGGGGCCACGCGAAGTACGTACCTCTCCCGGTGGGGGTGGCTTCTGAATCACCCGCCCCCACATTGACCCTCAGCTCGTTCCCCCCATTTAAACTCAGAAGCATGTAAGTTATGCTCCCGTCCGCGTTCTCCACAGGGACCAACTGTTTATTTTATTTTTAATTAGTTGCCATGGTTACTAAATTTACGAAATTACGAAAAAACCTACGTGAACGACATTGTCCGTTTCGATGAGGGGCGTGGTCAGTTCGAGGATTTTCGAGGAATCTTGAGATTCTAAAACCGTTTCCATGGTGATTTGCTGCGGTTTTATCGTTGCCGTGGGTTTTTGCGGGATGGTTGCTAGGGGGGTTTGTGGGGGAGGTGGGGGTGTGGGTGGGGAGGGTGGAGAAGTGGGTGTGGTTTCTTCGGGTGTTGGGGGTGTGGTCACAGAAGGGGGTGCGGTTTCTTCCTCCATCATTTCTTCTTCTTCTAACGTTTCACTGTAATTTTGGTGGGCGTGGTCCGTCAAAGGGGGCGGCAAAACAGGGGGCATGGTTGCCAATAGCAACGCTTCCGTGTCGATTTCTTCCGTGTTTTCAGTCGTTTCTGGGGTTTCCATGGCGACCGACTCGGTTTCCATGGTTACTGGTTCTTCTTCTGGAGGGTCGTCAGGCACACCCCCTTCGTCCCCCGTTTCAGGGGGGGTTTTCTCATGTTCTTCACCCCCCTCGTCCCCCTCATCCCCCACTTCCTCAGTCCCCTCCCCCTCTACCCCCACAACACTCCTCTTAAGTAACCGATCAAACAAATCCCCCGAACTCTCCTTCTTCCCCCCCGCCCCCCCACCCCCACTCCCCCCACTTTCCCCCCCCAAATCAAACCTCTCAATCTCCCCCGTCTCCACCGTTTTAGTATCAAAAATCCTCAATTCCGGCATCTTCTCCTCCTCCTCTTCTTCATCCCACCCCCCCGTCCCCCCACCCCCTGCCCCCCCTCCCCCCTGAGGGTCCCCCCCTCCCCCTCCTCATCCCAATCCCTCAAAATGTTCTTCATCTCTTCTAACCTCTTCTTTTTCAAGTTTTCCTTCTTCAAAACGGGGGAAATCTTCTTTACTATCGCAGATTTTCTCTTGGTTGCCATGGAAACTGACACTTTACAACTCGACTTGTGCAAATTATAAGTGTTGATCCGGTCAAAGGATATTTTACATTTTTCACAGCTGAACCGCTTCTTTTCCGAGGGGGATGTGGTGGGTGTGGTTTTTGTGGGTGTAACAGGGGGTGTGGTGGTTTTAGTGGGTGTGGTGGTCACCCTGGAAACGATTATTTTTTTAGTGGGCGTAGCAACCTCTGGTTTGGCTTCGTCAGCCGTGATCTTATCGAACCAAACAGAGGATAAGGCCGGGGATCGCGTTGCTAAGATCGTTTCCATGGCAACCACGTCGGATTTGTAGTTGGGGAGTTGCGAGGGGTGGAGTTTTAGGAGTTTTACTGTGGATTTTAATTTATTATTCGGTTGCCATGGTTACGGAATTATTAAGAAATTGTAAATTACCCGTGGTGATCTTGATTAATTCCTCTTTTTATCGGAATCGTAGGGGATCAGGTCCGTTTCCTTGGTTACCTGGTGACTATTTTTTTAAATTATTTATTAAAATTATTATTAAATTTATTAAATTACAATAAAAATAAAAACAAATCCGTTCCTATGGAAACGGTAACCATGGCAATAAAATAAAACTCCACTTACTAATCCTCGTCCGAGGGAAAGGTGACAAACTTGAGAAAAGATTCCTTCCGTTTGGCCTTTTTCTCGACAATTTCGAGCATTTCCTGCGTGTATTTCGAAGGATCGACGAGCTCTCCGGGCCAAAATGTTTTGGATTCCAGGCGGACGAAATAGAGGTTTTTTGAGGTGGTGGAAGTGGTTGTGGTGCTGGTGGTGGGCTTCATTTTTGGGGCGTTTTTTTGGGGAATTAGGGGAATTTTGGGGAGGTTTTTGGGCGTGGAAACTTGGGTTTTTATTTTTAATTTAAAAAACACTGATGAAAAGCTGATTTTGTTTGTAATATTTAATGTCAAAAAGTTGTGTAAATTTGGGGGTAGATGGCGCGGGGGGTGTTTTGAGAAAGTGGGATTGGGATTTTGCTAGTAGTTTAGGAGCGAAAGGTTTTTCCTCCAGCGTGGAAGAAGTGCCGATTGAGTGTGAAAATATTTGTAAAATGGGGCCATCCATATATTACGTCATCAAAAATTCTCGATTTTCCGGCTCACCCAACGTAGACATTAGGGGATAGAAAAACTTGGAAATGATAGAAAAACCCAAATAATCCACTTTCTAAAATGATGACGTAATATATGGACGTTCCCAATACGGCAATTTAGCCTCGAAGGGATATAAATTTAGTGTTTGGAGTGTAGCAAATTTTCTTAAATTGAGCTTTTAAAGAGTTTGTGAAGCTGATATTTTTGAGGGGTTGCGTTGGAAGGTCGCTGCAAATTGACTTTGATCCTACTCCTTGAACTTGCCTCTTTCTAAGATGGACTGCAATTTGCACGGATTTTTTTGACCATTATTATTTTGTTTATGCTCATCAGAAAGAGAACAACAAAAATGTGATGATATCTTGATCTTTGATCTTCGGCTCTAGCTTTTCACCTGCGAATCTTTTCTCCGAAGGATACATTCTTTCTCTTCTCCTCCGAATCAAACTACGGTTGGCGAATTTCATGCAAGTGGTTTCAAGAGGTAAAGCACCATTTGAGCATGTCTAACAGCACCCCAAATGTCTCACATTTTTAAAATAAAACAATTTGCCCTATTTATGAAAGGGGTAGTTATGGAAACACCAGGGCTGACATTTTAGTTTGTGAACCTGATATTTTTCGGTGGTTTCACTGGATATTATAATAAATATGAAATCGTTGAGAGAGAAAATTGCGCACAAATTGCAGGTATAGCAATTGCGACTCTTTTTCTCGCACAATCTCACAATTTTGTGCCTTTTGACTCCAACCGACCCAAAACTGCAACTATTCAGATCTGCGTCCCAAATTATTGGAAAAGGTTAAACCAATTCCTTCTGAACATTTGAAGACCAAATTGATCGAAATCGAATCGTTCCACTCGTTGAACTTGCCTCCTTTTGACTTGGACGGCGGTAATTTGCTCGAATTGAATTTGGATGTTGGCATATATGAGTTGGCATGTTGGATGTTGGCATGTTTTGCAGAATCACCGGGAAAAATTGTGTCAGGGAATCCCTTCTTGTCAAATGAGTCCAGAATTTCGTAATATCCGGCTATGGTGAACGGATCCTGGCCATTCCGCTTTAATGCTGCTAAACCAGCTGGACTGACAAGTTTGATATTAGCTTATGTATTATCGTTTCAATCTAAAATTTAATTTTAGCCTTGGCAAGTGAAGGACCAGATTTGTCAACTAAAGAATTGGCCTAAAGTGGCGACAGCGACTCTGAAATGAACGATATGTCCCAAGATATGTTTGCAGAATTAGGAATAATGCGTACCGAACCAGATGATGATTTTCTTCCGAGATTAACACCCTTCTTTTAATTAAATTCAATTTCTGCCATCGCTCCTTTTCCTTTTCCTCTTTGTCGTTTCATTTAATTTTTCTTGTTCTACCAGTCGATCATTTCCAGAATTTTTTCTTTTATCCCATCAATTTTGTCCTTAAAATTTTTCCTATTTAAAATCTCATCCAATTTTTCAATAACTTGGAATGTTGTGGAGTCACCTCATGAACCATATTTTGTTTAATATATTTATTTAGTAAACATGCTGAATCCGATGTTTTATTTAGAACATTAGAGTTATAATTTTTATGCAATTTGTGTAAAGTTATTATTTGAGGAGAATGTCGTCCAGGTGGGACTTTGACTCCTCAAATCAAAGAATTCGGACGCTCCCACCGCGAAAGTTAATGAACACAGTTTTTCAATCATCACGACCCGGCCATCTCGGAAATTATTCGTACCTCCAAGGTTCAAAGAAATTCAACGTTTCCATGGTCATCCGAAGCCGCCTTGCATAGATTAACGTCAAGTTTGGCGTACTCGCTTAATAATCCTAATTAATTTAATAAAAATTTTGACAATTTATCAGTGAAAGTTACAAAGTCTGAATACTTTTGGCGACAATGCCCACGCTTCTTTTCTATTATGAAATTTAATTTCGCATATTACTTTTTAGCCCGAACCAGGGCTTATGTAATTGTCATGCCCGTCCATCCGTCTGTCTTTCGATAACTCTGGAACGAGTGGGCCGATTGACTTAAAATTTTTACCAGATGCATACTGGACAAAGTTAGGAAACGAGTTCGAAGATGGGCGGGGTATTATGCACCAAAATTTTGAAATTGTCGTGGAAAGCTGAAATTTGGCACAGAGGTAGTAAGTGGGTCCTAAAGGAAGCATATGAACTCAAATTGGAAAAATTTTCATCTGGAAGGGTCCGATTGGGTGACCCATACTGATTTTTCAAAATCGTCATATCGTGCTTAGATTTGGCATTTAGTTTTCTTATGGCTCTTCATGGAAGAGTATGGAATTTGAAAAATTTTCATCTGGAAGGACCCTATGGGGCGACCCCCACCAATTTTCAGGAATTAACATGGAAAGCTGAAATTAGGACCCGAGATCCTTACTGCCGTCTTATGATATAATTACGGGGTGGCCCACACCGATTTCCAAAAATTGATATAACCAGCTGAAATTTAGTATGGAGTCGAAAACTAACTTACGATTATCATTTTGGAGGTTTAAATTTCTAAATTTTTATAGAGATGACCTCATGGGAAGTAGTCAAGGGGAAGGGATAGTAAATATTTTTAGAATTTGAAGCCAAGTAATATCAAGAATTGGTATAACTTGCTTGAATGCTTCATAATGAAAAATTAGCTAGCACATCATTTTATCGAGAACTAGTGATAAATAGGAGTTGAGTTTTGGGTCTGGCCGAGAGAGGTTCTTTACTTCACTAGCTCCGTGAGTGAAATGCAACAGCTCAGAATCGGGTTAATTTTGAATCCTTTAAGAAAAAGGACGTAGTTGCATTAGCATCGGTATAGATGGATTGTTAATTAAATAATTTAATGTAATTTTAAATAATTTTAAACAGTTTCACAAGATTTTTAATATTAAATATATATTATATTGCTTTCACTAACTAATTATGGCACTAACAAAACCAGCTCAATAACTTAATTAAATTCTTTATAATTATGAATTCTATGTACTCTATGGGCAGATTTTGCCCGAAAGGGTTTTATTAAGGTAATAAATCAATCAATCAACTAGTGATAAATATGGGTTAATTATTTAACCCTGGTCCGGGCTAAGCAAAGCTGTACTATAGGTTTTAACGTTTGATTTGATAATGAGTTCTGCATACGAGTTCTGCATAGTCGACACTTGCATCACCATTGAGGGATCGCAGGAGCAAAGCAGCACAGCTCAGACCTCCCTGCTCCTCCTTGGGGTACAAATGAAATTAACCCACTAAATTCAAGCTCAGATGTATTTTCATCCATTTTATCGCAGAATCCACAACTGTAGACTAGATCAAGGCTAATCAAGTTACGACGTGTAACAAGCTCTAGCAGAGTCCTTTAAGAGGCGCCCCTCTGTGGATAATCAATTAAAATGTTTGGCTTTGCCGCAAAAATCTACCCAAACATTTTAATTGATTATCCACAGAGGGGCGCCTCTTAAAGGACTCTGCTAGAGCTTGTTACACGTCGTAACTTGATTAGCCTTGATCTAGTCTACAGTTGTGGATTCTGCGATAAAATGGATGAAAATACATCTGAGCTTGAATTTAGTGGGTTAATTTCATTTGAGTTCAGTGAATCCGCAAATGTCGATGAGATTTGTGGGGTTTTTTGAGACATGGTCATCCGCCGCAATTGATACCTTGCTTAAAAATCCATTGTTTACGCCTTATTTAGAGTATTATTTTCTGTTTATGTTTTTTAACATTTTATTTTTGTTTTGATTTATTTTTCATCATGCTAATTTATAGTACAAGATGAATATTTAAAAAATTTTCATCTCTTTCTTTTAATTTTCACGACAACGTAAAACCAAACACTATAAATTGACAAAAAAATAATCCCGGCCAAACATGAAAAATTGCAAATTACTCTACATATTTCCATCTAATTCATCCTGCTAATCCTGGATCGAACTACCATTATCAAAATTCTTATTGTTCAACGTCTGCGACGGCGACTGAAGAGAAAGCAGAGATCAGTTTACATTCGTCCCATATTTCTGAAGCGTGACAATGACGGCGAACAGCAGTTGGTCATGGATCTTCGAGATGACCCCTACTATAATTTCCGATACTTTAGGTAAACTTGATAATATGCATATTATATTACCACCACCGTTACCCATACTTTCGCATTATAAAAATAGGATGAGCAAAGAAAATTTCGATACCATTTTGGACTTGGTGACCCCAATGATCTCGCATCCGGCTAATCACATTCGTCCTATATCACCTCTTCAAAGATTGGATTGGCAATAACATTGAGGTACTGAAAATATCCCAATTTCGGGTAGTGTCGTATGACAAAACAAACATGATTTTCGTGCAGGTACCTCGCCACAGGAAACTCTCAAATTTCTCTTGCAATGAGCTTCCGTGTATCGCCTTCTTCTGTGTGCGGAATTATTAGAGAAACTCTTGCAGCAATTAATCAAGCATTGAAGTCAGATTATTTGCCCACCCCCACCGCATCTACTTGGATAAATAATGAAAACCAATTCAGAACAAAGTGGAATTTTCCTCATCCTTGTGGATCATTGGATGGCAAACACATCCGAATCAAGTGTCCTTCGGCATCGGGGTCCCTGTATTTCAATTACAAGACTTATTTTTCAATCGTCTTGATGGCCCTGTCAGATGCAGATTTCAAGTTTACAGCCGTAGATATTGGGTCGTACGGATCTGAGTCAGATGGAGGAATTCTGGCAAAATCCCACATTGGACGCAAGATTTCCAGCGACACTTTCAACCTTCCATCGCCACAACCACTATCCAATACTGGTACTCCTCTGCCCTATGTTTTTCTAGGAGATGACGCTTTTCCGCGGCGGCACAACTTGCTGAAACCATACAAAGGAAACTTCCTGCAAAAGACGGACCGAGTCTTCAACTATAGGCTTTCAAGAGCTCGAATGACCGTTGAAAATTCCTTTGGAATAATGGCTGCACGATGGAGGATTTTCCATTCGGTGATTGAAGCGGATGTGGACCTCGTGAAGCAAATTACGTTGTCGGCCGTAATTTTACACAATTATCTAATGAATAAGAAAGACTTCAACAATATTACTCCTGATCGATTTGAGGATGGAAGAGTTCAGCATGGGAACTGGCGTGATACTGTTCAGAATGATAACGGGATGATACAAATACCAAGGCAAGGCACCAACAACTACACCCAGTATTCAGCTCAGGTCAGGAACCACTTTCGAGACTATTTTAATAGTGAGGATGGACCACTGAGCTGGCAAGATCATCATGTTGACGCGGGGGGTAGATGATTTTCTATTATGTTGTATTATATTGTTATAATCTTTTTGAGTGCATTGATTTGTAAATTATTTTGAGCAGTTTTTATTTCACCACATCTTGAAATAAACTACAAATACAAATTTTGGATATGCAACATAAACTCAACGCCTATTAAATATAGTTATATGTATTGTATAGTAACTGTAATTACAAAATATCGAGTTCTGTTTTGTACAAAACCCCATGCAGCTCATATTCGCAGGTCGCAGCAGCCTTGGGATCCTTTTCATGAATTTTGCGAAGTTTTGCAGCCAAGGTCTTCCCAAATCGCTCAAATTCGTCATCCTTCGAGTCACCTCCCTTGACAAAATTAAGCATTTGTTCCTCCAGACTGTCCAGCTTCCTCTTCTAGACACAGCACAAGAAAAATATAAGTTTACATGCATAAAAACCACGTAATAGAAGTAATATACGCACCCCTCCGAATTTAGCATGGGATCTCGGGCGAGGATTAGACTCTGGCACCGAGTTTTGAGTTTGAATTGGGACAACGGAAGTGTCAATGTTGTCATCGTTCAAGTCAGCAAAGTTTATTGTTGAGAATTCGTCATCTGCATGCTCTGTCTCGTCCTCATCACCATCAAGATTACAAATGGTCCTAAATGAAAGTATAATATCAATAAAAATTCTAAGAGAATCATAAGCAACAAACATCTCACTGAGACTGATCTTGTCCTCCTGAAATAAAGGACATTGCATCAAACAGTCGGAAGGAACTTCGTGCTTTAGCCCCACTTCCCGTTGGAAGAGCTCGTCTCGCGGCCAAGTACTGGGTCCTCAAACTTTGCCAAAGTGCCATACACACGTCACCTGTGTTGAGGTGCAGTTAATAATTATCAGAAACTTTATGATAAATTCAACCTACCAGGTTTTCCAAGCTGCTCTCCAATACTAGTAAAAGTATTTTGTCGCATCGTGTTGACCTTGTAGTCCTTGTCTTTGATGTCCCAGATGTGGCGGTGGGGCTCCACTAGGGTCACCAACTTGGATTCGAGCGCCAGTTTGTCATCCTCTGGCGAGAATGCGCTTTTCAGGGCTATTTTTTTGGGACCCATTTCCGCTTTATATCAAAATCTGGTGTTTTGTTTTATTTTCACTCGAAAAAAGTTGACTGGATGTCAACTTTGCAAAATGAAGCGAAACAGAAGAGAAAATGACACGAATTGCACTCTAAATTAGCGAAAAGAAAGTGAAAAGAAAATGTTGACATGACATTAATTTTAAACGAAACCAAAATGAAAAGAATATACTATAAATTGATGTCGTGGTGAAAAATAAATTAAACAGAAATTAAAACGACATTAATGCGTTACTCTAAATAAGGCGTTATGCCATAAAAATAAAATCATAACCTGCCCAATGCCGTGGGTGAAATCGTATACTCTTATACTACTAACGCTTATGAACGGAAATAGTCCCACTCCCACCTAAGAAAAAGCTCCAAACATGCAAAAAAAATATTCTTAGGTGCGCAGAAAAAAGGTGCCAAAAAATTCTTAGGTGCGTTACGAAAAAAAAATCTTAGGTGCTCCATGAACAAAAATCGCGTTACACAAAAAAAATCCCCACACTAAAATCACAAATTTATTACAAAAACCTCCTGACCCACCGGAGTAACCCCCCACTGCCCACATTCGTGTATAAAACCGGCATGCTCTTCGTCCCGCAGTGGAACCCGCTTGAAAACAGCCCAACGAGGCGATACCCACCCGAATCCGGACACGCCAGCGGAGATCCTGCGTCGCGAGGAGACTACAAACACGTATTTTATTAAATTGTTTCCATGGCAACTCTGAAAAAAAAATTCCATGGCAACTCACAAAACAAGCCTCCGCCTGAGGCTTCCCGCTCGCGCACAAAAGCCCGTCCTCTTTGAAATCATGGCGAAAATGGGGGGAAATGTTTTTCGAGTAATTTCCGAGCGCCGCGGAACAGGTTTCAGGGGACTCGAGGAGCTGCTCTGCTTCGTGGAGGTCGGAGGGTTCTGGATTTTATTTTTTTCTTATTTTTAGTTTCCATGGCAACAGGATTAAATAAATTAGTAAAAATTACCCCCCACGACCGCCGCGGAGCTCGTCGGGTGGCTGAATCCGGACACTGAAAATAAATAAATTTTAGCATGGTAACCATGGCAACCGAATAAAAAACCCCCTACCGATGCACCCCTCCCCGGAGTGATCCGAGTTGGGCGTGTCCTCCAAGCAAACGGTGCAGAAAGACTCCCCCGGCGATGAGGGTGGTGACAACTTCACGATCGCTATGGAAACATTAAATTTAAGTAACCATGGCAACCAATAAAAATCCAGTAACCATGGAAACATTAATTTTAGTAACCATGGCAACCTACCAACATCATTGACCCTGACCACCCCCCCATAGACCCCATATTCCTCATGAATGACTAATTCTTCCACATCCCTGTACCAGCCCTGGGACCACCCATTCATCGGGTGAATCAACCTCCGACTTCCGAGCACCACTTTAAACTGTTTTAGATCCTGCCCGAATAATCGTGACACGCACGTTGCCGTGGTTACCAAAATCGTGGAGGAGATCAGTGCGCCGGAGCAGAGGAATGTTCCCGGGTCGGAGTAGGTCGTGGTTGAGGGGGTGTGGTTCTGGTGGGTGTGGTTGTTCAGGGGGGTGCGGGTTAGGGCCCCAGTCCAGCAGATTTGCTGGGTGGTGGACTGTGGATTTATAATTTTTTTTAGTTTCCATGGCAACCAAATGAATAATTAATTTTTAAAAATCACCTTGGCAGCCAGCCGATTAATCCGATTGTTCAGACACGAGCTGTAATGCGTGTGGGTGTTTACACTCGTTTCCGTGACAACGACCGTGGTTTCCATGGTTTCCGTTTTGTTATTATTTCCAGGGGGTGTGCTGGTCGTCGTTGTCATAGCTGCCGTGGTTTCCTGTGTAAGAGTCGTAACATCCAATAATTTCGTTGTCATGGTAACCAACTCCGGTAACTTTGTGCTAATTTCCGTGGTGGTCGTCATGATATTATCCTCCACGGTTGTCATGGTTACTAAATCTTCGATGGAGTTTGATCCGGGTTCCTCAACGGACTTGCTCTCATCCTCTTCCACGCTTTCGATTGAGATGCTGGAGGTGGGCGTGGTCGTGGGGGTGGAAATGGGGGTGGTCGTGGATGTGGTGTTGTCTGTGGTGGGGATGGATTTTTAGTTGTCATGGGGATTTTTTTATTGAAATTTTGATTGTTTCCATGGAAGTTTTTTAAAATAAATAAAATCTATTTCCATGGAAATGGTAACCATGCGGAAAAAATCAATTTCTATGGAAACAACAAGTAACCATGGAAACCACTAACCTGTCACACCCCCCAACAATTTACAGCAGACGAAAAATGCACGTGGGGTGAATGCTTTTCTCAGCCCGTCGCAATGCCCGTCCTCGTCAGCAACAAACTCCTTGTCAACTGTTTATTTTTTGTAAATTTATAATTTATGTTGCCATGGAAATAAATCCGTAAATTCTCACCCGTGCAATCCCCCCCTAAAATACAGTAACCCCCCATCCCCCCACAAGTCTTGACCCCCGTTATCACAAACACGCCTGTAGGAAACAAACATATTAATTTTCCATGACAACAGAAAAAATACATTTCCATGACAACAATGCCAATATAACTGACCCTTATCAACGACGGGCAACCCCTTGACCACCGCAACCACGGAAAATAATAATATTAATAAATCCATGGCAACTCACTTAAAACAAAAATCACAGAGAGAATAAATCACCTTGGCAACCACCAAAGATAATAACAACCGAATCTCCTCTCCTTTATTAAACAAAAGACAATTGCGATGGTAACGCGACGACGACGAGTGTGTGTAAAAAAATTTGCATATCCCGTTACTCTGGCAACGCTGGCTTTACAGTAAAAATTCTATTCACACCAAGAAGTCTCAAGAAGAAGAAGAAGTTAGTTCACGGTTCATTGAACTGACTTTGAGAAAAAACGGGTTTTTTAATACGGACGTAACGAATATTTCCATGGAAACTTAATTTTCGTTTCCATAGAGAAATTGCGTTTCCTTAGAAACAGACAGTTTCCATAGAGTAACCTTGGAAACAAAGAAATTGTAAAAAAGGTGTTTCATTGTTGTTTAGGAGAGATTGTTGTTGCCGGTAGTTTTTTTTTCGAGTGGAAAATAAGTTGTCATGGGGATTTAGTTTTTTTTTAATTTTAAAAAATGTGGAAAAAATATATATTAGTGTTTAATTTAGTTATGATTTTTGTTAATTCCATGGAAACGGGGAATAAAAGTGATTTAATTAATCAACAAGTGGGGGTGGAGAAGAATTTTAAGGGGAGTGCCCCTCAGGGGGAGGAGGCTGAGGAAGAAGAGGAAGATGAGGGGCCAAGTTTTGGGGGGTTGCTGAATGGTATTTTTTTTTAAAGATTTTATTTCCATGGCAACAATTTAATAATTTTTTAAAAAATTAGGATTACTGGAGTCGTTTTCTAATCCAAAGCCACACCCACCTTCGCCACACCCACCGCAAAACTCAACGACCCCACAGAAACCGCACCCCCCTCAGAATCCCTGCCCCGGGCGGTGCGTCTCCCCCCTGGCATCCGTTTTCATGTGTGACAAGACCACGGAATTATTCAGTTGCCAGGGTAACCAGGTCTGTTGCCATGACGACCCACCAACGGCACACCCCTCGGACACTAAAAAAATCACCCCCTCGGAAATTTTAGATGACGACGACGAGGAAGAAGAAGAGCAGGAAAGTGTGGAAAGTGTGAAATTATGCGACGGTGTTTGCATCGGGAAGGAGCTGGCGGGGGAGGTCTGTGAAGAAGTCAGGGAGGATGGGGGGGCGTGCCCCAAGGGGAGTGTCTGCTGTGGGAGGAGTCTGAATTCTACCATGGCAACGGGCACACCCACTGAGAAAATAAAGAAGAAATGCGAGGGGACGTGCAGGTCCATGATTTTTGGGCTGTTTCTTTGTGATGAAATCGATTCAGAGGCGGAGTGCGGGGAGAGCCATCAGGCGTGTTGTGTTATGAAAGAGAGGCCGCAGCAGGCACGCCCACCGCAGGGGGTGGGACACCCACAAGGGGCGCACCCACAAAATAGACCACACCCACCGCAGGGGGCGCGCCCAACAACTCAGCCACACCCACAACCTCAAGAATCTGAAGAGGATTCTCCACCACCCACTCAACCGCGCCCACCTCCATCCGCGCCCCAGTCGCCGTCACACCCACCACCGCGCCCACATCAGCCACACCCACAACAACCCCACCCTCCTCCTCCCCCCAATCCCCCCCACCCCCACCCCCCGTGTGCCACGCCTACTGCGTCGCCCTGGCAGCCCTCCCCTACTGCCGCTCCCCCCTCCCCGGAACCTGCGGGATCAACGCGGGCTGCTGTGGTCACGATTTGCAGCCCGTCCTCCGCCCCGTTGCCACGACAACCACCTCCACGACCACGCCCCCCTCCACAGAATCGGATTACGACTCCATGGAAACGCCCTCGGCGGCGGTGGTTGCCATGGAAACGTGTCCTGGGCAGTGTATAAGACCGATCATGTCGTTTACCTGTTTTCTCAATGCGGAGATGACGGATGGGTTTCGGTGCGAGGATCCCAAGATGAAGTGCTGTGCGCCGAAGAAGAATTTGCCAGGGAATTCGACGCAAGGGGGTGTGGTCCAAGGAGGGGGTGTGGTCCAACCGGGGGGTGTGCCTCAAGGGAATAATGTCGTTTCCGTGGGAACTTATAATAAGTTCCCGCCACCCCCACAGCAACAACAGCAACCGTTTCCACAGCAACCGTTCCCCCAGCAGTTTCCACAGCAACCACAATTCCCACCACCCCCCCAACAACAACCCCCACCACCCCCACCCCTTCTCCACCCCAAACCTGACCGCACCTTCACCCAAACATCCCGTTACATCTGCGGCGTGAAAGGCGCGCCCGCGACATCAGCGCTGCAAATGCTACCCGAGGGGTTATTGTCGCGGCGGAAGCGCGTGGTGGGCGGGAGCGACGCGGCGCCGGGGGAGTGGTGCTGGCAGGTGGCGCTGATCAACTCCATGAATCAGTATTTATGCGGGGGGGCACTGATCGGGGTCGAGTGGGTTCTGACTGCGGCTCATTGCGTTACCAAGTGAGTTGCCATGGGGATTTTGAATTTTGGAAGTTGCCATGGAAATTGATTTTTAAAATTATATTAATTTCCATGGTTATAATTTAAATCAACGTTTCCATGGAAAATTGAGTTGCTATGGAATTTTTTATGAGAGTTGCCATGGAAATTATTTTTATGAAAAACCATGGAAATTAATTTTGCTAAAAAAATATAACAATTTCCATGGTTATATTCTTAAAAAAATCCAAGTTTCCATGGAAAAATAAAAAACCCGTTACCATGGAAATAAACTAATCACCATGACAACCCCCCTTAGCATCGTCCGCTCTGGAGACTCGATCTACGTCCGCGTGGGTGACCACGATTTAACATCAAAATACGGCTCCCCAGGGGCGCAAACCCTCCGCGTGGCCACGACCTACATCCATCACAACCACAACTCACAAACTTTAGACAACGACATCGCCCTGCTCAAACTCCAAGGCCAAGTATCACTAAAAGAAGGGGTGTGCCTCATCTGCCTCCCCTCGCGGAGTGGGGCAGGTGGGAATTTACTCCCCGGGAGGAGGTGCACCGTCACGGGCTATGGATACATGGGGGAGAGTGAGTAGTTTTTTTTTGGTTGCCATGGAAATTATTAATAAAAATTAATAAAATATAAAATGGAAACTGAAAATAATTAAAAATATGTGTTCAACTAGGCGGCCCGATCCCCCTCCGCGTTCGGCAAGCGGAGCTCCCCATAGTTTCCGATGGGGAATGCATTAGGAAAGTAAATGCCGTTACGGAGAAGCCTTTTGTCCTGCCGATTTCCAGTTTCTGCGCCGGGGGAGAGTTCAAAAATGATGCATGTCAAGGTATTGTCATGGATTTTTTGTTTTTTTTTGGTTGCCATGGAATTTTAATAATTAAATTTTCTATGTGGTTGCCATGGAAATTTTACTTTTCTCATCGTTACCACGGAAATAAATAATTTTTATCCTAGGCGACGGGGGCGGCCCTTTGGTCTGTCGAGAAGACGATTACTACGAATTAACGGGTTTGGTCAGCTGGGGTTTTGGGTGTGGCAGGTAAAATTTTTATTTAAAATTTCAATTTCCATGGAAACTAACCACCATTTTATTATAAAAAAAATACAGAAAGGACGTCCCCGGTGTGTACGTAAAAATCAGTTCATTCATCGGTTGGATAAATCAAATAATATCAATTTCTAATTAATTTTATACAAAAATTTATATAAATAAATAAATCCAGAGGGGTACAAATAAAAAAATAATAAAAAAATTCCACACACCGTTTCCATGGAAAATCTCCGCACCAGCGCCACCTCGCGTCGCAACCCCGCACTTTTCCTCAAACAAAAGACCATTTTCTTCACTTTTAACTCTTTAAAAAAAATCTCAATCAAAAGATCTCTAAATTAAAATAAAATAAAAAAAAATAAATGAAACCATGGATACGAATCATCTCAGATCACTGACTTTGTCCAAATTGCTCTCGAGCAGTTACGGCAATGGGTTGAATTCGAATTCGAATAACGGGGTGGAAACAGTGCTCGAAAATAACAAACCTTTGAAAATTAATAAACAAAATGTACAAAATTTAGTCGAAGGGTTCTGGAAATTGAATCAGAATGAAAAGTTATTGTTTCTCATTGGGATTCAGCAACAGCAGGGGGGTGGGAATCAGAATAAGGATGTCGTTGTTGGGTGGGTTTTTTTATAAGTGTTTCTATGGTTATTTTTTTATTTTTAAATGTTTCCGTGGTTACTGTTTTTCGTGTATATATTTCCATGGTTACATTTTTGTTTTAAATTCAATGGTTACCGTTTCCATAGTTTTAAAAAAATATTTCCATGGTTACTACTTTTAACTTTTTTTGTTTCCATGGTTTTTTAATTCACATTTCCATGGCTATAAAATCAATATTTTCATAGCAATTAAACAAAAATTCCATGACAACTAACTAATTTCTCTCTCCTCCCCACAGCTCCACCACACCACCAATCAACCCAGTAAACGGCGACCCCACCACCGCCACACCCACCAATCTCCCCACCCCCATCCCCCCAACCACACCCCCAATCCCCCCTCCCCCCACCCCCACCCCCTCCCTCTCCCGCCTCTCCTCCACCACCTCCTGGCTCCTAACAAACTTCACCTCCGACCCCCTCACGGCCCTCCCAAAGGAAGAAGTTTACGATTTTTACACACAAACGTTTCCATGGAAACCAATCTCCACGGCGGATTTCGGAAAACTAATGCGCCAAGTCTTCCCAGAAGTAAAAGCGCGTCGCCTCGGACAACGCGGCGCATCGAAATATTGCTATGCCAACATCCGCAAAAAATCCCCCAACGACGTGGATAAACCCACCCTCACAGAAATTAAAATCAGTCTCCATGACGACTATTTAAATTGGGCCAAGGCTAATTTCTCCATGGAATTTGACAATTTAGAAACTCTGCTTTATTATTTAAAATGTAATAATTTCAAAAATCCAAGGAAACGAAGAAACTCCTCAGTTTCCATGGTTACTAAGAAATTCGGAAATCAAAAAGCGGAGGACTTGGAAATCTCCAAATATTTCAAAAACGATGACGACGATTGGCCACATTTGCGAAATCTCCTTGACAACAGTAAAAAAAGACACTGTTCAAATAATGTTGTCATGACAACGAAGATTGTCGAGACTTTCGAACATAACAACCGATCCGCTTCCGTACCCATTTTCGAACAGTCCTCAAGTTCGAGATATATTTTGTCAAGTTCGAGATCCGCAGATTCCGGGTATGACTCAGTCCATAGCAACACTCCGTTAACGACCGTTGCTACGGATTTTAATAGGGATGAGTTTCTAGGGGGGAATCCTTTATTATCCAGTGTTTTGATGGAGGGGAATACCAGTGGGGGTGGGGGTGCGAGTGGGGACAGTGGGGATGAAGGGGGGGTGTTGTTTGACTCGGTTTTTGATTTAATTGTGGATGAAAGGGGGGAATTATTAGAGATGGATGAGAGGGATGAGTTGATTAGTGGGGGTGGGAGTAGTGGGGGGCAGGTGGGGGTAATGGGGTTGGGAGTAGTGGGGGGGTTGATGAGGGGGTTGTAGGGGGGAGTTATTTCGATGTCATTTAAATTATGGATAATTAAATAAACAGAGAAAGAGTAAAACCATGGCAACTGTGTGGCAATTTTTATTTCCATGACATATATTATTTAAAATTTATTTGCTCCGCTTTAGAGCAAATTACAAACTGCCAAATTAATCCTCTATCTCTAGAAGAAATTGCATTAGCAATTAAATTAGGTGGTTTTAGGAATTAGACAATCGAAAACATTAGCAACTCCATGTTTCCTAATGAGCATCTTCATTTGCCACCACTGACGTGATTTCTTTAATTTTGCCCTCGTATGTCACTGCTTTGTCCGATTCACTTGTGACCGAGGCGCAAGACTTGTGGATTTATATATTTATACTAATTTATCAATTAGTTGTGATGAATTACCTCGCAGTACAATTACTTCTTTTCAATCATCCTGGGAAATTCCAATTTTCAATCCCGTATCTTCCTGGAACTATCCACCACCCCAATAAATACCGCTAATAACGAGCGACGCCGCCAATAATTCCAGCCAAGTGAGGAAATTGATGACCAGTCAAAAAGCACTGGGAAGAAAGCTCATCAACCTCATCAGGATGGAGGAAGCAGATTTGATATAGCTTCCAGAAAAAATGAGGTTGACGAACGTCCATCATTGGATTAACGTAACCTACGTTTTGTAGGTGTAGTGCATTCGAAGAAATGAAAATCGAGCGTGATCCCTTCGTTGTCATGGAATTGAATTTGGTCCGTATTTCCAAGATAATCACTTTACCTATGCTGATAACTACTTAATACGAGTCCTGCAATAGCTCGGAAATTGCTAAATGAAGAAGCATTCCGGAGCAGTGAGATCAAACCTGCCTGGAAATTTCCTAAACCGAAGAAAGACCAAGTCGTATACCGTATAATTCTGGAGTTATGGCCCCTGGTAATTATTCCACCAGTCCAAGAAGGTTCCAACGTTAAAACCTTCAGTTTGATATCCGTATCCAAGAAGTGACTGCGAAGAAGCCTCAGTGCGTGGGGATAAGCGGCGAATACCCATACATTCTTTTTTTTGACTGGATGGCAAAATGAATATTGAGATTTAGCTTCATTTCTCAGATCGATGTTGATTTGCAATTCCTTCCACACTGTTCTATTTATGGTTGACATGTCCGACACAAGCCCGTACACCTGGACGCCAACGTTGAACAATTCGCTTATTATTTGGTTGATGATTCCCTTCGTGAGACGAGCATCCAAAGTAAATGACCTGTTTCCACTGGTACGCCAAACTTCTCACGGTGACTACAAGTAAGTTTTTATGTGGTCCCAGGATCTTCTCATTTTTCTGGTCGTACAATACCCTTCCGTCAATGTACATTTCATCAAACGAGATCATGGCAGCTCTTTGTAGGGGCGTGCGAATTCTAAGAATTCGTTCTTCATGACTTGAAACACGGGTCAAATAAAACCAGGTTGAACCTTTATCCGTTGCAGGTGTCCCAGGATACAGGATCTGGATGGAAATGGATATCCGATCGTGTCCCTCAAAAATGCATAGCATGATGAAGACGCACTAAAAATGCTAATTGCTGCAGACAAGTCATTTTCATTCCATCGTTTGAAGTTGGTTTTGCCGATGACGAGCTCGATCATGTTTTGAGTCAAAAACTGCATACGGAGTTATTAGGCCCCTGGTAATTTTTCCACCAGTCCAAGAAGGTTCCAGCGTTAAAACCTACTCCATTTAGCCCGAGTCAGGGAGTCTGACTCGGTGAGTCCTAGCCGGTTTTAAATTTTTCTCCAAATTGACCGACATACAATACTTTTAACCTCTGGTGTAATAATTCAAGAGTTATGGCGAAAGCTTGGAAAGAATATACAGAATGATTTCCACTGGGATCAATTACGAAATAGTGAAAGTAACGTCAAAAAGTGGAGCCACCAAGCGATAGCCCCTCACTACGATTATCATTCCAGTCCAAGAAGGTTCCAACGTTGAAAATGGAGCAAATTTCCCATGAATTACTACAGCTTTCCTTAAAATAGATTTCAAAAATGCTTTTAATACTCCAAGGAAATTGTTCATGAACCAATACCTCAGCTTTATTTCCGTGACAACCATGACAACGCTATGAATTATAAAAATAAATAAACACAGAGAATAACCATGACAACCACTTCTTTATTAATCACCATGACACCCACACACCTACTGAAAATACCTGACCCCACTAACGCTTAAAAATTTCTCAATAAAAATCTCCGAATCCAGCACCGCGATGTGCGCCGCCCTCCCGATCAACGAATTCGCGGTGTGAGGATTAATCGCGTGGTGAACATCGTAGCGGATCAATTTCGTCCCCGGATTGGTCAAAATCGGGTTCAGAATGTTCATCACCATTTCTCGGTAGGCTTCACCTAAGGGGAAATTTAGAAAAATCGGAAATTCTTAGGTGAGCACGTTGGGAAAATTCGAAAAAATAGACTCGCATAGGGGCCGTCCATAAATTACGTAACACAAAAAATTGCGATTTTTTCACGATTTTTCCCGATTTCTCACGCCACGTAATTTATGAACGGCCCCCTCGAAAAATTGAAAAAAAATTACCCTGCGCCGACCCATCCTTGAGGCTGGCCTTGCAGTTGATGACGTGGGCGGAGTGGACGGGGACGTAGCGGTCCTGGCTCGACCCGCAGAGCAGGACGTACTTGAACTTGTGCAAATTGGACTTTTCCGAGAGTTTGTACATGAACGTGGAGCGGATTTGGGGGGCGTCCTTCAGCTGGAGTTGGAGCAGCGACGAGGATTTCTTCCACTTCTGCATCAGCCACATGCCTAAGATAGATTTTTTTTAGTTTTTGCCTAAGAAAAATTTACATTAGGGGTATTCACCGTAGCCTAAAACCACTTAAATTAACCAGGAAAAAATCGAAAAGACCCATGGTGAATACCCCTAATGGAAAAAATTATTTTAAAATTCAATGAATACCCCCAATAAAACTCACCCATGGTGACCAACCCCGTGTTGTACAAGGTCCCCAAATGAGGCCCACTCAGACTCAAAAAAGTGTGCAACTTAGGCAGAAGAAACTCCAGCTTTTTCTTAGTCAACGCACTCCGAATGATGATATTCCCCAGGGAATGCCCCACGAAAGAGACCCTCACCGGATTCAGTTTATTAACCTCCAAATGGGTCAAAATCTCCGTGACCAACTTCTCAGTCATGTTGTCAAAGTCCGTAAAAGTCGTCCCGTCCTGGTTCTCCTGGGACATGAGAAACTGCAAATTGTGGCCTGGCAGCGACACTTGTAAATAGATTTTGAACAATCGTAAATCGTGACAGGAGCCGTCCAGCCCGTGGACGCAGATTATCAAGTGGAGGCCTTTCGGGTGGAATATCCGGAGTTCGTCGGGGATCAGGAAATAGGGAATCGTGAGGTTGTTTTGGGGTGGGTCTGGTTTTTTCTTAGGTGAGGTGATTTTTGGCGTGAGTTTTATTGATTTTTCCATGGTTTTCAACGTATCCACGGTTGCTATGGCAACGGAGTCAGCGAATCCCTCGGGAGGGTTGATTTTATCCTGGAATTGTGGCGGAGGAGGGAGAAATATCGGTTGCGATGGAGATGAAGAATTGTCATCGGAGGATTCCCACCCGGATTCTGAGGACTCTGAAGATTCAACAATTTCCTCTTCCGAGGATTCGAAATCGTTGAGAAACGGGGTACTCAAGAATTTCCTTAGTTTCTTCTTTTCAAACTCGGAATTCTGACTGTGTCGCCTTGGCAACGTGGAGGTTTTTTTTATTTTTTTCTTTTTCTTCGTTGCCATGGTTACCGGGGGGTTTAGTAACAAGGTTAATTTTGCAGAGAGTTCGGCGGGTTGGACTTGTTTTGTAGTTTCCATGGTGGAGGAGGAGGAGGAAGGTTCGTGATTATCTTTGAGGACTCCACAGTTGCATTCCATTTTGGTTTCCATGGGGTTGTTTTCTTGGGATATAAACTGGTCTTCGAATACGATGGGGATTGTGCCTCCGTCCCCGTCGATTTCCGTGCACTCGATCGGGAGTGGAGTGTAGTTTATGGACTTTTTTAGGAGTTCGACGATGGGGGTGTAGTCTTTGGAGGTGTAGGCGGATTTCAGGGGGTTCGAGGTGATGTAGAAGCCTGTGGGTTTTAGGGGTTTTATTATTTTGATTTTTTTTAGTGTGCCAAATTTTTGTGCTAATTTTGGCACGCCAATTTTTGTGCCAATTCGTGCTAATTTTGGCACGCGAATTTTTAGCGTGCGAAATTTTGTGCCAAATTTTAGCACGCCAATTTTTGTGCCAATTTTTATGCCAAATTTTAGCACGCCAATTTTTGTGCTAAATTTTGGCATTATTATATTAACATGGTAACCATGACAACTGACCCTCACTCCACCTCTTGACCCTCAACTGATGATGTAAATTCGCTAAATAAACTCGGACGGGGTCCTTGCTGACGATGAGGTCGAGAAACCGGTGCCAGAGTAAAATGTTCTCCGCGCAGAGATACGCGATTTGCTTGTGGGCCTTGAGAAGGAACTCCTCCACTTCCTCAGGGGGTTTCTATGGAATTAATTTCCATGGTTACTTAATATTTATAAATTTGGTTTCCATGGAAATATTTCCATGGCGACTTGAATATTTAAAGGATAGTTTCTATGGAAACAATCAAATCTCCATGCCAATATATACAAAAATTAGTTCCCATAGAAATTAAAAAAAACTCCATACCTTCTCCTTAAGAAACGCCTCAAAATTGACGAAATTCCCCCCACAAAACACGAACCCGGATTTGAACCCTTCGACCAAATCGTGTCTTCCGAGCACTTGTAAAAACTCGATTAATTTCGTCTTCAAACTCGAATTAGACTCGAGCAAAATCTGCATAATTAATTCGTGCGTGGTTTTCGCGTTGCTAAGGAAACGCGTCGAGGAGATCAGTTGCGAGGATGACGAAGGAATACAGCTCGTGGAGGATGAGGGGGTGGAACACGTGGTGGGTGTGGAGGGGTGGCTCCCGGGGGGCTGAAATTTGGATTTTTTTAAAGATTTATTTCCATGGTTACTTTTTTTTTAAATTATTTCCATGGGGATAAAATTCTAAATTATTTCCATGGAGATATTTTAAAAATTATTTCCATGGAAATAAATTAAAAATTAAAAAACAACCCACAATCAAATCCGGCTTGGCGCTGGAGCAGTTTAACAACGTCCCCTTGGATCTATAGAAACAAATTAAAATTTAAAAAAAAATCCCCATGACAACCGTAAAAAAAACTCACATATGCACCGCAATGACCCCCCCGTGGATACTAAAACTCACAGCACACAGATGAAAATAGTCGAAAAACACATTCCGATAATAATGCACCGAACTAGAGTTTAAATAATAATGGATTTGGCAAACTCTCGTGGAAACTATGGCATCGTTAAATTTCAGATTTAAATCTAGAAAATATTCCACTTTGTTCAGTTCCTCGACGATTTTTGCCATGGTTACCGAGGACGTTAATTCTTGTTGGAAATGGATTCGGAAGAGGAATATTTCCTTTAATTCGAGTTCTTCGTTACGGAATAGGATACGAAATGGGCGTGTGGTTGTTATGGTGGAGTCCGTTGTTAGGGTTGGTAAAGGGGGTGTGGCTGTGGTGGTTGTTGAGGTGGTGGGTTGTTGGAGGGGGTGGGCAGTGGGGGGAGTTGCGAGTGACTAGTTGTGTGGTGGGTGGGGTTCGGCGAGGGGTCTGGAATAGTAAAAAATTTATAGTCTTTATTTCCATGGCGACTTATAAATTAATTTTGAGAATACTATAAAATAGTACAACTATAAAATACTAAAAATATAGTCTTTCTATTTCCATGGCAACAACAAAAAACCACTAAAACCTCACCCTTCTTCCCCGTCCCCGCACTTGAAATCTCCACCCTCACGGGTAATTTAGTATTAAGCACCCTCAGAGCCAATTCCAATTGATAGTACCTAAAATTTTAAAACTCCAAATTAGTAACCATGGAGAAATTCCGTAACCATAGCAACCCTTACCCCCTCAAAAACAGGTCCACATTATAAAATTTATGCAGCTCCACGACAAACTCCAACGTCAACTCGGAGGATCCCATAATTTTTTTTTAATTCGGTAACTATGACAACCAATTTTTATTTATAAAAAAAACACACATTCACGACACACTTTTCACACTCTACACACTTTACTAAAGAAGATCCATAGCGATCGTAAAAAGCGCATGAGCATGAGCACCACCTGAATGCCTCGTGGAGCAGAAAAATTAAATGAACCGTGAAATTTGTGACATCTTATTTTTGGCTAATTTTTAGAACAAATGGAGCGTAAATGGAGAGGTTATGGAAAAGGATAAAAAGGGTTGTGTGAGTTGCCATGGCGATTAGTCGTTTGTTAGTTTTTGAGTAGTTGAATAAAGATGGGATATTTATTGAATTTATTCTTTGGGGGTGTGGTCAGTTTTATGAGTTTTTCGCTGTGGGGTGGGGGCGGGGTGGAGAGTTTCTTTCCTAATAAACATGTTTCGATTGGTAGTGGGGGTGGGGGTGGTGGGGTGGGGAGGTGAGTTTTATTTCCATGGTGATTCGTATGAATATTTCCATGGTGATATTTTCATATATGAATATTTCCATGGTGATTAATTTAAAAATATTTCTCTATAGCTACCCCCTGATGGCTCGGTCTGGCGGCGGGGGTGGAGGGGGCGGTGGTGGGTGGGGTTGGGGGTGGCCTTCGCATGGGTGGGGGCATCATGGGAATGATCAAAATTTAGACCTTTATTCGCTCCTGGGGGGGCTGAGCTTCGCGTCGTTGCTCGGGGCCACCATCGTGTTTTTAGCCAGGAGGAATAGTAAGCTGGAAATAGTGTTTTTTATAGGAGTTTAGACTATGAATGGGTCTGTGAAAATGCTATGAAAAAGATGAAAACGTATAGAAAATGCGTCTATGAAAAAAAGTCTATAAAAAACTCTATGGAAACGCATCTAGAAAAACGCCTATAATCCTTCCGCCTATTTTTAAAAATACTAAAAACAGTTAGAAAAATACTATAAATAATAATTTTAAAAAATACTATCACCATGAAAAAAACCATGGAAACACCTAAAAAAAACCTCTAATTTTTATAATAGCCTCCGGTCGCCGCCGCCGCTCCCTGGACGGGACCCGTTACCTCGACGACGACGAATTTGACACCCCCACAACCGCCTCGGGCCTCTATTTCACAGACATCCTCCGAATGATAACCAACCACACAAATTAACCTCACCAACCACCAGATGCCACTTCCATTGCCATTCCCAACACAACTTCACCCTCAAATCCACCACCACCACCACCGTTTTACTAAATAACGGGACGTACCACTGCTGCCCTTCTTTTCTGTTATATTTTATATAAACATTTCTTAATAAATTTTTAAAAAACCATGGAAACGAATAAAGAATTGAATAAACTCTCGATAGAAATTGCCCCCACGACGGGGGGCGCCTTTGATTTCCTCGTCGATCCCGAGGACTCGATTGATTTCATTAAAAAATGCATCGCTAAAAAGTTAAAAGTGGGCAAGGAACAGATTTGTTTGCTTCACAGGGATAGGTAAAACGTTTTTTTAGTGTTTTTTAGTATTTTTCGGTTGCCATGGAAACTGAGTCTATAAATATGATAGGCTCTTGGAAAACTGCAAAACGGTGAAGGACTATGGCCTAGCGGATGGTTCGAGAGTTTCCCTAGTTCCGAGCATCGAGACCGGATTGGTGGTGGGTTTTTTATTTTTTTATTTAGTTTCCATGGTTACTTAATCGCCATGGTGACTGAATCACAGACGCAGCGCCCGGAGCAATCCGTGTTGGAAGCGCTGGAAGGTCTGAACGAGTCGCAGGTTGGGGATTTCCTCAGCGGAAAATCCCCCCTGAATTTAACAATGCGGTTGGGCGATCACGTGATGTTGATTCAGCTTCAGTTATCTAAAGGTCTGTTTCCATGGTTACTAATTTATTTTTAAAAGAAAGTCTTAATTTTTAAAAATCACCAGGGCAACACCACCACGCGACGACTTCCTCAATAAATCATGACAAATCTTCGGAAACTCCTCCTCCCAGTGAAACCGCCACACCCACCACGATAACCCCGCCCACCGTGACTCCTCCTCCCCCTTCGGATCCTCCTCCCCCACCCCCACCACCAACTCCACCCCCTACACAACCCACCCCACCCACCCAATCACTCCCCACCCCCCAACCCTCCTCGTCGTCCCTCGTGGAAGCCTCCCGAAACCTGACAAACACTTTGAAAAAGCTGAGCAGTCACGTGACCACTTCGGATAAGAAAAAGACCAATCGGAAGCGGAGGCGGAGCGAGGAGTCGACCAATCAAAAAGCTCCAAATAATAAAGAGGAAAAATTACCAATCACCAATCACATGCAGCATCACGGAAAGGGGGTTTACTCGGGGACTTTTAGCGGTGAGGTCACGTGGTTTTTGTTTCCATGGAAATTATTTTCTTCGTTAAATCCAGTCTCCATGGAAATTATTATTTTTTCTATGATTTTATAGTTTCCATGGAAAATTTCTAAATATTTAAGTTGCCATGGAAATAATAATTTTTTTCTTCCTAAAATCCCACAGGAACGTTGAACCCCGCCCTGCAGGACGGCCTCGGAAAACCAAAAAAACACGTGTCCACCATCGTTCACATTTTAAACGACTTGCTCGGCGGGGTTCAGGCGGGGGGTGAGTTTTTTTTAAATTAACTGTTTCCATAACTGGTTTCCATGGAAATAACAATCCTCCGTTCCCATAGCAACCACCTCCTCCTCATCGAAAAAGAAGAAGAAGCACCACTCCACCTCGACCACGACCCCATCCTCGACGATAACCTCGGAGCCGACGGAGGAGGAGCGCGCCCTGGAAAATGAAGCATTAAGAGTGAAAATGGAGGCCTTGAGGGAGCAGTTGCGGTTGAGGAAGGGGAAGTTTAATAAAAGTGGTGGGAGTAGTGGGAGCGGTGCCGGTGGTGGGAGTGGTAGCGGATTAGCAGGGAGCGATGATCTTAATGTCAATAGTTGATAATTTATTTTTGGTTTTTTTTAATTCGGGTTAATAAATTTTATGTTTTTTTGTATGGAAAAGTGATTTTTTTTAGGGGTGTGATATTTATTTTAAATTGTGTAAAGAGTGTAAATAGCATAATGGTGGGGCATAAACTGAAATTTACATAATTTACATAAAACCATGGAGCGACTAAACCCTGTGTCGATCATCTACCCAGTCGGGCCATAAATCGTGGGACGGGTTTTTCTTATTAAAAGTCGTTTATGTGGGAAATTTTTCCTACACTATTCACCATGCTAAAATTCAAAATCATTTCGTACTCAATTTTCGACTCGGTTCTTGTCTCAAATGTCAAATATTAAACCAAGGAAATTCTGCACAATCTCAAAGGCGTTTTGATTTTTACTTAATTTCCAAAACATGTTCAATATCAATTACATTTAGAACTACTTGCAAATTTGAAGATTGCTGAATTAACGTTTCCACAAGCGAGGAAATCAAAGGGGATGCTCTACGTCAGTCAGATAATAATGAGCGACAAGACCAAGAGTGAGCACAGCTAGACCACGTCACTCATTCAGTTACCGTTAGATCCAGCCCTGAACCCAACGTTGCAACTTTCGTCAAAGGGAAAACTTGTCCATTTTTCAACCAATTTCGATGATTATAATCAAGGCGGTGAACAATTATTGTAGTTATCGAGAGAAGTATACCAGGTGACATTATTTTTTTGAAAAATTAAACTGTTTAACAGTTTGGGGAACTCGGAATTTATCGAAATAATACACTCACATCATTGCTTATTTACTTGCAAAGAAATTCGATAAGAAAACTAATTACATTACATACATTTAAAAATCAAACATTAATTAATCAATTGATTAATCTGACGTAGCCGAGCTACGTCACTCATTCAGTTACCGTTAGCCCATAATTATTCCAGTCAATTGGTTCAGCGATTCAGTGAAGTCGATTTGGCTAACAATTCGATAGAAAATATCTTGATCAAACTCTATATCTTATGAAACGCATTTGTGATGTTCTGTGTGATTTATCCATGTATTTTAGCCCATGTCAGCCTATTTGACTAATAATCTTATAACAAATCTGTAAAATGTTCCTCGTCATTCACTTATTGTATGTATTTCTTTATAATTCTAACCAATTTCAACAAACTTGTCATGTTTAAATGATTCCCTAGTATGACAAGAAGTGCTAAAAATAGGATGCTGTACTAACAGTATTGTAAGTATTTGTACAGTTTCTGTTATTGGATCACATACAACTCATACTCATACTCAAATTTAGTTATATTTAAACCAATAATCCCGTCTTAAAAGGCCCCGCAAAGTTACTTGAAGTAGGTTCTCAACTGTTTGGAAATTTTCTAAGAGGTTATCAGGTTTTTTTTTGAAAATATTACGAGATAATCTGCCAGGAAAATTTTAAGATTTTTGTCATTTCGTCAGAGCTCGGCGGATATTGGGCGAAAACCTCCAAATATCCGGATATATATCCATATCAGGGCCAAAATCTCGCCCTCCAACCTCCAATATCCATGATATCCGCCGAGCTCTGCATTTCGTTAAGTAGCATATTGCACATTCACCATTCGTATATAGACATTTTCCCCATTCCGTTGAATTCCGTTCATCCCAAAACACACGCCCCGACAAAGTACACATGAACCCAACCCACAACAATTCCACTCTATTCTACATCCTCTCTCTCTCTGGCTGTCGTTGAACCAAAACACAGCTGACACCACGTCAACACACAGAGAAGAAGAGCCCACTCCCCTCTTTTACACTCGCTCGCTGCGTGTTGTTGCTAGGGCTTTAATTTTTCAACCCAAAAATCACAACAAAATCCTATTTTTAATAAACTAAAAAATGCTCCGCTACATAACGACAATTTTCTATGGCAACGACGACGACGACCAGGAAAATTACACCGTGGAGGAAGAACTCCTCGAGGATGAAGATTTGGAACTCGACTGGGTCGTTGTCAAGACGACCAATAACAGTGAAAAACAGGATCTCGAGGGGGTGGAACTCGACGATGGAGAAAAAATCTCCTTGGAAACTGAGGAGCTACTTATTTGGGAAAATTTACTCATCGAACATCCCTCGATGAGCGTTTACATTAGGTATGAGCGTTAATTTTTGTTGTCATGGAAATTTAAGTATTTATTGCGTTAAAAAAAAGTAACCATGGAAATAAAAATTATTTTTAAAAATCCACAGCACCCAGGAGCGACCCCAAGAACAACCCATGGAAACTAAAAACCTGTCCTCCAAAAAACCGCACCCCCTTTCCCACTGGCTTCTCAACCCACCCCACTACCCTCATCAGAAAAAAATCTCAACCCCACCCACCGTTGCCTTGGCGAACAAAAAACCCGTTCGAAAACTATCATCCCAGAAACAGCTCCCAAAATTTCGTTCAAATATCCGAAACGATCGACGTTGTCATTACCAACGGAAACAAATTTAACGTTTCCATGGAATTTTAGTTTATAATTTTTTTTGTAAATCGTCGTTACTAATCGTTAATTTGTAAATATTAAATGTCAATGACATCACCGTGGATACGTGAATTTTTTAATAATAAAAAAAATGTTTTTAAAACCGGTTTCCATAAGGATTTATTGAACTTTTGGTTATGCGGAGCGTTGCCATGGCAGTTGGGGTTTGACTTCCATAGAAACAAGTCTTAATATGGAGTTTAAAATTTTGGTTTTGTTTTTTGCCGTCGTTTTGGGTATGTTTTTTTATAAAAATTTGTTGTCATGGAAATTATTGAAATTTCGTTCATTTTTTCCATGGAAATTATTTAAAATTTTGTTAATTTATTTCCATGGACATTTTTAAAAATTTTACAAATCAGTTACTATGGAAATTATTGAAATTTTATTTAACTTGGTATGCCAAAATTTAGCATGGAAATTAGCATAGAAATTTAGCATGCCAAAAAATGACACAAAATTAACACAAAAATTGGCATAAAAATTGGCATGCCAAAATGTAGTACAAAAATTAACACAAAAATTGGCATAAAAATTAGCACGTTGAAAAATTAGCATTTAATTTTGACATGGAAATATTTAAACTCAGTTACCATGGAAATTACAAAAATTAACCCCCACAGCACAAGACCCTCCCCCGGACCACCCCTCCTTCGAAAATGGGAGTGGCTCCTCCGAATCCTCCGAGTCCTCCGAAGAATCCACGGAATCACCACCCGAAATTTCCATGGAAACCTCCTCACCAAATAATAAAAAGGACTATTTCATAAACCGCGTCCACTCCATAGCATCAAACATTTCGAAAAACCTAATTATCCATGACAACAAAGTTATCTGGTCGCCATTCATCGTCGTCAACGCGTTGGCGTTGCTAAGCAACGACGACCCCGAATTAATCAACGGCTTCGAGTCGGCATGGAAATATTTGGTAATTTACGAATTTACGAATTTATTTCCATGGAAACTAATCCAAAATTTCCTAAAAATTAATAGACCCACGAAAACCCGCTAAACTCCACCCAAATCTCCCTTGGTTACACCCACAACCCGGAATTCCTCTCCAGGAACCACACCCACCTCAAACTCTCCCCGTTTCCATCGAAATCCGAAAACCAGTCAATCAACCAGTTGCTACAGGAAGCCTTTTTAAACGTTACCAATTTCGGTAACAACCATTCGGTTGCCATGGAAACTGAAGAAAAAAAATCCTCCACGACGCTCAACACGACGGACACGATTTTGCTGACGGGTCTGGGGGTGGAGTCCTTGTGGGCAACCCCCTTTCACCCCAGATATGCTAAAAAATCCAAATTTTATTTAAATTCAACCCACGTTGTCAAGACGAAATTCATGAACAATATCGGGTTTTATAAGTACGCCGAGTTGGAGGAACTCGACGCCACGGCCGTTGCCATGGGGATGCGGAATGTAGGGTTGCCATAATTTATATTTTTTAATTGGTTGCCATGGAAATTTTTTAAAAGTTGCCATGGCAATGAAAAAATTATATTAATTTAATTGCTAATTTTTAATTGCAGTCCCCGCGAATCTATGGAATTTTCATAAAACCGAATAATCCCGATAATTTGGAGAGTCTGAATGAGAAATTTGAAAATTTGGACAATTTTACCGACATTTTTAATCAGAAATTCAAGACCAAAAGGGTCCAGGTTGGGTTGCCAAGGGTGGACATTGACTCGCAGGTGGTTGCCATGGAAACTAATTTTTTAAATTAAATAATCGCCATGGAAACTAATAATTTTATTCTCTCTAAAGTTCCCCATCCCCCTGCCCCCACCCACCCCCCAAAATAATTCCACCCTCTCCACCCTGCACATCTCCTCCCTCTTAATTTCCTACACTGGTCTCTACAACCACTTCCACCACCCCCACTCGCACACCCGGAGCCACACCCCGATCCGCTTCACCCGCCTCCGCCGTCGCCCTGACGACGTCAAATTCCAACTCAACACCCCGTTTTTATTCCATCTCTATGACGACGGGTTCAGTGGGTTTTTGCTCTCCGGACTCATTCTAAACCCCACTTCGAACCACGCCCCCTCGGAAATGGACCTCGCGAGGCCCGAGTTTCCACACGAATTAAAAATCGCCAAGGAAACGACGAATTTTAATTGTTTGGAGAGTTTCCATAGAAACAGGAAGATTTTGGACATTTACGAAAATATTAATATCCGTTGTCATAGTGATAATTTCAATTACTCGGAAATTTTAAATAGCTCGATTGGTGGGCGGGGTTTTAATCTCACCGTGGAGCGGGATTTAGTGGAGAAAAAGTTTTTCATAAATGAGGTGGATTTTAAGAACGTTTCCATGGGGGAAACGGTTGCCAAGGTGAAATATGCCTCGTTTGGGGAGCTGTTTGACGGGAAGGTCGTGGTTTTGAGGGTAGGTTTTTTTTGGTTGCCATGGAAATTTATTATTAAAAATTAATAATTTTTTTTAGAACCCCACCCACTCGCTGTACATTTTCTACCCGAATGAACGTTCTGGATTGGGGCGGATCGAGGAAACCCTGGAAACGACGCCCATTTCGAGTTTGAAGTGTCAATTGAGGGACATCACGGTGAGGCTGAGGTTGCCATGGTTACGGGGGGACAAAACCGGGTTGGATGTCGGCTTTGAGAAGGTTGCCAAGAAGAAGAATGTTCTGGACTTGGTTCCCATCGAGAGGAGGGGTGAGTTTTTGCGAAATTGGTGTCATGGTTACGGAATTGTTGCCATGGTTACAAAATTTTTATGTTTCCATAGGGAAGAAATCGTCTCCAAAGAGATATCGTCAATTAACGGTGGACCGTGGGTTCGTGTGGGTTTTGATGGAGGAGGAGGTGACTGAGGGGGGTGTGGTGGGGGTGGGGAGGGTGGTGGATTTGTAGGAGTTTTAAAGAGGGTTTTTTAATAAATATTTATTGGTGGAAAATTGGCATGGAAATTGGCACGCCAAAAATTAGCATAAAAATTAGCACCCTGAAAATTGAGAGTAAAATTGGCATGCCAAAATTTAGCACAAAAATTGGCATAGAAATTGTCATGGAAATTAGCGTAGAAATTTAGCACGAATTGGCATGGAATTTTGGCATGATAAAATTGGCATTGAAATTGGCACACGGTGAAATTGGCATTAAAATTTGGTGAATTTGATAATCCATTGGATCCCTGGAGTGTGACAAAACAGATCATAGGAACATTATTCTTGCACTGCTTTGAATTCCTGCCGGAACCTGAAAGACAGAGGTCGACGCCGACAAATTTTCGGCGGCTTCTAGTCATGTACACAAAAGCAACAGAGTGGAAGAAAGTTTTCCATACGAAATATTGGACTTGTCGTTACGAAACTTCTCTCATCTTCAAACGACTTGACCTCTCCTCCACAAACGGGCATCCCGACTCGTCTGTCGCCAACTCGTCGACCCTCTCCTCGCCTGGTATCCCGAACTTTGTGACGAATCAATCAGTTTTAAACTTTACAGAAAAAGGATACGCAGCAAACACTTAGTCGTGACTCATGGATTTATCCTATCCGTTGAATCGGGCTGATGGCACAAAGTTTGGAGTTCCACAGTCAAAACGTCCCAATCCACACATGACAATGATGATGGAAGAAGATCCCACACTAAGAAAAACCTTCTAGGAATCTCAAACTCCAATTTGAACATGTTGCTCTTCGAATACAGAAACATTGAAGGTGGCCTAATATTAAATTCAGGAGCATTGATGTCTTCAGAATTACCCTCGCTCTTCAATACGACTAAAACTTGGCAAATCTAACTTCTCTAGAGGTTTGTTTATATTGAAAATAATTCAGGAAACTTATTTGCTAATGCCTGCATGCACAAATTAGATCTTTGGCTGCAACGAAGACGGTCGAGGATATTTGTTTGGAAACGATGGGGAATATGTTTCCAAATTTGAAAAGGCTGAAATTGACTATCCGATATTATCGTGATTTATCCTCCTCCACCATCCGCCATATTTTAAGCAAGCGTTCCTGAAGACACCGTAAAACTTTGACCAGTTTTGACCATTTTTGTACTCCAACCTGACGGATGAGAACATTATGCCTCCATTTATTTTCGATCTCGACCATTCCATCCCCGTCGACGTGTTTCAAGATACGATGAGTAAGCTGAAGAACGTAGAGTTGCTTCCGGTTTCGCAACGGTGGAAATTTTGCAGGTCATGGTTTTGAGTGGAAATTAGATTAAATTCATCGCTAGAAATATGACACAATTGGTGGAATGCGGTACTTGCCCCAAGATAGAGCACAATTTGATCGGACCATTCCATCGATCCAGGGATTTTTCTAAATCGGTATAGGGAAATTACCTAAACTACAAAAATTGGTTCTCACGAAAAGATGTTCCTCTCCTGGAAGAGGATTAGGTCAGACTATTCTTATTTTTTTGTAATTATTTATTAGTACTGATTGAAAATAAAAATTATTATAGGAAAATCATTTCATACACGCAAGGACTTGACAATGGCGATCGCACTACGTGAAGATCATGATTGAAAGAAGGAGACTATAGAATTGGATAGATTATAACTTAAAAATTAGTGCACAATTGATTACTTATGTTTGACAAGATGTTAACATCATCATCACTTTTCATTTGGTAGGAAAAATTATATAAATCGTGCTAAATGTGTGTGTTGGCATAATAATTCGTCTCTGCTGGAGGGACGACGTGGAAATGGGTGTGGTCGAGATCGTCGTCGTTAATGATCACGTTGTAATCGGGTGGGTCAGGGGTCATCAGTTCCACGGTGGTTGTACCTTCACCAAACTTGTCTCCTGGAACGGATACACTAATAATGTTCAGCCCAAAATATATGTCATCTCGTTAGTCTCGCTTTTTCAAAATTTTCTTTTTAAATAAATTGAAACCTGAAAAATATTGTTTTGCTAATTTTGTAAATTTGAATTTTCTGATGTTCGAGTAAGAACTCAACAATTGAGTTAATAAAAATATGACATTAAATACTTGAAAAATCTTACTAATTGATGTCAACTTTGAAAATTGGGTAAATTATGGAAAATTATTGTTTCTTTTTATACTTTGTTAGGTGTAGAATTAAAAAATACGGACTGGTATTCGTAAAATTTGTGAAGTTAATGTGAATTGCCATGAAATAATTGGCTATGAAAATTTGTGGTACACATTTGATGGTGTAAAAAAATCTGAAAAATTTCCAAAAGTTTCTGTAAAATTAATCCAAATTTTTTGTAATTTCTCACCTCCGCTAAAGCTATAAGGGGGACTCCGTTGCACGATGGAGGCACAGCTTCGCTCATTCCAAATCTCATCCCTTTAAATTCAACATATTTGTAAATAGTTATTGTCAAGTTAAAAATATACCCCACCGTGACGGAAAAACTCGCTGTCAAATCTATTGCAAGCTTCCACAAATCTTGTGCGTTTTTTCGTATTGTGGAATTTCAGAGATACGTATAGTTTGGTCAAAGCCGAAAATGTGTGTCTCCAATTTTACTCAATTTGATGGCAACTTTTTAATCAATGTTTGTTGCAAATTATATATTTCTGTATTATAGCGAGAGATTTCCAAAAACATTCCAAAACTACCGAAAACCTCTCTATAGAGTCTCTTGTCCTTTGTTTCCTGTTATGTGACAATTGAGGATTTCCACGCTATCTTTGAGATTGGAAGAGATTAGCCGTGGAGAAAGTACATGGAGACGGCTTATTTTAACAATTTTGCAAACTATATCTTCGTAATTTTCTGATTATTATTGCACCAGAATTGCAACTCTTTTTCGGGCACAAATATCTCTCCACACACTTTACAAAATTACGTAAAATTCGCAGAGAAAATATGCCGGAGGACGTGCGTGTGATTTGAATTTCCAGTTTAACCTTGATTAATACCACAAATAAATCTGATACTGATGAACTCCTCCTCAGCGTCCCTTCAGCAATTCTTCGCCAGTCAGTTCGGCCACTTTGAAATCCCTTCCGCTCGATGCGGATGTTTCTGCGATTGCGTAAACAACAAGATCGTCTCCTTGGTCCATTTTGGTGCGACTGGAACAGTGCAACAATTTGGCGAGACTCGTGTTAGTTTGCGGTATAAAAATCGTCCATGTGTCCGTCATTCCAAAAGATAATCTCAAAGTTTTATGGGAGGACATGGACAGCGCGACAAATTTGAAGACAATTTGTGAGACGTGAGTCCTTCGAGGAGAGCGAAGAAGCCTCAAGTGAATTATGCAAATTGAGTATTAGTCCAGACATTTTTGGGACAAATGCGGTTGATAAAATATTAAACAGTGAAGCATCAAATCAAGTAACGCTTTTTCAATTTTGCACTTACGCTGCAAAATTAAAAGAAATTGGAGATATTGTCGTAGGAATTTCTTATTAGAGGAAATATTTTATGGACGAGAGATTATCCAGCACGACCACGGGGGTCTCCATGACAAACTTGTCAATATTTTGGCATTTTTTTTGTGCCAATTTTTTGGCGTATGCCAATTCCATGCTTTAATGCCAATTAACCTCCAATTAAAATCCACTCCAAACTCTTTTATTTTTATTCTTAAAATAACTTTCTCTCAACTAATTTACATATAAAGCACCAACATCCCTCCCATCACCAACCCCACCCACCCCCACATCACCTCGAACTTAACCGCCCCACCCCCACCCACCACCTTATTCTTCCCTGTTGACGACGTGGTCTCCTTCTGCTGCATCGCCGCGGGGTGCTCATCTACAAAAAAACACAAAAAAATGTTGTCATGGCAACTCACCCCTCTCACCTAAGGAAAAACCTCACCCCCCATGACATGCACCGTGACACTCGCAACCTCCAAGTTCCTCGGCGCACACGAGTAATTCCCCCATCCTCCCTCCCCATTTCCTTCACCGTCAGAGTAGCCAGCGTCGTGTCCGGACTCAACCGCTCCACCGTTTGGGTAGTGTAGGAATTTTGAGAAAAGGAGATCACCCGGGCCCTGCGGTAAGTAATTCTTAGGTGAGTCATTAAAAAAAGTGGAAATTCTTAGGTGAGGCCATACCCATCGTGAAACCAGAAAACGTACTCGGGCTCCTCCAGAGCATCGTAAATCACGCATTTTAAACTGAGCAGGGAGCCCCCGAGGACGAACACGTCGGGCTCGCCCAGGATCCGGGTTTGCCTATTTTTTTAGTTTTTTTAAAAGATTAATTTATAGTTTTTTGGGGGGATTTTTTTGGGGACGTCCATAAATTACGTGAGGTAGAAAAATCGCGATTTTCCCTCCCCTCTGAACATATGTCACATAATTAATGGACGCCCCCTCAATTTAACTCCCAATTTATACTCCACTCAAAACCACTCACGGCGTCACGACGTCCAGCTCAAAGAGCAAACTGGATTTCGGGCTCGTCGTCACCTGGCACTCGTAGCGACCCGTGTCTATATGGAAACAGAATTAGTAACCATGGCAACAACCCCACTTTAAAAAAAAAAAATCCCCTACCCCTCGGCTGCACGTGCCGGATGGCCAAGGTGAAACTGCTGGGGGTCGGATGATGCAGCGTAAATCGGGAGTCGGAAATGAACAAAAATCGGTCCACGGTCAGGATGTGGGCGTCGCGTGAGCGGAGCCAGGTTACCTGGATTTTAGTTGTCATGGAAATTTGGTAATTTAGTTGCCATGGAAATAATTAAGAGTTTCCATAGAAATATAAAAACCTACCGACTTGTTCCCCAAATTCTTGACCCGACAGGCCAAAAACACTGTGGATCCGACCTGGGCCGTTAAATTAGTTTCCAACTGAGGTTCGAAGAGTGGGGGGTGCGGGTTTAGGTAAGAGTGGGGGTAGGATGCAGGTGGTGGGGGTGGGTGAGGTGGTGGAGGGGGTGTGGTCGTTGGGGAGGTGTTATTCTGGGAGGAGGTCAGTGGGGGGGTTGCTATGGAAACAGAGAAAGTGAGTGGTTAGTTTCCATGGTGATTATTAAAATAAATAAACTTACCAAAAAGTAGAAATATTAATATTTTCATTTTATATTACTATGGAAATGGGAGAGGAAGTTGGTGAAAGTGACGTGAATTCGTGTGTGTGTGTGTGTGGAGAAAGTGGGTTGCCTTGGTAACGCGCAGGCGTTGCGAGGGGTTAGAGGTGGGGGGCGTGCAGGAGAGGGTGGGTTTTTTTGGATGGGAAATTATTTGAGGATGAATTTTTTATGGTAATTTCCCAGGGGGTGTGGTTTTATTAGTGGGGTTTTTAAAATTTTAAAATTCTAAAAAATTACATAAATCCCATAAATTTACATGAATTTCCATGGAAATTAATGTCATAAAAATTACAAAAAAATCCTAATTTCCATGCAAACAAATTAGCAAAGAAAAAAAAATTGCGCAAAAATCCCCCCTGCGCCTGCGCACCACTCACCTCCCCAGATCGATACACTTTCTCCTCTCTCCACTTTCTCCTCCAGACTCCAGCCATCTTTTTCCCTTGGTTTCTATGGAAATTTACCTAAAATTTTAGCTAAAAAATTTCCTGGAAATCTGTAAATAAAAATGGGCACTCTAAGCATGAGCACGGCCTTCATCGTGGGCTTCCTCTTGTTTGTCCTGATCCTGAGGTTTTGCTAATATAAAACTCGGATTTTAGCAAGAGGGAAAGTGTTGAGCTATTTTTAGCCCAATCTTTCTCTCTCTTCTCTCTCGTCGTCCGATTTCGCTGATTCCAAATGGTTTCCATCGCGACTTCCTCCACAAATCATTCCTAAAATCCACCGCATAAAAATTGCCTACTGCCCAGTGACCGCAAAATGGACAACCAAAATTCCAACTACTCTCACCAAAACCACCACCTGACCGAACCCATCCTCGACACGGCCAGCTATTTGGATGATGAACTCGGCCTGATGCTCAATGAGGATCGGATCATCGGAGAGGCCATGGGGTCAGTCCACTAATTTATCTAAATTACCATTGAATAATTCACTAATTTCATCTCATAATTGTCTATTTATCTATTTCCAGGCACCTCACCCTCACCTCCACAAACAACAACCACTCCAGCCCCTCCACCCACTCCCCAAACAACCTCTCCACTCACCTCTCCTCTATAACAAACTCTATCCTCGACCAGCTCTCCTGCACCTTCTCCACCGAGTTCTCCTTTTCCTCCACCTCCCTCCCCACAAACTCCCCCTCCAACCACCAAACCACCCCAACCTCGGCCCCCTCCCTCTCCTCCCCACAACCCCCCATCGATAACCTCACCAACTTCTCAACCGACTCCCTCGATAAATCGTTATTTTCCCTGAAAAAACCCAACTACACGATCGCCTTCGAGGACACAGTCACAACACCAACGGCAAAGTTTCCGTTACCAGATTTGACCTTTTTAAAACAGGGAATACTAAACCAACAGCACACTACTTTCGAACGACCCACTAACGCCACAGGAAAAAACGCCGTGAAAAACTTGAAAATAGCCGATTGGGAGAGTTTGAAAATATTACTACCATTGAATTACCAAGAACTGCTTCGTAATAAAGAGAAACTGTCGGAAAAACCGGGCTACCTCGTGGAAAAGGATGTTGAGGAGAAAGAAAAGGACGAGGCGGATGAGAATTTCGTGAAATTAAGGAGAAATTTGAAGAAAAGGCAGAGTTTCGGCGGTGTTGAAGTAGGTGGGAATCGGTTTAAACGGTTTTCCCTGCAGGAGATTGAAGAGGTTGGGGTGGTTTGCAAGGGGATCGAGGAGACGCTGAGGGTGCTGGGGGAGTGCGGTAGTGAGATCGAGGGGGAGAAGGAGGACTGTAGGAAATCTAAAGGTGGAGTTAAGAAGAAACCGGTGTCGGCTCCGACAATCTCCCGTGTCAAAGACAACAAAGGTACGTTTTAAATCACAATAATCACCATAAAATAATGCTAATTTTAAACCCCTTGCAGAATCCGACCTCCTGTCCACCCTCCAAAACTCGATCACCACCCTAACCCGGCACCTCCCCCGCTGCAAAATTTACTCCAACTCCCCGCACGCCAAACAGCTCCACGCCACGTTCTGCCCCGCTCTCTACTCTCTCTTTTCCGATGGACTCGCCCCCTGGATTGAGACCCTGTTTGGGAAGGTTACCAATGGGGTTTGGAGGGTCGTGGAGGGGTCCGTCAGTGGGGGTGAGTTAATTATTAATAAAGCTTAATTTTAGTGACACGATGGTAATTTTAATAATTCATTGTATCCTCAGCACCCACGACGCAAATCCTCTCGGAACTGGTCCTCCGGATAAACTCAGAATCCGAACTCATGGGCGACGACGGGCCACTGAAGTTCAACGCGTTCATCGCTGGGTTGCTCAAGTAATTAGTTTAAAAAACTCACACCATAAATAAGACCACTTAAACTAACAAATCTTCCCCTATTTAGCCTCGGAACGCTCCCCTCTTATCTCTCCCTGCTCCACACAAAGGACCGTCTGATCCGGACCCACTACACCCCGACCGCCTTCCTCTACACGATAAACACCACCAATAAACCCCCCTTCGACTCTTTACTCACCCAAATGAAGCCCTTCAACCGGATCCGCTATGATTTGGACATTTTCTACGAAACAAAGTTACTTTATTGCAGAATCAACTCTAATTCGAACAATAGGATGAAGAGGAGTTTTTCGGATGATTTAAATAAGGTGAAGGAAGAGGGAGGGAGATTAGCCAAGAGTAAAACGCATGGGGGGATTGATAAAATTGGCAAGTTTAAAAAGTTGCAGTTGCAGTGGGAGATGATCAGTGTTAATAGTGGTGGGAGTAATAAGATAACGAGTCCCACGGGGTCGACGGGAAGTAAAATCCCCAGGTTTGTCGGTGGTGGGAGTAGGTGCACGTCGGCGAGGAAGTAGTTATTTTTTATAATTTATTTATTTCTTCAACCGCTCCTCCAAGAACTTGTCAAACTCCGAGGGTGTTAATTGCGTGGATTGAGGCGGCGTGGCTGGGACGGGTGGTGCTGGCTGTAAAAAGAGAGATAAAATTTTAGTAAAATAATTTAACCAAGCGATAATGAAACAATTACAAAGCACTCCAACCACGCCTCCATTTCGTTAAATTCCGCTTCCGTGTGGGTCTTTTTTATAATAAAATAGATAATATATATAAAATAAAGCACGTGACGAGTACGTAACAGATAAAAAACACACCTTCAGAATCTCATCGGACAACCGCTGGGGACGTTAAACGATAAGAGAAAAACAATAAAAAATGGACACAGAAAACACTACAAAAAACACTAAAAATACGGTAAATTACCCTAAATTTCGGTATCGCCCCCTCCACCGCCGTGCTCTCCGTGTTAAAATCAATCAGCGACGTCGTCGACTCCTGCTTTTTCTTTTGATGGTTTTTCATCCAGCGCGTGTACCTTTTTTTCATCATTTTTTTTTACATTATTTTGAATAATAAAATAAATAACTATTAAAATCACCTCAAAAAAGCATTGTTCATTTCATCGTTGACTTGAAGTAATTCGCTCAAAAAAGCGTCCTCCCCGTCGTCCAACTGACTCAGGAGAGTTGTCAAGCGGGACTGCATTTTGAGGGTCGTGCTGTAGAGCGACTAAGAATTACACGCAAATAATTAGTAAATTTCCACCCAAAATTAGTAGCAAAATTACCTCCCCCCACTCTTCATCCCCCTCTAAATCCTCACTCACAACCTCGTTCAACACTTGCAAATTCATCCGAACGATGTCCAAGTCTTTTAAAATCTTCCCTTTCTGCTCTGGAGTAGGTTGAATAGGTTTAATATTGTTGAACCGGACGGGGTGCAGGATGGGGGTTTCCTCCTCAGCGTGATCCACAGGAAGGACGATTGGCACGTGGTTATTAATGTGGGGCTGCAAAAATTAAATAAAATTAATCCCACCAGTTTACTAAAATCCCATAAAAAATCCATACTTTCATGACCATTGGGACCAATCCCCCATCGAAATCCACCCCTGGAAATTCCACTCCCTTATCCTTCAAATCGTGATAAACCTCCCCAACGTCGGGGTGATCGGTTTTGAAATTGTCATAGAAAGATTGGATGAGGGAGAGGATTTTGTCCTGCGTCGGGATCGGCGAGGTTCCTAATTAATTTAGAGAGTTATTGAGAAGTCAATTAGAAAATTAGTGTCCAGGGTCCTTTGACTGTTTCCTTGGAGGATTTCTAGACAAGATTTCTAGACAAATTTTTTAAAGTTTGGGAATATGCGCTATTTTTGCTGGGAGAGTTTGGTTGTCAAGAAAAATTTAATATTCTATAAACCGTCGTAAAATGATAACGATTTAATTTAATTGCAAATTAAAATAATTATAAAATAATTGAACTAGGATCGGTATCAAAAACGGTACGTAAAAATTTTTCGCATGCATTTATGACGTTTTATAGAATATTTTATTTTTCTTGACAACCAAGTTCTCCCAGCAAAAATAGTCCATATTCTCAAACTTTAAAATCTGCAAAAAAAATTTTGGAGAATTTTTGAACTGACATGACCCTGTCTAGAAATCCTCCAAGGAAACAGTCAAAGGACCCTGTTAGTGTCCAAAAAATTTACCCATCACCCGAACCAACTCTTCGAGGAAACCCCTGTTCATCACCGATTTCTGAAACAACTCCGACTTCTCTGCACAATTCTTCACCGTGATTTCTATCAAATCCAAGGTGAGGTTTATCGTCGGGGTGGATTTGGTGGAGAGTTTTTTCTTCACAGCTTTTATGTAGTGGGTGTGGAGAGTGGGGGACGAAGGGGAGGAATTGAGGAGGTCGCAGATGGGGAGGATCTGGGGGTAGTTGGGGGTGGTGGTCACGTGGGTTGCGGTGGATGGAGTGGTGGCGGCGTCTAGGAAATTAATTAATTAATGTGTAATTTATAAGGAATATTAAAGGTAAAAAATCTGAATAAAGAACATACCAATCATCCCCCGATCTGGGTGGAGTAAGGGTTGTGGAAAAAGGAGGTGACCTCGTCCAGTTTGGATTTTATCAGGGTCGTCGTCGGAGTGGGGGCGGATGGGTCCATTTTTAGTTAATTTTTACGGTTTTTTAGGGATATTTTATGTACATTCGATGAAAGTGTGGATGTACACACTTTGGGTATAAAACGTGTATATAACACGAGAGAATAATATGCTCTTGACTTTTCCTCTCTCTCTCTCTCCACTCCAAAATCCTCAACCCAACGTGTGGGCAGATCTTGTGTACACAAATGCTTCGTATGTAAATGCGTTTCATCAACCAAAAATGACTCACCCACCCCAACACCCAACTAAATCTTTACCACACACCAATTTAATTAATTTTTATTGCCCATAATTATTACACAGACATTCACAGAGAAAAATAACAAAAACACTACTTCATCTCATCTCTCTTTTGTTTGTCACTAATTTTTTTGTCCATATTTTGATATGATTTTTTCCCTCTATATATTTTCATAATCCTTAAAAATTATCGCATGTAGTAACCATCCTCCTGCTGTTGCTGCTGATTATTCGCAAAGGGATTCGTCGTCGTCGGTTGTTGAGATTGTTGTTGTGGGGGCTGCTGGTAATAATCCGCCGGTTGTTGTTGTTGGAGGCGGGTGGCGCTGTGGACCCTGAGGAATTACACACCCATGATTTATTAATTAATCCTTTAATCAACACGGAAAAAGTAGTGGAATTAACGAATAACTACGATTACCTGGTCATCCCATGGCCCACCCCATGCGGCGCGAGATGACTCCCATCCCCCCCATCCATCGCGATATTGTGTGGATCCTCCTCCTGCGGCAACTCCGTGATGAATCCAGTATCCTTCTTGTAAAAGTTGAGAAACCAAAACCCGGCCAGCGTCACGGCGCAGATCACGCCGTACAAGGTGAATGTGGACTTTGTGCCCATCCCCGTCACGAGGATTCCGCCGACCTGCAGTTACATTTATTAGTGGATTTCCCAGGGAAATTAATAAAAAATTATAGTGTTAATTACCACCGCCCCAAACCCCCTCCCGAGCCCGTGATGCAGCCCCTGGAGCACGCTCTGCGCCGCCCCACGTAACTCTGGAGGCGTGTTATGAGCCAGGTATGAACAACAGGCGGCCCACACAGCGGCGTGCGTTATTCCTATGGATTTTAATTTATTATCACATTTCCCTTTAAAAAAACGCCACTTTAAGCAACGCTACCTTGGACAAACTCAAAGGGCAGCACCCACCAGGGATTCTTCAAGACAGAAATATAGAGAAACCTCAAAACATTACAGAGCAGTCCTACACACAGGACTTTGACGTGCCCCAACTGAGTTATGAACTGGGAGGAGAAGAAGTAGGCGAAAATCTCAGAGACGTGGTTTATCACGGAGGCCAAGCCGAAGAGGGTCGGGCTCCCGCCGAAGTCCTGTGGAATTAAAAATTAGTTAATTTGTCAGTAAAAATCAGCGACAAATTAAGAATTAATTACCTGCAAATGCCAGAACAAAAACGTGAAAATGAGTCCAATCCCGATGCCCATGAGCCAGGCGATAAAAAGAAAAGCCATGCAGTTGGGAGAGTTCTTGTAATGTTTCAGCACGATGAACCACTCGGGGTTCTTTTTGTTCTGCTGGGCAAAGACCGTGGTGTGGGGGATCCCGGTGGTGACGTCCGTGTGGTGCGCCTAAGGGAGTCACTTATTAGTTTTTTTATACTAATTTTAATGTAATTAACTGACCTGCTCTTTCAGCGGCTGCACCTCTCCGATCTCCACGTTTTCAAAGCCACCACCCGCTTGACCCAAGCCGTTATCAAGTTGAATCTCTGGGAGTTGGACCTCCGGCATCTTCATCCGCCACGCCATCAGCATGGCCAGGCCCATCAATACGACGAAGATGGCGAAGCAGACCGTGTAGTTTTTTTCCTTGATTTACACGAAAAAAATTGGAATCATACGTGAAACTAATAAATCCAAAACCCAAAAACCGTAACAAACCTGTGGCAACGGCTCACACTTCCTCAGCGGAAAAGTCGAGTGATCCAGCGCGATCCCCACGACGAACATGGCAATCGCCCACCCACAACTCCCAAACATCCTCTGGTGGCCGTACCTCTTCCCCGCCTCGTCCCCGAGATAGGCGAGGACCGCGGAGTCAGCTATGACTATCGCCGGCGAAGCCAGGGCCTCCCCGAAAATCACCAGCATCAAGAGGAGGAAAAAGACCTTTGTTACGTCGTCTTTCTTGAATATTTGCGAGGAAAATGAGGGGGAAACCCAGTTCGCGTTCTTCACGGGGTCGTAGTTCATGGCGTAGTTTACTTTGAGGGGGGAGATCCCGGGTTTGAGTTTTGGGTTGGGCAGGGCGCGGCGCTGTCTAGTGAGAGGGGGTTCGGGAGGATCGTCGATGATCAGCGAGCTAGAGTCCATTGGGTCGATGGATTCGAATTCTTGCTGGGCAGCGTCCCTCCTCTTCCTCGCGTTGAAAGCGACCTGCACGGGTTCGGGAGGGTCGATTTTTGCATGAGTATTGTTGTGCTTGAAGATGCAGCCCACGGGCTCGGGGGAAATGGAGCCGAGGGGGAAGGTGAAGAGGATCCAGCAGAAGAGGGAGGTCAGGAGGAGGGTTTTTAGACGGGCGTTCCTGGAATGAAGGGATTTATTAGGATGATTTTTTTAAATTTATTAGAGAGCGAGCGGGATTTCACCGGTTGTGAAATTATTGGAATTTCTCTAAAAAAATCGACCTCGCGGGAAATCACCGCTCGCTAAAAAACAGACTTTAAATGGAAATCAATTTCCTATAATTTCCCCATAAAGTCGACCGCAGGAATCCCCGCTAGTTAAAAATATTTGCTAGCAGGATTTCACCGGGAAATACTCTGGGAATTTTTCTACAAAAATCTACCTCACGGCAATTTCCCGCTAGCAAATATTAGACTTTAAATCAAAACCAATTTCCTATAATTCCTCCACAAACTCCAGTCGACCGCTCAAATCCCCGCTGAATAAATAAAGAATCCTCACCTCTCAGCCCAGCCGACCCAGAACGGGGCTGCAAAGTACTCCACGAGGGGCCTGATCCCGCTGAGCACCCCGGCCTGAGCCCCATTGAGCCCAAGTTGCTTGAAATAAACGCCCATCAGAGGGAATAAGGAACCAAAGGAGGCGTAGAAGAAGAAGTAGAAGCCCTACGATAATAATTTATTTTACTATTTGAAATACAACCAATTAATTAATTTACCTTGGCCACGACGAGCTCCGGCTCCAACCCCCCCACCACCGTTTCTAATAACTCGTTAGTGCCTCGGATTTTTTTAGTCGAATCCTTCGGTTCGGGGTATTTTGTTAGATCTACGTCGGGGTTGTTAGGGTCCTGATAAGGGCGGTAGTTTGGGTTGTTCAGGATCGTGGGGGAGCTATAAGGGTTCTGCCCGGGGTCAGCCATTTTATTTATGTGGGAATTTCTCTGGGAATTTAGTGAAGGAATTTGGGGACTCCACTCTCTCCAAACTGCGGGGATGGTGAAAACGAGAGTGGTTGAGAGAGAAAGAGAGAGAAAGTGGAGAAAGTGACAAAGGGCGTGTGTAAATAATCGATATCGCGAGAGTGCGCATGCGCTGATGGAAATTACATGCAAAAATTCACACATTTTTCTCTATAAAATTGTTATTTATTCATCAATGACTAGTTCCACCACCACCCCTCACATTCTGCAGCACAAAGTCCCTGTACCTGGAAATCCTGGTACAAACCCCGGGCATGTTGTGCTCCGCGCAACCAATCCCCCAAGAGATTATCCCTGCGAGGAAGTAACGGTTGTCACGGCCGAGGACTTGCAGCGGGCCACCGGAGTCGCCCTGAGGAGGTAGTTATTTATTAAATTGTGGATAAAAATGCTAAATAGTAAGACCTCACCTGACAACTATCCCTTCCCCCCTCTTCATACCCGGCACACAAAAAAATCTCTGGAATGTACTCCATCCTCCCCGATTTCAGAAACATGTCCCTGCATTTAGCGTTGGAGATTATGGGGACCGAGACGTGCTGGAGTTTGGAGGGGAGTTGGCCTCCTGTTTATTTATTAAAATTATTAAACCACCCTCCACTAATAACTAAACAATGAATAGTTACCCTCGGACAACCTCCCCCACCCCGTGACCGTGGCATTTTCCCCAATTAACAAATCATCATTCGCCGGAAGACAAATAGGAACGATGTGCGGGGTTGAGTTTAGTGGGATCGGGGTGGATAACTTTAATAGAGCGAGGTCGTTCTCGTAGGTGAAAAAGTTGTAGCTCGGGTGGACCACCTGAGGGATTTGATTCATTAGTTTCAATTAGTTAATTAGGAAATTAATGACGTGACTACCTTCTTAACAACTCCCCTCTCCGTGTGGGGATACTTCTCATCTGACACGCTAAAATCGTACTCCCCCAGGCGAACCCTGATCTGGGAGGTCATCAGGTCGTCCACGCAGTGCTGCGGATCACACGATTTATTATTCACCATACTAACTAATAATTAGTTAATGAGTCATACTCACCCCCGCCGTGGCGACCCACTCATCACTGATCAGCGCCCCTCCGCACCGATGGGTCGAGGAGAACCCGAAAAAGCTCGTTCTACGAACACTGACTTGCCAGGGGAATTGGCCATATTTCGCCTCGTTCCCTCCCACGATCCGGGAGGCGGGGCGGGAGGAGAGGGGAGCGATGCCGCACTGACCGGGAGAACTTAGAGTATGGGGATAGGTGATGTTGGAGAAGAGGTTGGGGGGTTCAGTGGGGGGTGGCGAGGCGGGGTTTATGTAGTGCAGGGTGGTTGGGAGGCGGGTGGTGGTTGTTGTCGTGGTTGGTGGAGTGGTTGTGGTACTTCTCACGGTGGTCGTTGTGGTAGTAGGACGCTCCGTGGTCGTCGTACTGGTCGAAGTCCTCGTCAAAAACGGGACCACCACCTCATCCTCCAAATTACTACTCATCCCACCCCCACCCCCCCCATCCGGCGGCTCTTTTTCCGACGCTCCCACAACCCCTTGATCTCCCACCACCGCCGTCGCAATGGAATTAACCAAATTGTCATGCCCACAGCAGCTCCCGAACATGAACCCGTCCACGCACATCCCGAGGTGCTTCCCATCCGACTTCAAGCACTCCCAGACGAACATGCAGATCCCGTGCTCGGGGGTCGAGTTCAGGATTGCGGTGCAGGGCTTGGGTGAGATCTTGTAGGAGCCTGGGGATTATAGAGAATTGTGTTAATTTACGATTAAACTGGACCAAAAACATCAATTTTAAATATCAAGCTCACCATTAAACTCGAACCCTCCAACTCCACCTCCACCTCCTCTCGAAATATGAATGAAAAGTACAAAAACAAGAACTCCTAATTTCATCCTAAAATAAAAATCCTTAAAAAATCCTTAAAGAAAAGCTTAAAAAAGAAGTGAAAAATTCAGTCTTAAAGATTTTAAAAGAGAGAGTTTTATAAACTTATAAGTGAGAGTTTTTGTTAAGAGGGACACATTGTTCAAGCTCCTCTCATCTCTTCTTATGATGAGAAGAAGAAGAAGGGTTTAAGAAGTGTAGTGGGGATGCGGAGGAGAGGAAGAAGAAGGAGACTTGGGGAGAGACTCTAGAGATTTTTAAAATTGTAATAAAGGGGGTAGTGCAGTGGTATTAAAAGGCAAAGTCTGTCAGTGGGACTTTTTAGAATGAGAGAGAGAGAGAGAGAGATACAGTGGGTGAGGAGAAGTGGTGGGTCTCTTTTGGTGTGTAGGGTTTTGGTAGGATTGCCGCTGCCAGGGGTTTAGGAAAATTGGTAAATGTAATTTTTTATGTACAGAAAAATTATTTTTGTCAAAATTGGTTAAAAAAGTTTAAGGGAGTTTAGAAAATTCTGCATTAGCAAGTTTTTAATTATTCCCATTTAGGCCGCTGCAGGAGTTTTAGGAAAATAAGTTGGAAAATATGTAATTTTATGTGGAAATTTATTTTAAATGAATCAAAAACCTTTTAGGAAAATTGTAATTTGGAATTTTTAAGCTACAAGAATAAGAATAAGAATTTTGCTTAGGGTTTCCCCCCTCGATTCTTTCGACGGTTTGCGTAATTCTTAAAAATTATACCCTGGCAAATTTAGAGCAAAACAATTGAAGATTTTAAGCAGCATCAACCTCATGGGATCAGTGGTATACTCTTGAAATTTCACTGTAACTGAACGTTTAGTTTAACTCAAAAATTAGCAGCTCAATAACCACGCACGCTGATCTTTGCCTTAAAATGTGCCCAGATAAATTCTGCAATATTAATATTCCACGAAATGCAAATCATTGATTAGTCCGGCTTTCAGTGAGTAACGCTGCCCGCAAAACAACTAGACTTATTAAAATCGCTTTAAAATAGCCCAAAAAGTCATGTCCCCAATAAAACCACTAAAAAATTACTTAGGATTAAAACCTCCAAACTTTTATAAAATCGCTAAAGTAAAATGAATTATAAAATAATATTATCCTAAAAAACTCACTAAAGAGCGGCCCACCACTTCCCACCACCACTGTATCTCCACACATTTGTTTAACCTACATCCTCATCATCTTTACTTTACACAGCATCTCATCACTACCAATCTCATCACATCACATCAACCTAATCAATCCTAATTCAATCTCTTTTATATATAAAATTTTAAAACCTTTACGCTCCACTGAATACAACGCGCAGTGTTGAAATGCACACAAATTTTCATGCAAGGATGAACAAAGGAATGAATGATCTTCACGGATTTACTTCAGTGAAGAAAAGCTGGAGTTTGACGGTCGGTTTCAAGGTCTTCTGCTTTTTCTTTAGAAGAAATTCGCTTCTTTGACAGGTGGATCAGTCTTCAAGTTGAGATTGAGACGTGCTTTTCGATTTTAGAGACGTAGTTTTCTACTCAAAAATAGTCACAAAATAATAAAATTCCTAAAAATGCACCCACTAATAACCACCACTGTGCTCTTACTCCTAACCCCCCCTTCCCTCACCCTACAATCGCTCTACTCCTTCACCCTCCCGGACATCACGGGAAAGGAAATAGACTTCTCCACGTTCAAAGGGAAAACCATCCTCGTCGTCAATGTGGCCTCTCAGTGCGGGCAGACCGTGAGTGGATTAATACCCCAAAATTAATTATTATAATCAGAGAATGTCCGAGTCCTTTCGACAGCATTTTTCCCTTGATTATTAACTACCAATTAATTAACTCCTCCATAGGACGCCCACTACAAATCCCTCAAGCGCCTCCACGACATCCTCTCCTTCTCCCCATCCACTCCTGATGGTGGGTCCTCCTTCGAAATATTAGCCTTCCCCTCCAACGACTTTGGCGACCAGGAACCCTGGGAAGAAAAGGAAATCGAGGAATTCGTCCGTGGCCATTTCAAAGCCGAATTTTTACTTTTTCCTAAAACTATAGTGAAAGGCGAGGAAATTCACCCGTTCTGGAAGTGGATCGCCGGTTGGTTTCCATAGAAAATTTTTTATTTTATTTACCAATTCATTGCCATGGAAATAACACACAAAAAAATAATTAAAAATATAGAAACCTCCTCCTCCCCCCCCACGTGGAACTTTCAAAAATATTTATACTCGAAAACGGGCCAATTTATAAAAAGTTGGGACTCTTCCGTGTCCGTGGAGTCCATTTTCGACGTCGTCAAGGCAACCATCGATGACGAGGAAACTCGGGAAACAAATGAAAAAATCGAATTATAAAAAAACTTAGTTAAACAACTTTTCAAAATTTTGTAATTCTTCAGGGGTTAGTTTTTTCAAGGGGAGGGGTTTGAATGTGGGCGTGGTCGAGGGGGAGGTGTCGTAACGGACAAGGCGGAGGGGGCCCTGCAATTCGATATTTTTTATTGTTGTCATGGAAATTTGTGGATTAGAAATAAATATATTACCTCTTCTGTTGCTAGGAGAAAAAACTGTCCGTTATTCGCAGGGTTTAGCTTTTTGAGCTCCGCTGGTGGGTTTCCAGAGGGGGCGGGCCCATTTTCGGAGTCTGCGTCCGATTCAGGGTCCGAAGAGTCGTCCGTGGAGGCTGCAAAAATTAATTAAATTATTTCCATGGAAACTAATCACAAAATAACGAGCATACCCCAAAACCTGGCCATTTTAGAATTGATGTCCAACCCGAACCTGATCAGCGACCCATCCTCGCTCCCCACGAGTCTCAATTTCGATAAGATGTTATCCGTCGAGGGGATCTCCATCTCTAAAGTTGGAGGGGAATTAGATTCCTGTTTCTCTTTGGATAATCGTTGAAATTCACGGAATGAATTGAGTAATTTCGCTTTTATTTCCATCGCGTTGGGTAGTTCGATTAATGTCGGGGTTAGTGTGGGGGGTGGGGGGGTGGGGACACGTGTAACACGGGATTTTGGACCGATCTTTGGTTTAGACTTGGGTTTCGGGGCGACGGTCACGGGGGCTGCTGGGGAATCGACTGCGGCGACGACCTTTGGAGCAGAATCACTAGTGTTATTATCAGCCTTTTTAGATTTCGGACCTGGTTTGTAGCTCGGTTTGACTTCTTCCTTCTTCACCACTTCCTCCTTTTTACCATCGTCACTCTTCCCCCCGTTAGTATTCCCACCGAGAATAACAGGATTAACGGGCTTGGTCTTTTCTAGTAACTCTTCAAAAATGGACAGTTTCGACGGTGGTTTGGAATTACTGTGATTAGACTTTTTCGATAATTCTGAGCCGCTCCGGTGGTGGGCAGGCTTTCCCTCAGTAGAAACAGAACTGTCCCTTCTTCTCCCGATTTCCACGCTCTCCTCAGTCTTGACCTTCTCCTCCTCCACCTTCTTGGACTCAGTAATCCCCTCAGTCTTCACCTTCTTCCTACAATCCTCCACCTCCACCACCAACACCCTCTTCGTATTCAAAACCTTGACCAACTTCCAGGGCAGGGTCTCCAAATAATTCTCCACCAAATTATTACGATCGTAGTCCGACCAGGGTTCCAGTTTTGGTGGTTTCTTCTCCACCACGGGCTTCTTCTTAATTTCTGGTGGTTTGTATTTCACGAGGGGCGCCCCGCGGGGGGAGGGCAGTAATATCGTGTTCTGGAAATGCACAGAAAATATTAAAAATAATTACCACCACCCCTGGAAAAACACCTCCACCCACCTTCCTCTTCTTCCCCTTCTTCCTCCCCCGATGCCCTCCACCACTCGCTCCACTCCCCCCACTACAAGTGGAACACGACCCACTGGAACTGCTGGAACTACTCGAACTGCTCGAACTCTGCTGCCTCCTCTTCAAAATCTTGACCGGTGCGGGACTATTCCCACGTGACTTTGACCTCGAGCGGGACCGTTTCTTTTTCCCGTTGGATTTTACACTAGGTTTATGGTCACGTGAGTGGGGGTCACGTGATGGTGGGGGTGGTGGTGCTGCAGTAGCGGTAGCAGTAGAAGCAATTGAAAACAACAGATTAGATTTTTCCAGAACGTTTTGCAGGATAAATTTCGTTTTCGCGAGGGAATTCACTGTAGAGTCGATCAGCTGGAGGCCGGATTTTATTTCGATCTATTTTAAATTGGAAATAGGATTTTATTAGTGGAAATTAGTAAATAATTGCAAATTAATAGTAAAATCACCTTCAGTTCATTGTGGAGCTCCTCCGCCGTGGGTTTATTACTCCCAGAATTCACCTTTGGTTTCATCATTAATTTATTCTCTCAATTAAAACAACTTAAAAATTTAGTTCACCAATTTCCCCTCAAAAATTTATATAAAAAACAAACACCGACTTCTTCCTCCAGCAGAGCCGATTCTCTTCTCTCTCACTCTCATCTCAACCCTCTCCTCTCTCCTCTCGCGGCGCGCGGTAACCCTGAAGCGCATGGCTATTTGAGACCAGGCTAAAAATACCACTATACACACTTCTTCCCTCACTCACTCACTCGCCTGACTCTCCACTTACTCACTCCAAAATCGCCATCGAAATATATTATAATTTTTATATAAGTAGAGAATAAAATGGAAAATAAAGGTGATCCGAGGGGTGGTGCTAACAACAATTCGAAGATGATTGAGGAGCAGGTAGTAGTCACTCAAATTTATCCAATAATTACTATTCACTAATTAAATTATCGCAGCTCTCCACCCTGACGTTATCATCCTCCACACCTCCCACCACCACCTCCACAAACACAAACACCAGCGTGACCACAACTTCTACGGGTGGAGGAAAGAAGCTCCTCTCTCGCTCCTCCGCGATCGACGAGGACGAACAGTTGTTGAACTTCATCCGCGACACGATGCTCAAAAGTTTAAAAGATCGAAATATTATACTCAGAATCGAGACTGACTTGATCCAATTCGTCAAGGGGGATGGGTAATTTTACTCTGTTTTGATATTTTTAATTAATTAACTGACTGACCAGCAATGGCGACTGAGTGAATGAAATGAAAGACGAAAGGCTGATGCTGCTGGAAATATTAAAATTCTATACCATTCACCGTACTTTTTATCGCACATAGTCTCATCCAACCTTTAGTTTATTAATCAATAATTAACTCCCCAGGTCGGCCCTCCCCTTCCCCTCGATGTCCTCCTACCATCGAATGCTAGTCCACCGTATCTCATCCCTCTTCAACCTCGATCACAACATTGACCCGATCGGGAACTGCGTCGTCGTCTCCAAAAACGGAGGAGAAAAACTGCTCGACTTTAGATTTAGGGAATTACTCGAAAAGGAGAGTGGCGGTGGTGACGATGGTGGTGGAGAAAAAGTGGTGCTGAAAAGGGAGGGAGGGAATTTAGAGAGGGGGAACAGCGAGGAGGTGAATAAGCAGAGGGGCGGTGGAGGTGCTACCAGTGAGGTGAGAATCTCCAGAAAATTTGATAAATTACGACAAAAACTAACTAAAAATGACTACCAGATGGCCAAGAAAACCCTGGAGCAGCGAACTCTCGACTACCACCGCGCCCGAAACAGAATATTTCAAGACCCCCCCATATCCAAGGTCGAGTCCTTCGACGAGAGCAGGGTCCGTCGCCAGTGGAACAACAAACAAAAAAGCTGGGTCAGCTTGAAATCCTCGAGTTTCGGGGGCTATCAGAATGGTCTGTGGTTTATTATTTTTCCCTCATTTTTGTGTCTAACTGACAAATTAATAAATTCCCTGCAGGAACCACGTCATCCCACCACACCAACCACCACTTGAGCACCTACCCCCACCACTCCTACCCACACCAACAACCTTCCATCTCCCCGGCCTCCTCCGGCTACAAATCTCTACAAATCATGTCCACCAGCACGAGCTGCTCATCAAGTCAGGACTACTTTCATCAGGGGTTTGAGGAAAATAATGGGGTGGATAATAACAGAGTCGATCCTGCTGGGTTCTACTCACCACCTCCACCTCCGCAACAACAACAAATGCAACAACCCCCACCACCCCCGCAAGTGATGTCCCCACCACAATTCATCCCCCCGCAATACGTCCCATCTCCTCAACCCACCCTTCCTCAACAGCAATATTACCAGTACCCACTGGCAAATTATCTCCCAATCTTGCAGCAGCAGCAATTTCCTTTAGGTGGAGGTGGCAATGGACAAAATGTGATTTATTACGTGCCCATAACTCAGCAGCAGATGATGCAGCAGTTGAATAACAATAATAATGGTGGTGGTGGTGGAATGGGTCCGACGACGACGACGGGAGTGATGATGCAGGACACGTCATTCATCCAACAAATCCTTCAACAACAGCAGCAACAACAGTATTATCAGGTGAGTTTATAGTCTTAAATTTTATGCTAAAATACTAACAAAATCCTTCTCTAAATCCAGACAATCCTCCACCAACAGCAACAACAGCAACAGCAATATTTCTACCCCTCTGGACCCACCCCTCTCCCACACATCCCACAATCTCACCAACTCCCAGCCCCTCCCCCCATCACCCCCCAACCCCAACCAATCCTCCCACCACAACAACAACCCTACTCTAACTCTAATAGAAAACCTCAAAACTTTGTTAATCGATTTAAATAATTCATAATACGAGAGAAAGAGAAATTTATTAAAGAGAGAATATTATTTACAAAAGTAACCATAAATTATTCCCTATGAATTAAAACATAGCCAGCCAGTCCGGCCAGGAGTGCGTATTTGACTTTGGGATACTCGTTCATGTAGATCGTCACCATCCCCACTGCAATTTTATTAATTAGTTAATTGGAATTAGAACACTAGAATGAATCTTAACTGACCATAAGGAAGCAACCCCCTCGCCCTCCCCACGATATCCTTTTTGGTTAACCAGAGCTGCCCGGGAGCGTACAGGCCACGATCATCCACCGAATTGTTGTCTCCTTTCGTGAGGAATTTTACAGTGCCGTTGGATCTGTGGTAATTATTTATTAGTCACAAAATCACCACCCAAAAAGCTAAGAACCTCTTCACCTCTCATGCAACTTCAACACCCTGTGCACAATAGGAATATCCCTCCCCTCCACTTTAAAAACGACAATTTCCCCCACGCGGATCGGGTCCTGCTCGTAATTCGTTAGAAAAAGTAGATCCCCTCGGTGGAAGGCCGGCTCCATCGACCCGCTGCAATTTTACGATAATAAATTAGTTAATTATAAACAAATAAATAACAAGGACTAACCTCAACACCACGACGATCGGAGACTCCGACCCCGTGACGACCATCAACCCCTTCCAGATCATCAACGCGGAGCTCACAATCATCCCAAAGGACAAAACTTGATAAAGGAACTGACGCTTGTTCATACGTCGGAGGTCTTCAAACAGGGAGTCCATTTTTATTTTATTTTATTTTATTTTACGTGTTTTACTATTAAAAATGTTATCTTGCATATGCTCTCCAACTCTTTTACGAAATCTCTACCTATTCGGTGTATTGACAGTGGATTCAAACTCCCCGCCTATGATTTCTATGATTACGTGTATCTCGACTCTTTCTCGTCGCTCCACGAAAGGTGGCGCTATGCAAAATTTTCCATGCAAAATGCAGATTTCTTAAATTGCGAATTTTCATGAAAATAAATCTCTCTCGCTTTTTGCCAATTTATCCAATTTTATTTTCCAAAATTTTTAAAAAGAGCTTAACAAAAATCCTCACAAAAAAATTCCATTAAAATTTTGATATCTCCAGAGTTTTTCTTTGTCCAGTGTGTGTTTGTGTGAAAAAGGTGTATTTATTCTCCGTCGGGGTACGGGCCGGCCATCAGCTTCTTCAGGAAGGCTGCAATTTTTTAATGGATTATTATCACCAAATTTCTAAATCACATTAAATTAGTAAGCATACGTTTGTAAGGAACGAATCCGTCCTCATCCTCCGCGTCGCAGCAGTCCTTCAGAATCGCCTCCGCCTCGTCCTTGTCCAGGCGCTCACCTTTAATTTATCCTCAAAATTATCAATTTTATCACTTTAATGGACGTTAATCGAGACACTGGACAATTAAAACCACGAAATTCTCTTAACAGCGGACAACCGATTAAAGAAATTTTAAAAATATATACTCTTTTCCCCAAATTTGTCCAAATTTGTCCATTAGTCCACTACCACCAACAGTGGAGGCTTGACCTACCCAACGACTGCAGGATATGATTTAATTCCGCATACGGCATCTTGCCATCCCCCGATTTATCATACAGTTTCAGGATTTCCGTAAAGTCCTCAATGTTCCCCACGTCCTTGTCTTTTTTAGCAGTGGCGAAAATGGGAAGGAATTCGTCCACCTATCAAGTCACGTGATATAAGCCATCGCCTAATTATAAAACGTAGTCCATACCTTAAACTTCTTCTCATTCCGCTTCTTCGTTCCGCCGAGTTTTTCGCAGAGTTTTTGCGTCGGAGAGAGGTTCAATGCGCGGAGGACGTCGCCGATGTAGAAAGCGTCCACCGTGTCCGAACCCTCAAAGTCGTAGATGGAAAAGGCGAACTTGGCACCTGCGAATTTGTTTATGGATTTAGGTCAGGGCGTGTCCCCTGGGAATTTTTGTTTAAATTTAATCTCACGTTCAATGTCCCGAGCTGAGAGTTCCGCCTGCGGGAAATAATTTATGGTGTTAATTATTAACACCATAAATTAACAGAACTCCTTTGTAATTAATTAAAAATTGTAAAATCTCACCATCGTCTTTAAAAGTCTTTAAAATCGAGTGTGGAGAAAAAAAGACCTGATCCGCTGGAAGTTGGAGACACACTGAAAAGACTAATTCGAGCTGGTTCGAAAGTCGGGAAAAGAGGAATTTTTGGCTGGGATTCGAGAGAGGGGTTATTTTTAGCCTTTTTTAGGGGTCTGCGAAGGATGTGTGGGATTTTTGGCGAGGTTTCAATAAAAGTGAAGTTAAATTTTATGCGTGTTTATGGTGGGGAAATTTGGCGATTTTCATGGGGAATTTATAAGTGGGCGCACCCCCCTTTCCACTGAGTCAATCCCAAAAATCTATTAAAACCCCCCATGAAAACCCACCCCACTAAACAAAAAAACCCCAAAAATCCATACAAATTTTGCATGGAACTCTCTCTCCTCATATGAAAATCTCCCCCGCTAGATGGCCTCCACTACTCCCTACCAAAACTAAAAGTCAGACCCACCCACCCTGCTCTGCTCATGACTGCCACCACCACCGTCAGTCAGTCACTCGCCATTTCTCTCTCTCCACTCTTTCCATCAGCCGAAAAATCCTCCGGTGATTCAATTTTTTTCTCTTTCTCTCTCGTCAGGAAAAAAAGGAAATTCCAAGGTAAGAAACACCCACTATTCACATACCCTTAATACCCACACTAATCACTCAATAATAACCCTTAGATGAACTCTCTCCGCCTCGCCACGGCCCTCTGCACCCGGTCCTCCGCATCCTCCACCATCCTCCGATCCTCCTCAGTTGGAGGAGTGCAGAATTTCGCTGTCGTGGTGAGTTTCTCTTATTTCTTAATTTTATAATTAATTCCCCACAATTAACACCTTAAAATAATTCCACTAGCGCCCCATCGCCACGACCCCCGCCTCTCGCGATATCGATTCCGCCGCCAAGTTCATCGGTGCTGGTGCGGCCACGGTCGGGGTCGCCGGGTCCGGAGCTGGGATCGGGTCCGTCTTTGGCTCGTTGATCATCGGTTATGCCAGGTAATTTACTAATTATTTCACCACTTTATTCACTAAATCCACTACAATTAACCAATAAATAACTCAATCCATTTAGAAACCCCTCTCTGAAGCAGCAGCTCTTTTCCTACGCCATTTTGGGTTTCGCCCTGTCCGAGGCCATGGGATTGTTCTGTCTCATGATGGCTTTCCTCCTCCTCTTTGCTTTCTAAATAATCCACGAATTTAAAAACCAGCGAGTCAAACATTAGTTTAATAGTTTATTAAAGTAAAATAAAAAATCAAAAATTGTAGCAGGAAAATTTAAGAGAAAACTGTTAAATAAATAATTCCAAACTTAATTTCCTTCATATTTTTTGCGAATTTTTTTTTATTGATTTCACGGCATAAAAATTAATCTTTCAATAAAAAAACAATAACCGAAAGTTAATAAAACTAGTTTTGTTTAATCCTTTTTCTTGGTGGTCCGATGGGTGGGATTTGTTGGGTGGCAAGGGCTCGAAATGCCTCCGCGATCAGGTGCGGATGGGAGTGGACCATGGATTTCCAACCAAGGGTTTCCATTATCTCGGTGGCGTGGCTATCAATTAATTTAATTTAATTAAATTGCAATTAAATAACTAAATCAGTAAATCTCACATGTTAATGAAGTCAATCGCCTGGGCCTTGAGTTGATCCGCCGAGTGGAGATCCGCGAGGATCAGAACTTCCGCCGCATTTTCCACCGAGAGGGAGGTGCACAGGGCTTCTTCACACATCACTTTGAGGCGGTCCAGGGCGTACCTGCGCACACACACTAAAATTAGTCAAAAATCATAAAAAATGCCATAAAAAAGTAAATCCACGCACTTGTCCGCCGCCGCCAAGAGATCATCCGCCATTTTGTCGAGGTTGCCACTCTTCCCGGTGTAGATAAACCTCAGCATTTCCCTGAGGACTTCGTTGTCCACGTCCGTTATCTCCACGCGGTTCTATGGAATTATCACCATTAATAATCTCCCCCCTACTTTAATAATGACCCAATAAGTAACTACCCCACCTGCTTCCTCTCCTCCATCTCATGTTCGAACATGGCCGCAAACACCGGACTCCTCGCTGCCAACACGGCTTTATGAGCTTGATACTCCTTCCCCGGGATCACCGCCAGCGTGACATCACTGAATTTTTGACTCTCGAACAGTGCTCCTAAATCCTCGCTCAGTTTACACTCTGGAACTTTGAATTGTACGGCGTTGGACTGGCCGGAAATGTTCACGGAATCCGCAACCACGGAGACTTCGCAGAATATCGTGAGTTTGTCGTCCGGGAGGAGGCCGTTCGCTTCGTCCAAGAGGAAGTCCCTGTTGAGGAATTAGTTAGTTAATTTGTGCATTTATTAATTGATCAGACGGATAAATTAATCACAAAAAAATATCCCCTACCGCCTGATAAACTTTTTGAACCCCCAGTCCTTGCCCTGCACGAATCTGTACGCTCTTTGGCTCTCCATCGCTTTGGTCTCTTCCCTTTTGGCATTCAAAATGGAAAACTTGAACTTGGCTCGGACCTCGGACTTGTTGCAGGAGACGAGGAGGAGGTAGAGCGACAGGTAGTCCTTCGATTCTTCATCCAGCCCCTTTGGGTTGACCCTAAAATTAATTTATTTTAATTTAGTCACCTTGTAACTAGCTAATAATTAATTAAAAATCTCACCTCAAGCACCATTTGAGTTTATCATTGGCCCCTGCCGAGAACGTGCTGGACTTTAAAACCTCACCCATCTCCTCCCGACAAAAGGAAAAGTTGTTGATGGTCCACATGTAGCTGAACTTTACCACTTTTACCTGAAGGAAATAAACGTTTTTCAATATTTCTCAGTAAAACCAATTAATTAATTAATAACCCACCTGCGTGTAACACCAATTCTCCGCGACGGGGGTGGGGGCTTCAGGCGGGGGCGGAGGGGACGGAATATTTCGACTGATTGCATTATTTCCTGAACCACTCGTCGAATTTGCATTGTTTATATTCGGTTGGGGTGGGTTGTTGGGTGGGGCGGGAGGAGCTGCGCCACCGGCGGCGCCAGCGGCTGCAGGGCCAGCAGCGTTGTTGGCCATTGTTGGTTATCTGAGGGGGGCAGTGTTTTTATCGGTGGGGATTTTTATTTTCTCACAAAAAAGAAGGAACAACAAGAGAAGAAGAGAAGGAAAAGGGAAACCTTGTGTGTGTGTGTGTGAAACCTTGGGAAAATTGAGTAGTAGACTTATTACACTGGTCTGGTGGTGGTGTTTATATGACAGGAGATGAAGTGGTGGTGGAGAGAGGTGGCGCTGCTGCTGCTGCGAGTAGACTATGATTTGATCATGGATTTGATGGTGATTTGCTAAATAACTCATGAAAAACACTATTTTTTTATTTTTCAAGTCCTTGCACCATTTATTTCCACTTTTTTTAAAGCTCGTCATTTGTTCAACTAAAATAAATTATGGACGTTTTTCCTCCGCTAAAAACTAGCACCTAAAAAACACAAAATACTTTCCCCCCACCGGGACCCCATACATTAACGCGACACTTCACGCGTGCATTGTTCATTGCCATTTCACCCTAATTCCCCCTTAAACCAATTAATTAAGCCCCCTGCCATGACTAAACTTAGGAAACAGCAACCCAAACTTAGACTCGATCCCACTCAAAATCGGCAGCGCAACTTCAAATCCTCCGATATGATCAGGATTCGACGGTTTGCTCCCTTGTTCTATCAATCCAGTGGCCGGAAGGTTCAACTCGGATCCGGCTGGGCGGCTGTAACGATTTTATAAAATTTTTAAAATTCCCGCTGAAAAACCCTCCTAAAAACAAATTACCTCCCCCCAAAATCGATGTAAAACAGCCTCTGAAGGATCTCATAAGTCACGAGGGTCACCCCAAATTGCGGGCTGGACCGTAACACTCGGGCCCCGGCCTGAAATTTTAATACTCTAATTTAGAAATTACCAAAAACTGTCGGATTAAAGATATCGGGATTAAGGATTGAGGATTAAATATGAGAATATTGGGATTCGGATTAAAGATTAATTTTTATTAAAATTTTGGGATTAAGGATTGGGATTAAGGATTGAATTTAATCTGGGATTAGGATTGACAAGGGATTAAAGGGATTTCCTGGATTGGGAATTAATTTAGTCGTGGATTAATTGTTTAATGTTCATTATTATGCCAGACTTTTAAATTAATTAAACAAATGTCTATGAACTTCTGAAAATGAAATATTTTGAACATTTTGCATGCAAAATTAGATCGCTCATTAATACAATTTCTAATTCGCAATTGAATATTTTTGCGTTAAAGGAAAAAATCTAATTTTACCCTCGGTACTATTTTAACAAACGTTTTTGATCATAGTTTGGTCAGAGTATGTACTCACATTTCTTTTATAAAGCTCATACAAATGTTGAAAATTGTGCATTGAGGATACCGCGTTACGGGTAGTTTTGCAAAAGATTGTGAGTATTTTTTAAATGTTTGATAAAATGAACGAAATGCAATCAATTTTCGAAAAGGGAGCGATCTCAAGAGAAGTTTGCTCTTCAAGTTTTCAGTCATTGCAGATTTAATCCTATTCTAATCCCATTTTTAGATTAAAGTTGGCAGAGTTGGATTGAGGATTAAGGATTAAAATTCCGGGATTAAAGATTGAGATTAAGGATTAATTAATCCCCAATCCTTAATCCTGGATTGACCAGTTTCTGCTGAAATCACCCCCAAAAACCCCTAATAAAAATAAACTAACCCCCTTCCAAAAGGCCTTCCCCCCTTCTTCCTTCCAAATCTTCTTAGTAGCATCCATAACTCCATCATAAGTCGTTTGACCAGCCCGCGCTACGACTTGTAACCTAGTTTTAATAACGTCCGCTGGGGTAACGAGAGACGCGGCGGGAATGCCTGCAATTGCTCCGGACACCAAGAGCGTCCAGGGGGCGTTGTAACCGTTGTCGTCTTGAAATTTGACTTTTGTGTGGGCGTAGACTGGGAAGTAGCTGCGCGGGGGTTTTAAAAATTGTTTTATTTTAATGAATGTTACGGACAGAGAAAAACTCACATGGCAGAGAAGGGAACATCCCGCAGGAAACAGGCTTTGGCGCCCTGAAATTTAAAAAACACGTTACGAACATTCTTAAAAAAACTGGCTTAGATTTAGGCTTCCACTTATTTAGCTGAACCTTCCCACTTATTTTGAACTCACCATGCGAACCCTTCATGGGTTTTTTGAGCCACCTAATCGTTTGAAAGTTACACGGCCTCTGTAGTTTTACCGCTAATGGATAATAAAATCCAAAATTGACGAGTGGATTCATGTGTAATTTAACTAGCACTTTCAGAAAAGTTAGATAAAGTTTGAGCCAAAACCGTATCTTTTTAGGTCAAAAGCGTAAGTGGAAAATGGTTGCTCGAGCTAAAGCTCTTATTAGTCTTATTGTAAATTTTTAAAAGTAAATTTGTAGTATCCTAAGAATTTCTGTATAATTTAGATAACGGTTTTTGTGCTTAATAATCCCTTTAATTTAAGAATCAGATAAATGGCCACCACTAGCTAAATAGGTGGGTTGAAAAATCGACGTAGTGGAGATTTCAGCTAATCGTAGGTGACATCAAACTAGTGGGCTGTTCCAGCCAATTAAGAGGGGCGTTTAATTTATGCCAAAAAAACCCACACGCACCTTGTACAACCCTAAAAACCCCAACTCTTTAACAACGCTCCACCCCCCAATTTTCCCCTGGCTCGCAATCTCCCCCGCCACCTGCAGCCGGATCTTCACAATCTCCAAGGGATTCGTAAACACCACCTGACTCGCTCCTGCACTCGCCCCCGCGACCACTTCCCCCCAAACCGGGATAGTGTTATTCCTCGTCAGTTTGTCTCGGACCAGATCGTTCACCTACAAAATAAAATCAGCATACAAATTACCATTACAACGGCCCAAAATAACACAAAAAAAGACCCACCGTGAGTTTGATGGCCTTCTCCGGGGCGACGCCCATGAGCTGAGGGACCAAACCCCTGTACAACCCCCCAAAACCCTCGTGCCGAATAACTTTTCTAAAGCAATCCGCACTTGAACGGTACATTAATTCACCGATATAAGACCCACTCCGCTGGTTCTGCATACGGGTTTTGACCAAGTCGATCGGGTAGACCGCAGTGGCTCCGACCGCTACAATTTTACCACGAATTAGCCAACCATTCTTAAATTATCACCCAAAAATCGTATCTCACCCCCCGCCAGTGCCCCCAGGGTAAACCGATAAGCGCTCTCCAGAATCATCATCCCGACCCCGCGATCCTCCGGCCTCTCCACCGCCTTAAAATCCGCAAATCTCTTCGTAATTTGCTTAAAGTAATGTTCCGGAGCGATGGCTTGAAGGTCGGAGTACTGGATCCGACCCGTTTGGTGGAGTAAATCACAGAGTAAAAATAAGATATCCACTTCCAGCGGTGTTATCTGAGACATCATTTGAGCAGAGTGCAGGAATTCCTCTTTCGTTAGTTCTAAGGATTTTATTTATTAATTAATCACCCATTAACTAACCGATAAATAAAAATTCTTTACCAGTCCCCCTACTCCCCGCCGTGGCATTGAGATAAATCTTCTTGACCAACTCCATATTATTAAGCAGCGAGTTAAACGCCATGAAAAAGGGGAACGAGACTTTTTGAGCGTGTGTGATCCCCATCAGATTTTCTTGAACCTCTTTCGTGAGTAAATGTCTTTTAATCTGCGTCATAATATTTGCAAAATCCAGGGCGGAGATGAATCCCGTCCCATTCGTGTCGAAGCGGCGGAAGGCCTCCACGGCGTATTCTTCGTGGAAATCGTGCAGGAACTGGGAGAACTCGGCGTAGGTTATTATCCGGTTTTTTGACTTGCCGAAGTACTGGAAAGTCATACGAATTTGGTTTAGAAAGTGACTTTTAACAAAAATTACCAAGAAAAACCCACCAACTTCACGAACCCCCCATCCAGATCAAAAGGGATCCTCTTGAACGTCACCGTGTGCTTGATAACTTCTTGAAACTCTTCAAACGTGACCAACCCCGTCCCCTTGGTGTCAAATAATTGAAATGCTAATTGATAAAGTGCATCCGGCAGGCATAATAAACCTTCAAAGGCTTGAAATTCAGGGAAACTAATTAAATTATCCTTGGACGTGTCTATAATCCCGGCGAGTAAAGCGACGGATTTCGCGTTGTGCGGGGGTTCGTTGAATAATCCGAGATAGGATTGGATAAAATCCGATGCGGTCATGTAGGGGGTGGGGGTCCCGGTTAGCTCGTCGGTTAGGGTGACCGAGGCGTATTTTTTGAAGACGGAGAAGAGGGCAGGGGTCGAGGCGCGCTTCAGGTAGCCGGGGGCCTAGGGATATTAAATAATTATTATTTTTAATTGTTCTTTGGTTAGAGTTAAGGTTAATTAAAAAAACACCTGCTCACTCAAAATGGACATCTTTTTACTGTGGTGCATACAATGGGCAGTGGTGGTTGGGGTCAGGGTTTTTAATGCGGATAACTGAACGGTTAGTAATAAAAAAACACAAAAAAACACGAGCAAAATTATAAAACACCAAATTATAAAAAAATAATTGTTAATTCTGCAAAATCTCACGCGTGATTTAAAAAAACTCACCAGATAATCCGCCGTTGAAGTCACCGTTTGTTTATACGAAGTCGTCGCTGGTTTGTTTTCTGAAGACATTTTTTAAATTATTTTTAAAGGCAATTGGCAAGATTTTTTTTATACTATAATTTAAAAAAGAGAGTATTTTTTAAGGCAGCGCAAAGGAAAAAGTTTTGATATGTTATTAAGTTCGTCTGTGTGTTGTGTTGTGTCGAGAGTGGAGAATCTCAGAGAGTGAGCATGTGATATTATTTGTGGAAAGTCGGTGAAGGTTACAAAAGGCGAGTGAATAAAACATCTTGTCGGCACGTGCAAAAAATCTTCTCGATTGAGTTGAGAGATGGGATTTCTTCCTGCATGATTTTTTTATTATTATGCAGTTCTTTCTTGTAATATTCATTTCTCGTTTTTTTCTGCATTTATTTTTCATAATAGTAGATCGCACACAAAAAAATATATTATATCATAAAATTGACTATCAGACACATTGCACATTTTTCTAAAATAAAAATAAAATAAAAATCACCAATATTTCCTTAAAAGCATGCTCGTGTAATCAAACACGCTAAAACTGATCCCCGCCGACACCGGGCCTTTGATCCAATTCATCGATAGTCCCTTGTAGAGGCCTTTTATTATCCCTTCCGTCCTGTTTTTTTAAATAATTAATTTATTAATCCATTAAATCAATTAAAACAATTAATTAAGATCAAGCTCACCTCGCAATCTCCACCATGACCCTGGCTAAATTCCCCTCCACTAACTCCACCCCCACCTGCCTCCTCCTCCTCACGATATCAAAGGGATACGAGCTGGTCTGCCCAATGACCCCACTGACCGCACCAAACCCCATCTTCACCACCCCACTCGCCTCTGTCCCAAACTCTTCCCTGTAGCACTTTTTACAAGTCTCATAAGTGTAAAAAGAGCACCCCGCATAAGGAACGACGCCGATCATCGTGGGAATAAAACCACGAAATAAAGTCATTGGTCCTTCCTTGGTGATTATCTTGAGGAAAACATCACTCAGGTTTTTGTACTTGTTTGACGGGGAGACGGCAAGGCGGGCGCGGCAGAGGTCCAGAGGATAGGTGAGGGATTGGGCGGTGACCCCGGCGAGGGAGCCGCAGATGAAGCGGGATGTGTGGGTTGAAGTTGAGGGGGTGGGGGTCAGGAGGCGTTTGTATTGTTCGTGGGAGGCGAATTGGATCTGCAAAATTTGGATTATATTGAGTTATGGATTCTTGGAGGTTATAGTTTATTATCATAAAATCTTACGGCAGAGTAAGGAACGATCCTGGCCATTGTGGCTGAATTTCCACGATATAGCGAAAAAAATCCGGTGGTTTTATACGTTTTAATCAAGTAGGAGAGCACGGTGCGGGTGGAGAAGGGGGCCGTCGGGGTGGTCTGCAATTTTATAGAGTGGTTTATCACTTGTAAGTTACAAGTTAACATTTATGCAAAAAAATCATTTATGCAGTGTTAATGCAATTTCATATAGCGTTATTTCCAACGAATATAACCACTTAAAAAAACTTAAAACTTACTTGAAAATAGATTTTCGTCCTGTCCAAGGGAGCGATTGTCGTTTTTGCGAGTGCACCAGCAAAGGCACCAGCCGTTAATGAGGTCATTATCAAATGGGAATTGGTGGGCTACAAATTTATAAATTAATTACTTGCCAATTAAAATATAAATTAAGAAAAAGCTCACCATCTGATCTAGATGATCGATCCCGGTGTCCCCATCCTCCATATTTTTTTATATTAAATTTAACCATTTAAACAGCCACCCATTTTTCCGCACCCACCTAAAAAACACTGATTATTTATTACTCGTCACTCGTCACCTGTTTTTCTATTCACACACACTTTTATATTCATCCAAAAAGCAACCTTTGCTCTCAACACCTGCTCTCCACTCTCGACTCTCTCGCGGTGGAATAAACAGGGGCACATGGAAACAATACCCAGAGGGAACTTCTCCAGTTCAAATTATATTACAATTTTTAGTGACTCTTCAAATGTGTGCAGAATACGTTTCTCTTTTTTGTATAAAATAAAATTACCAAAATAAAATAAAAAATATGGACACGGACCCTGTCGACTCACCACCGCCGCCGCCGCCGCCATCCGCACCGCCACTCAACAGCACACCACCCACTACAGCAGGAGACTCAGATATAAGAATGGAACAGGATGAAGATCAGATTTTAGGTGCTAGTGGCGGAGCAGGAGACAATTCATTACTGCATCAAATTGAACACCAATTTTCCTGCATGGCCACCACTGACAAGGACGTTCTTGTTAAACAATTACAAAAAATGGTGGGGGAGAGCGTCCTCAACGAGTACGCCGCCGCGTTCTTTCTCGACATGAACAATTGGTTAGTTATTTATTATCTTATTTATTAATTTTCTTACTCTATTTATTTATTTATTTACTAACAATCTCTCCTTTAAAGGAACCTCCAACTCGCCGTGGGCTCCTATTTCGACCTGATTGGAAACTCCCAATCGCCTCCAACTCATCAAAATCTCCACCACTACCCACGCCATTCCACAATAATAACACCCTCACCCATCTTAGGCTCCACCCCGTCCTTTTCCTGCACCTCCATCCCACCGCCCCCTCATTCCGTGGCTCTAGCAGAAAACAAAGCCCAACAAATCGAACTCGTATTACAAAACGACGGTCAAACCCGGTGGCCACCGGGATGCTGTCTGAGATACGTTCAGGGTGACCTCAACGTCGTTGTGATGGATTATTGTGATACTAATGAAGGAGGGAATTCTGGGAATGGAAATCAGTGGACTATTGATAAAATTAACGTTCTGGAGGCGGTGGAGGTGCGATTTTTCATTAATTTTACTCTCATTTAACAGTTTAACTAACGATTAATTCCCAAAATTGCAGCCCCTCGCCAGCACAACGCTAAAGATGACATTCCTCTGTGTTCCAACCCCGATAACGCCCTCAAAGATTGAAATGCATTGGCAAATGTGTACTCCGGATGGGTATTTATTTGGTCAATTGATCAATTTTCAAATTAGTGTGGGCAGTGCGGTGGGGGATGTCGTTGAACAATTTGGCAGATTGGGACAATAAATTACTTTTTGTATTGCTATTTCTACTTTGTTATTTATTTTTTTAGCAGCACCTCACATCACAGAAGAAAAAACGATAAATTAGAAATCACAGAAGGGGAATGTTATCATAAATTAAGTTACAGGCTACAAAAAAATATAAATTTCCCTACAACATTTTGACGAACGCACTGATCCCAAAAGTTTCTGGAATGACAATTTCTTCTAGTTTAACAGAACTAGGACAAAAGTCAAATTTGACTGAAAAACTAAATTTTGTGTCCATCAAGAGCCCAGCCGGAGAGGTTTTGTTACTTCGCAATTCTGTTAGTTTATCTTGCACGGCGGAAATCAGTTGTTTCGACACCTTGTCCGAATCCAAACCGTCTTTTGAGGAGTACAGGTTCAGCAGTTTTACGACCTTTTTTAAAAAGGAATACATTAGTTCAAACACAAATTCATCATTAAATAAATGTTACCTGCTGGGCCGACAAATCATCGCAAATTTCAACGATGGACCCCGCATCTTTATCCGTTTTCCGAGCCTGTAGAATTTGACTCGCTTGGATTAAGGGCGCCAGTGTGGGTAGCAATATGTCGTCCGGCATCCGTTTCCCACGAGTCCATTCCTAATTTTGCAAAAAAATTAATAAAAACCCCCCAAAAAAACCTCCATAAAAAACCCACCTGCAACCCGGAGATGTTAAACCGGATGTCGACCCCTTTACTCCAATGGCACAGTTCCCTCCTCAGCAATAAATTATTTAAAGCTCCGGCGCAAATATAATAAAACAACTGTTTAAAAATCTGAAAAGTGACGCTCAATTCTAATCCGTAGCCATCGAGGAGGTTATAAATTTTATCCAATTGTCCGATTAAAGAGTCCAATGGTTTACTGATCGAGGCGGCCGTGGGATCACATGTCGATTCGAGTATTGCAGGCACGATGAGGGATTGCAGACTGTCCTCCAGGGATTTTATCAGCAGCTGCAAATTAATTAATTTTAAATACAATCCCACGAAACCTCCAATGAAGAACTCACGGTGTAAACCCAAACGGCATGATCGCTGAGGACTTGTCTGTACTCCACGAGGTCGAAATTTTTCAAGCACTGTTCATTTTGCTTTAAAGTGTTATCTTTCTGGAACCCAGCATCTCCGCAGTATTGTTTCAACGTGTGTAATAATCGCGTCATATTGCACATCCATAAAATTAATAAATCCAAATGATCCGATCCACGTTTCCGGATTAATCGTTTGATTGAATTGATTGCTTTTGTTAGTAGTACGCGGACACGTTCATCATCATTTATGTAATCCGTGTAGCGGATCATTAGGAAGATTAAGTAGGCTGGCAATGATTTTATCGGGGTGGAACTCAGCGCCAGGGATGGGGGGAGGTCTGTAAATAAATTTTACACTTATCATTTCTGATTTACCATTTAAAATAATGAGAATTTTACCCGTCACGAGAGCCCTGAGGATCCTGTCTAAATCGTCCTGTTTATACTCGAGCATTCCCAAATATTGAACATGTTTCTTCTTCACGACGTGGAATGGTAATTCTTCCAAAGTTGTAGGTTCTGAGGTGGATAATTGTTGTTTTAGAGAAAAATTCTCTTGAATCAGACGTTCAAGTTCAGTTTGGATTGATGGATTTTGCAATGATGAGAGGAGTGAATTGTATTTGGATTCCAAGTTTTGGTTCAATTCTCGTTGACTCGTTAAGGCAGAGGAGATCTGCGGAAATATTTATCATAATTAAATTCTAGCCACTATTAAAATTAATAAAAAAAACCTCACCTCCACATCATCAATCGTCATCACACCCCCACCACCACCACCACTCTTCCTCAGAATAGAATTCTCAACTTCCAACTCTTTAACCCTCTTCTCTAATCTATCCCTTTCTAAACTAGTCCTCTCTTTAGCTACGGGAATCTGACCACCCACCACTCCTCCACTGATAACAGCCCCCTCTGATTTAACAACAATGTCCATGTATTTCCTCCTTTCAGCGTCTAATTCCAATTCTAAAATAGTATTTTTCTCCACGTAACCATTTTTTAAATTGACTTCACTTTCTAATTGTAATATTTTCTCTCTTAAATCATTAATTAACTCTGATTTTAACTCTAATTCTTTTTTTAATAATAAAATTTCGTCTGATTTCTTTTCACTAAAAATAACTAAATCAAATTTCTCTGCCTTTTCCGTGTCTAAAACTTTTTTAACTTCATCCAGTTCTAAATTTAAATTATTAATCATAATTTTCTGATTTTTCCCTTCTTTTTCAATAGATTTAAAATTGATCAATTCATTTTTAAACTTTTCATTTTCAATTTTTAACAATTTCCCCACTTCAATGTCTTTGTTTAAAATTTGGATTTTCTGTTGTAAGGAAATAATCTTATTTTCCAAGCCTTTATTCGTTTGCTTAACATGTTCCAGTGATCTGGCCTCCGTTTTCAAAATACGCAAACGCCTCTTGGCCAAAAATCTACGGATGCAACATTGTGCAAGAACTATTCGTCTTTTGTGGTCCGAAACCTTCCTCCTGATTAAACATCCTCTAAAATAAGATTGGATTTTAGTAACATATTTCAAATCCTTCATCTCTGCTGCATATTTCCTGGCCAAAAATCCACGAATCCTTGTTTGTAACTTGTTAATCAAAGTCAATTTAGATTCATAAACACATCTCGTGCTCCACATTCGATAATAAGATTGGATTTTAATAGCTGCTCTGGTTTGTCGGAGGAAAAGAGCATGTTTCCTTGCAAGGAATCCTCTCGCTTGGTTTTGCAAGAGTCGTATTGATTTTTGTAGCTTTTTATAAACGTTTCGCTTAGCAAACATTTTAATATTTTTCTGTATTATCAACCCTGCTCGTTGTAATTTCTCTAATCGGATCCGCTCAAGATAAGCTACTTGCCCAGAGCGGAAAAATATCTTACTACTTCCTAATCGATAAGTGTCTGGGTTTGGGAGTAAATTTTCTATCAAGTTTTTCGAACTCAGAATTGGATTCTTTTCACGTTTCTTGCTATTGTCCAGCATGCGGTAGCGGGCGTAAAAATCCGCATATGTCCATCGCGAGGGGAAGCCAGCGGCGGAGATCCGAATCGTTTCCAGTACACCACAGGCTCTGATTTTTTAGAGATGAGTTGTTATCACGTTTTAAATTATTATTTTTTTAAGAACTCACCTCAATTGCTGAACAGCTCGATGAGGATCAAAGACAAATGGTAATTTCTCATCGTTTGGTTTAATACACCGAACATAATGCGGCGTCGTTTTGTTTAATGAGGCCATTAGTAAAGTTAGTGAATCTCGAAATGATGATCCCACAGTTGTCGTTGTCGCTTTTTTGCCACCCGTTGACTTTCCTATCGCTTGGGCCGTGGCGGTTGGAGCCGTCAATTGTGATGCCAGCACCATTTGGAGGAAGGGGTTCTGGAATTTATTTAAAAATATACATCATCTTTTATCAATTTTTCCACACTCCAATTAAAAACTACCTTCCCGATGGCCCCCACCAACTCCCCGCCGACGAGATCCCTATTTTTTTCAATGAATCCCGTGCAGGAATAACCCACGTCGTCAGCGAAATGTTTGATGAGGAATCCTTTGTCCGAATCCATCCTTGGTTTCACATAATGTTTGGAAGTGATGCATTTTGAATGGAGTTTTAAAACCCAGGAGGAATCCGAACCCGAACCCAATTTACATTCTTCATCCAACAAATCTAATATTCCTAATTTCGATTCTATTAAATCTATACAGGGTTGATTATCATAAAAATCTATCATTGTCCACGATATCCCTTCGCGAATGTACTCCTCCTGCTCCAGTTTGAACACGTGCTGTAAATTAATAATCAAAAAATTAGTCCCACTAAAAAACACAAAAGAATGTTAAAAAATACCTGATTAAACTGCTGTTGCAACTTCTCATTCGCGTAATTGATGCAAAACTGTTCAAACGAGTTGATCTCAAAAGTCTCGAACCCATAAATATCCAGCACCCCAATAAACTTATGAATTTTATCCATCGTATATTTAAGCAGCGTTTCATTAACAATTTTAACGACCCAATTAAACAATTCAGAATAAATTAATTTAGCTAAAGCATCTCTCGAATAATTCGCCTCTTTCGTTGACAATTTCTTAATAATAATTTCATTCCCGGAAAATAAAGATTTTGTGGTTAAAGTTTTTCTAACCAAATCCCCATCAATCCCCAGCAATTGAATAAAATTCCCCAACGGTTTGGAATCTTTGGAAATTGTGGCCTCATCATTGGAACCTTGATTAAATTGAATGTTTCCTAATTGTAAAATTGATGCGAGGACTTTGAAAAAATTCCTACGATTATCTAAACCAAAACCTAACAGAGTTAAGGATTGAACAGTTTCATTAAAATTATCCGACGGGGTTGGGTCCGTTGATCCTTGGTTCGTGTAGTGAAAATTTGAAGCGGGTTGTAAATATAATTCCGATAATTCTGAATGATTAGTGGAACACATTTGATAAAATATGTGATAATTCCTCTCTCCAGGAGACTGGTAGACAACACGGGATTTTTCCAATAAATACGTTCTCATCGAGGCTCCCGTTATGGAGAAACGGGGGGAAAAGTGGAGTTCCACGTATTTTCCTGTGGGGATTTATTAATTAATTTACAGTTAAGAAAATATATTAAAACAACTCACCAAATCTCGAAGAATTATCATTTCGCGTAGTTTTCGCATTGCCAATCGCTTCCATGATTGGACTACTGGCCAAAACTTTCTGTTCAATTTGTGTCTCGTTTTCTGAACCACCAACCGTTGCAAAATATCTCATGGCATATTTCGCTGATACGGTTTTTCCTGCTCCCGACTCTCCAGAAACGATTATCGACTGGTTCAGGGAGTCACTAAAAATACAATTTAATTAACTAAAAACCAACTAAAAATTAAGCAACTAACTCACCGCTCCATTTTATTATAGGCCTGCTCCGCCACGGCGAAAATATGAGGATCCAACTCATTCCCACTTCCCCGATATGCCAAAATAGTTTCACGATTATAAATATCCAACTCTTCATACGGATTAATCGCCACCAAAACGATTCCACAATACGTATAAATCGTATTCAAATTGAACCGATGTTGAAGATTGTGCAGCACGGCGGGTTCGTGCAGATAGGAAAGCGAAGTGAGGTCATTCTGCCCAATTAAAATTGTCGGATTCCGAGGGAGTGGCGGTGTACTGATGTTTATCGTCAGGATCGCCGTTGGGTTGGGTGAATCCGGGTCCGTATAAGTTAACGTTGATGTTTGTGGGGTGTAGGATTGGAGGGTCACACATTTCCATACCGTGGCTGGCGAAGGGAGCCAGATCGGGGTTCCTGCAGGGAATTGGATGAGGGGGTCTTGTGACATGGTTATTTGTGCTTAGTTTTTTATAAATCATCAGCAGGGTCAAATTTTGCTAGAGAAAAAAGAGGTCAAATTAATACACAGATTTCTAACCACCCACACACACAATAACAACACACCCACCTGTCTTCACCTCTGCTGCCCATCTTCCTTGACAGCAGTGTCACAGTCAAAAAGTGTCTATATACACAAAAACCACTTGAAGTTTGTTTAAATCTGGTGGTCTCCCTCTCGCCTGGTGTGACTCACCTCGTCTCAGGACTGACGAATCTTCTGACTGGGCGTATTTCATCCCTTTTGATTCCTCTGCCTGGTAGATGGCTACATAATAACGGAGCTTTCTTCTCTCTCTCTCTCTGTGTTCTTTGGTGAGTCAAAAAAAATAATAAATCATCAATCGCATCGCAGCAGCAGCAGTGCAGAGGAATCAAGTGAAAGATTTTTAAAATATAGTTTAGTAGGAAAGCGTATTAATTAAATTAAGGAGGAAATATATAAAATCAGAGAAAGGATGGTGTCCCGGGATGATGAGTACGATTATCTCTTCAAAGGTGAGAGGGGTTTTTCTTTGTAGGCGGTGTTTTTTTGGAGGATTTTTTAATTGATTTTTCTAATAAATAAAATTGCAGTGGTGTTAATTGGTGATTCTGGAGTTGGGAAGTCCAACCTCCTCTCTCGTTTCACACGGAATGAATTTAATTTGGAATCAAAATCCACGATCGGGGTTGAATTCGCTACAAGATCAATCAAAGTGGATGGGAAGACCATCAAAGCCCAAATTGTATAATAAATTGCACTTTAACCTTAGTAGTTACGTCATGTGCTGATTTTTTAATTGTTCTTCCAGTGGGACACAGCGGGACAGGAGAGATACAGGGCAATCACGTCAGCGTAAGTTTGTAAATCTATAAACTTACGTATTTACTAATAAAATAATTGTCACTTTAGTTACTACCGCGGGGCAGTGGGAGCCCTGTTGGTGTACGACATAGCGAAGCACTTAACGTATGAAAACGTGGAGCGATGGCTTCGTGAGCTGCGAGACCATGCGGATCAGAACATTGTCATCATGTTGGTGGGTAATAAATCGGACTTGCGACACTTGAGGGCCGTGCCAACGGACGAGGCAAAAGCATTCGCGGAACGACATCGGTTAAGTTTTATCGAAACGAGTGCTCTGGATTCTACGAATGTCGAAACCGCGTTCCATAATATCCTCACAGGTTAGACAAATTAATCAATTTATGAAAACCAAACTGACCGTGATGAAATTACAATTTTGCAGAAATCTACCACATAGTAAGTCAAAAGCAATTAAATTCCACTCCGGCAACGAATTCCTCAACTGATCACGTGATTTTGCCTCGACCAATTTCTGCTGAAAATGAAGCCAACAAATCAAACAAAAATTGCTGTCAAAATCTTTAAAATTATTTCATTTAATTATTATGAAAAAATAATAATTATTCAAACTTTCGCGCCATAATTTAATAAATTTATTTACAAAAAAATTAAAAGTTTTGTTGCAATTTTAGTGAAATATTTTTTCATTTTCTTTTAAATACGCTCGCTTAATCATCATCGGAACCTTCCAACGCTGCGAATTTATTCTGCACGAGCTTCTCCGGGGGAGGGCCAGCAGCTGAGGGGGAGATTAACGAGGGGGGAGTCGTCTGCTGAGATGATGAGGAGGGGTGGCCGCCAGTAGGGCGTTGGTATGTTTCAAAACCGTCCCTGCAATTTTTTATTGTTAATTTATTGAATTATTTTTATTGATCGCGAGTAGAACTTACTGATCAATGATCCGTTTAGATTCTTGGGCGTGGTGAGAAGAGTAATGAGAGGAATTATTTCCACGTGGACCGCCTCTGTTATTATGACGATCCATACCACCCCCACGAGGATCTCCTCCACGATCTCCGCCACGTGGATAATAATTATCGTGTTGACGTGAAGGTGGTGGACCTCTTCTGGAATTTATTAATTGTTTTAGAAAATGGTCCCATAAAAACCAAGAAATAAACGCACCTCTGAGCAGCAGCACCCCTTTGTTCCCTCTGTTCCCTTTGCATTTGTTGCTGTTTGAAGTCCCGTTCATCTTCAGGATCGGAATGGGGATCTTTTTCACCTATTCCAGCCTCGCCAGAGGATTGGGAATGGGTTCGCCGGCTGCATTTTTTTAGTCAAAATTGATAATTCATCATCAAATAAAAATCAGGAAATTAGAATATTAATAGCCCCACGAAAGCGCATTATTAAAAAGTCCCCACTCTCTCTCCCTCACACTCCCCCAGTCGCACCTGGTATTATTACTTCTGACCATATCCCCCGTGATGACACCTCCACCGAGGATCCCGTCTCCCCTACTCGATCTCCACTTGGGTGCGGATTGGCTAGGAATTTCTCTTTCTGAACCGTCTCTGGATCGGAGTCTAATAATTAATTAAGAAAAAAGCGATATTTTTTATAAAAGCCACGCCACCCCTTAAAATATAAGCTCCAAAGAAAAAAAACCATTTACCTGACCACCCCCCTTTTAATCCCACCTCCACCACCACCATCCCCGCTTTCTTCCCCTGCTTCACTCCCACTCGCACTTTTAACTTGAACAAGTTTCAATTTCTCTTCAATTTCTAGCTCTCTTTTCAAAGTGTCCACAGGTTTGGCTTCCCCAAAAATGGAACTGCTCCTCTCTGCAGACTCTGTCGGCGTGGCGGCTGTGGGTGCAGTCCGAGGTGCAAGGACGAGCTTCTTCCGAGTCTTTGGTACACCATCATCTGAAGAAGATTGTGATGGTGGTGGTTCGACACGTTCACGTTCAGCACGTGGATGGTGTTGTTGTGGAGGGTACTGCTGCTGCTGTCGAATTGGAGGAGGTGGACGTGTGGATGTAGGACCACGAACAAAATCGGGTGAATTTGAACGTTGTCGGGGTTCATAGTTATCATTTCCTCTTCGATCGTCTCGACCACCACCACCTCCACCTCGATGGTGATTATGGAAATCACGTGAGTCATCATTTCCTCCACGCATAGAATAATTATCCCTGCTGGGCGGCGGCCCCTGCTGCGACCTCCTCCACGGTTCTGCCTGCTCTTCTTGATCCTGATCATCCCCTCCGATCGGGAAATTTGACCTTCTATTAAAATTCCCACCTCTGAAATCACCTCCACGATCCCCACCCCTCGATGGGTACTCGGATCGTTGATTAAAAGAACCACTGCTTTTATCTACAACAGCACCCGCCATGCTTCTCCAATTATCAACACCTTCGTCTTCCGCTGGGGGACGTTCACGGTACTCCCGGCGTTCACCTCCACCCCCGACTCGTTGATCACCGGATAAAAGAGCGACTCGGATCGGACGTCCACGCAACATTTGCTCATTCATCACCAAAGCGTCGATCAGGTCTTGACGGGTGGAGAACACGACGAAGCCGAATCCTACGGAAATTAACATTTATTGGTAAATTATTCTAAATTATACAGAAAAAAAGACCCACCTTTGATCCTCCCGGTGACGTGATCCCTGGGGAGTTTGAGTTCCAAAATGTCCAAATCACGAAAAAATTTATAAATATCTTCTTCTTCAATGTCGTAGTGTAAGTTTCCAATGTTTGCTTGAAAAGGTGGCACTTTTGGAATCTGCGCATCTTCATAAGCTGGACCGCGAGAGGCGCGAGGCGCCGTCGGCAACACGATCCGCTCCTTCGTCGTTATGAAATCTGTTTGTTTCAACAATTTATTAAAAAATCCTCTCCACACACGAAAGAAAACTAAAAACTCACCATCCTCCTCGACTTCATCGGCCCAGCTGGACATGGACATGCCTCCTCCGGAAGCAGGTTTTTTCCCTGGAGCGTAAACAACATTTCCCGACGGGGTCGTGTCACCGTCAACACGGGCGGAAAATTCTTGAAACGATAACGTCACTCCTTTCGACTTTTTCGTCTTTTCTGTTTTGATACGAAGGGATTAGATTAATTTTCCCCACAGTGAATTTGAAGAAGAGAAAGAAGAAAGAGAAAAACTTACTTGTCGATGCCATGACCGTGACCGTGGATTAAAACTTGTGTGGAATTTATGGAATGGTGGAATTAAGAAGACGAGGAGCATGCGGCTCAATCAAGTTTTTTGACTGATTTGCCAGAGAGTGAGAAGAGGATGGAGCCAATCGAGTAGTTTGGGCGGTGCGGGGTATGTGGCGCTGTGTGGTTCGTGGACGGATGCGGTGTTTATTCATATGAAAAAGTTCATTCTCATGGAGATTTTTATTTTATTTCGACAAAATGCGTAAGTGAAATTCTCAAAATTTTTTTATTCCCCAAAAAATCATAAAAATCTCTCAAAAGAAAATTGCAAGGTACAGAGTGTTGTCATTTTTATTAAATCCTCTCTCTCTCCACTCTCCACTAAGGCATATCTCTAATTAATAAATTCAAAGTGACTAAAAACTACTCCTTTTCCTGCTTGAATCCACCCATGGCGGCCATCCCAGCGACCGAATTCATGTACCTTTTTGATAGAAAACCCTTGATAATAATGAAAAAACCCAAGAGAGAAAATGGTATGAAAACCTACGAGTCAATGGCGACAGTCAAATCAATGTCATCAAGATTAAGCCCAGCATATTGTTCCAAAGACTCCAAATCCATGAAGGGATCACTTTTAACACAAAAAAAGAACAGAGATTTTTTTCCCATTAAAAAAATTAGTGGTTTAATTTCAAGGATAGATTTTTATACTTTTTAAAATAAGAAAATGTGATTCTAAAATTGCGGCTAAATCTCTGTTCTTCTTTTTTCTGCTTATTAAAAAAATATGCGAAATAAAGCCAATAAAAATCTATCCTCAATTTTTTTTGGTATATAAACATTTTTTTTAATTAGTAAAAAAATAATAATTAATTAAAGCTGTAAAATGTTTTTGTTTCGGCATAAAATTCGGATTCGGATCACAAATGTTTGAAAATTTCAAAAAATTTCAATAGTTTTGAGCCAATTTTAGTGTGTTTTTTTTTAAGTTAATGATAAAAATTTACCTTGCCAAATTATTTTGACCATCGAAATTGTCGGATGATTCGAATGGGTTCATCATCCCAGCCCCACCACCGCCGTGAGTAGGAGAATGCGGGTTAAAATTGTAACCCAGTGGGGTGGAAGGATGGGAAATTGAACCCTGAGAATAGGGAGATCCCAACTGCTGAGAATGCGGGGCAAATGATGGGGTCGGAGTGGATGTCGGGGCTGGATGCTCGGGGGAGTCACCGAGGCTAAAGAAATTGGTTTTTATAAGTAAAGAACCAAGTATTGAGAATTAAATAAAAGCTCACCCCGGAATGTGTGTTTTTAATTGGGGCTTGACGTAGCCTTTTCCGCTGGGAGGTGTTTCTTGGAGGGGCGTGTAGTACTTTCCAAATGCCGCACCCTTCAAAATATCAGGGTAGAGATAAATCAGGTGACCAATGTCGTTCACACGGTCAGCCAAGGAACGTGTTGATAAATCCTTGGAAGTGAAGGGAGCCAAAGAGAACACTTTTTGGTCTAAAAAAAATTAATTTAGAGATTTTAAATTGGCATTTCAATTGGCACCCCAAAATTTAGCGGAATGAAAAAAATCCTCACCACTGTGAACCCACGCAATAGTCACACCTCCCAACTCGCTATCTGAGAATCTAAGAAGGAAAGTTCCCGAGTTGCATTGTCCGAGCATTTCTTCCGCCTGATTCCTCCCCACAAAACCCAAAATGCTGCTGTCGACCCACGGTCCACGCAAATGCTCCCTCGTCAACTTCATTATGGCGTAAAACCACTCCCAAAATGTAAAGTTTCGGTCCGGCAGCGGTTCCTTGCAAAACTGCGACCACGTCAGATAGTCTGGAATTGGTTAAAAATTGTTAGAGTCCGTGGCTTTAAGATTAATAAATTACTAAATACCTGGATGCGGGGAAGTGGGTGTCGTGCACCTAAAAAAATAATATTTTAATTTAAACTCAGGATTTAATGAGAGTTTTAAGTTTTTTCTTACCGAAATGCTTTTTCTGCTAAAAATCGTAGATTGTCATCCGTGAGTGCACGACCAGTTAGGGACTTGAATTTCACGTTCAGGGCTTGAGCCACACGAAACCAGGGCACGCGTTCCGGGACCTGAACAATTATGAATTAAACTTATCGTCAATTGGCACGCACACGTCAAAAAATCTGTGCCAAAATTGGCATCCTAAAACTCCTTCCAATTATCAAATAAACCCCATGAACTCACCTGAAAGGGCATCCTCCCCGGTTCTCCAAAAGCATTGTCCCACGTGACTGTAGCCCACGCGTGTGGTTCTTGATTTCCATGTACAATAACCACAACTGGGAGTGACAACGTCCAGATCTGCATAAAACACACCCATTTCATAAAAACCCCAAATAAAACCCACTAAACCAAATGCACCTTAAAAATGAGCTCCTTTTCCCCAACCGTGAATTGGCACTGGAAATGGAGGCAGAATTTTTCATCCATGACGGATTCTGTTCCTTTTTTCTCTGCTCGTTTAATCCGTTTGAGCTGCATGTTTCGAAAGTGGACGCTCAAATGGCGGGTGCCTTGATGGTACTCCATTGTCCCAGTGTTGTTCAAAATCTCGCCAGAAGTATCGCAAGGCTTGTCGCCCTTATCCTGACGAAGGAGTGCGTTAGCCTGAGCCTCCGATATAATCGCTACCTTCACTTGCGGTGGAGTCATGTGCACGTTCAAACGACCTCCGACCAACAGGCGGACCTGGAATTTAGTAAAGATTAGAATTGGCAAAAAAATAACAAAAATAAATAAGAACCAACCGTCGAAGTAAATCTGGTGTTGGTTTTCATAACTTGCGGTGGTTGTTTTTCCACGATGAATGTCGAAGTAACTAAACTGCTCAATAATTGTGTAATTTTCTCCTGTAACGCAGGCATCATATCGCCACCGCCAGTCCCACCACTTGCAAGGGCAGCTTGTTGATTGAAAACGGGAATGTTTTGCTTAAGTCGTTCCACTTCTTTTAATTGGTGACGATTGTGCCAAATTAGTTCCGCCAAATCCTCGCACCATGATTGTAGAGTATCCAAATTGTTGGTCAAAGGAGCACCATTTCCTGCCAATTGCTGTTCCCGTTTCCATCGGGTGAGTTCCTCGTCTAATATTTTGGACTGCAAAGCGGACAGCGTGGAAACCGTGGTGGAAATTTTCTCTTCCAATTCTGATTTGCAGGAGAGCAGGGTCGTGATCTGGAAGGAGATGGGAAAATATTATGTCGATTAATTTATTGCTCAGAATTTTTGGCATCGCTAAAATAACTCCAAAAAAACTCACCCTCTGTTTCAACTCAAATTCTAATCTCTGTTTCTGCTCGATGAAATTTTTCTCAATTGTTAGACTTTGTTGAGTTGGTGGTTGTCCTTGTTGCATTCGATGAAGGTGAATGATCCCCTCCAGCTTTTGCCTATCGTGACATTTCAACGCGAACGCTTCCTGTTCTTGTTCCATCCTTCGCAAAATATCCCCCGTCTCCATCGTCTTGTGTTTAATTAAGGATAATTTCTCCATAATTTCAGGCGTTGTATTTGGATCAGGGAGGGATTCGTGCGGATATGCCAAGGACGACGAGCTAGTGACACCACCAGCAGCGGCAGTGGAGGGTGTGGTCGTTGAATCCACGAGTGATTGTTCAATTGTTAGACAGTGACGGATGTAGCGATACAAGGAGAGCGGATCCAGGGTGTAGCGTTGCTGTAATTTTTTTAAATTCAAAGTTAGTTAATTTATTATAATTTTAAGAACTAAAAAACCCACCCTAAATCCTTGAGCGGCATTGACAAGTTTGATTCTGATGAGATACGGATCCTCCGTGACCATTGAATTGGCTTTCGATTCCAATTCTGTGATTAACGCTTGGACAAATTGTGCTATATAGGATTCGTGACTGGGATTGTCAGGGTCGATCTGGTCCATTTTTCTGCATATAACGTAATGCACCCATTAAAAATGCTATGTACATAAATAAATATAAAAAGTGGGTGTGGTGCCTTACGCGACCCTCTCCTCTATCCATCCTGCCATCACATAGCGAACTTCTATAGGGAAATGGTCACCATACAGGCAGTGCACCTATATGCAAATATAATTCACGTTAAAATAATTCCAACAAATTAACCTCCAACAAGATTAGAAAGAGAAAAACAACCCACCTTTTGAACAGCTGGCCCCGACAAATTCTGCACTTTTGACCAGAGTGACATTTTTTTTAATTACCAAAAAAAAGTCACATAAAAATATTCCTCTCTCTCTGAGATGCAACCAGTGTCAGTTCAGAAATGTATATGGAACTACTCGCTCACTAAAATACATTCACTTTGCAAAGCCAGCACTCGATGAGACTGCTGTGTGAGATTTCTGAGAATTTTGATTCCGAGAATACCTTTCTGCTTGTGCTTGCTTTGCTGCTCGTTCGTCGTGTGATGATCGGGAATTGACGACGACGTGAGTGAGCTTTTCCTGGAAATTGGTGGTGGTGGCTGTGCAGTGGTGGGACGGACGTCTCAGAAAAGGGGTGATGATGAATAATATTTTGATAAATATTTATCCATGCCGTTTTGTTGTGACGTATATGAAGAAAAAATTGATTCCACAGAATTTTGAGATAGGAATTTCCTCAATGTTTTTAAATTCATGTTGTCATGGTTACACAGACACACATTAGCATAAACCCACTCACACTCACTTTACTCACTTGCTAATAAATAACCACTTTTTGGCTGATGATGAAGATCCCGTTGGATCCGAATTCTTATATTTACATACGAGCAAATCTCTCTACACACACACAGATGAGCCTAGATTTTATAATTCATCAATAGAAAATAGTGTGTGTGTAAAATGGAAAATTGTATTAAAATTTATAAGGAAATTTTATAAAATGGAAAGAAAATGACAACGACACAACAAAATATTTTGTCAACTTTGCTCCGTGGCTGCTGCTCCAATTGTTTTCAAATGGTGAGGGTTTTTAGTCGTTTTTGATTATAAATTTTGATTAAAATATTAAATTTCCTATATAGACCTCCACCCACAACAACCACGACCACCACCACTCACACGCCCATTCGAGACCACGGCCCCTCCGCCTCCGTCGTGAAGACATAGGACAACCCATGGATTTTCGCCATTTACAACATTTAGGAAGCGAAGATGTTTGTAGAAATAATTTCAATAATTTACATTCCGCCGTTTGCTGAGGTTTATTGAGTTTTTTTAAATTTATTTAATAAATTCTGCTTTTTGCTTCGGAATAAATTGATTTTTTGAGGGAAAAATTGGCTAAAAATTGATTTAAAAGAAATTTATTTCCATGAAATTTCCATTGTTTCCCAATTCCACCACCACATCATCATCATCAATGTGTATAAACGGTGTACAAATTCCATTCACAAAAATCCATTCTCCAGCAGCAGCTTCAACCCTTTTACAAATACACAAAAGATGCACCCTCTCATCCACCACCGCACCACCATCACCATCATCTCAGCATCCCTATAATAAACCTCAAACTCCTTAAAAAATCTTCTGACTGTCCGTTTTAATAAGTTTTTCCTTGAAAATTTTAAAAACTTAAAAACTAAATGCCTTAACTAATAAAAAATAAAAACCCCGCAAATGAACGGTCACACTCCCTCCACATCATCTACCAACCCCATCTACTCAACCCATCATAATGGTCACTCCAAAAACCATCCCCCACCACCTGGAGGACTATCCGAAGAACCGCACCCATGTCCAGGAACGATTCTATTGGAACAACCGGTAGACGAGGACGTTAGTGAGGATTTGTACGATACCAACTACGGGATTTATAACCAAGCCATGGTAAATTTATATACAAAGCACCTGTTGCTCCTTTTTTTCTCGCTGGGGTGACATTTGATACCTTTTAACCAACACCCAAAAAAAGTATATAAATAAACGCCCCCTCTGATTATCTCTCAGTATCCGTCAGTCACTTAAAAAATGCTGTCAAAACTAGTAAATTTCGCAGTAAAAACGACCCCCCAATCACCCCCAATTTCCCGTCCCCCTCGTCACTTGATAAAAAAACGACTCACATACATTGGTCTGAATAACGCAAACACGGTTTATAACAAAAGAATCACACCCGTTTTACCAAAGAAAAAGGTAGAAAAAAACACGTAAAAATTACATGACAAACTAACAAATCCTAATTTCCAGTCCCGCAACATCTCATGGGAGTACCGGACGATAAGCTTAACTCGCGTTCCTGGTTATGGATTTGGGATCGCCGTTTCTGGAGGGTCAGATAATCCACATTTCGCCAATGGAGATCCTGCCATCGCAATCAGCGACGTACTTAAAGGGGGCCCAGCCGAAGGGAAATTGCAGTGAGTTTTATTAAACACACCTTAAATTCCTCGGTCATAAAACACTAAAAAAATAACTCCCCGCAGAATAAACGACCGAATAATCACGGCCAACTCGATAAAACTGGAAAACGTGGACTACGGAACTGCCGTCCAAGTCTTACGCGACTCTGGTCCCTCCGTCGTGTTAATAATTAAGCGTCGAATAATTGCTCACCACACAAAAATCACCTTAAACAAATTAACAACGACGAAACTTAAACATATCCAACCGTCCGATTTTGGTATAAATCTCACCCTTCGGGTTTACATTAAAGAGTCGAAAAATTCCAACCTCGTCGAAGGAGATGAAATAATTTCAATCAACGGTTTGGACGTGGCGAAATTGTTTGATTTTCGTAAAGGCGTCTGCACCACGGGTGGGGATAATTTATTAAATTTAGGCGTCGTCAAACAAAATCAACAGCAGGATAATGGTCACGTTGGAGGGGTCAATCATCAACAACAACAAAGCTATGATTCCAATGCTGGGAATTTGTACGTTCAACCTCCAACGAGGAGAGTAGGGGAGGTGCCTCCCGTGAGACCTCCCCTGCCGAAAGGTTGGTATTTCTTAATTAACAATTTTATTTTAAAATTTTCTAAATTTTCCTCTAAAAATCTAGAATCCCCCACGAGTCCCACACCCCCTCCACCACCACCACCCCCACCAAACCACCCAAACTCTCAACACCACAAATCCACCCCTCGATTTATAAATTTCCTAAAAAAATCCTCTTCCCCTCTCGGCCTAAAACTAATCGGAGGCAACAACATCGGCATCTACATCGGCGCATTACATCCCCAAACCCCTGCAGCAACATCGGGTTTACTCCCAGGAGATCGCATCCTTCGAGTAAACGACATCGATTTCACTTCCATCCCAAGAACCGAAGCCGTCTCAACCTTATCTCAATTAAAACCCGACCAATTAGTTTCATTTATTGTAAAAAACATTGAAAACTACCGTGAAATTTTATCATCCGAAAAGTATCACGATTTCCTTTATTATAGAATCTCCACAGATTTAGACTACGTAAAAAGAGGTGAAATTGTCCTAATTTACGACACACTTTGCAATAACGGAGGATTTGAAGGGGTTTTAATAAACAAATACGATGGTAAAGAATTAGGGAAAAAGATTAAAATTAATCCACTGCCTTTAGAAAATTTAGTTTACAAAGTGAAAATTAATTGGACTCGGCCGGTAATTATTTTTAGCTTAATTACAAATTATATTTATCAATGTTTAGAAAAAATCGGAGCAAGGAGGAAATTTTGTATCGTTAAAGGGGATGAGGAATTAGTTAATTTTAGACATTCCGGAATCCATCCTTGTTTAAATGTTGATCTTAATTTGGGAATTGATGGGGTTGTTAAAGCTTTGGAGAAATTAGGGGAATTTGCTCCCGTGGTTTTAATCGTTAAAAGTGAGGATAAGTTGATCAAGAAATATAGCAATAAGGAAATTAGTAGTAAAAAAGTGGGTGGGAGTTACGGGGGAAGTTTGCTGAGATCATTCAATAAATCGAGCACGAGTCGCCGACTGCAAATGGATTTGGAGAAATTGGAGTCCGCGTTGGGCAGCGGTGGATGGATCGACAAGTGTTTAACCGTTGGAAGCAATGATAATTTGGGCGAAATTGTAGGTCGAGCTGTGGAGGAAATTGTTATGAAAGGGGATGTCGCTTGGGTTAAGAATTCCAATAATTCGTGGGGCACTAGTGGAGTGGTGGGTGATTTTGCAGAGGTGAGTTTTTTTATGTGGTTATTTCCTTTTAACTTTCAACTAATACCTAAAAATTTTCATAGCATTCCGATGGTGATGGTTGGGTTTAAAGCTGTTCTCTACTTTCTCTGCTGCCTCTCTTCTCTCACTTCCTGCACACATAAAATTACCACTAAAAAACACTTAACTATTTTAGCCACCACCGACCCCGCTCCCACCACCCCAACAAAACCATCATCAAAAACACGACATTCCAAACTACAACGTCCCTCCACCATACTCGATCCATCACACCCCCACATCAGCCTCCCCCCATTCCACAATATTAATCCAACAGCCTCAAATCCCCACAATTCCTCAACCTCCTCAACCCAAACATCTCCAAAAACCTCACCCTTCTCAAATAACATCCACACCTCCTTCAAATTACTACACTCCAACCCTTCGTCAACTCCTCGCCCATTCACCCGTAGATTTCTCCCCACCAGTTTCCCCACCACCAAATATTGACCGATCAAAAAAACCAACATCAAATTCCAAACAAAAAACAATCTCAAATAAATCCAATAAACCAATCCCACCACCAAAACCGGTGAAACTTATGGAAAATCACACCCATTCAAACAACCACCACCTCCAGCAACACCACTTTTCAACTCATCAAAGAAACGGAGGGGACGACGGATACTACTTAAATTTACCCATGAATTCTAAAATATTTCAAAATCGATCCAATGAAAATTCCGCATTTGTTCAATTCAATCCGCAACCTCAACAAGAGCCAAAACTCCTCGAAAAAGGCAGCGGTTTCCCAATAATCCAACCAAACACGACGTTTGGCACGTTCACTTCCGTGGGAGGAGTTTTAATTCAAAGAAATGTAAAACAAGGCCAAATCCCAATCCAAGTTCGGATCCCTGAAGGTGCAATTGCTTTCGGGAAAAGTGAAACCATTTGGTTTCATGTCGTCGATGAAGAGTTTTTAACTCAAGGGTCCGCGATCAATGGGGAAATTAATGGTGAGTCCATATTTTTTAAATTTTAAAAACCTCTGTCTAAATTCCTGTCCTAAAAATTCCAGGAAACGTCTCCCTGATGTCGCCCTTGATAAAATTCGGCCCTGAAAACCTACGTTTCTTGAAACCCATCGAAATCCGAATCCCGCAATACAATAAAAAATTAAACAATATAAATAACGCCAAAGTTTTGCTCAACAGTGAACATTCTTGGTCGAAAGTGGACATCAAATCTGGTTGGTTAGAAGAAAACGGTGACAATGACAATCAACAAGAGCTCAAAATCGTTAGCTTAACTGTACAGAAATTTTAACTCCTTGTTTTTTTTAAACTGTTTTTAGCGACTTTAAATAAACTATAAAAAGAAATCTCATCTCCCAAAAATCACGGAAGCGCATCTTCTTGAGATTTTGACACAGAGTCGTCTCAACTTCTTCTTCTCTTCTCCGAAAGCATCCGATCTCTCCTCTCACTCTCCAGCATCCAAAAACCCATCCCTTTACACACATATTTTACGGCAAGAAGAAGCGCAGGCTCCATATTATACACCAACAACACCACTGATTTATAATAACAATTCATCCCAACACGCCCCATGCCCACCCACACCAACACCACTAATAAATAAATTAACTGGATAAATAAATATAGAAATCTCACCACAGAATGACAACAACCACGACGACGACCCGTCCCCCACCGGTGACGCGGAGCTATTCCACTCCCGATGAACACACCACGTCTCCGGACGATTTTCTAATCCGGAGCAAAACTCCACCCACACCCACGACTGGGATTTCCTCCTCCGCTGGAGCACAGAATAAAAATGGGAATGGGAAAATGGTCGCGATCAAAGTTTTGTTGCTTGACGACTCCGTCACCATTATTCAGGCGCAGGTGAGGGGAAAGTTTCTGAAAATAAAATAAAATTTTGACTAATTTTTGTGTCCCGCAGTCCAAAACTTTGGGCCGCCTCGTATTCACGCAAATCTGCAAGCAATTGAACATCCTCGAGTCGGACTATTTCGGTTTGGAGTATTTGGACACGATTTCGAACGACGGGATAACGCACTGGTTGGATTTAGAAAAGAGATTAAGTCGACAAGTTGGATTAAACTTGGCGGAGCCGTTTCTTAAATTTTCCGTGAAATTTTACACACCCGATCCTTCCCAGTTGGAGGAGGAGTTTACAAGATATTTGTTCTCGTTACAAATTAAAAGGGATTTAGCGAAGGGGGTTTTAGTTTGTAATGATAACACGGCCGCACTCATGGCGTCGTTCATCGTGCAGGGTGAGGTTTTTTTATTTAAGAAGGAAATTATTTTTGTGGTGCTAATTTTGTTTGTTTGTTGGTTTAGCTGAATGTGGCGACTTTTCCGAGGAGGATTACGCGGATGCGTCGTATTTATCCGTCTATAAATTCGTACCGCATCAAAATTACGAATTGGAGAGGAAAATTAGAGAATGTCATAAAAAACATATTTCACAGTCGCCGGCGGTGAGTTTGTGTTTATTTTATGTTTATTTAACTTTTGTTAATTGGATTTAAAACCGTTTAGGAAGCCGACCTCCATTTGTTAGAAACGGCGAGACGTACGGAAATGTATGGAATTCGATTGCATCCTGCGAGGGTATGGAAAATGCAATACAATGATTTTGACATATTTCTAATAATAATACCCTGCGCAGGACGAGGACGGTGTGCATTTGAGTCTGAGCGTGTGTCACATGGGTGTCCTCGTGTTTCAAAATAATACGAAAATTAATACTTTTTCTTGGGCGAAAATTAGGAAAATTAGCTTCAAAAGAAAAAGATTCATACTCAAATTACATCCGGAAACTTATGTGAGTCTTTTTTCCTGCTTAACTTTTTGCACTGAAAAAAATAGTAATTAATATTATTTAACTAACGCTGCTATACTAATTAACTAGTTCCAGGAGGTTAGTTTTAACATCACCTCGTATAAGATCACGTGATAATAAGTGAAATTCCAAAATTTCAGGGCTATTACAAAGAGCTGGTTGAATTTATATTCGATTCTCGTAATGAATGCAAAGCATATTGGAAACGATGCGTTGAGCACCATGCGTTTTTTCGATGTGAAAAGGCACCCAATCCGGTAAATTTAGTATAACTTTTTCATGGTTAAAAAATACTAATCAACAAAATCCACAGATTCACCGATCGAAAGGAATTTTATCATCGCGAGGTTCATCATTTCGTTATTCTGGTCGAACTCAGAAACAAATGGTGCAATTTGTACGAGAAAATTTTATAAAACGACCCCCAACTTCCGCTTCCGGGGGACAATATTTAAGTCAACAAAATTTAAGCACATTTGAGAATCAACAACAACATGGACATCAAGGAGGAAGGAACTTCCAGGGAGATTTGTTTCAGAGGTTTGTCATTTTTTAATTCTTTTACATTGGCAAAAAACTAAAGCCAAAATAACTTCCTATAGATCGTCCTCCTTCAAAAAATACGACCCAAAATCTCCCCTAACCTCAGCCCAACCAACGCGTCGCTCTACCGGAAATATCGACTTTGACTCTAGAAATTTAACCCATGATGATGGAGATGAATTAGATGATGACGATGAGGAATTTAGCGTAAGCCTAACTCATTTTATCCATAAAAAAAACCATACTAAAATACCTAAAAAAATAACAGGACTACCACATCGACTCCAACCAACAACTTCCACCCTGTCCCCCATCAACCCAGCAATCCCTCAGCCTTCGAAACCAACAAAAAACCCAGCAGCAACAATCCCCGACGGGCTCATCCATAACCTCCTCGCCAATTCCGCAAAACAACCACCCTCATCCCCACTCCACCCAACCCATGGAGTCCACAGAAGGTAATAACATAAACCTATCCGATTTGGAAGAACGTTTATTAGCAGAATTGATGAATTCGGATGATAACTCATCGCATAATTCTTCATCAAAATTACCAATAATGTTTTTATCCTCGAGTCAGAATGAGTTTCCAGTCACGAGTTATAAGACAACCACGAAAAAGGATAAAATGGAGAAAGTTTTAACAAAGAGAAAAGTACGTAAACGAACGAAAAACAAACCCAAAATCGATTCACAAACATTACCAAAGTCAAATACGAAACGTTCAAAGAAGGAATTTACCACTTCCCCTTTAAATAATTCAGAAAAAGGGAGTTATGATTTATTGGAATTGGATAAATCACCCGAAGCTCCCACTGCGGAAGAATCGGGTAGGAAATTATTAAAATTTGAAGAAGTAGACATTCCATATTTATTAAGGAGAAGGATAGATTTAGATTCTGGTAATAAAATTTTACTTGGAAAAAGTAAAAGCTGTAGTTCCACTGGGAAATGGTTTGAAAAGAGATTAGTTACGTATTGCTCTTTGGGTGATTTGCCTACAAAATGGAGTTTTGGTTGGAGAGATGACTCAGTTGAGCAGTTAGTCGGGGATTTTGATAGTTCGGATCGGAAGTTTAAAATTAGTGGAGAGATTTCTGATAAAATTCAAGAGGTTAAAGAGGAAAAACCTCCAGAAATTACTCTAATCCACGCTGAAGTGGATAAAAACCTCACCGATATAAAAGAAGAATCCACCTCAAGCGAGTGTTATCTCTCGCAAGTGGCGGAGCGGGTCGTTGAAGAGGTTTTAGAATTAGCCTGTAATGCAAATAATCAAAAAAGGAAATTGGATAGGAGAGATTCCTTTCAGAAAATGCAAAGTTTAGATGGAATTGAAGAATTGCCATTGGATGAGACGGGGGTGAGCGTCGGGGTCGGCGTGGGTGCCGTGCTGGAAATTATGAACGAAATCATCGATGAGGAAAATGATGAAAATAGATTCGATGATGATGACGAGGATTTAGTTGAAGTGGGCGGAATTGAAGAGGAATTAGAGGAACGTGCCCAAGAAATAATTGTAGAATCTCCTGATAACACTAACTCACCATCAACCATACCCACGCCGAGTACTTCAAAGAAACCACCACCACCTCCAGCACCCGCTGATCTTGATGAACCGATAACTAATGCAATAACTCCACTTGAACCAATTACCGAACCTCCTCCACCACCACCACCTCGAGAATCCTCTCCTTCACCACCCCCACCACCACTCCCTTCCCAACCTCAAGATATAGACTACAACATAGAAACCCCACGATATCCACCTCCAATAACCACCGACTCCTCATCACGACGCTCCTCTTACGATTCCACGGTGGAAATCCCTTTAATGCCATCGTCCCTTTTAAAGAAGGCTTTAATGAGAAGTTTCTCCATTTCGGAAGAAGAACCATCAACTCCTCCTCCAATTCCACCCGCTCACGGCCACGCACAACAACCCGCACCACCCCAACCCCCACTAACCCTCCCAATTCGATCCTCCTCCTTAATCGGAGAAACGATAGAGGAAGAATTCGAATACATCGACGCATCTGAACCACTATACGATTCCATACCCGTAATTTCCCAGAGCATGGAATCCTCCTCCTCTTCCCTTGCACCACAAATCCATTACAAAACACGATTCCGAACCCTTTCACGCATTTCCGAATGTCATTCCAATTCCGTTACGGAATCATTGCTAATGTTGAAACAAAGGGGTGAAAATGAGTCGACTTTAGACGCTCCTTTAGTTACTTTGACTAGTGAATTAGCCGATTCTTCCGCTACCTTGAACGATTTGGAGGATATTCCCACAGAGGAAGGTGACTTTTATGTGGAGGGTGTGGTTTTAGATGAGGTTGGGGTGGCTCAAGTTGGGGAAATTGAAGAATTGAGCTATTCCAGCGGAAGTAATACCGTGCTTAATAAAAGAGTTTGTATCGAATTGAGAGTTTTTGGAGGGGAGATTACCGTTGATGATAAAAGCCCCACTTCCGCTGGTGGTGGGGAAATGGTGCAGATTTAAAGACAATTTTTCGGGAAATTAAACGTAAAAAATACTCTTAATTGTTGCCAAAAAATTTACTCGCAAAAGAAAAAGAAACTCATTCTCTCTCTGAAATTAGTTGTAAAAAAAAAATTTAGTGGCTTTATATTTTTTCTCTTCTATTCTTCAATATATCGCTTCTTTTTTCTCTCCTTAATTATAACTTGCAAAGTGGTCTACCATCGGATGCACCACCACCACCACCACCACCCACTAATTGCACCACCACCACCACCCCCTCAGTATCACCATCACCATCAGAACAACCACCACCCCCACAACAACCACTCCTCCCATTCTCAACCTCCTACTAGTGCTCATCAACAATACTACAACAATTATCATGGTGCTGGACCTTCCTCGTCGTATGGCAAATTCTATTATTAAAAAAACTCTCTTTAGACTGCTTTATTTCACCGTTGTCCTTTTGTTTCTCTCTCTCGCGCGGGGGGTGGAGGCTTGTGGCCTGTGGGGGAGGAGGAGGTGGAAGGGTGCGATTTTTGTCTCTCTCTTTTTATTATTATTTGGCGTGGGTAGGGCTCTCTTGTTAAATTTACTAAATAAAATATACAAATACAAAGAAAAATGTTTGAATTCTTGCTGCATTTTTATTGGGAGTCGTAAGGTAAAATGGTCAAGTGGTTATCGAAAAATATATGAATTCCCAAAAACTAATCCGAATTTTTCGTTTTGCAGACTCCTACTACTCCACGAAACTCTTGTTAAACCATTACCGGAGCTACCTCACGGACCTCTATCTCCTCACCCAGCACTCGCTCCTGACCCCCCTGGTCCACCCTCTGTTAATCTCCATCCAAAAACTAGACCCCGCATTCACCCACAACATTTCCACCTTGAAAAAGCACAACTGGGAATTAAAACACGGGAAAGAAATCCATTACAAATTAAAATCCCACTTTCATAATAATCATAAATTGTATAAAGATTACTACGAATTCGTGTTTCAAAATTATTCCACCATTTGCAAGGACGCCACTGATTTTTATGTCGGGTTAGAATTTTTAGTATTAAAAGTCTGGTGGTGGGTTGAACGGGTGGAAAAATGGGCAAAGCAATTTAGCAAAATTCTTGAAGTTAATGAACTTTGCAATTATGGGAATGGATTTCTGGGGGAATTGTTGGACATTGGGATGACTGAGCAGGTGCAGAGGGACGTGCTAAATGTAGGGGTGTGGCCAGTCAGCAAGTTTTTGAGGCAGGGCGTTTTATTAAAGTTGAACAAGAAGAGGGGTTTGCAAGGAAGGACCGTGTTTTTGGTGAGCCGGAAATAACAATATTTTTATAGTGTAAATTTACTAACTATTTAAAAATTCCAGTTCCTCGACAAGTTAATTTACTGCACGAGAATCTCCTCCTCCTCTGGATTTCGACTCCACGGTTTAATTTATACTAGTCAAATGGAAATGGGCGAGGAATCATCCACGGCGAATTCTAATAATTTCACCGGAGCAACCAGCACCACCAGCGGAGGATGGAGTTTTGTAATAAACGTTAAAGATTTAGATGGACAAGGATGCAAAATTCTAGTTTTATCCGCCTTCAGCGAAGAGGTAATTATTTTACCAAATCCACAATTAATTTGTACTAATCAAAAAATCTAATTCCCCTAGGAAAAAACCTCCTGGATCGCCGCCATAAAATACGCCATATCCCACACGACTCAACCCACTCCACCCAAAATCCACCCCACGTTCCACTCTTCCGACTCCTTCACAGACCCCGCGGACCACCCCGCCCCCCTTCCACCCTCACAAATCCTCTTTTCCCGTCCAAACCTCCCCTCACACGTCTGTTATCATCGTAACTTGTCAATTTCCTCCCAATTCTTAATCTCTGCCAACCGTAAACACCTCTGTTCATATTTATTAAGAAAATTCAAATCAGCCCCAGGTTGGCAACGTTTGTGGGTCGTTTATGCAAATATTTGTCTCTATTTTTATAAATCTCACGATTCTCACGAAGGAGAACTGCCCTTAGCGTCACTTCCACTACTGGGATACAAAGTTGAAGGGGAAGTTACAGACCTAGGAGGAAATTTAAACGAAGAAAAAGAAATTGGAGGAAAAAAGAATGTATTTAAATTAGGATTTAAAAACCACGTTTATTACTTTAGAGCGGAAAGTGGTCAGATTTGGGAGGAATGGGTTCAAGTTTTGAGCCAATTAAGGGAATAGTTATACAAAAATTGTTGTAATAAAAAAAAATTCCAGACACAATTTTATTATTAAATTATTTCTCTTGTGAAAGAAAAAAAAACGCGAATCAATTTGCCAAAAACCTCACCACGATCATAACATCATCTCAACACTCATCACATCTCGACAACAATAGAAAGTAGGCAAACAAGTTTTAACTCTCAGTTTCAATTTCTCTCTCAGCTTTACAACGCTTTGACTCTGACTCAAGCCGTCTCATATTTTTTGGCACTCTTGTTTTTTGCAGTAATACACACACACAACACCGGTTTATACACACGCTACTCGCCACTACCACACTCATCATAATATTCATAACTCTCGCATCTCAGTCAGTTTTGCTAAAACCGGATTGAGACGTCCATCGTCGTAGAAAGTGTGTGTGAGTGTGTGTGCAATTTGAATAACTCTCGAAAGAGGATGACCAACTAGAAAAAGAAAGAGAGAGTGAAATATGTTGTGTAATTCAAATTGTTAAAATATTTATAGATTCCTTTATGCCATACACACGATATTTAATGATGTGATGTGTGAGATGAGATGATGAGGCTTATGTCCGATGATGTGAGATTTAAAAGTGTAAATAAATAATCGATAATTAAATGATGAAACTTTTTAAAAGTTATATGGCTTTCCCTTCTTTTAAAATTCCTCTCTTGTTAACGCGTGAAGGTCGACTTATCCAACCTTGCGTTCTTTTTCTATGCATTTTTTTCTCAGTAATAGATAAAAAGTCATCCAAACCACTTTTCCCATTTAAACACAGACTACACGACTTCGCTTGGGTGCGAATAAAAATGGCAAAAAAAGAGTGGACTTCCGAAATATTGGGTTAGTAGGAAGTCATCCGCATGAGTAGGTCAATCTCTTGTTTAAATTTTACTTTTCTTGTAATCACCACCCAATTGCGGCATCCCAACTTCGTCGTCCTCTCATCGTCAACACTCGTCCCCTGTAAATCCCCTCTCTTGTGCTTCTCGAATGATACTTCATTCTCTTGTCTATAAAACGACGTTGACCATCGAGTGATCGCCTCTAAACGCTGCTTGTCCTCCGCAAGAGACGCACCACCACTTCGCTCACCGTTTTTTTTCACTTACTTCTTCACGATGAAGGGGTACTTCCTAGCCATTCTTCTCCTCGTGGTGGCAGTGACCAATGCACAAAGACAACTCGCCCTTCCCGACCCCAGATCTTGTGCCAACAGTGAGTTTTTTTTATTAAATTTTATTATCCGCATACAATTATTAATCTAAAAATTCCTAGGAGTAAAGCACGCCTCCTGGCGCGACCCACGTGGTGTAGTCCATAATTATTTCTTTTCCTGGGAGCACGGTCCCACCCGGAACTTGGAAGTAGATTGGTTGGATGCCCGAAATATTTGTCGTCGTCATTGCATGGACGCCGTCTCGGTTGAAACCCCAGCGGAGAATGACTTTGTAAAACAGAGGATCGCTCGAGGTCGCGTCCGTTACATTTGGACGAGTGGGCGCAAGTGCAATTTCAACGGGTGCAACCGACCCGATTTGCAACCCAATCTTATCAATGGATGGTTCTGGAGTGGTTCCGGGGGTAGGATTGGGCCAAGCAATAATAGAGCCAATGGGGATTGGAGTCATACGGGTGGGTTCGGCAGGGCTCAACCTGATAATCGGGAAATCGCTCAGGTAGGGAGATTTTCATGGGTTTTTATGGGGTGATTTTTTTTGTTAATTGTTTTTTTCTGGGTGGAATTTCAGGGGAACGATGAAGCTTGTTTATCCATCTTAAATAATTTTTATAATGTGAGTTTTTAATTTTTTTAAATTGATTTAGTCGGATTAATAACTTTTTTTAATTAAAAAAATAGGACGGGATCAAATGGCATGACGTAAGTATAAAATTAACTAATTACTTATTTAATACCCACTAATATTTTTTTAATCCCCTATAGGTCGCCTGCCACCACCTGAAACCCTTCGTCTGTGAGGATTCCGACGAGTTACTTAATTTCGTGAGGAGTAGAAACCCAGGAACTAAATTATAATTTCCTTAAATAAAATATAGCATTTCTCTGTTAATATAAAACCACAAAATAGTTAAATAAATAAATAAGAAAAAACCGAAAAAAAACTTTTAATGGCAGCACGATTTATTGAGCAATCCTTTTAATTTCGTGATTGTTTTTAAGCAAACTTTGACACAGCATTTTTCATCATTTTCATCCACATTGCATCGTTTACATTTACACGTGTCATCCAAAGTTTTAAACAGCGTATGGAATTGTGAAGTAGATTCTGAATTCCCAAAAAATTGTTCCAATTCTAAAATTTCGCTCTGCGAGAGAGTCGTTTCTTTTGAAGTGGAATTGTTTTCACGAATTAATTCATCCAATGTTAAAATTTTGGAATTTATTAATGTCATTTGATGGGAAGTTAATGGGATCAAGGCGTAACCACCAAGGTCGAGGTTGTTGGATGCGGGGGGAGAAGGGGTGTTGGTCACGGGTGGTGCAGCGACGATGGGTGGGTGACGCTTATTACTATGACTTTTTAGCGAATGGTTCGTCGCAAAGGACTTTTTACAGGTGGGGCAGGAAAAGGGACGCTCCCCCGTGTGGACCCGCTGTAATTAATTAATAATTTTAAAATAATTAGCAAATTGTAATTACAAAGTTAAGTTAAAGCAAATTTACCTTGTGCGTTTTGAGATGGTGTGGCGCAGTGAAGGCTTTTCCGCATTCCTGTTCCACACATTTGTATGGTTTTTCATGGGTGTGAACACGGGTATGTTTCTTCAAGTCGGACAACGTGGTAAAGAACTTCACGCACCCAGACGTTGAGCAATTAAAGGTATTCCCATCGTGAAGGCGGCGATGGGCTTTCAGTCTAAGGAATTTATTTATTATTAATTTCCTAATTTTATACCACTAATTAATTAACGCACCTGTACAACGTGGTGAAAGCTCTTCCACAATTATGACAACCAAATGGTTTCTGCTTCGTATGGATTCGAACGTGAACTTTTAAAGAGTACGAGGTCAAAAATGCCTTTCCACACGTGGGCGACGTGCAGATGAAGCGGAAGTCGCCCTAAAAATTCAGTAATTTATGATTAAATACGAATAATTAGCAATAATCACAAAAAGATAAACCGAAAAAACCGACCTTGTGGGTTTTCATGTGTGTTTTAAGGTTCCCAACCGTAGAATACGTCCTTTCGCAACCAGAATAATCGCAGTTGAATCGCTTGATTGACGTTTGATTAGTTAATGGGTCAGTGTGGGTTAGTGTGAGGGTGGCATGCGTTATCTGTGACGAGGTGGGAGGCCAACTGATCGATCCAGATGTGGGTGTAGTCGATGATGAGGAAGAAGAGGAAGAAGACGGTGGATTTATCCACATACGAATCTCATCCGGCGTCACTTGCTGGAGCAGGTACCTAAAATTTCAAAATTATTAAAAATCTATCCACAAAAAAAGTAAAACCAGAAAAATTACCCTTCTCCCCCTCCGACGAGTGAATTTTCCTGATGAACGAGCACCCTCCCCTCCAAAGTATCCAACTGAACCGAGTTATCCAGTACCCTCAACCCCCCTCCTCCCCCACCACCACCGGGCGCACTACTATCCGTAAAAGTCGAAACCAACGGATCGCTCGTGTCCAATTGTGAAGGGACAGCGAAATAATTCGGCATTTCAAACGACACCGAATCAATGCATTCCTGCAAGTCTTGAATTAAATAGTGCACCTTCGCCGTAGGGAAATGCTGTTGTAACAACGAAGGGTGTGGCGGCGGCTGCGGCGGAGAAATGGGTGTGGTTTTGATATCCATATTTTATTTTTATATATGTTCTGGCAGTTAGCCAGCCTTTGCTCAGAGAATAAACAGCAGAGGAGCAATCTTTTTTTATTAAATCCTCTCCTACTAACTAAAGTTTCAACTCTGGTTAGGTTTATTTTGGAACTCGTACATTATATACACTGAAACATCTCTGTGTATATAATCTCTGCTGGTGCGATGTATGTGTAGCCAGTGACGATTGGTTGTGTGGCACATATTATAGTCTCGTGATGTATTAAAAAGATAATGGAGGATGAGACTGACGATTTGATGACGGCTGGATAAAAAAATGTTATCTCGGAATGCATACACCTCCGAGTCGAGTGAAAGTCCACGTGCTTTCACCGTGATCTTTTGTTATTGTTTGGGTTTTATCATGTAGTTTTATAGTGCATTTTTTAGGTTTCATATTGTGTGATCAAACACAATGGGTTGGTGAGATCACTAAAAAGAAGGTCAGGCAGTTTGAAGTATTGAAGTTATCTTTAGGTTTTTATCTCGTTATTTTTTTTAATCGGAAAGTTAATTGCGTCTCATTTTCGCTTTTCTCATCTCACCTCCGAATCTCTGGGTAGAAATTGCATTTGTAAATTCCGCATCGTGACGCCATCTGAGGTTTGACTGCTTCTACTCCATCGCTAAAACTCCACTGCATAAAATCCGGCATGCATGCTCTTTCACATTTTTAACTTGTTCCCATCAGTCAGTCGGAGTGGATAAATTGTAAAGTTTTTTGTACAACCACACCCCCGGGTTATCATCATGGCGGATCAGGTAAGCTAGAAAATATTGTAGTAAAATATTCCCCCAGAACTATTCTTATTTTTAAAATGATGATAACAACGACGGTCTTCAGATGTGAAACTGTTGACAAAACTCGAACTTATTGTTTCCTGATTTTTTTAAAATTTAATTTTTATACAACCCTCGTGAATTAAAATTGGAAATTTAATTATAAACTACACTAAATACAAAAAACTAGGCCGAGCGCTCCTACCAACGTCAACCGACGATATTTCTCAACTCTAAAAAGAATTTAGGGCTAAAAAAATCGACTACGACCGTTTCACGGTACACTCGATCCGTCGGGTTGGGATTCAAAGCACCCAGAGAGGTCAATTTCTAATCTGTTATTTTCTTTGTTTTTTTTATTTGCCGTTTTGTGTGCCGATCTTTTTCGTTTGATGATGTGTGACTAACATGTGATGATAACCCGTCCTGCCTGATGTGACCGTTCGTGACCAAATCAGCAAACAGAGCGCGCCTTCCAAAAGCAACCCACGATATTTTTGAACGGGAAAACCCCCAAGAAAGCGATTTATCTTCGTCACGTAAAATCTGTCGGATTGGGATTCAAGACGCCAAGGGAGGTTCGACTGCAAAATACTTATCATTTATTTTAACTACTTATCTTTTTATAAAAATGATGATAACAACGACGGTCTTCTGAAATAATTGTGTGGATTGTTTTGATAAATTCTGATTATTTTTCGCTTCTTTAACTAGACTTTAATTGAATTATTCGTATAAAAAAATAAATTACAAACCTCCTCACAGGCCACGGATGGAACCTACATTGACAAAAAGTGTCCCTTCACAGGGAACGTCTCCATCCGGGGTCGGATCCTGACGGGTGTGGTGACCAAGATGAAAATGCAGCGAACCATCATCATTCGCAGGGATTATTTGCACTACGTTCGAAAATATAACAGATTCGAAAAGAGACATCGCAACATGGCCGTTCACCTCAGCCCAGCTTTCAGGTAATGATTTTTAAACATTTCCAAAATTCTGATCAAAAATTTAATAAACAATTCCCACCTCAGGGACGTCCAAACGGGTGACATTGTGACGATCGGAGAGTGCCGCCCATTGTCAAAGACGGTGCGATTCAATGTTTTGAAAGTTAGCAAAGGACCCGGAAGCAAGAAAAGTTTCAAAAAGTTTTAAATTTTTGGAAATTTAAATAAATAAAAAAGTTGTTTTTCTGATATAAAATTGAAATTACGAAAATAATTTGCATAAAAATTATCATGCCAACGCAAATCCATCCAAATCTCACATTGCACACGTCATTCAAACGCAAATCGAGTGGGAAAACGAGGCACAACAATTCCCTCCTATCTGCCAGCCAAGCACATTTTCCCCTCCACTTCCACACTCATTCCCTCGCTAGACTCTTGATTTGACTGACTCTCTTCCAAATTTACACAATTTTTATCTTGATAAGTAAATTTATTTTGACTTCGGCATGGCCCCCCCGCATCCCTCCACTACTAGAACCACCTCCCATCGTCGCACCCTTCATCGCATCTCCGCCAAAGTGCTCCCCCCTCCATTGGACATGAAGAGTGCGACAAAGTCTAATAATAATTCGCTGATGATGATGCCGCTCGAGTCACAGATTTTTGGAACGACGCAGAAAATGAGGTACTAATCTTGGTAAATTACTTTGAAACTTGTAAATAACCGGGTTAATTATTCCCCCGTAGCAGTTGGTCATTCAACAGCACGACGAGATTGCAGACGCTCCTCTCTACAAATTCTAACCTTCTCGGCGTCCGTCCCTTATCCCCGGCAAATCCCCCACCCCCGCATCAAGTTTATCGTTCATCCTCCTCATCTTCGTCCTATTCAACGTCACAAGTGGTCACATTTCAAGATTTGAATCGTCGTAAAAGTAAAAAGCGACAAGGGAAAAATCTGGCTCAATATTTACCATTCATTCAAAATTATACAAAAATTAGACGTAAGAAAGAAGGAAAGACTGTTTCCGGGGGGTGTGATTGGTTCTCTTCACTGCCAGATGAGATGGTTGGTTTGTTAGTTTAATAATGGGATTTAACTTTTAATAAATGATTAACTAATGAAAATTGTAGGTCCTTCGGGTGCTTCGAAACCTACCGAAATCTTCTCTTGGTCGGATGGCACTAGTTTCAAAACGCTTTTCACGCTTAGTTTCTGACGAGTCATTGTGGGAAAGGATTGATTGTATCGGGTTGTCTCTGGGGGATGGACAGCTTGGCGTCATTTGTGAAAGGAGACCTGATTATTTGAGATTGGCCAGGGCGGAGGTAATTTGTCAGTCGGACTATCTAAATGAATATATTTTTAGCACATAATTTAAATACAACTGTGTTTAGGTACCCTTCTCAGCCCTCCCTTTGCCACCATCCACCCAGCTCCCCTTGACTCATCTCGATTTAACAATGGCCTTGATAAGCCCAGTCACAATGCAAATCCTCCTTGCCGCCTCACCGTCCATTACTCACCTCTCTCTCGAGCACTGCACGTTGGACGACACTGTTTTGGCTGCCGTGGGGGAAATGAAGGCGATCAAAGTGCTCAATCTCAGCATGTGCTATGGAATGGGAGGACCTCAAGTGGGGAACATGTTGGAAAAGGGACGTTTTCAGAGGTAAAGATAATAACCAGTAAAGAAACTTATTAAATGGTTATTTTAAATGGACAATAAATCTCACAAGACTGACCGAGTTCAACCTCTCGTGCATCCCGCAGCAAGATATTGAAAAGTGGACGTCTGAAGATTTGATCAAAATTATCAATGCACTTCCCATCGGATTGGAAAGATTTAATTTTAGTGGATTTCGTCATATTATGTTCGACAGTCGTAAGCGGATTTTTTAAAACAAGGAATCCCCTGAATTTGAATTAATTATTTAAAATGCCATTGTAGATACTGCCCTGTTGGTATCTCGTCTCCCGAACGTCATAGATTTAGACATTTCTGATTCTCAAGAACTGACTGGAACATCTCTCGAGCATTTAACCAAACTAAAAAAATTACAGCATTTGAGCTTGAGCAGGTGCTATTCTATTCAAGCACAGGCGTAAGTTAGCTAATTAATCACATTTAAGCCATTGATAATATAGAAACTAACAAAATCGCAAACGACAGGTACTCCGTGCTGGGAACGATTGCCACCTTGCGATATTTGGAAGTATTTTCCCTCTTTAAACTCGAGTCCATTGCCACTCTTTCGAAAGAATTGCTCAAAGGGATTGAAATTAATCAATTTCCGCTCAGTGCCATTGCTCGACCTACAGTTGGGAGTAGAAGGAGTACGATTTGGGGGGTCAAAGTTCGAGACTGACTTTCGACTGATAAAAACTTTGATCTAAAAGTGTATATTGCATAATCTTTTTTTATTAATTTTGCAACAAAAATATTATAATTGCAAGTAAATAAGTGTGCTCGAAGAAAAGGATAAAAACAATAAAAATATAAAAAATTTACAAAAATCACTCGTCCATATTCATAGCTTGTGATCGAGCAACTTCAACTTTTCCTTCCTCAATCATTGATTCTAATTGTAGGCAGGCACGCTCAATTTCATAATTTTTTGATACTAAACTAACCCAACTGGATTCTAATTGACCTAGTTGTTCACCCGTCGTGAGTTGGGTTGACTTTCTGGACCAGTTCGTCGACTGGATGCGTTTTCTACAGGTTTCATAGGAAAATTTTGAATGAAATAGTTTTTAATTTGTAATCATTAATCATAAAGTCCAACTTACTTAATCTCTGCGAGTTCTCCTCCAGCCACACCAACCATTCTTGTCAATATTTCCAGATAATTTTTCCATCCTTCACAGCTGTAATCAAGCATGAGTTCCAAATTCCAAAGACGAACTTGTTGATGAAACAATTGGGCTGACGAGTTATCAACGCACTGAAAAAAGCATTAATCGTTGTACAGAGTTCACAGTTAAACGTAATAAATTAATAATTATACCTCACTCCACGCGGCTAAATCTGTCAATTTCCCTGCAGGCGGTGGTGGTAATTCGTATCTTTTCATGGATAAAACTTCTGGTGGGTTCCGAGCAGCTAGTGAAGCGTAGGTAGATGTCAACAGAGGTGTCTACCAAAATTAATCATTGATTTAAAAAATTATCCAATCAATTAAAACCTTATAAACTCACCTCAAATCGTTTCACTTCCAACTTGGGTAAATGTTCTAGATAATTTTTAGTTGGTCTAAACCTTCGCTTTTCTTCCTCAATTAAATGCGTAACCTGCAATTAAGTTAATATAATTACCAATTAAACAATTTAAAGCTTTTTTATTATTACCATCTCCTTCATTCCAGGTTCTTCAAATTGTGTATCTATATACGGCAAAGCATCGATGATAATACTTGGACGTGGTTTGGGTTGTTCATCTTCCACCAATTCGACCACTGGGAGTGCCTGCTCGGGATCACTTTCGACCTCCATTTTTTTCAAAAAATAAAATATAAAATTTTACGAAACTTTTTTTTATATTTGTTGTATATTTATTTCCCCGGTGTAAAGAAAAGCGTGTGGTGGTTGCCCATAATTTTTGCCCACTTGCACGCCACCTACCACGCGACGAGCCACACGGACCGGACACATGCCATGCTTTCATATCCCCTCGCCTGCTCACAGTCACCGCAGTCCCATCGGATTATTTTACCATCCGCATCGCGAAAGGAATTTTCTTTCCTGGAAATTTTGGAAATTTATTAAACATCTTGAAAAATGGTGAGAACTTTACCCAGTTATCTAAACTATTAATCCTTAGAGTGATGACTTTATACGCTATACTTAATAAACCTCTTTTTTAAGACAAAAATTTGGTATTTTTGAGGACAACTTGCCCTCACTGATTTATCTTATTCAACCAAGTAAATTGTATCAATTGTGGGAGTAGGAGTAATTATTATCATGTTTTCTACAGGCCTCCGCCCTGGCCCGTCCCCTTGTGACGATCTTGGACGAGAAGAACGTTCCAAGTGGGTCAATTCCAATGCCGGCCGTTTTCAAGGCACCCATCCGACCCGACATTGTCAATTTTGTTCATCAAAATATGAGCAAGAATTCTAGACAACCGTACGCCGTCAATGTGGATGCTGGTAAGATTGCATAAGATTGTTGATAAGTTGTTGGTTATCATGAGGCACTTAATGTCCCGTGGGTGTGGTCTAAAACCTACCTGCTCCACGTTTCTGCAAAGTGCAAAATAAAAATTCAATAATCACCTCATCGTTCTTTGATTGGTTTATAATACGAATTTAAAGGGCAGGGTGATTATACAAATTAATCGCGATTAATTATAATTGTCAAACTAATGTTCTACTCATTTTTTAGGACACCAAACATCTGCTGAATCATGGGGAACTGGTCGTGCTGTTGCTCGTATTCCGCGTGTTCGCGGTGGTGGAACTCACCGTTCGGGTCAAGGAGCGTTCGGAAACATGTGTCGTGGTGGTCGAATGTTTGCTCCGAATAAAACCTATCGTCGATGGCATCGAAAGATCAACGTGAACCAGAAGAGGTACGCCGTCTGCTCAGCTATTGCTGCCAGTGGGGTCCCAAGTCTGGTCATGTCCAAGGGTCACGTGATTGGAGAAACTGCCGAGTTCCCAATGGTCGTCAGCGACAAGGTTCAAGAATATGACAAAACCAAACAAGCCGTCATTTTCTTGAGACGTTTGAAAATCTGGAATGATGTCGCGAAGGTATATTTTTAGGATTTTAATGAGTTTTTAAAAATATTTGGAGGTTTAATGAATATGGTGGTGATTTTACAGGTCTACAAATCACGAAGGAATCGTGCTGGTGTTGGTAAGATGAGGAATCGTCGTCGTGTCCAAAGGAAGGGACCACTCATCGTCTACTCGAAAGATCAGGTAGCAATTATTTTCAATTTCATTTTTTTCAAGATTTTTTGTACAAAATTGAGCATGATGAGTTAAAACTTCGGTCCGTGTTTATGAATTTTATGATTTCCATCGAAGTACTGATGTACCCACTTCTTTCAAAAAAAATATCAACCAATTCTAATGACCACACCAAATTTAATATAATTTAACTAAATCCTCATTTTTAATAAATCATCAGGGCCTGTCCCGCGCTTTCCGTAACATCCCAGGCGTTGAAACTCTTGACGTTAACAAGTTGAACTTGTTGAAACTTGCTCCTGGAGGTCACGTTGGTCGCTTTGTTATCTGGACGGAATCTGCGTTCAAGGAGTTGGACAAATTGTACGGAACTTGGCGCAAGGGTTCGGAATCCAAGAAGGGATACAATCTTCCCATGCCAAAAATGGCTTCCACCGACTTGTCGAGACTTTTAAGATCGGATGAAATTCAAGGAGTTATCAGGGCGCCAATGTAAGTTGACTTTTTTGACAATTGGTAAAATTAGTTTGGTTATAATGATGACAAAATTTCCGTGTTTATGAATTTATAACTGATTTTAAAAATTGTCAAAATCTCTGAATTTTAAAAATCATTTAAAATACATGTTTTTGTAAACGATTTGTATGTAAAATATGCTTTATAAAATACTTTCAGTAAATCCCGCACCCTGTCCAAGACCAAGCTGAACCCCTTGACGAACCACAAAGCGATGTCCAAGTTGAATCCATACGCAATTGTGACGAAGCGAACGGCCGTGTTGAAGGAGGAAGCAGTTAAACAAAAAGCTGACAAAAAGAGGGTGGTAAGTAGCACAGTTACATACAAAATATAACAATTAAATAAGAAACTTGAGCCCACATGATGATAACAATTCTCCTGATCTATTTTAGTTGACCTTGACCCGCCGTAAGCAGATGGTTGACAAGGCCAAGAAGACCTTAGCGGACAAGGCCAAAAAAGCTGACGGTCGATTGAAAGCTCGCCTAGAAAAATTTAACAAGCGTGCGGCAAAGAAGAAGGAAATTAGGAAAAAGAATGCTATCGAGGCCGGAAAAAAGAAAAACTCCACCCCGAAAAAGTAAAATTTTGTTGTTGAATTTTTACTTTGAAAAATTAAACTAAATAAAAAAATTTTCAAGAAAAATTTTGATTTTGGCAATTGCTCATTTTACTTTTCAAATATTTACAAAATACTTTTAAATTTCCTTCTTTTAAGCTCTATAATTTTGGTGACTACAAAAACGACCACCCCCACAAAACACATTTGACGACTCTCTCTTAAGTTTTTTGGCATTTGATATGAATACTCGTATAGAAAAATTCTTTTTGGCCACACTTAATTTTTTTCTGCTTACTTTAACGTTACTAATATATGGAGATTGTGTGATGATTTATGGGGAATTATTTAGAATATGGGGGTGATGATATTCAGTACGGTCTGGACGCATCTTTTGGCCGTTTTAATTGGACTTTTAATCGTTTCATGCCGATCTGCAATTATTATTTTCAGCAATTAACATAAGTGATATAAATTTCAATTTATAAATTTAAATATAACTACCTGAAATCCATTCATTGATTGAATCGCAGCTTGGGCGGATGTGGGGTTGTCAAATGAGACAAAACCTGTATTAATATTGTTTTAATTACTGGATACTCATGTTTTTTACTATGCATCCTTCGGCGTCATCACCCTCATTACTAATAGCATTAATACTGCACTATAAAATTAGTAAAAATCTTACCAAAACATTTAGATTGATTTGTTGCTCTGTCGATGAAAACTTTGGACGAAATGACATTTCCGAACGAGAGGAACATTTGCATCAACTCGGTATCACCAAATTCTTGCGGCTACAGAAAGACAAAAAGCTTTATAATTTTTTTAGATAATATTTTTTGTTGACAAAAATTTAAAACAGATTGAAAAATTACCAAATGATAGATGAATAAATTACACCCCTCCGGCCCAGATACGGAACACCCTTCACCACCCACGCACACCCCACAACCACATCCACTTTTATTAATATTTTATCTCCTTAATTATGATTAATTATTATGGAATGGTGTATACGGGAATAATATATATTTTTGCAGCAGGGTAACTTTCTGATAAAAAATTTGTTACCTTATTTACATGACCACACCCCCGTTCGACTGTGACTTGACTTATTTACACAATTTATTTTTTTAAAGAACACAAGCGGGTAAAATCGAAAACCTTTCGAGGTCAGTAATAAAAGGTACCTTCGCGTGGGTTGGTTGAGGTGCCGTTAGTGGTGTTTCCCGTGGACGTGGCAGCAGCTGAACCATGAAGAGCCATCGACAAATTGACCTGTGACATATAAATTGCAAGGGTATGGGTACAACTCCATGTCGTCATTTTCATACTATTACCGGATGATGAGGAATGTGATGTGCGGCTAAGGCAGCCAAAGCTGCAGAATTTTGATGATGAAGATAAGCGTGATGATGGTGATGATGTGGATGGTGATGTCCATTTAGATGGTGTGGATGATGCCCATTAGACCCACCACCCCCACCAACTGATAATAATCCACCCTGGTGACCCATCGCCGCGGCTGCTGCGGCGGCGGCAGCTGCAGAATTTCCATTCAATCCAAGCCCATTCGTTGCTGCGGCGGCTGTAGTTTCGAGGCGATTAGCTAACTCATTTAAGAAAGGGAATACCTCATACCCAATTAAGTTAATTAACCTTGAATAGCGGCAGCAGCAGCGGCGGCGAGATGTGGATTAGACGACGCACCCCCACTGCCATCCATGTAGAGAAATGGCATGTCAGTTGGATTCATGAGAAGATTCGCTAATTTGTTAAAATTAGTCTTGTTAGTTGACATGCAAAATTATTAGTGAACAAACCACACGAGACAAACACTTATAAAATAAATAAAACCATTTTTACCATCATAATTATACAACTCTGGATGTATGAGATTTCCATTGACCACGCCCCCACCCGTTGGCGAATTAAGTGAAGAGGTAGAGTTGCCATTGAGAAGGGAGTTTGTCGAGTTTGGGGTGGACGTTCCCGTAGGGGTTTGTTGTGTTGAGGACGAGTTGAGGATGTACCCTGTAAGTCCATTGCTCAAATGTTGCTGTTGAGACAAGTGGTGATGGTTGAGATGGTTGAGATGATGGTGGGCGTGGTGGTGGGGGGAAGGGGTGGACGATGGGGGTGACGTTGTCGCCGAGGCCGCTAAAGCTGCTGCCGCCAATGCAGCGGCAAAGTTCTGTTAGAAGAGGTCATAGTTAGTCAATCAATTAGGTTAATCGGATCCTTTTCATGAGGGGGAATTTGAGAAAAATGACAAAATCATAAGACTTTTCCTAACCTGCTGCTGTCCATTGCCTCCAACGACTTGTTGATGATGTGGGTGCGGTTGTTGACTATAATATCCGTAAAGTGGATTAACCGGGACCACGCCTCCATACGGAATCATAATATTTCCCGAAGTAGCAGCCATTTGTTGCATCCGTCTCAGCTGACGTTCTTTCTCGGTGTCTGCAAATTTGACGACCAAGCTGCTGCTGGCTCCCTAAAGAGAAAGCGAAGAGAGAGAGCATAAAAGTGAGTTTTACTCGTTTTTGGTGGTGAAAGTTTATGGTGAGAGCAACAGATACTCACCGGCATTGTGGTTGATCCGTGGAGTCCATTGATTGCACCCTGGGCTTCTGCGTGGCTTGCAAATTTCACAAAGGCACAACCTGCCCACCAGCCAAACACACAGAGAGAGAAAGTTAGTATAGACGACAAAATATACTAGTGGAAAAAATCGATAAGAGTGGATCTTGCTGCTCGTGGGGCTTTTGGGATGGAGAGAGAAGAAGGGGAGTGTACACAGGTGGTTGGAGGGATTATTTTCTGCGATGGGGTGGAGCAGGAACGAGGGGTGTGGATCAATTCAGACTCTTGGGAAACTTATGGCTAATGAAATATGATGCGAAAAGGTAACCCGAGAGGAGAACGAATGTATACACAACCACCTGTATATTATTGACAGGAAAGATGCCCGGGGGAAAATATAGGGAAAAAATGCAAGTCTGACCTTTGGACTGTCCATCCGTGCCCCTGAGGATCGTGCATTCTTCAATGGCTCCGAAAGGTGCGAAAATCCCACGAATATCTTCCTCCTTCTGCGCCTTGCTTAACATTCCCACAAATAATTTGCGATCCTCTGCAAAAATGTGGAAATTTTCCCCTCTCATTAAAACCAAAGTCATGCCAACGAAAATATCAAAACAATTTCATATTTTTTTTTCCTAATAAAAAAATCTCTCACCCCCTCGACTCGTCCCTGCGCCACCGCTGCCCCCACCGTTTAACGGATCGGATCCCGTGTCTGCAGGTTTCACTTGGAGTGGACGGTTCATCTTTTATTTTTTTTTAAATACAACGACACACACAAAATTTTCAATATTTTCAACACAAAAAGACTTATTTAAACTATGACATGGACGAGGAGAATGTGTGTGTGCGATAAGGAAAAAAAGTAAAAAGTGCAACAGGCGACACAAACGACGGAGAGGAGAATACGGAGAGTGAAAGCAGGGAGAGAGAAAGTGGTGCGGAGCCACAAAAACAAGTAGCCAGCCAGCAGCAGCAACTTCCAGCAGCGTAGAAAAGAAAAACGGGTAGTCTCGGAGAAATCAATCCCCGGGATATTCTCCAGCAGAAATATTCCGGGGGGGACCCGCCCGGATACACACCATCACCATCACCACCACCACCAAAGTGAGTAACCAAGCAGTTGAAAATCGCATGCGCAAAAGAAGGTCAAGCTATAGCTTTGTTTTGTTTTGGTCATCACATTATTAGTGAGTCTCACATTCCCAAGAAGAAGTTGGAGTTAGTGAGAAGTTAGAGAAAAAAAAATTAGTGTGCTACTGTTTATTATTACACAACAAAAATAATAATAAGCAGAATAGCATTAGCTACATATGCTCATCGTCGTGCGTATTTTATGCAGAATAACCAGTTGACAATAAATGTTGAATTAGCATACCCCTTGTAAGACTTGTTGGTCATGGAGCGTCTTTTGGGCCAACAATGCAGACTCTATAGAATTTTTTAACGTGTTATTATTGTGGAGGTAATTTATGTCACCAAAAAAGAGAAGAGAGAAAAAAAGAATGAAAGAGTCATTACCAGAATGGACGTAGGTAAGGAAGGCGCATCCTAAATAAGACATCATTAGCACAAATTGTTTGTTGCGATAGATCGCTAATGATTTTTTTCTTCTATTACCTTTATGCATCCCAGTGAATTTGTCTTTTAAAATGCTAAATTCTAAAATGGGTCCAAATTGGTCAAACATGGGTTTGATATCCATTTCACTCATGGTGCGAGGGATTTGACCGATGAATAGCTTGATTCTTGGTGTGGCTGGGGGGATCATGGTGGGTCCGGGGGGTGTGGTCACTTCTTCTTTGATCTGTTCCATGGGTTTCTCCTTGTCGTACATGTTCTAGGCTTAAAAAAATATTCTCTATATGGACGAACAATAAATGACAGACGAAACACTGCACCGCACGTACAAACAATCTGGACGAGACTGGCGAGGAAAGTTTATAAAATAGGGGATGATGATGATGACTCACTGGAAACAAGTGGTCCACAATGCATAAGCTTTTTCCGGAGAGCAGAGGAGAGGGGTGGAATTCTGGATCGATATCCTGCAACCAAACATGAAACTCACCAGCAGACAGGGGTTCAGCATTATTGTTATTATCGGGTAGTAGTAGCAGAAGTAGGGTAGTATTTGCTGAGGATGGAGACAGGAGGGTGCATATGAGGGAGAAGAATTTTATGGGGTGGACAAACACCCGGGTAGTAAACAGCCTAAATCATCATCGTCAGAGAAATAAATGCACTGCTTTTTGCTTGGTATATGGACATGACTCTCTAATGAAATATGCAACTTGGTCAGTAATCCCGTGCTAAAATTGTATCTCCATCATTGACACGTCTCCATTTTTTTATTTATTTAATAAAAATAAGTTACAAAAAATATTTCTCATCTTGTCTCCCTCAATCTTGTAATATATACACGCATATGAATTAGATGGGTAGGTTAGGATTGGTAGCTCTCGCGTATCTCAACAATTCTTCGGAATCCTCACAAACGAAGGCTTTTGGATGGTAGCAGGCAACATCGTGCCAGTGGAGACCGTCCTTGTACACATTGTTCAAAACGGCAAGGCAAGATTCTGGAGTTCCATTGATGTCCAGTTCAGCATTGTCAGGTTGGGGACGCTTATTGTTTCCCGTGAATGACCAGGGCTGAGAGGAAAATAATCAAATGATGACAAACTACTCAAAAATGTTCACACACTTTAAAAAAAATATGACCCACTTGATAAGTCCAATTTTTAGGCTTGACATTTGTGGGTGCCATTTTGGTTCCTGATCCAGACCAGAACCATCCATTGACTGAGATTGGTTGCAAATCCTCACGGTCACCGCAACCTATAAATTTTTTATCCATGATGAAATCTCGCTCAAACAAAAATGAGATTTTATAAAAGCTCACCCTTAAAGTCGCACAATCTTCCGCTGGACCAAATATATTTGAGTCTATTGTCCCTGACCAGATCGAAAATGATATTATTCTCCTCTTCCGTCTCTATGGAAACGGTGTCCATGCAGTATTCTCGGCATGCATTTCTCGCCTCCAGCCAGTCAACCTCAGCGTTGCGATATTTGGTCACATTTCCAGAGTAGAAATACCAATGACCATCGTAGAAAAACTCTTTCGGGCGTCGAGAACATTTCACTGTGGATGAAAAAACACAAGAAAATCGTCGTAGCCACTGAAAAAATCACTGCTAAGAAAAATCCTCGAAATAAAAATCTCACCTGCATCAGGCAACGCGAGAAACCTTGGTTCTTCATCTTGTCCTTTTTTACTGCTACTCGTGGTGGACGGTGTGGTCCTTTGTTGCTGATTTCTCTGCTGCTGCTGCCCCCCCACCACGGCCACCACTCCCACGAGAAGGGCGAGGATTAGTAGGATTTTCATAATTTTTTGTGCTATTATCTAATAATCTAATGGTGAGTGGTGTGAATATTAATAAGAAAGTGAAAGTGATTGCCCAACTCCTCGACGGACGACGAGTGTGTATGAAATAAGAAGGAGTGTGAAGAAGAGATGACCACCAACCAATCTTCTTTGCCTTGGATGCAGAACTAAACTAACAACATGTCCAACAAATGATAAACTTTTTATATAGCTGTGGCTAATTTATTGTGTAGTTTGTGTAGGCTCTTCTGTGTCGTCGTCGTCGTCGCCGTCGTCCTGGTATGCAGTGCATGAGTGTGTGTGCCAGGCCAGTGTGTGTGTGTGTGACCTTGTGGAGAGGAATCTTTACTAATTACTCATCAAGGATTGAATATGACTTTTTTCTACTTTACTCGATTATTCTCGATTATTAGGAGATCGTGATGACCTTTATGAACTGTGACCAGAAGAAGAAGAATAAGAGAGAGGTGCAGCAGCAGCATCAGCAGCCGCATCTTCCTCATCGCTGTATTATCATCAAGCGGAAGTGGATAGCAATGTCTCTCTCTTCGTGTAAATAAAAGGATCGTCGTGTGGATGTGATCGACTTTTTTTGCCCATTTTCAAGTGGAGTGTGCCCTTGGCTTTGGTTTATTATTATTACATCCAGTTTTCAAGTTCATTATGTTTTATTCGACATTTTTCTATCCTTTTATCTTATCCGTCATCTTCTTCGTGAAGAAGTGGACTCTGAGATGCTGCTGCTGCTGTCCATCCATCCAACTGACCGACCGACGACGACGATGACATATGCACACCAGTCCAAACCAGTAGCAGCATCTTCTTTGTTTTTTTTTATATTTACGACGAGAGACATGGTGGATTGGATTTTAGTGTGAGCTCTTCTTCTTCTGTTATAGGGAAAAAAGGAACAAAAGTGGTTAGGCATAGCCTAGAGAGACAGTGAGTTGGTTTGGTAGAGAGGTGAGAGCAGTTGTGTGTGATGAGAATGACTGTATATATCTTATTCCATGGACTGTACTGCCATTTTATTTTGGGTGGCTATTAAACACACAGTATCCAGAGAATCTCTATAGCAGAGAGAGAGAACATAAAATAGTAAAAAAAAACACTAATAATAATTAAACCGGAAATGGATAATCACAATAATAACAAACAAGCTGGCGGTGGTGGTGGTAATAGCCGAGGGAGGAAAAATAAACTGCATCACCTCCACCAATTACAACAACAGCAACAAAACTTGGCTAATTTGGGGGGATTAATGGAATTGGCTAGACAGCAACAACAACAACAGAGTGGGGGTGGTGGTGGTGGTGGGAATAATAATAATAATGCAGCTGCCGGTGCTTTGGCGGAATTGTTTGGTGAGTGTTGACAGTTGTGGTATTTTTTATATGTAATTGTAATTGTTTATTGAAATATGATAAACAATGAAATTGTGAATTGTTATTAGCTGCACACCAACAAGCAGCCCAAGTCCAAGCCGCTCAACAACAGCATCACCAATTAACTCAGTCATCCAGCAGTGGGGGTGGAAATCCATTGTCTTTGTTACAGCAGCAAATGAATGCCATAATGCAGCAGCAACCCGGAGTGGGAGGAGGTGGGGGTGGAGGAGCTGGTGGACAACGGGCGCAGTCCCCACAACAGCAACAATTTGCGAATAATCCAGCTGCTGCTTGGTGGTATTTGGTGAGTTGAGTTGTGTGTAAGCTGTGTAAAAGTTGATGTATGAAAATGCAAGTTAAAAATTATTATTCTAGGAATACCTAAGTCGAATCCAAGCAGCTCAAATGATTCCAAATTTGGAAGATTCTACACCGACCCCAAATCCAACTCCACCTTCAAAGAAGAAACGTCCCCCTGCAGCTCAAGCTTCTTCCCATCACCAAAATCAACAGCAATCCCATCACCTCCCTTCTTCGTTACCCCCTCTGCCACCTCCACCACAGAAAATAGAATCAAAACGAGCCTCAACTAGTTCTAATAGTGCTAGTAAAAGGAGCCGTACATCTCAGCAACCGCACCCACAAGATCACGCCCCTTCATCGTCCTCATCGTCAATAGCTGATCCTCTCAACTTGTCAAAAATATTATCAAATAAAAAATTGCCCAGATCAATGCCAACTCCAATATTACCAACGAATAATCCTCCGTCAAGTAGTTCGTCCAATACAACAACTACTGGTACACCCAACCAACCCCCCCAAGCACATTCTACCCCGATAAATCTATCCACTCAAAAATTAACCTCGACCAACAAAGAACCTCCTCCAGCTCATCAAGTAGCAAAACCAGTCCATTATACTCACATGATCCCAAAGCTCCCTCAAATTGGTTTGATTGGACGAAAACCAGATTCCACAAAGAAAAAGAAAACGGTTGCGAGTTTGTTGGCTCAATCGAGATCACCGAATCCAGTATTGGATGTCAAAGAGATTAGCTACCGACCATGGTTAGTAGAAGACAACAAACTAATCATCCCAAGTGTGGTCAACAACAGTAAAAAAGATCCACCCGATTTTACGCTTCCCCTCAGAATGGGATGGAAAAGAGAAACGATTGTCAAAAATACGGATTTTAAAGTCGTTTATGAAGGAAACATCTTTTACATTACTCCGCAAGGAGTTAAGGTCAGTATATTTAGTTAATTTCTAAAAACTAAGTAATCCTTAATTTCTAATTAATTAATTGTTGAACTAAAATAATAATTATTATCTGCAGTGCAAATCGATAAATGAGATAAAGAAGTGCTTAAACCAACGAACGGCCGAATTGACCCCACGCCATTTCACATTCAATACCAATCTCCTAATTGGATCTTATACTTTTGACATCGACGGTGAAAAGATAACTCTGCCGGATTCAGATCTAAAAGAAGGCCATATTCTCAAAAAGTTGACAAGTCTCAAGGAAGAGCAATCTTTGAAAAAAGAACAAACTCGACTTCGTCTTCTCCACGAGGAAAAAGAAAAAATTGATCGTGAGAGAAAACGCCAACATGGAATCGTTATAAAAAATTTGGAAATATTAAAGAAATCCAAACGTCGCATTAAGCAACAACAAGAGAAAAAATTAAAAAAGTTGAAAGAGTTGGAAGAGGAACCAGTAGCAAAATTAGATTTTGTGGATGAGTTGGCTAATAACTCAACGATAGATTTGAAATTATTAAACAAATTGGAAACATGCTTGGAACCAGGAGCATTCAGTAATTTATTGCAAATTTATGAATTCCTCAACACCTTTGGCGAAACTTTGGGATTCGATATGGATTCTTTACCAGATTTAGAATCATTACTTAAAGGGTTCATTAATCAACAAGAAAATGAAGAAGAATTGCAATCAATTCTCATTCATTTAATTGGTAAGTTAAAAAATATTTATAATAAAAATACATATTTTTATAAAACTTTAAGATTCCCTACAACATCTCTAATATTGTTCCTACTACTACTTTAGTGTGTGCAGTAGAAGATCCGGGGATGCCCAACCCAACGAAGCATATGACCACATTTAACCAAACGTTGAAACAAGCGGATGTAAATTTTGGTAGTTTATCAGAAATTCTTCGTATTTATCTTGAAGGAATTTCAGATTCAGAGCCAGAATCTGAAACATATGCCAACTGGCTTGCAGAGGCTCCGTTTACATGTCACAATCCCAAGGTTAATATTAACTTATTATTTAAAATTAATAACAACAAATTATGAAAAATTAATTAACTAAAAATAATTGTTTTTATAGAGAAAAACGATGATTGTGGCCTATCTGTGTGACATCTTATTACAAAACAAGGCAGTATTACGACATTTGGAGAACTCATCCGAATTAATTCACAACTGTAAAAAGGAACGCATTCAAAATGATGTCAAAATTCGAAAACTACGAATGGTTTTAGCTCGTCGTGCCGTAGCTTCTGCGTGTGAAGGTGGTGAAGAGAAGCCAGCAACAGCGGAAGAAACCCCACCACCACCCCCACTAATTGAAGAAGAAGAAGATAAATTATCAATGGAAGAATTGAAATCAAAAATGTCTCATTTGCAAAACACGAATGAAAAATTAAAGAAACAAATGCAGTTAAATTTTAAAAATATTCGAACCCCATGCATTGGACAAGATCGATATCGACGAAGATATTGGAATTTACCTCATTCTGGTGGTTGTTTCGTTGAGGGTGGAATTAGTTCAGAATTTGAAGACTTGAAACAATTAGTTAAATTAAAATTTGAGAAAAATACTCTTAATAATGAAGATGAAGACGAAAACGAAGAAAATGTCGCTCCTCCTGCTCCTCCCCCTCCCCCCACTGCAAAAGTAGAAGGAGAAGGAGACCCACTACTACCACCGCCACCAGTTGGTGTTGCTCCCTTTGTACTACAAGTTCCACCCCCTTGCATAAAAATATTTTCCTTTGGTAAAGATTCCCTGTGTAGTGGGAAACGTCCACTGTCGGATCGAATTAAAAAACCTGGACCAACGGATGATGAATTATTAGTTAAAAAAATTAAGAAGCAACTTTGGAATGGGTACTTCTATTTGGATGACGTTGACGATTTTTCGGCCACCCTTGTGGAAAATGGATTAAGAGAGAAAGATTTAAAATCTGCCCTACAATCCGTTGAAATTAAGAAAAAAGTACCAAAATTTGAAGATACGGAAAATATGGAAGGAGAAGAATTTTATGATATCGGAGTCGATCCAGACCTTGTTTACAGGATTCATTTGGGATTAATTGAAACTTTGGAAGGATTAGAGGTTGGTTTTTTAATAATTTCATTACTATTATAACAATTTAACAATTGGAATTATATTTTAAAATGAATTGCAGGAGCGTGTTGCTGGTGCATCTTTACAAGTAAAGAATTGGACGTTGCCCCTCCCAAGAAATCTTCATCTCTCTACCACGACTTTAAAACAATCTGAAATTGTGTCTTTAGTAAAAGAACGATTATTGGATTTGGAAACTGCGGTTGAACGACGTTATTTGAAACCACCTCTTGGGAAATCAGCTAATGAACTAAATCTCTCAAACTTGGTTGGTGAAGATAATGCAAGCGCTTTAGCGGGTGGGGAACAATTAATCGGTCCATGCGGGTCTACCAGTTCAACCAGAGGACAGCAAATTCAAGAAAATAATAAAATGAAAGAAATGAAAGAAAAAGAAGAAAGATTACAAGCTGCGAATGAATCCAAAAATTCTTGCAGGTAAATAACAATAACATTTTTTATTGCTAATTTCCCATGTATAATGTTACTTAAATTTGGGTCATGGATATTTATTGCAGTCGCTTTCTAACACATTGGCGTGATTCAGTGCGTAAAACATCCTCCCCCTCAGTTTTATCGATGGCAATTTATTTATTGGACTCATCAATTGCATGGGATAAATCTGTAATGAAGGCAAGTTGTCAACTTTGCAAAGGGGGCGATAATGAAGACAAATTACTGCTTTGTGATGCGTGTGACCGTGGGTATCACACGTACTGTTTCAAACCACCACTGGAACAAATACCTGATGGGGATTGGTTCTGCTGGGAATGTATCAATAAAGCGACGGGAAATAGAGGGTGCATCGTTTGCGGAAAAGGGAATCTACAGGTCAGCTACTTTAGTTGCGTAACTTCCTTATTATTACACACCAATACAACAACTTTTATTTCTATCACACAGGGAAAGAAACTTTTGGCATGCGATAAATGTGTAAAAGCATTTCATACGGATTGTATTGTTCCAAACGTGGTAAAAGTTCCACGTGGTCGTTGGTATTGTCCAGATCATCAACCATCCCAGACCTCATTCTCATCTACTGCGATTGCAAATAAAAAACCAGACTCTTCTTCAGCTTCCTCTTCTCCAAAAAAGAGTAAAAAAGCAATGAGCGAGTCACACCGACCCGTCACACCTCCCGTACAGCAGAGTCAAATTGTGCCACCTCTAATTATTTCAATGGCGACGATTCCAATGGAAATTGAGCCTACAACTCCACAACAACAACCAGAATCTCCACAAAAGGAATGCCCTTTAACTCCACCCCTCCCCCCGCCACCCCCACTAAAGAAAACTAAAAAACAGAAGAAAGAATTGGAATGGTGTGAAAAAATTCTAGATGATCTAATGGGTCATGAAGATGCTTGGCCTTTCTTAGAACCCGTAAATACCAGACAATTCCCTACTTACAGGAAGGTACGTAAATTAAATTAAATTTTGTTAAAGGTCACACCAACCATAATTTCGTGCTAATAATGTTAACACTCAATTATTTTTCTATCAGGTAATAAAGACACCGATGGACCTCTCTACTATAAAGAAGAATCTCCACACGACTTACAAATCACGTGATTGTTTTTTGACCGACGTTCGTCTAATATTTGATAATTGTGAAACATTCAACGAAGACGATTCTCCAGTTGGGAAGGCAGGACACAACCTCCGAGTTTTCTTCGAATCTAAAGAAAATTACTTCAATTCCTGTGAGAGCAATAATTAAGCTCACTCTCTCATTAATGAATTATTGTGGTTGATGGTGGAATTTCAGCAGTATTTTATCGTTATTTTGTTGTTTTGTTTTGTGAGTTTTTTTGTAAAATCGTTTTTTATTGCTCTGAAAAAATAAATATAAAATTTATGTTAATCTTATCAAATTGTCGATTCCTGTGAGTACGCCGTCTGCCCGATTCCCTATTTTCCACGTAGATCGATGGTCCAATGGGGTTGAAGATTTAAAAGTCTTGGCTGGAACAAATTACATTCAAATTGGATTATCGCAACATTACATAAAATATGTGGTTAGATCATTAACGGTGTAAAGGATAAAGTGAATAACTCACCAAAATCTATTATCCAAACCCCACACCGATTTTGGTCGTGGATTAACAGCAGGCTGCACATACCAAATTAGATTTAATTTACTTGGTTGCTTTAATGTAATAGTAAAGATCCAATCAAGTGAATATATATATATATATATATATCTACCTGCTGCCAATCATCTCATGCGTTTTAAAAAATTCACTCGATTCCAAACACGATCTTAATTCTAGTAATTTCTTCCTAAATTCTGTTCGAAATCCAGCCGTAAATCGAGCAAGAATTGAACTGATCGTTGTTTCATCTTTTAGTCGCTACAAATATAAATAAATTAGTGAAACCTACTATTGTAATAATAGAGTTGAAATAGAGGGAGAGTTACAAAGAGTAGAAGCATTTACCTGAAAGTTGACGTTCATCTGTTGATCGCCACTAAGCTTGACGCCTTCTATTCTAAATCCCAAATCCGTCGTAGATGACAATTCCTCTCTAAATTGCATGTATCTCAATTTTGTGACGGACTTTGACTCGTCTTCTTCTCTAGTAAAGGCCGTAGGGTCAATTTTGTACATTTTGTCGTATAGATCGGATCTTGGCTTATATGTAATAAAGAAAAGTTATTTTAAATTAATATTTAAACTACTGTATCCGATAAATAAGTACAACTTTTTGGCTTACCTTAGTGTTGGAAACTTCCGACTCTAGAAATGTCCGAGTACCCAATTTTATGTCCATTATACTCAAGGATTTCAATGAAAATAAGGTTATCAAGTCTGAAAACAATAACCAATATTTCAGTATAGTTTATGGGAAAGTAGGCTGTGTATGCTAACAATTCAAATCATATACCTTCCAATTCAATGAAGTCTGTATGATTATAATTGGTATGTGAGATAAAATGTGGAATGTGTTTAGTGAATGGATCGGCAGGCGTTGATTTAAGGTGGGTGTAAATATCTGCCTCCTGATGAGAATCCGGGGGCATTTTTTTCCACAACGAATTTGGACTATAATTATCATTAACCAACAATTAATATTTTAACCACCAATTAAACTAATCATCATGAATTACCCCGCGGGCGCAAATGTCCCCTGGTGACCACTCAATTGGATAAATTCACGTTCTAATTTCAATTCTGTCGATGTTTTGGACACCAATTGTTTTTTACTCTCTTCAATGTGATGGTTTTCTGTAGGGGAGGATGAGTCAGGGGGGGATTTGTTGAGAAATGAGTAGACGGGAGCCGTAAACTCTAACGCATTAATAGCCAATCTGCAAATTAGATATATTTTTCTTTAATCGGTTGATACCAATGTCATCATAACCTTCTTAATTACAAATTAAGTCTTACAATTGAATGAGCTCCATGTTATTCCTCTTATGATGAGTTTGCTGCTGCTGTTGTTGGTGATTAATGGGTGGGGACAATCTGCTACTGCTACTGCTCCCACCCCCACCACCACTCGAACTTCTTAAGGGCGACGTCCCTGCTGTTGGATGTGAGTGATGAATTATACAGTCTTCTGAGGTGTCCTATAATAATTAAAAATCAATACAAACACCTGTTATTTCTTAAACGAATAACAATTCAACAATTCACAAACCTTCAGGAGCCACTGTGTCCACCTGTGAATAAAAAAATGACAGTTAGTGAAATTGTCAATTCCACCACTCCAATCCAAAAAGGACTCGTTATCTTATCTGTCTCCACCAAAAAACTGTACGAATGAACTAACCTGGAGTACGTCAATGGTGGAAAGAGGAGCAAGTGGTCATTGTTGTTGGTGTTGGAGGTGGCAGGGGACGAGGGGGAGGAGGAGGTGAGTTTTTTGTGCATCTTTGTCATTTGGTGGGGGTGGTGAGGGGGGTGTGACAAAGGGTGAAAGTTGTACACATTTTCTGTGTTGTGATGTATGTGTGATTTTTTATTTGTGTTTGTGGCAATTGCTTTTGAAAAATCCGCCATCGGAAAAAAGTGGTGAATGGAAAGGAAAATAAAAGTGAAGCAGAAGTGCAACAGCAAGTTGGCAAGTCGGCTTTTCTGATGCAATAAATTTCCGAAATTTTAGAAAAATCTGTTGGAAATTAGAAAAAGAAGAATAAAAAATGGATCCGAGCACGGAATTGGGGGTGAGTCGGTTCATTGTGGGGGTGGTGTTTATATAGATTTATATTTAAACTATTATTTGCAGATTGACCCCTCGTTGAAGAAGAAGAAAAAGAAGAAGATTGATATCGATTCCATGTTGTCTGGCGGTGGGGGTGGTGGTTCCCAATCTGCGAGTGGAGAAGGTGTGGAGAGAAGTGTCTCATTTTTGGAACCGGAAGAAGCGCAATCAAAACAAGAAGGGGGTTAGTTTACTACGTTATCAGTAGTGATTGATGATTCATTAGCAATAATATAGCATACGTTTAATGATGTAATCTTGTGAAATGTAGGTCAATCTGAGTTGCTGGAGTCGTTAGAATCCTTTGGTTTGAAGAAGAAGAAAAAGACCAAGAAACCTACGTCGGCCGCTGAAGTGGACGAACCACTGATTGTCGTAATTCCTGAGGAAAATGAAGATTCGGAAATCGGATTGGATTTTGGTGTGAAGAAGAAGAAGAAAAATAAAGTTCTGATTGGAGACGATGAAGATCAACAAATCGTGGAGGATGGTTAGTAATTTTTATTGTGTAAATAAACCCACAAAAGATACAATGTTTTAAAATTAATTTCTAAATATTTAGCACCGGACATGGTAATCAATTCAGATGATGAGCAGTCGTCGGAGGGTTTACCGACCATTCGTACCGTAACCTCTGAGAAATCCTGGCTTACTTCCGACCGTGACTACACGTATGAAGAACTATTAACGCGTGTTTTTGAAATCATGCATGCCAAGAATCCAGAAATGGCGAGTGGAACGAAACAAAAATTCGTCATGAGGCCACCACAAGTTTTAAGAGTTGGAACGAAGAAAACCAGTTTCGTCAATTTCATGGAAATTTGCAAAATGTATGACTATTTATTTATATTAACTGTTGATATTTTAATTTCAATGAGCTAAATTAATTTCCTCAACCTTAGGCTCCATCGTCATCAAAAGCATTTGTTGGATTTTCTTTTATCCGAGTTGGGAACATCTGGATCCATCGATGGTAACAATCAACTCATCATTAAAGGAAAGTTCCAGCAAAAACAAATCGAAAATGTGCTCAGGCGATACATTAAAGGTATGCACGAAAGAATTCTTGGATATTATAATAAGCATCCTATAAATTATCTTTATTCTGAATATTTAGAATACGTGACATGTCACACGTGCCGTTCCCCCAACACGATCCTCCAAAAGGATTCTCGGATATTTTTTCTGCAATGTGAGGCTTGTGGGAGCAGATGCTCCGTCGCAAGTATTAAACATGGGTATTTTAAACATAGCTATAGTTTGTTTATATATGTTTATATATGTATATATGTATGTATTTATATATGTTTGTTTATGACAGGTTTCAAGCTGTCACGAGCAAACGAGCAGCCATCAGAGCAAAAGCCACATAATTATTTTACGCTGCTTTTTCCATTTATGCGATTAATAAATAAAATTGATATTTACATCAACATAACATTATGCGTTTTTTGCGAATTATTTTTGGAGGTAGTCATTACGAGTTCACACATGTTTGCATCGCAACACAATTTTGAAACAAAGTAATCGGAGATGCCCAAGTTTGCAAATGAATTTGTTTTGTTAATTAACGATGCGAACTCGTAATGAATATGTTTTTGCATAAGAATTAGGAAACAGTAGTGGAGTGAGACCAAGGGATGAATACTCACCAGATTGAGCGCGGAGTGGTGAGCCCGGTAGCAGCCACGATTTAACGACGGAGAAGAGAAAGCTCCCTTCCGCCTTTGTTTTCTTTCCTCGAAAAGAAAGAGGCTTTTTATCCAGACAAACTCGTTTCATTTTAAATTTGTATATTATTAAGATCACTCTCACCTAGAAAATGAAGGTAAGTTATCAACCTAACCACTCCCAGCAAATTGGTTACAAAAATCCAACTAAAAATGAGTCTGACGTATTTAAAACGTTTTGACATATTCAATGAATATTGAACTTAATATTCTAGGTGAATCCGATCAGCAGTTATTTTGGTAAACCATCCACGTCGACCTCTTCCCCACAAGCAACGTCCCCCATCCAAGTTCCTTCTCGCCGTGTAAAGAAAAAGGTAAAGAAACCTGAACCACCCCCAGAAGATGAGGAAATGTCCGATCATGAGGATCCACTCCCACGAAAAGAGAGAGAAAAAAAGAAATCTGAGAAAAGGAAAGCTAGAGTTTTGAGCGATTCTGACGATGAGGAAGCTTTCGTAAAGAAGAAACCAGACAAAAAAGTTGACAAGAAAACCATTGTTGTGCCAGAGAAAAAACCAGTGGTTGAGAAGAAAGTGGAAAGAAAAAATGTGGATCCGAAAGACTATTTTAGTCAAGCAAAAGTTAAACAAGGTAAGATTTATTATTTAAATTGTACAATTAGTCGATTAATTAATCTTTGTCTTTATAGACAAAATTGAGAAAAAGCCGGTCGTCGCCGAGATCCCACCAGTTACCAAGAAAGAAAAGAGGGATGACTCCGAACTTGACAAAAAAGTTGATAAATCTCCACAGAAAAAATCATCACGTTCAAGTTCCCCACAAAAATCCCCCATAAAAGATGAACCCCCCAAGAAACAATTGAAAGTGAGCACTCCTCCACCGGCACAACCTTCGTCAAGCAGTCGCCGCTCTTCTCCACAAAAATCCCCCATAAAAGATGAACCCCCCAAGAAACAATTGAAAGTGAGCTCTCCTCCTCCGGCAAAATCTTCATCATCAAGCAGTCGCCGTTCTTCTCCGCGAAAATCATCGACTCGACCTCAAGTTTCCTCTGATTCTGATTCTGAACCAGATTTTAATCCCAAAAAGAAATCAAAGCCAAGTACATCACGATCTTCGTCTAAATCAAACTTAACCATCACTAAGAAATCTGATAAAGAGAAAGAGAAGGATCCTCCAGAATCAAAGAAAACTCCTGCAAAGAAAACGTCCAAAAAAGAGAAGGAAGAGAAACCGCCCCCCACGGAGGAAGAGAAGAAAAAGAAATCATCTAACTATGCAAAATTTTTAGCTCATCAGACAGCGAAGCCACGACATCTTGGAGAAAAACGAATTCCCATCGGGACAAAGGATTGTTTGGACGGTTTGACATTAGTAGTTACAGGGGTATTGGATTCCTTGGAGCGAGATTCTTGCAAGTCTTTGGTAGAAAAATATGGAGGTAAATTTGGTTACTTAAATCTAAAAGTCATATACTTGATATAATGCCATATTATCGTACTTTCAGCCCGTCTAACTACAGGTGTTAGTAAGAAAACGACCCACTTGATTGTTGGTGATGATCCGGGTGCAAGTAAAATCGCGAAAGCAGAGCAACTTGGAATTCCAATGATAAGCGAAGATGGATTATTAGAAATGATTCGTATTTCTAACCCTGATGGGAATAACAACGATGAAGAAGTTATTGAAATGTTGGACTTGGGAGATGCTGAAGAATCACCACCTGTTCACACTCCTGAGAAGAACAAATCACCTAAAGTAAAAGTAGAAGAAAAAGAAAAATCCTCAAAAGACCGGCCCAAGAAACATACAGATAAAACTGATCGTAGCGCCCCGCTGTCCCTACCGGCACTCCCTCCACCACCACCACCAAGTTTGATGTGGGTTGATAAGTATAAACCAAAAACGATGAAGCAAATCGTTTCACATGGAAAAGAAACGGGAAATGCAACCAAATTAGTTAGATGGTTAAATAACTGGTTTAAATATCATGGAAAGGCCAATGTAAGTATTTAACGTAATATAAATTATATACACATTTTAATGGAACTGATAAAACTAATACCGTTTAGGATAAAGCGAAAACTAATCCTCCAGGATTTCGTGATCCAGAAGGGAAAACGTACAAGTGTGCCTTACTCTCGGGTCCGCCGGGTATTGGGAAAACCACCACAGCACATTTAGCATGCAAAGAAGTTGGCTATGATTTCTTCGAGCTGAATGCATCGGATACGCGAAATAAGAAAGGTCTTCACCAAACGGTGTCTGATGCCCTGTCCTGTAAAACCATGTACGGAGGGATTAATGACTTGACCAAGCAGCACGTTCTTATCATGGATGAAGTGGATGGGATGAGTGGAAATGAAGATCGGGGTGGAATCCAAGAATTAATTGGCTGTTAGTACAAAATTACTAATTAATCATTATTAAATAAATTAACTAATTTGAACTAATTAATTTTTTTCCGCAGTGATAAAAACTTCTCGTGTCCCAGTGATATGCATTTGTAATGATCGGAATCATCCAAAAATCCGCTCCCTTGCCAATTACTGTTTTGATCTCCGTTTTAACAAGCCAACTGTCCAAGAATTGAAAGCATTGGTGGCTACAATATCATTTCGAGAAAAGTTAAAGATTGATCCTCAGCGAGTTATCCAGCTCTGCATTTCAACCGACATGGACATTCGACAAATTATCCACACGTTGGAATTGTACAAAGATACCAATGCAGAAAACGTTTCTGCTCCGAAGAAAGATTTAAGATTCGGACCGTGGGACGTTTGTAGAAAAGTTTTCCTTAAACCAGAACATGAAATGATGAACATTCATGAGAAAACTGGATTGTTCTTTCAAGATTATTCCATCGGATCATTATTCATTCAAGAAAATTATCTTAAAATGATTCCAGTCAAAGCAAAGTCAGTTATTTTTACTTCCTGTTTTTTTCATAATTTAGTGACTAAATAATAATTTGATAAATTATTTTAGGCAAAAATATTCAGAAGCAATTGATCGACATCGTCGATTGGAATTAATTGCACGCAGCGCTGCTGCCATCTCATTAGGTGATGTCGCGGAAACAATGATTCGGAAAACGAATAATTGGTCATTATTACCTGTTCAAGGGATTTTTTCAAGCTATATACCTGGAGAGTTAATGGAATCGAATTTGAGTATGCGCTTTGTTAACTATGTCTAATTAACTCCTGTTCGAATAATTAACTAACAAATTGAATACTTTTATGATTAGGCGGTAACATAGAATTTCCAAGCTGGTTAGGAAAGAATTCCAACAAAAACAAGCGTCAACGGTTACTCCAATCACTGCACACTCATGTCCATCTTCAAGTCAGTGCTAGTTTGGAAGCGTTGAACATGGATTATCTTCCTTATCTTAGGAGAAAGATTTGTACTAGATTAGGCGGTGATGATGTTACTGCCGCTGCGGAAGTCATGGAGGTATGTATTTTGAATTTGTCTCCAGCTATTTGAAATTCTGGTCTAAAATGTTTTAAAAATTGTATCTCTCCATTCAGACATACAGTTTGCTCCGGGATGACGTGGAATCGTTGAATGATCTCTGTCACTGGCCAGGAATGAAGAACCCCTTAGAACATGTTGATAGCAAGACAAAAGCTGCCTTCACGCGGATGGTGAATAAGGAAGTGTTGCCATATGCGAGTGATAAGGGTGTCAAGAAAGGGAGAAAGGCTGCTACGGATGTTGAAGGTTACGGCGAAGAAGAAGAGGAAGTGGGGATCGTTTCTGAGGAGGATGAAGATGCTGATAAAGTGGAGAAAGACGCCATGATCAAAATGAAGAAATCAGGAGGAAGAAAGAAAGCAGCAGTGTCGGAAAGTCCAGCTAAATCGTCCAATAAAAAGAAAGGAAGGAAATAATTATTATTTTGAATTAAATTCAGCATTTATTCGTATTATTGAAAATTTGGAATGTATGTATCATTCATTCTTGGACGGAATAAGTAAATAATTCATTGACAAAAATAATTATCTAATGTTTCAGTTTCAATATTTTTTTTAAATCATAATTTAGCTCTAATTTTAGTTGAGCGAACAGCGAACTTAACTAATCTGTAAAATGAATACAACTAATTATAGCTAATCTTGGTACCGCCGTTCTGTTATAAAACCTACCCTATCCCCCTACAACTTTACCAACTCCACAATCTCTTCCAATTTTCCTAACTCCCCATCTTAATCTTAATATCTCTTTAACCATTAATTCTGGACATTCATCAAAAATCATTGCAACTTCAACGCCAGCACCAGTACCCAATTTCCCCCAGAATTCTTTTTTAACCCACCCACAAACGACCCCATTTTCTTCCAAAATTTCATCTGGCACATCTCCCGTGACATAACCTAAATAATAAGCATAATCATTTTGTTCGTCCTCCCCATTAAAATGAAATCCACCCGAAAACAAAGTCAATGCAGGATTCAAACTTCTGTCAAATCCAACAACCCTTTTTGGCAGTGAAAGTTTAACCCTGTCGTGTAAACTCTGTTGTGCATCACCAATCAGTGCAGAATGCATGTGTAGCGTCGCTTTCGTACTACAAGATCTAAACAAATCGAGATAACTCCCAGCTTCATAGTTTGAAAGTAGTAAAAGGACCGTTTTATCGTCAAATTTGACGGAAGCGAAAAATTCCACTGGACGGAGATAATCATCACTGATCTTCTTGTCCGTTTTTACAACAGATACGAAGTCTTTCGAGCAGTAAATATGTTTCCCCCAACGATCTGAACTACAAAATTTCCACACGGATGTATTTTGCAATGCGAGAGGAAGTTTTAGAGTCCATTTCTCAATTTCATGGAGAGATCCAGAGAGAATAAAGTTTTGAACTTCTACACACGTGCTGTGTTCCATTGCTCGAGCGCGCAGTGGGAGCTACACATATGAGGACATTTTTAATTATTCTTATCATAGAGAATTTTATTTTTAAAGAATTCTTGTAGTTTAGTTTACCTGTTTTTGACATTGAGCTTCTAATTCCAATTCTAACTCACGCTCTTGTTCTTCCTCTAATAATTGATTACTTCGCATCATGTTTGGTACGTATTTTTGACTAAAAAATTTGATTAACACATAAATAAAACAAATTGGAAGGAACAAAAGCATTTGCTTACGATGGGATTTAAAACAAAACTTACACGTGGTCTACAACACACTGTCCATATTCTTCGACAATTGAACTGCAATCCAGCTTTAAACTGCTTTTCCTCGTTAAAACCTTGGCCAATTCCCTCTTGACCCTCTTCAACAAATGATCCACAATGACGGGAAATTCCACAATTTGCCTAGTGTCGCCATACATTGCCTTCAGGTCAATTTGTTCCTTTTGAGAGCAACTTTCAGACAGAACGACGAGATCTGTGTTGAGCTGGAGCGTGTTTTCAAAGATTTGAAGACTACTCAGTTTTTGAGCCATGTAGACACCGGCCGACGACCAATGGACAAACCCATCTCGAATTTGTTGTCTAAAAATTTCATAATTAATTATGTAAAATAAACTAGCCTAATTTTTTAAAAATAATTAGTGTAATAAATTTTTTACTGATTATTTTTTATGGCCCAAAGCAAAACCTCCTTTGCAGTGATTTGACCATTTCCATGAAACGATTTAATAGATTCGTCTACTTCGCTTGATGCCCAAAATACAACATTGTGCCCTTTTCCTAATTTTCTCATCCGCATACAGCCTAATGTAAGGAATTAATAAAATAATATAGATATGTTTAATCCTCATTGTGATCCATTGGGAATTTCACGAACTCGTAAATACTCACCTTGAACAAGTTTATCTTTTCCGACCCCCTTCCCCAAGGTGACCACTGCAGTGTTTCCTTTTGGTATTTTTAAATCAGTGCCCCTCGTGTGTGCATCATCCAAATAGATACAGCATCTATCCAGTCGACTTCTAAACGTGCTCAGTTCAAATGGAATAATATTGTTCATTCTGTCCAGCACCATCAACTTATCGTTCGTGTCAAAGAATACTGCCGCATCGACGCTGACATTTGCATCATGTAGCAATTCCAACCATTTTCGACTGACTTGTTCATTGTCCAATTCCAACATGAGGGCACCAACGTCCAGCAAAATTCGAATGTTGGCTTCTACTAGTTTTTTCAACAAGGAAATTGCAGTTGCTTTTGCCAACACTTCATAATTTTCAGATTGCAAGAGAAGAGATGCTAAAACTCCTCCATTGGTCCCTTTAAGTTCGTTAAGATCACGTTGACGGATTGTTGAAGGGAGAAGAATTTTTGAATCATTTGTTCCACTGAAACCCGTGGTGAACGTGTTACATAGGTCCCATGGACTGCAGCCGATCTACATGTTTATAAGAAATAGGGGTTTAGACGCAAGAAAACAATTGCACAATTGACTTACTTTCCACCCAAATTGCTTAGATTCTTGAGGAAATACGGCTTTGCTCAAGTAGAAATTAATCAAGTTTCGATTATATCTCAGTAGTGGAAAGACAATCTCTGTTTTTTGAAAGAAATCATTGAAATTAATTGAACTAAGCGTTCGAATTTTGCTCTTGTTCGGAAATTTTTCCTCTGAGATTAATGAAACCCATTTGGAATATTCCAAGGGTGGATTTGGTTCCAAATGAAGAAGTGCTACAGGAAAAAAATATATTTTTTAAATTAAAGTTTCGAATTAATCAAGATACATGGTCTATTTGAATTCAGGATATGTACTAACCCCCGAAACAATGTTCCATTTGTTCATCGGTCAATCCAGAATAATAATAAGAAAGTTGGCTTAGCAAAATAGCAACGTCCGGGTGGCCAAATTCAATCCTATCACTGGCAACATCCTTTGCACGAAATGGAACAGCCATACGACGATAGTAATGAGTTGGAACCTTAGCTACACCATAATTCACACGCCATCGTTTCGTTAAGCAATTTACTAAGACGCCACATGCTAAATAGCCACGAATTACTAAAAACAACTCTTGTATGGATTCCGAAAAGGATTTCTAGAATCGGGAAGTAAGATCATGATTTAGAAAATGGATTAATTAAATTCTGTTGAAGGCAGATGTTCCAGTTCCTTCTTACCAAAATAAGATTTAGGCCGTCCCTAGAAAGTTCCTCTTTCGTAAAGAAATCAAATAAGGGCGTAAAAAGTTTTTGTGGGAGGCGTGGGATCTGGATGGGCGTTTTCCCACTGATTATCCTCTTCGCTAGGGAGGATATCTGTATGACGATTATTAATTGTGTTACTAATAATAAATCAATATGTACAAAAGTCTCACTTTGTTGTTTTTAAAATATTCATACCAACTCTCCTGCACATTCCACCTTTAGAATCCTGCAAAATGGATACGCATTTTCCTTCATGCGTTCTTTAAATTCAACAAAACCTGGCCCCATTTTCTCATGCAGCAAACTCAACTCCTGAGGGAGAACACTTAAAATATCTTGAATTACTGTCCATCGGATCGTCCCTCCAGTAACGGGGAGTTCTACCAATTATACATAGCTCACTAATTGGTGAAATAAAAATTGCCCAAAAGAAATAAGAACTTGACTTACGTTTCCCAAGGGTGTAAATCAATTGATATTTGCAATGCAGAATTTCATCCGACTCATCCAACACATCACGCACATTTTCTTTTATCCATTTTTGAAGACGGAATAAACCCATACCATCCTCAAATGCTCCTGCATGGACTAATAGAAAAACCGATTTGAAATATAAAATAGCATAATTAAATTTCATTAAACTATAGTAAAATCCTCACATCTTTCGAAAGCTTTTAAATCTGCAGAGAGTCGATATTCTGGCAATGTCAGTACGATTCCTTTGAGATCTAAACATTCTTCATAAATATCCATCATAGCCTTTGACTGGGGGACGCCGATCTTAAAATCTCGTCGACTTGGAAAACAATAAATCCTTCGGTCTAATAACTGAGATCCTATCTTGAAACTTAGATACGTTTTGTCTGTAAAAAAATAGTTTGTCAATTTCTCTGGTAGATACAGTTGCTTTAGATAAGCGTAACTCACTAATTTGAAACAGACTCTTCAAAACTGTAATCCTGCACAAGTCATTTCCATTTGCTAGAGACAACGCAAGTAAAGGAACAATCACCCAAGTCTTTCCCTCTCCCATGTTTAATTGTATCACAGAATTTTCTCCTTTTGGTGGTTTGATCATACGATCGGCTACTGTGGCCTGGACGGGTCGGATAAGCAGATCCGATTCAATTTCAAATAAAAGCCAGTCCGGTCTCTCGGAGGGATTCCTATCAAATTTATTATTGTTTTAGTAACAATAAATAACAACGACAAATATAATCAAACGATTTACCAATTTTCATGCCCATTATTTGCCAATTCTTGTTGTAACTCTAAATCAGTCAAATCCTTATTAGATTTAGCATATCGAATGCATCTTGAAAATTTTTGCTCAAATGTCATCTCCACAGCATATGCTCCAATTAAGTCACGAAGATCCGTTTCAAATGATGTAGTTGGAGTCTCCAGCAACATTTTTAACATTGTTAAGGGGACAATTCGAGGGAATCTACAGAGGACAGATAAATCAATTAAAAAATCAACTCTAGTTTGCATATATAAATTTGACAGCACTCACAGCTCTGCACTTAGTAATATCTGATCAACCATGGGTTTAGAACCTATCGGCCCATAGGGAATAAATTTCTGTTTACATAATTCCCAAAATTCTTCCCAAACCATTTTATGCTTCCTTTGCTCCCTCGCTAAAAATTCCCATTGGTCTTTATAAGACAATTTATTCTTTGCCAAGGACTTTGACCGCTTCAATTCCCGATGGTGTAAACCCCAACTGGTTTTCAAATCCTGCATATAGTCACACAAGATGGGATCATCATTTGCGAGTTCTAACGGGAAGTCAGGGACGTCGTTATCCGTCGATAGTAATTTTGCCATTTTTGGTGAGTGATTGGTCACGTGGAAAATTTGTCTTGCTAATTCAATTTTACTTTGTTCCCCTTGTTTGAATTCTTTGATAGAGGAGAGTGATGCGAAGTCGATCGTCACACGAGGACGGTAACAGAATCTATATACATACAGAAAAGTTTCTCAGTAAAAAAAAAAAAAAAAATTTAATTAGAAAACAGTAGCAAATCTTAAAGTACTCACGTTTCAAGATGATCCCTCCGATGTTGTCTAAATATTTTTTTGAAATCAGGCATTTTAATTTTTGCCTGTACTTTCAATGATTCCACCGTAGCTGCTACAATCTCCAAGAATTCGTTCAATTCTTTGTTTCTAAACCACGATTTGATCATTAATCCAAGTTCAGTAAGAGCACTATCCAGATCAATCTCAGTCCGATCTTCATATTCGACTTGTAGCCATTCCAGATTGTCAATTGGCCATTGTTTCTCTATTAAATTGGAAATTGATTCAATTTGTAAGTTCACTAAGTCTAATTGGGTTGGTTTCATCCTTTCAGCAAAGTCGAGTTCATTCTCCCATTCTTTCATCTCTTGTATGTTACGATCCAAGTAGGACTCCCAAGACTGCAAAGTTGTAATACAATTATAAAGTTTTGTCTAACTAACAGGTAGCATGTGAAATATATACTTCACTTCTTATGCAAAGTACCTTTTTATATCTTAGCAAAGTTTTTCTAACTTCCTCCTTATCAAAAGTGACTTCTGAAGTGTTAGTGTAACCTTCATAATCTGGTGGGTCCAATTTTTCGAACCTTGAAAGAAACAATAATAATATTTTTAACTAACAGAGAATAAAATCAAGCTAAAATAGACGTAAAATTTCATGTAAAACTCACTCCTCCCAATTAACTGCGATAAGTTGTAACAATTTTAATTGATCAACCGTAGTGAAATCCTTTCTAAAATTGAAATACGTCAGCAAAAATGTCCATTCTGATTTGAGATCTCTCTTTTTAATTTTCCTCGCAAGATTATACAAATCCAGCCAATAATCCCTGAAATCCACTCTCGCCCAAATATACACCCCTTCCTTGATTGGAAATGTCTCTTCTTTTAAAATCCCTTTGAGATCACGACCGCTCATTAATAGACATTTCAACAAAGTCTTAGGATCCGTGGATGTTTTAGAAGCTGTCCAAGTGTGTAATGCTTGTGCCAATTCGCTCGTGCTTTGCACTGTTTCATCCACGGAGAGAAATTCGGTGAAGGGTTCCGTAGAGGGTTCTTCGGGGAGAAACACGCCTTTTATCCGGGACTGAAATAATTTCCAATTTTTATATAACGAAATAATACTAAATAACTATTTTTCTTTGTTGATCAAATAAAAAAACTCTTACAGCTTCGTTGCTATAATAATGTTTATTCCAATAAGCCTTCCAATTTAAGTCTTCCTCCCAGTAGCCTCGATCTTCAATATCTTCATCGTATCCTTTCCATTCGGGATAAAGAAACGCCAACCGTTGACTATCGTCGATTAATTGATCAATGACGAGATAATAAGCATCCCCTACACATCTCAACGGCAATTCTTGCTTGTTATCAATCTGTTCATGACATCGGGTATTTGGTGGGTAGAAGACTCTAACTGGACACAACTTCATAAACATTTTCATCGTCTTTAAACTTTCTTCGTCTAATGGTTCAGAACTAAAGCAGAGTCCAGATTGTAGAATTTGCATGGCCCTTTCGTACCCAGTAACACCAGTAAAAGGATCCTGCATTCCGTAATGGGAATTGGTCAAGGCGTGAAGATAAGCGAGGTATAACCAACCAGCTCGACTATCACCAGCTTTTAATTGTTTTAATCTTGTGTCCACTTCATAGGCGAAAAATGCTGGGGTACGGATATCCGTGGTATCTATGAATACTTGTTTGTTTCTCACATAAGGACGAGCATGGGGGACTAGGAGGATCGAATTCATTTTTGCATTTGAGTTTACGTCGGCATCTAAATGAAGCATTACAAAAGTTATTTATAGTTGGTTTTCCCACAAATAATAGAAAAATACTAAACAAACCAACTAACCTTCCAAAAATAATCCATTCCTCAGACCAATCAAGGTCTCCAACGATTGTTGATTTGTACTCACTCTCATTCCTCGATACTCTTTAGAAACCAAATCCCCCAATCTTCTTTTTCCCCCAGAAGTCGACTGTGCTCCACTATTCCTGTTACTATTGGTAAACACCCTTCTTCCCCTCGTTGTCTCCTCAAGAACCACACCAACATTTCTTACACTAAAAGTCAACCCCATCCTTGGCATGTCTACCGTGTAAACGAAACTCGACTCGTTCATTTGACACCAAACGATCGTAAACCTCCTTTGCTCCAACCTCTCAACAACATTCAAAATGGTTGAGTAATCAGGACAGTTTACATCTATGACGACTTTTTTCTCATCCTTTACACAATAGAGATACACGCCACGTTCCTTTTGCTTGTATTCTAATATATATTCGGGATGTGGGGTGGCTAGTTTAAAATCTTTTTTGAAGAACTCAAACTGTCCAGCCTTATAGTTAAACCAGTGGGTATAGTTTTCAATTAGTAGGTCGGGAATATTTTTTTGGAATCGCCCGTCATCGATTAACTCTAGTTGAATGTCGTTTTCTCGATGTTCGATTATCGTCAGTTTACTGTCCGTCAGATAAAATGAGTAGTTTGATCCGAGGAATTTGTCTTTGGTTATCTGTGAAGAAACCGCATGCAAATTATTCTTCTCGTATGAAATAATATATCATGCAACTGAAGCGAAAGAGCTATTACCATTCTGCCAGGTTGAAAAGCGAACGCTTCAACTTCAAACGATTTACCCTCCCCAAACGCTCTTTGAAAATCGCGATGTTTCTCAATTGTGACAGGTAAATATCCAACGGGACATCCATCCACGAGAAATTGACCTTTTATTAAATCCATCTGAATTCGAGATACTTCACCAAAACCGTCAACGGGATGAATCTCGCAATAATAAACTTGACCATCTTGCAGCATATTCCATCGCATGTTTTGTTTCTCTCGCATTTTCCAAACACAGGATCCACTATGGTGTTTTTCAACAAAGGAAGTTAACAAGTCGCTACATCTGACTCCTTCTTGTAGGAATGGCTCTAAATCAACTCCCAGCTCCTCAATCCTACTGACCATATTTTTAAGACTGAATTTCAATTTGTACTCTGAATCACCAAGCAAAACTAGGTTATCGTGGATTCGGGCGACTGAAATTGAATAAAATTGATAGTCAGTACTTAAATGAATTAGCAAATAATAATAAAGTTCTTTGGTTTCCAACCTGCCAATAACCACTCAATAAAGGTTCCATCGGCGATGATTTCATATAAAAATATTTCATCCACCCGAAATGTTAACGCAATACAACAATTGACTTCAATTAGCTTAATTCTGAGAGAATCGACTTCTTTTCGAGGAGCGGACGTAAGAGATGATAAAATCCGTTGAATCTCTGCGGACCAGCGAACCGTGTCTTTTCTACAATTTCCTAACAGTTTGAATCCTTTCCTTTCGACGGCTGGATTCAATTGACAGATTGTTTGGGTTAGGTATATTATCTATACGACCGATGCAAATGAAATTTTTAAAGTAATCCTCAATAATTCATAGTGAGTAACAAATAGGCAGGTACTCACGGTTAAGACAACGTAGTGATCTTTCCAATTTTGATCATGTTTTGCCCTTAATTTATCCAATAAATCCAGAAATTCTTCACAGAATTCATTGCAACTGAAATCTAACTGATTACTTCTTAAATATTCATTATTCGTCCGATCTCCAACGTTCCACATGACTTGACAAACTAGATTGAATACTGACTCTTCTTTTAAGCTCAATGTTCCAGCGTTTATGCAACGAAATAAGGCACGAAATTGTAAATTCTTTACACTCCGTAACGATTGGAATTCAACAAATTCGGTCTTCGATGGTACATAAGCAAGAAAATAATAAAAATTAGAATCTAGAAATCCGTTAATTAATTTTTGTCGAAAACCTTTGAATAATATTCCAATTACCAATGACAAATCGGGATGACATTCATTTTGTCTAGCAATTGCTTCATTCTGTGTCAGATCTCCATTGATCCCACCCTGCATAAAGGAATATTTCGATCTTTTCTCAACTCTCAGTGTAGTTTTTGCCTTTAAACCGGGTCCTCTCATAGTCACGAGTTGTCCACTTCGAGCGTCAGTTGGGTGGTCGAAAAATTGACTAGCGTACACACAATTGTACCCATTCACCTATGGAATTAAATATTACATTAATCATTTATAAAGTGGTATACGCGGTCGACCTATACACCACGTACCTTAATAAAATCAGCGTCAGGGTTTGACGGATGTAATTTCGAGTAATGTGTCTCTTGAAAGGTTTTCTTTTCACTCCACAGGCTAACATAAAAGGCTTTGTCCCTTATACAGCATGTCCTTATTTGAGCATAGTCGTGCCATGGACCTAAAATGTATTCAAAGTTTTTATTTGATAAAACTAATTCTCCTATGAATATTTTAATCACTTTCTCACCATATAACTCTGTCGTGTTCATATTCCCCGTTATTTCTTGATTGAAAATATGTAATAAGTCACGAAGGACGCCAATTTGTTCGGGAATCATCAATTCAAAAACCACGCTGTTTTGTACATTTACTCCAACCGGAAGAGGACTTTCAAATATTCCAACCCTCATATTCCTTTCTTGTGTAACTATAAGAATCAGATCAGATAATCAGACTTTAATCAATAGCATGGGAAACATTGTTCAAATTACGTACTAAGTTGGCACTTTTGACAGCTCGGAACATGTTTCCTTTTCCAGTTATCAACCACATACTCACACTCAATTTGTCGCGCTTTACCTGGAATATCAAAATAGCTCAGCATAATACAATAAAAATAATAAATTATTATATTATATTAAAAATAATTTTTATTTGTAATAAAAATAAATACAAATGAACTTAATAATCACAACTTACCCTCTAAAATTTGACACTTTCTCCTCGCTTCTCCCACTTCAACCAATTTCTTCTCCACTTGTTTCTGTCCCCAATTTAAAATATAATTTCTCACATCTCGGAACTTCTGCCCAGAACCAAGATTATCCACAAATCGATGTGAAAACGATTCCATTGTTGGAGACACTTCCTCAATCAAACTTGGAAAAGTAGCTTTTTTATCCCTTCTCAAAAAATATGTCTCGATTTTTGCAAGTGCTACTAAATCCATTCGATTCGTAAGTAACAAATCTTTTCCAACAGTCAAATCCACCCCGGCACGATGTTCCAGTAACAGTGGATATCTTTCACAAACGACTTCTTCCCATAAGCGGATAATTTTGAGGAGAGTGAGGATAAATCGTGAGTAGCCGACACAATCGTATTTGTAAAATTCTTTCCCAAGTTTGTAATATTTTAAAAATCCTTCCCAAACGTATCTTCCATCCGCACTACCAATTGAGTGCTGCCAATAGCCAACGTTTCGTTCAAAATCATACATTGTCAGAGTTTTATTGACAAGGATTCCGTCCAGAAAGGCGTAGTTAAACAATTCTCTATTGTCTCGATGACGTATCCCATGGACTTGGATGGGAGCTGGAAGATTTAAGGTTAAAAATAAGTTAATTGGAAACAATTAGTCCACAAAATAATGAGACCCACCTTGCAATTTTGAAACTTTGGTAACCCTTTCAAAAGTACTCCCAGCATTGAATAAACTTGAAAAATGATTAAATTTCAATGTCTGCTTCAACCACAGTTTTATGTCTGATAAATCAAATTTTGCTTCTTTCTTGCTCTCCTCGATAAATTTAGCCGACGCCTTCTTTAATCTGTCGTGGTGAGCATGACAAGAGTTTGCGGTTAATTGTAACGTTTCATTGTAAAGGTCCATTATCCAGGGTGGGTATTCTTGACGCTTATATAGTTTGTCCAATTTAAAGACACGCCGGGCTATTTTCGCCAGGTATTCCAAAAGAGTAATATTTTCAGTTTCAAGTCGATTTTTTATTAGGTGGACCATAAATTGGATTAGGATAATTTTGTAGAGGAAGGTTCCAACTTCCAACCCATATTCTTTGAGGAGGAGTAAATGCAAGGTCACTTTTACACAGGTCCACATTCCAGATCGTCGATGAACTATACCCTCCTTAATTCGAACGCTATCACGAACCTGAATATAATGCATACAATTTTGATAACAGTTTAACTTATTACGTAATTAAGTGATTACTTTAGTCGATTACCTTTTTGAAGACATGCGGAAATTCTGAGTATTCACTAGCTCGACTATCTCTATTTGAAATGACGGACAAGAGCCATTTTGAAATATATATTGGATCAGAGACGTCCCTCTTCTCTATTACGTTCATGTTCGCTTTTTTCACGGTTGCCACACTTTCACGCATGTCAACTATTTAAAAACGTGCATGTTAACAAATTGGATTTAAATTGAAATTATACACAAAACGAAAATTTATAATTGATCTACTGACCTTCATTTAAATCTGCCAACTGTCTCACCAAGGCCTTAGATGTGAGCAACTTACTTTTCGGCGTCGTTACTGTATTCGTAGGATAACTGGAGGCAAAAGTTGAGCAATTGGACATGACTTTTTCGGAAGGGAGTGACAGACGAAACGTAGAAAAAGTAAGGCGATCATTCTCTTGTTGAGTAATCAGTATGGCCGCATTTTGTTCGAAAACTATACAACGCAAAAATATTAACTTGTCAAAAATTGCTATAAAGTTGAATAAAATTTCCACTACTGACCACAAATCGGAAGCGTTTGTCCTACATCTAATGAATCAATCGTAGCCGCGGTCGGTGTGGGGTCTAAGTTTGGTTGATGTGCCTCCCACAATTGGAACGATTGCCATGTTTTGGACTCATTTGGCAAGACTTTGGACAAGACTGTGGTCATTAATGGGAGGAGGACAGGATTGATTTCGGTCGGATGCTTTGTATTGGGGGTGAATGTGGAGGGGAGGAAAACATGAAATAACACGTCTTCGCTCTCACTCGGATCTACATTATATATTAATTATTATTAGATACGAGGATCAAGGTTAATTAGTTAAATCCGCAATTTACAACATGATTCTTGTTATTATTTACCATTCTGTAGTGCGGGCAGTGCCGCTGCCGGTGTGACATGTGGCGTCATGGCGAATTCATTTTTAGAGAAAGATAGGAGATGAAGGGATTGAAGTTCATCAATTAGAGAGCTTCATCTATAAACGTACAAAAGCAAAACTCTTATCACTTATCGAATAGTCTTATTATCAAGAAAAAAATAGGTAATTAATGTACAATTTCTCTTGTACCTAATCGTTCTTTTGAATAGCGACTAAACCATGCTCATGCTTGATCTTACATTGAAAACCTTGAAAGAGTTTAGTTTAATGCAACGTTTTTCCAACAATTAGCTAAATAATACTGTTGTTGACAGCCTACTGAAAGGAATAATTAGACGAAAAATAAAGCTTGCTCGATCGTTGTGTGCTTGAATGAATGCAGGAAAAACAATTCGAGTCAGACGGAATCCTTTCCCTCGACCAAACTTAAAATCTCAGTTTGGTTTCGTCTTGAAACTTGAGAAATGCATGAGATGAAATACAAAGTGAGACAAAAATCTCAACTAAACTAAATATTTATTAAACGTTAATTAACCACTAACCAGACAATTAAATCTGTTATGTTTTAGTGTTATGTTTGGGATAACCTTTATGTGACCATAACCTATGTAAAATGTTGTTGGGTTAATTGGGTAGATAAGATGTTGCTGTTATCTTATCGTAAAAATTATATGAATGAAATAACTGCTGCTGAAGTGCTGACTCATCAATTATTGCATATTTGCCGTTAAAATTAATCTGCTTTGCTTCCAGGCATGATTTATGTGTGCATTAATCATAGAGCTGTATATATAAAAGCGTATTAATAAACATACTTGAGGTTATGTATGAACTTTATAGTAGTCGTTTAAAGGTCGTAAAAATATGTCTCATATTTCAACGTATAAATAACATTATTGAATAGCTTTAGTAGCTATTTATGTGATTGTTTTGTCTGTCTGTCCGTCCATTAGCAGGATAAAATGCCTCAAACGATAAATTAATTTCATTTTAAAACAGTCTGATGTTACTTTTTTACGTTCGTTTACATCGGTTTATTTATGTATGTATTTATGCACATATATTTTTAGTATGTAAGATGAGACGAATAACGTGCATTATTTGTATAATGCAAGCATGTAAATTTCGCATCCATATAAAAATCATTATGCTTATTCAACAAAGTTTAATCACAAATTTTAAACAATGAAAAAGTAAGTACTTTAGTGTAAAAACTCTAATTTAAAAAGAAATAAAAAAAACAGCGACAAAATCAAATTATGATTACATACAAGTCGTCACTGGTGGTAAAGCAATTTCATATCTAAAATTAAACTAAATTTTTTCTCGACATTGACATTTCCAATTTTTCCATTTGAATTGTCACATACAAAGTTTGCACTCGTGTGACAATCCTCATTGAGCACAACATGATGGCATTGCGTTTGCAATTGCAATTACAAACGCAATGCCATCCTGCCCACGAGGAAAACGGTCAAAAAACTTTTTTTTCAAAACAACTGTTCATTATAAATTTTACAAAGAATGAGTCTTTACAAAATGTGGACAGGATGTTATAATTGAGCCCTATTCAGAATCCTCACAGTCCACTAGTTTTTCTAAAATATCACAAATATCTATTTTGTACCCAATAATAATAACGAAATGCACATGTCTGGCATTTCTCATGGCATCACATCGCAATTTGTCACATCTATTTTATCCGTGACAAAAAAAAGAAGAGACAAAATAAACTAAACTAAACTAACTGTACCGACAAAGCAGAATAAATAAACTGCTCGAAATATATGTAGCCCACCACCAAAAGTGCATGACACTTGAACAAAATCAATTCATTCTCAGGGAGTCGTTACCCTTTTAAAAATCGACAAATAATACACCTTCTGCTCACCCATTATCATCCGAAAGTCACCCCTCACTGCCCCATTGTTTCACATGCAAAACTCTTTTTTTTCTAAAAAGTACACATAAAGATTTGTTAATTTCCTCAAATGTGGTAAAACCACTCGTATGTAAAACCTTGCCATCTGCATAATCGTAAAAGCCAACTAAGTAAAAGGCTTAACTTGCCATTTAAACAATGAAATGAAACTCTGTGTGGTTTGGTTAGCTGTGCATGGCATTGACATGGAAGATATACAACTATTAAAGAATCGAGAGTTTGTAACAATGGATGGAGGAACTCATCCTCAATTTCGTTGTGGTGTTTCTGCTGCTGCTGAGTTCTCAACGCCCGAAGCATGTTACGCAATCCACACACGGAGATCACAATGCCAAACAATCAGTGTAATTGTTATACATACGCTGTTAATAAAAACAGGTAGAAGAAGACGAAGGTAGTGATGATAAAACTGGCACATCAGATTATTATCAGATGTGAATCTGTACGTATGTGCCTGCAAGTGTATTCTCCTAAATTTTATCCCATGTAGATACTTGCAACCATTTTTATATATGTGTACATTTCTCATTACGACACGGGCAATAATTTCCGGTTGACAGTACCTTTTCCTACCTTGATGGAGAACGATGTACGGATCTGATGGCGAATTAAGAGATAATTAAGAGTTTGTGTGTGCAATATAATAAACCTCTCTCTTTTTAGGGAGGAAGGTCCTTTTAAGGCATCTCTTAAAGTAAAATGTGAAGGAATATGTGTAGGAAATATTTTAATAAAAATGAGAAAACCAGATTGAGTGATATCTTAAAATAAGATGAGAATGTGGCTCCGATTCCGTAGAAAGTCGTATCTGCTCTTATTATCCTGTGCAGCCTTCAGTGCTCTTTGTTTCTATAAAGTTACCTCTCTCGTGGGGACGGGAGGTTTGGAGCATGAAAATTTGTAAGTTGAAATGTTTAAAAGTTAGGTATGTGAAGTATTTATGTATGAATTTGTGTATGAACCATTTTTTTCAGACGTAGCAAGCAATCCCGGTATAATCCAAGAGATATTCATGGTACTTTTATACCGCATTAATTAATTAACTAATGTGGTTAATATTAATAAATTTCTTAAAATTTAGTCGTGATCGGTTTCTACCAAGGAAATAACTTGCCATGGGTCGCAGGGGATAACTTAACTGATGGTTAGTCTCAGTACTAAATTATCTAAATCCATGTTTTGAAACAAAAATATGTCCCTGCCTGTAGCAATTCTCAACTCCGCCACATTTACATCGACGGACCCCTTGGCCGGACGTGATGGGGAAGCCGTCATAATTCCGTCCTTCGAGTCTCCCAAAATGTCGAAACTATTCCAAATTAATCGCTTCAATATCATGGCATCAGATCGAATTCCACTCAACAGATCACTACCCGACGTGCGAAAGAAAGACTGCAAAATGAAAAGTTATCCATTACATGATCTCCCCACGACCTCAGTCATCATCGTATTTCATAATGAGGCATGGTCGACTTTGCTAAGGTAAAAAATTTATCATGTTCAATTTATCTCTCTCGGTGAGCTAACGGATTTCTTGATTACGGATTTCTCAGAACGGTCCATTCAGTTATTAACAGATCTCCGAAACAATTAGTGGAGGATATCGTGCTAGTGGATGATGCTAGTCAAAGGGGTTGGTCAAATTTTGGCATGAAATTTATCTAAATATTTCAGAAATCTTAAAATAATTTTTTATACTTTTATGTGTCTAGTCTTTCTAAAAACTCAGTTGGAGTTGGCAGTAGCGGAACTTGCCATTCCGGTGAAAGTTGTCCGTTCGGAGGATCGCGTGGGCTTGATCAAGGCGAGATTACTGGGGGCGAAAGTGGCAAAGGGGAAAGTCCTTACTTTTCTGGATGCTCATTGCGAATGTACGGAAGGCTGGTTACCACCATTGTTGGAAAGAATAAGAATCAACAGTAGATCAATTGCAAGCCCTGTGATAGACATCATAAATGATGATACGTTCCAATACATACGGAGTTTCGAACTCCACCAAGGAGGGTTCAATTGGGAGATGCATTTTCGGTGGTTTTCGTTACCCTCGGTTCGTTACCCTCGTTATTATTGACTAAATTAAGGTCACAAATTATAGTATTTTCTGAACATTTAGGACGTAATCGAGGAACGCCGAAAGGATGGTGACAGTACGAAACCATTCACAACTCCGGTGATGGCCGGAGGTCTATTTTCTATTGAAAAAGAATTCTTTTATGATTTGGGGGCATACGACGAAAAAATGGAAGGTACATAGAAAAACTTTATTTTTCGAGTTTTTTCGACAATTCTCGAGTAGGAAATAATTTAATTCTTCTTCATTTGTTTAAAGTTTGGGGTGGCGAAAACCTAGAATTATCTTTTCGAGGTTGGATGTGCGGTGCAACTTTGGAAATTGTTCCATGTTCTCACGTGGGTCATTTATTCCGAAAATCATCCCCCTACACATTTCCGTCCGGTGTGGGGACCACGCTAAACTCGAACCTGGCTCGCGTGGCTTTAGTTTGGTTGGACGAATGGAAAAATTTTTATTTCAAACTCCACCCTGAAGTGGCTGCCTACTCGAAAAACCAATCAGTCGGTGATCGCATAGAATTGCGTTCGAAATTGAATTGTAAAACGTTCCGTTGGTTTTTAACTCACATTTGGCCACACCATTTTTTCCCAATGGAGGATCGATTCTTTGGGAAAATACGGAATAAGAAATCAAATAAATGTTTACAATCACCACGAACAAAAACGTTTGGGCAACCGTACGGACCTGCCACCATGTCGGATTGTATTTTGGAATTGTATGCACCCCAATTATTCGTCGTGACACCGGAAGGTTACATCAAAACGGACGACAGCGTTTGTCTCGATGCGATTGAGTTTAAAGATGGAAGCGAAGTAAGAATTATGGCTTGCAATACGTTAAAAAGACAAAAATGGACAATCAGTAATGGAAATGTTGTGCATTCACTGAGCGGAAAATGCTTGGATTTGCCTGATAAAGGAGACGGATTGGTAGTAAGAGAATGCTTAAGTGGGAGTAGAAGTCAATTGTGGACGCTGGAAAACGTACAGTGGAAATTGTAATGGCAATGCAAATAAAAATACTTAATATGTATCAGTATGTAAATTATTAATTTATTTAAAACACGCACACAATCACACACAACAAAACAAAACAAAAATATGGCACTGGTCATAAATAAACTGCAGTATATAACCTAATCTGGGGGCAACCTATGCCTTCCCCAAGAGTGAAAACATTTCGTAAACTTTTTACTTTCTCTTCCTTTAATGGAAGCAAATAATTTTCGTTGTTTTTCAGGCTGTTTAGCCCGTAAATGTTGAATATAGACTTGTGCACTTTTATAGGCAAGTTTAACCTCCACTTCTGAAGATCTTGATCCCAACCACAAAAATATTTGTTCTCCATTGTCCAGTATCATAATGTCGTCATCGGCTAAATCATCTTGACAAAAATCTGAACATTTTTCTGATATGACAAAGTAACCCTTTTCATTTGAACAACGAAATAGTCGAGTGTAGTTCATGAAATCTGCGTCTTTTTCATATTCTTTTCTACCACCGAGTCCAACCCAAAAGAAATTATCAGGTTCTTGGCCTTCATTTAGAATTAGATGGCTATACTTTTCCTGTGAAAAATAATTAAGTATTATTTAATTGTTATTGCTGAGAAAAAAATGTCAATGAACAAAATAAATTAGGATTTGCTAACCGGTTTAAAGTACGTGGTAGCTATTTCTTCTGCTAAATGAGCTTCATTATCTTGAGATTTATCTCCAATCCAGACATACACCAATCCTGATTCGTCTTCTTTGTCAAATGCTACTTTTAAGATGTAGCTGCAATTAAGAAAATTATGAATATAAATTAGAAATTTTCAAACTCTAAAATTTCGAAACCTCAATATCAAAATTTAGACTTACCAAAAAGCAGAATTAAGCAATCCTGCATCCACAGGAATTTGAATACATCTCGTGCATAAACTCGAAAATCCATTTGATCTTAATTGGAAAAATTCCACTTCTTTTTTCTCTCCACCAACATTATTCCGCTTTCCGGATCGGATAAACATTTTTTGTTTAAAATGTGACAAAAATTTAAAGCTCTCTTGTTGCTGATGTGTCCTCACAACTTCCAACTTGTTCCCAAATAAACTTTCAAACTTTTTCTGCAGACTAAAAGTGAACGTAAGCCATCCCATATTTCCGGCATCTCTTCCCTGCCAAAAGTAAACCACACAAGAGAAGTCTTCCTCAATAGCGTCATTCTCATCATTGTCATCCTTCCCGTCACTCCCATCCGTCGGGACAGGGATCCAATAGCGGCACAGAAATACGTAGCAATCTGATGAATAGAATAATCCCAATTCATTTTCTGGTAGACGGACGAATTTCTTTCCTTCCAAGACAAACGCTTCCTATTGATAGAATAATTATTAAATAAATAATTTGTTTCAAAAAATTGCCGTTTCGTTTTTATACCATTGCTTCTAAGTCTTCATTCCACTCTTCTATTAGTTGTTGGGCTTCAACTTCACTGACTGAGGGCTGACGTGGTGCAAATAATGCAGACAAATCTGCTTTAGTTTCTTGTTTTTCTGCCCATTTTGTTAAGTCTGCTCCTGTTCGTGCAACGGATTCCGCTGTGCGGGTGAAATCTACGGCTATTACGTCGTCCCAACTCGAAAATTTCGATTTGAACACTAGAAATCCAGAAAGGAGAGAGGTAAAACTCAGAAATATAGATTAATTTATTATGGCAAAAATTGTATATTGCTGGCTACCTTGATTTTCCGACCCTTCTTGCACCCTGGTCACCAGAGAGTACCCTTCTGGTCGTTGAATCATTTGAAATAATTCTTGTGACAATTTTAAAGATGCGGCACGAACGAGTCGGGTAGATTTTTTCCCAATCCAGACAAAAACGTCCGACAGACAGTCGAGGATGTAAACATTTTTTGTATTGAGTAAGTTGGGGAGGAGCTTGTTGTGGGGGACTTCAACTTGAGGAAGTTCCAAATATCCCATCCCCAGGTAAACTTGATACAGGCGACCAACTATTGCGACAAAATCATCAGGGACGTGTTCCTAGATCATAAAAAATATTGTTACACAAAAACATCATCAACATGGGAACTATCAGACGATAAAATGCAATATGTCCATCAATTAACATTTTCAAAAAATTAGCATAATTTATAGTAAAAATCCAACCCACTATTAAAATTCAAAACAAAATGTATTATTCTTCTGGTGAAAAGGATCGAATTCTTTACAACAAACCCCCGAGAAATGGTAAAAAAATGAAGCTCCTAACTTCTTCCATTACAAAATGCAATAATTTCAGGTGCCCAGCGAAACAATGACACTTCCGGATGCTGTTCCTCCTCAAGAAACCAACAAGTCTACCCAGCAATACCCATGGAGTCCGAACGTAAAATGGAGAACGGTCGGCAAGTGATTTACATTCGATTCGCTACGACAAATGATGAAGAAGAAACTGACTGCAACAATGCAACTAAAGATGAGAAGGAACAGTGCACAAATGAGAACTGTGACTGTTCATGTCCAAATTCCAAAGAAGATCTCGCCACCGCGACGACACCAAAACAAAGCTGCGCTAAAGATGACGGAACATGTGGAAACGATGAAAATTGTGAATGCGAAAATGAAGACCAAAGAGATGACAAAAGTTGGTGGAAACAAATCTGTCCAAATAAGGACGAAGGGAATACCGAATTGAATGGAGATTGCAAATTTTGCACAGTTCCTGGTAAAAATGGGGAGAAAGTTCGAATCCCATATCATCATTGCTTTCAAGAGGATGAGGAGGACGGAGTTGCATGTAATTTTTGCGGAAAGGCTTGTAACGGTCATGGGAAAAAGTTGGACAAATACAGTAATATGAATCGAACATGTTGTGGTACTTATAGTGGAGGTATGTAAGAGTATTTTTTTGGTTGTGTAAGAAATTATTTGAAAATTGATTTTTAAAATAAAACCAGGATGGAACAAAGCCTCATGCATTCGGAACGGTGATGCGGACGAGGGATGCAAAGTGAACAAGAAATCTGATCCATCAAATCAAAAGGGATGTGAAATTCCAAAGAATCCACCAAATGCTGTCAACATCAGAATTGTAGGTCGTCCTTGTAAGTGCAAATGTCACAAATGACAAAATCCTGCTTGTTACTTGTATGCAAAATTATCGTGAATAAAAATACAAAATTTTTAGTAAAACATAAGTTTCCTTAGTCGTCATTATTTCCTAGCTTCCCCTCCAATGCCCCAAAAAATTTTTTTAAATGTACATTAAATAAATACTGGAAAATGCCGAACCTACAAAATTGCTGTCGTCCTTCTCACCCACTGCCTTCTAATATTGGCGAACCATGCGTCTCAAATTATCGAAACAAGTCGGTCGCAAAACGGCCCAATTGCCGATCCCACGCCATGCAAAACCCAGCAGCCCTGGCCGCAGTGGATTTGATTTCTTTCGAAACCACCTACGCAAATCCGTGCCAAAATACTAATGTTGACTGTTGCATGTCCATCCAGAAGGTATAAAACTTAACAAAATATCGTATGTATGTATGCAAAAATACCAAATCTAATCCATCTAGAAAAACCTTGGTCATCCGCTCTATCACAAATGGTACACAAAGACAATTCCACACAAAAATTACCCCACCCACTACATTATTCCTCCCATGGATTACTCTGCCTATTTGTCCGCCATGCAAGGAATGAGTTCCAATTATCAAAAACCTTCCTGCTACACGAGCAAACGGGATTGCGAGAAGGCCAAGTTTAAAAGAGAGTTTGAACAAGGGTACCACCAACCTCCTAAAAATTGTGGGAGGTGTCAACACATAAAAATCATGAGAAATCTTCCCCACTGTTGTAAGTGCACGTGTCAATGGGCTGAAACTAGAGAGAATAGGAGCTGTTGGAGGCAGAGTGAACGACCAAAGGGGACAAAGTGTACTGATCATGGTCAGAAGAATCAGAATAATGTGAGACAAAAGCCATGCAAAACTAAAAATTGCAAAGAAGAAAATTATACTACCGATTTCAATGAAAATGGTAAAAAAATACTAAAATTAGAAAGCTGAAATTGTAATTGTAATTCAGTGCAATTTTTTCATCACAGAAACAACTGGACAAGAACAAGAAAAAGAGTGTCCCCCATTTGAACCAGTTCCACCCCCTACGGGACCAATATCTACATATCGTGCGGAATATAAACCACCACGTTGTACAGGACGCTTATTTTACCCTGAACCTGATGTGAAACATTCAATAGAACATCGCCCCCCTTGGAATAAATCCACTCGAGCGTGTGGCGCAGGGTGTTCGCCAGCAGTGTGTGCTGACACGATTAGATCAACGGAAGCTAAATTGCATGAACTCAACAAACTCTTGAAGCATTGCAATTAATAATAATAATATAAAGAGCCAACCTGGATTGGCTCCTCTGGTTGAATTCCACTTTCAATATTTAAGCTACGCCAGAAATCGGGTGTTTCTTGTCCTTCATTGAAGACAAATATTTCCCCAAGATTTTTACGCTCATCCTTGTTCACTTTCTCTGCCATTAGTCTACAAAAACAAAATTGGAGTAAAAATTGTGGCAACCAAATCTATTACGAAGAGTTATGTAGAATTACCTCGCCTTTGGCCTAAGCGTAGACTTGGATTTACTTCCAATCCAAACAAAAATCTTAAGTCCGTCATCCAATAGAAATACAAATCTAGGATCTAGAGATGCATATTCTACAAAAACTGGCTCTAAATGTATAGAAGATCCTTTTCCATGAATTCGATAAAGTCGCGTCATATATTCTGCCTCATCGACGGTGAAAAATCCACTTGCTGTTCTTCCTCCTTCAATATAAGTTAAATTTTGTTCAAAAAGTGCTAAAAATTCCTCAGATTCGTCACTTTGCTCTTCACGGACGGTACGACATTGAGCACCAAGGTAATTTCGGAGATTTACTGCATGGATCGCTGCACAGGCTCGTTTGTCTAACTGCAAATATATTACATAAACCAATGAATGCAACCTTAATATTAATTAGCACTTGTCAATCTAAAAAAACAAAATTGCTTACGGTGGCCTTTGAACCGATCCAAAAGTATATTTTATAATCCAAAGAATTATTGGGATCTAAAAATGTTTGTAGGATAATGTAGCAATCTCCTTCGTAAAAATTTCCATGTACAGTTTCGTCCACTTGATTAGGTAGAAAATTTTCAATTTCCCAAATAACAATCCCAGGGATTTGACCGATGTCTTCATCAAAGAATTCAGAATAATCCAGTGGGGGTTTTTCTAAGGCTTCATCCCAACGTTTTGGCTTCAATGGCTCACTTTGTTTCAGATCATTATAGTTTTTATTGTCCTTGTCTTTGGCAATGTCTTTCATCCCTTTTAATATTTTGGCTTGTGCCGTGTCCGCCTCGGCTTGTTCACCATGCCGGCGACGAAGACGTAATTTTCGAGCGATAGGATCCTTCACGGGGACTAGGAACATAAGAAGAGAACAATAATAACAATTGTAATAAAAATAGTGCTAGTAGTTTGAAACAGATATAGATTACCTGGAGGTGGAGCAGGAGGCATAATGGCCCCAGCCAATCTCAGTTGATTTTGTAGGGAGAAATCAATATTATAAAACCGAACATCCCTTCCAGACACCATCGTTTCTGGTTTTAACTTTGGAGGGATGACTAAATCTGGATTATCTTTTAGGTCCAGGACTTCCAAATCGGTCAATAAATGAATAGCGTCAGGCAATGTAATTAGTCGATTTCCACTCAGGATTAATTTCTTTAAGGATCCGCACCTACAAAAAATATTGGGTTTCATACAATTTAACATGAAAATGTAAAGTATCATAAAATCATATATCTTTACCGACACAATCCCTCTGGAATCATTTCTAATTGATTATTGGCAGCGGAGAAAATTTGCAAGTATCCTAATTTTCCAATCCCAGATGGAATCCCTTCAAAATCTAATTTGTTCCCGTTCACATTCAATCTCCGCAAATTGTTTAGTTTGCAAAGTGATGATGGCAATGAAACCAACTCATTACGACTAAAGTTTAATACTTCCAGTTTTTGCCAAATGTCGATTGACATTGGCACCTGCATTTCAACAGAAACATATAAATTACAAAAAAAAATATCTAACTGTCAAGTAAATAAGTTTACTACTGACCTCTTTGAGTAAATTTTCGCTCATATTTAACCTTTTCAAAGTAGGTACAGTAAACAGGCCGTCGGGTATTTTTACAAGTGCATTTTTACTTAAATCGATATCAGTCAAACACATGAGACCTTCCAGATTTGTGGGGATATTGGTCAGACAACGTTGCGTATTTCGGAGATAGAGGGTTTGCAAGGATACCAAAGAGGGGAGTTGCCTAAATTGAATTATTATTTAATTAAACCACTGGCTAACCTTCATTAAAAATGCATATTTAAACTATACCTAAATTGAAAGAGAGCTAATGGATTGTCATTTAAATTCATAGTTTGCAAATGAATTAATCGTCTCGTTTGTGGGGGTAAAGTTTCCAGCTTGTTATTGCTCAAATCAAGATGGAGTAAATCTGTCAGATTCATAAGTACATTTCCTTGAATTGTGTCGATGCTGCAAAACAAATTACACAATCAGTTAATAATTTCCAATAAAAATGTCACTTTTCCTTTACCTATTATTGCTCAAATTCAAAACTAAGAGTGACTTTGCTTTGTCCATTCCTTGCGGTAATTCCTTCATATTATTGTAACTGAGATCCAGTGTCGTCAAGTCTTCCAACTCAAATATTTCTGGGGGTACGCCAGAACTCTTAAGCTTATTGTGACGGAGGTTTATCGTTCGGAGGCTCCTGTCCATATAATTATAATTAATTATCTTATAAAGTTAATTAATTTTGTCAATTGCGTACTTACGGAAGTGTGGTCAATTCACCAAATATGTTTTCAAGCCTGGAATAAATGAAAGTTTATACTAATGGATAATCCAAAAATATTCATTTAAAAATTGTTTGAATACTCATTTCTTCGTAGTGAAACGTGTTCCAATTTATGAAGATTTCCAAGTTCATTAGGGATTTCTTTGAAAACAAGAAACAGTTACTTTTTAAAATAGTTAAAAACACTACAAAAACAAGTAAAATAATAAATTATTCACCCTGAAGATGTGTCCTGTCCAATTTTAACCATCGCAAACTGTGCATATCTTTGACAGAGATGGGAAACTTTTTCGACTGAAAAATTTCCAAACAAAAATTAACTAAAATACGAGTTACCACTAATCCACCTTATAATTTAATTACCTTGTTAAAATCATTTTGCGTAAAATCAATTCCTCTCACAAACGGAAGTACGCCTGTTTTTGCCATCTTTAATTTTGTTTCAATTTGAAAAAAACACTCCAATGATTAATTTGTTATTTTACAACACTAAATAATTAAAGTTTGACTGATGACTGATGCTGTTGACTGGTTGAGTGAGATGATAAATATAAAAACAAAATATTATGCAAATCAGTGTGCCGTTTAAAGAATACCGGTGGTGGTGGTGGTGGTGGTGTCAATGTTTCTTTACCCTGTGCTTTCACCTTTTCTTCTAGACGCTCTGATTTTTTGGATCAGTGCCATTTCCGGTTTGACAAGAAGTACAGATTTTACCAGGTTTTTTTCTTTAGATAAATTGCTTTTAATGAATTACCGGCTATGATAACGACTTTCGAACGTATAAATAAAGTAATATGAGTCTAAAAAGTTTTCATATATGATCTTTACATTACAAATTCTTTTGCATAACTAAAATAATTAAATCAGTCAATATTTCGTCTACAGTTAACTTCGTTGAATTTAATATGGTTTATCTTTCGCCCTTTTGAGTTGAACTTTCAACCTGTAATAAACAATTGAGCGAGTAAAAATTGGAGAAATCTCAAAAAATAGTTTCCTCAAAATCTCACCGTTTTGGTCCAATTTGAAATCCATTCATAGCCGAGATGGCTAAATGTGCACTAATTTGATTATCATATGAAACGAAGCCAAAACATTTTGATAAATTGGTCGCTTTATCGATGAAAACTTTTGCTGAAAGTATTGTCCCAAATGGAAGGAATGCTTGGATCATGTCACTGTCGGAGAATTCTGCGTACACAAAATTTTGGAAAAATTTAATATTTTAATGTTTAATAAATTCCTCCATTATTACCTTGAGGCAAGTGATATACGAAAAGATTCGAATCAACTGGTCCTTCTAATTGAGCCTGTCATATGAAATTTTAAATCAACAAAATTACATCAATTAAACCACCCAGGCACATAAAAAGAGGTAGATATTTATTTGCACACCGGAAAATTATAGGTGAATCCTGAACCCGACCTACTCCCTGTGGGGCTAGTATTTCCATTATTTCCACAATTTTGCTGACTAGCCGTGGAAGAAGCAGAAGCAAGATTGGCGAGATACGTCAACGTGGCCATGTCCGTCGCTGTGGGGGGACTTTGATGATGAAATGATCCACCCACCGACCCAACAACGGAGGACGACATTGTACCGTAAGGAGAACTAGCTTGGGCTAAAATATTGGCACAACTTCCTTGCTGGAGAAGGTGCAGGACCTGTACATGCAATTTACATATCAGTAGAAAGTGAAAATAGTTTGTGCATATGCAATTCTGTTAAAGAAGAGATCATCTCACTGGCAAATATTGCGATTTCTGCGACGAGGATTGGTCAGACAACGTTGTAAGCAAGGCGATCGCATCTTTTGTAACTTTGTCTCGTTGAACATCAGCAAATTTTACAACAATCGGAGAGGAACAACCCTATGGAATTTAATCTTAATAAATTTTTAAGCTTGGTAAATTATTTAAAAGAAAATCGTTAAAATTACATCCATCGTGGTGGAATGATGCATTCCTTTGATAGCACTCAGAGCACATGCTTTTGAAGAGAAAGTAACAAATCCGCACCCACGACTCATGCCGTTTCCATCCCTCAGGATTGAACATTCTTCGATTAGCCCAAATCTGCAAAACATTGTGCGAAGGTCCATCTCTGTAACTTTTTTGCAGATCATTCCAACAAATATCTTCCTCTCGGCACGATTCTCATTGTCCGCTGGTTTTATTTGCAGTGGGTGGTTCATCTAGAGACATGCAAAAATTGGGGATTAAATTGATCGAATATTGGATAAAATTTGGACCTCTTAAGACGCACCCCCGGCAAAGTTTTCAAATTATGACAAGCATTTTGCGCGTCCAGTGCCGATTTTCTTTTAAAATATGTGATGAAGCAGCAGCCTGAAAAAGTTAATCGGACACAAAATTTTCAATCCTTACTAAATTTTGAGTAGAGAAATGAATTAGACGATTATGCAAATTAGTACCCACCCCGACTCTGCTTGGTAATTTTATCCCTCAACACGTTGACCAGAAAGATTTGTCCAAATTCTTGAAAGTGAATTCGAACATCATTCTCCGTCCAGGATTTGGGTATTTGCCCCACAAACATTTTAATCGCGTCACAATCAGGCATCGATTCTCCATTTCCGGTCATCATATTTCTTCCTTTTCCTCATGTTTTTAATTTTCAAATTTTCAAATTTATTTGAAATTTCGTGTTATTAGTAGTTGTTAAAATATTTTGATAAAAATCTTGGCATCCATTGTTTTTGTAGTCTACACTGTATTATAATTTAGAGAGAAGAAAATTTTTCTGCTGTGATTTTTCCTATAGTCATTTTTTTGCTACAAAATGGGACTGGAAACAAAGTGTCGGAAAGAGTGTCAGAATTGTGATTGATTGCTTTTGTTCTCGTCTCCAAGAATAGATGAACATGCTCATTAGTGGATGGATGAACAACGACGTGTGGTCGTCCTGGCCTCTCCTGGTATCCATCTCACTGTCGGGAAAATTTGCTCTGCTTTCGAGCATGTGTACGAGTCTGTGTGTGTGTTTTTGTGTCGCTGTGTGTGGTTTAGTACGTGTATCTTTTATGAGAATTATTTGATAAGAGAAACATAAATGGATGAATGAATAAATAACAAGTAACAAACGAAAAAACACGGAAATGTGACTTACGTGATAATTTAGACTCGACTCAAGACTGGGGACAATTAGAGACGATAAATTATTAAGACGCGACTTGACTTGACACCACCAACCACTGGATGACGATAAGTAACAATTTGACGTGGACAATGAGAAAAAAAGTGATGAGAGATGGTCTTTTTTGAGATATTTAGGACAGTAGGATGTTGAGAAAGTTGGGGAAAGTGAGACAATGTGAGATACGTCCAGAAGAAGAAGAAGACAATGACAGATTCACACTTGACTTGACTGATCGTCTTCTGAACGAAGAATGACTTACAATTTTGTGAATACACATCTTTTGAACCTTGTCGAATATTTTAAACTTCATGTCATTAGTTTTAAAGATTTAGTTGTTACGTACTTACGTATGTGGACAGTACGAACGGAATATATGTCGCATCATGCGGTTTAGACGTATGTACATAGGTACGTATCTATCTAATCTTAAGTACGTATTTACTTTACCTGAGTAAAAGTATTAATTGCGTAAGACATTAGGTTACCTCATATGCATGCTTTCGCATTTCTGTCTGATTTGGATTTTCATCAGGTATGTAAATATGTAGCTGTGAGACCAAAAGCTGTGCACTAATTAGGAAAATCATCAGAATGTCGTAAAGAAGATGAATATTTTGAAAACCAGTGAGAAAAGTTGTTAAAAATGTAATAAAGCATCATAACATATTTAGTATTGGCAGTATTTGATCCATGTTATTTAGTAGTCATCACACCCCCTCCCCCATCATCATAATTTTGCAACTACATCTACATACCCAGCCCTGAAAACAAAGGAGAAACAACGCCTTCCAAATTATTATTAGTCGCCATCACACGTCTCCTCAAGTATGCAGTGTGGAGGAATTCGATATCTCAGTCATCTCATATATCTTACCCACCATTGCTTTCCAAACACCCATTTTGGCAGTGGCCCACTCCTTTGAAATGCTTAATTTAATTTTCTCCATTATGAATGAAGAATGAATGACATGACTACAACTATGCAGATGAGCTAAATTTGTGCAACACCGACCAGCCAACCAGCGACTCACTCCAATACGGTACGGTATGTGGGTTTGAGGCTTGTTGGACTCCAAGAAGTTTTTGGAACCTCTGAACCGCTTCAGACGGGACCCATCTCTCGTTTCCATCGGATTCACTTCCACTCCCAAATTTTCACTTTTCAAAATATTACACCTTCTTTAAAACATTTTCCAAATTTCAACTTTACCACCGGATTTGTCAGTGTTGTAAAGAAGAAAGCCTTAAAATGGTTATTGAGCAGAAATTCAAAGCCGGGGAGGAGCCGGATCCGACCGAGTATCTCTTCATCAGCATGGAGCAGGTTACACCCATTTCTGAATTAATTCAAGTATCAAATATTTAATTTTTCTTGGAAAAAAACAGAGGATGAAGGATCAAAGTAAACCGTACGATGCCAAAACGGCTTGCTGGGTCCCAAACGACGAGGAGGGTTTTATCATCGGAGAGATCAAAGGGACGAAAGGAGATTTGGTCACCGTCTTTGCCAAGTCGGAGGTGGGCTTCATTTCCTAATTAAAATTAAAACAGTTTTTAATAACTAGTTTTAAAATACTGAAAACCTCGCAGGAGAAAGCATACAAGAAAGATTTGGTTGGTCAAGTGAATCCACCGAAATACGAGAAAACGGAGGACATGTCAAATCTCACTTTCTTAAATGATGCGTCCGTCTTGCACAACTTGAAGCAACGATACTACGCCAAGCTTATCTACGTATGTAAAGAAATTCAATGGTCACACTAAAAATTATTACTAATTAATTAGCTCAAATTCGTCTTAATTATGCTTTAGACCTACTCTGGCTTGTTCTGTATCGCCATCAACCCCTACAAACGGTACCCAATCTACACGGTCCGAGCCATGAAAATCTACAACAATAAGCGAAGGAATGAAGTTCCCCCACACATTTTCGCCATTGCGGAGGGTGCTTATCAAAACATGGTGACAGGTAATCATTATTTTACCATGATCACTTCCATATATAGCAATACCGGCATTTTCTCTCGTAATGATTCCCTCATTTGAAATCTCATCCCATCTTGTTCCTCGTCCTCGTCGCTCTGTTCTTTGTGCAGGTTTTTCTTTTTGTACGAAAATAGATTTAACCAAGTAGCCTACGGGTAGTAAGTAAGTAAGCTTTTAAAAACGTAGGCATGGAATTTATGGTGGTGTGGAAGATGGGAGAGTTATGAGTCGTTTTATATTAGCTGAGTATTATGTGGTGAAGTCAGTCTAGTGGATGGAGGAACAAATGCACAAGTTATTAAGGACAGAAAAGGAGGAACAAATGGGCCAGGGAGAAGAATGATTGACTCAACAGTAGGATTTGCATTTAGAATTTGAAATGCAGCCAAGTTTTTGAAAATGAAAAAGATTTTAAGCTCTCTGGCTAATTATATTTTGCGTCGGTATGGATGGATGAGACGCGAGTCGTGGTTCCATGTAAAATTAAATGCCACCATCATACAGAGAAAATCATAATGCATGCCAGCCAAATATTTCACTTGACTAAAAAACATTATTCACAGCCAAGGAGAACCAGTCCATCCTCATCACGTAAGATTTCTGCCTTGATAAGCTATCAGTCATAAAAAAATGCGGGGCGATTCTCATAATTTTTTCTGAATGAAGGGGTGAATCTGGTGCCGGAAAGACGGAAAATACCAAGAAAGTTATTGCCTATTTTGCTCAAGTGAGATTATAAAATCACAATTATGCTTATTAAGAATATTTTTTCTAATGTCATTTAATTACTTAGGTCGGTGCCTCCTCAAAATCTGCAGAGAAAAAGGTATGCAATCAGTTACCTGCATGTATGCAAATTCTGTTTAAATAGCAAAAAAAATTCTTGATTAGGTCTCCCTTGAAGATCAAATCGTACAAACCAATCCCGTCTTAGAATCATTTGGTAACGCAAAGACAACGCGTAATGATAACTCGTAAGTAGCACGAAATTAATATTTCTTTCATTAATAGCATCCATTTAATTTAAATGAATTTATACCTTAGTTCCCGATTTGGTAAATTTATCCGTATTCATTTCGGACCAACTGGAAAATTGGCTGGTTGCGATATTGAGAGCTGTATGTCCACTAATTAATAAATACCAAATTTAAATTATCATATTAATTAAAATGATAATCTCTCCTGTTTAGACTTGTTGGAGAAAGCTCGTTGCATTTCTCAGATGCCGCTGGAAAGATGTTACCATATTTTCTACCAGCTCATGACCGGTGCCATTGATGGCATGAAGGCCATGCTGTTTCTTGGAGATGACATTTACGTCTATCCTTTCGTTTCTCAGGGGTAGAATTGTAATTAGTTGAGATAATTAATTCGAGTTAATTATAAATTAATTACACCTTGCAGAAAAATCACTGTCCCCTCAATCGATGACTTTGAGGAAATGAAGATGACTCACGAGGCTTTTGAAATCCTAAAGTTTGAAGAAGAAGAGAGGTCAAACATTTACAGAGTCACGGCATCTTGCATGCACGTAAGTAAATATTTTAATTTTGGATGGCCACCCAAATGTTGGATAAATTTTAAACAACACATAATAATTGCAGATGGGTGCCATGAAGTTCAAGCAGAAAGGGGTACATATGCAAAAAATGCGCATAAATTCTGATAATATTTACTAAAAGAGTGCTTATTATATTACAGCGAGAAGAACAAGCCGAACCTGATGGCATGGATGTAACTTCATAAATTACAAAAAATAATTGCATTTAAATAGTTTATGAATAAATTTAAATAAAATTCCTTCTAATTAAAACGTTAGGCTGGGATCTTTACGGCCAAATTGCTTGGAGTTGATGGTGAAGAATTGTACAAAAATATTTGCAAGCCAAGAATTAAGGTCGGTGCGGAATTCGTCACAAAGGGGATGAACGTTGCCCAGGTCAGTTGACATAATTTAATTGCGATTGATTAATAGTTGGTATAATTTATTAATTACTTTCTTTAATTAGTGCGGTTACACATTGGGTGCCATGACCAAATCCATTTACGACAGATTGTTCAAATTTTTGATCAGAAAGTGTAACGAAACTTTGGACACGAACGCGAAAAAATCTTCATTCGCTGGTGTATTGGACATTGCTGGTTTCGAGATTTTCGATGAAAATGGTTTCGATCAGCTTTGTATCAATTTCACTAATGAGAAACTTCAACAGGTAGAAACATTAGGGCATATTTTTAAATTCTTCAATTTAGGTAAACTCAAAATAATCATGCATAATTTTTACAGTTTTTCAATCATCACATGTTCGTTCTGGAACAAGAAGAATACAAAACGGAAGGTTTGGATTGGATTTTTGAAGATTTTGGCATGGACTTGCAAGCTTGCATCTCTCTCATGGAAATGTAAATCACGTGAACCCAATTTTAGCTAAAAAAAAAATATTAAACTACTAATTAAATATTATGCTCTAGGCCTATGGGCGTATTTGCCATTCTGGAGGAACAGTCTCTCTTCCCTAAGGCCACAGATGCCACATTTATCGACATGTTGAAAACCAACTTGTTGGGGAAATCGCCATGTTTCTTGAAACCCAAACCCCCAAAACCTGGATGTCGAGAAGCTCACTTCTCTGGTTAGTGCAATTTCAAACACGCAATTAATAATTATGCCTTAAAAATTAGACTTATCCTATTAATACTTAAACAAAGTCGCCCATTACGCTGGAACCGTGCCGTACAACATTTGTGGATGGCTGGAAAAGAACAAGGATCCCTTGAATGACACCGTTGTTGACCAGTACAAGAAGGGTGCAAACCACTTGGTGACAATCTTGTATGCTGATCATCCTGGCCAGTCGGCACCTGTGGAAACTGCGGATGCTAAGGGTGGAAAAGGTAGACAAATTATTTCCAGATATCTTATAATTTATGGCCCACTTCTTATTTTACTTATTGTCAATGTGTAGGCGGTGGTCGTAAAAAGGGAGGAGGTTTCACCACCGTATCGTCATCTTATCGGGTTAGGACGCAATTTTAATCCGATTTTAATCAGTGATCATTAATTACATAAATCTTATCCAAAATAGGAACAATTAAACAATTTGATGACCACTCTTCGCGCAACTTATCCGTCCTTCATTCGTTGCATTATTCCGAATGAAGTTAAGACTCCGGGTCTTATCGATTCTCACTTGGTAATGCACCAGTTGACCTGTAACGGTGTGCTAGAAGGAATCCGTATTTGTCGGAAGGGATTCCCCAACCGAATGGTGTACAAGGATTTCAAACACAGGTATGTCTGCGCGTTCAGGAAAGCGACCTTGTACAAGGGATCATTTAAAGTATCCATTTTGCGCATTATTTATACCCGGTGATCTCTGTGATTTGAACCAACCCTATTCTCCAACGAGCTACTAAGGACGTATTTAAATTCCTATTTATTTATACACCCTTGAAAAAATTATCCATCGTTGTTTTGTACCCCGTTTTGAAACTTTTTTGGTGTGAATACCCCTTTTTTGTCGACCCCTCTTCCATTTCAGAGATTCTCAATCGGGAAAATTATTGAGACCAAATCTATTCTTTTGTTTGCACCCATTTGTATCCTCCCCTTGTTATTGTAAGGTACATAATTTTGGCTGCGGAGCAAATGAAAGCGAATGAGAAGGAGGACAAGAAGATGGCGACGGCCTGTTTCGAAGTCATTCAATTGGATACGGTAACAATTTTATTCAATAAATGATGTTTTATGTGTCGTCATAGGATGAACTGTAAGTTTTCTCATTATGCCCACTGAGCCGTACGATTCATATCCGCCAAATTCTCCTTCTCTCTCCTCTCTCAAACTCGGCTCAGTCGTTTGGTCTGCCGGTCAACAGTAGTAGTCTTGTCAAGTGTCGTCGTTATTATATTAATTACTTAATTGATGGCGTCTTCAAGTAAAAAAGCTAGAGTGGATAAAGTTTTGAAGTGCCCAGCTTCTGGTTGTGAGAGTAGTTTTGATGAGCTATGGAAACTAAATGCTCATAATAAGCAAGTTCACGCTGAAAAAACCTTTATTTGTGATTTTCCTGGTTGTGATCAGTCATTTAGAACGCAACACAATTTAAATGGACACAAAGTTATCCACAGAAATGAGAGACTTTTTGTGTGCGATTTTATTAATTGTACAGCTGCATTTAATCAGAAAGTAGGTTTAGATAAACATAAATTAATTCATGCTAATGAAAGACTTTTTGTGTGTGATTTTCCAAATTGTGAAGCAGCCTTTAATCGCCAACATCATTTAGATCACCATAAACTGATTCACAATAATGAGAGACTTTTTGTGTGCGATTTTGAAGAATGTGGTGCGAAATTTAATTTGAAACATCATTTAGACAACCATAAACTAGTTCACAATAATGAGAGACTTTTTGTGTGCGATTTTCCAAATTGTGAAGCAGCCTTTAATCAGAATCGAACTTTAGTGCGACATAAATTAATTCATAGTGAGTCCAGACCGTTCGAATGTCAAGTGTGTGGTGCCTGTTTTAAAAGAAAAGACGCTTTAGAACACCACTTATCTGATCACCTCAAATGTGGTGCGACATTCTTATTGAAAGATAGTCAGTCTCCCCAAGATCCTGCTGTATTGCAAGTTAAAAGTGACATTGACCTTATTCGTACTGCAAGATTGTTACCTAAAAAGTGGTTCGTATACTTCGTCTTGTGCATACCCATACAAGACATCACAGAGAACTTTTCGATAACTGAGTATATAGCAAAACTCGACAAGGAGAAAGACCCGCAGGGAAAGTGGAAAGAGTTATTATTGTATATCGGAAAGTGTAATAGATCAAGAGCGAGTCGTTATCATTCACACGCAGTTTTGGCCCAGTTCTCATGTATTGGGAAAAAGTTAATTGACAATACTCACGCCTGTTTTACTGTGTACACGATTGACTGTGACAGTGAAAGCCAAGCCGCACGCAGAGAAAGTTCCCTACAGTGTTATTTATGGATGAGAAGAGGAGCACATAACCAACCTGAGGGGTTAAAATTCATTCCTGCGTGGGTCAACTCATCAAAGGACCCCTTGGCTGAGTTATCAACAAACGAGGAAAGCCAGATGGTCAATTTGACCGTATTTCAAAATCGTCATCCTATTTGCAAAACCTTGGGGTGTGAAAGTGAACACTTTCTTTCTGAAGAGGTGCTTAATAGTTTGGGTATCGAGGACTTTTGGTTCCGCGGACTTGCCCACATTTACGACAACCAAATAACAAGATTAGAGTTGCCAAAAGAAGGGGAGGAGGAAGTTGATGACAATTTGGAGGAGGAGGAGGGAGAAGGAGAACAAGAAACTGAATTGGAGAATATTCAGTGGTTGTTTTCTAATTGATAAAAAGTGAAAATGGTAAGCAGTACATAATAACAGTAGAATAATAATCATTATTCATATTAAATCCTAGGATCGATGGCGTGTAGGGCACACAAAGGTTAAAATTCGTTCAGCGACATGATTGACTTTTCCACTTAAATAATCCACTAGAGTGTGTGTGACGTGTTGTTTAACATGTTTTTTGCATCTTCCACTTTTAATTAATTTATATTTATCATCAGTAATCCACAGTAAAAAATATGTAGGACGGTAAAATAATACTAGGATCTGTATAACTAGGTATTCTTCCGTGCCGGTACTTTGGGTTTCCTTGAAGAATTAAGAGGTAGGATATTTCATGCATATCCCGTCACAAAGTTAATTTGCAATGATAAGGTTTAATTCTATCCATAATTAGATGACAAGGTAAGCAAAATCTTGACCTGGATGCAAGCCGTGGTGCGTAGCTTCATCACCAAGAAGCAGTACGCCGCCCTCAAGGAACAAAGAGTTGGACTCCAAGTTATCCAACGAACCCTGCGAACATGTAAGTTGCAATTTTTTTTAGTGAAACATGCACTTGGTTGAAACTCACTAAAATGTAAATTTTTTTAGACATGCGAAACAAGAAATGGTAAACATAAATTAATTTCATATCTTAATAATATTGCATTCGTAAGCAAATATGCATAACACGGACAATTTTTTTTTTTTCACAGGCCATGGTTCAACGTTATGCAAAAAGTTATCCCTCTCTGCGCCGGAAACAAAGAAACAAGGGAACTTAAGGTGCATTGAAATAATATAACGTTGCATCACAAAAAAACGATGCGATTGAATCAACTTTCTTTCCATGATTTCAGAAACTGGAAGAGAAAACGGCCAAGATGGAGGACCAATTCAAAAAATTGGAGGAGGGTACATACCTAAATTAAATAACATGATAATACCACCACAAATAAAACTTAATGATATTTACTAATGAATTGTAACCCTTTCAGCTCGCAAGACCCAGGATGAAAAGAACATTCGTATGAAAGCAGAAAAGGAAGAGATTGAAAAAGAGCTTGAAGCTGAATCAGCAAAAAGTGGTGACTTATCTGCCCGACTTCAAAAAGTGAACGCTGCCACGGCGGATCTTCAATCTCAATTGGAGGTAAATGGAATTCGGATATGCTGTATTTTAAGATTTATCATACATTTTTATTCTTGTAGGACGTTCAAGAACGACTCGCTCAAGAAGAAGAAGCACGACAATCACTCACCGTCGCCAAGAAGAAGGTACATACTTAGGAAACACATACGGATAACTAACATATTTCATATAATAAATTATTGTCGAAAAAAGGTGGAGCAAGAACTGCAAGGATTTAAGAAAGACATGGAGGATTTGGATCTTCGTAAGGAAACCTTATAATTTCTGCTAATTCTAAAATCTGATAAAAGTAACTAAAGTACGACTTATTTTTTACAGGAATGAACAAAGCCGAGCAAGACCGCAACACGAAAGATCACCAAATCCGAACTTTGAACGATGAAATCGCTCGTCAAGACGATCTTATCAACAAGCTAAACAAGGAAAAGAAGCATCATCAAGAAATGTCTGGAAAAACTGGGGAAGATTTGCAAATAGCTGAAGATAAAGTCAATCATTTGAACAAAGTCAAGGCCAAATTGGAACAAACTTTGGACGAGTTGGAAGAATCACTCGAAAGGGAAAAACGACTCAGGGCTGACCTTGATAAACAGAAGCGAAAGATTGAAGGCGATCTCAAACTTACGCAAGAAGCTGTCAATGATTTGGAACGAAACAAAAAAGAATTGGAACAAACCATCCAACGAAAAGATAAAGAAATTCAAGCACAAACGCTGAAATTAGAAGATTTCCAATCTATCGTGGCCAAATTACAGAAACAAATTAAGGAACTGCAATCAAGGATTGAAGAGTTAGAAGAAGAGTTGGAATCGGAGGTAACTTTTTCAAATAAATAAATTTTAGTAAAATTTTTAGTAAAAACAGGAAATTAATAATTTTAAATTATTCTTATTTTCAGAGACAAGCCAGGGCCAAGGTATCTTTGCTAACAAATTATTAACAATGATAGTAATTTCAATTAATTGTAGCTATTTTCAACTAATTTATTCTTATGCAAAAGGCTGAGAAACAACGAGCTGATCTTTCACGAGAATTGGAAGAACTGACCGAGCGCCTAGATGAAGCTGGTACAATAAACTAGTATTTTAAACTAGTCCAAATTATACTTTAACAATTTCAAAATAAATTTCATGAAAAATTTTACATTAAAAATTCAATTTTAAAATACACCATTTTCTTCAGGGGGAGCAACCGCTGCTCAAATCGAGTTGAATAAGAAACGCGAATCTGAGCTGGGAAAATTACGTCGTGACATTGAAGAATCCAACATTCAACATGAAGCATCTCTTCAAGCCATTCGCAAAAAGCAGAATGACGCAGTGACAGAATTAGCTGAACAGATCGACGCCCTTGGCAAGATGAAGGTCCGCGCGGAGAAGGAGCGGTCAGGAATGGCGAATGAAATCAACGAAATTCGAACAGCCATGGACCAAATCACGAATGAACATGCAGCCCAAGAGAAACTTAACAAACAGTGGTCAACACAATTGTCTGAACTCAACTATAAATATGAAGACGCTGTCAGGACCTTGCAGGAGATGGAAGTTAGCAAGAAAAAGTTGGGAATTGAAAATAGCGATTTGAGCAAACAAATGGAAGATGCAACCACGCAGATTGCAGAGGTGATTAAATTATTAATTGCGCTAACTGTCACTTAACTTCTTAGTAATTAAATGCATGTTCTTCTAAATCATCAGCTCAACAAATTGAAACTTTCACTTGCCACCCAACTGGAGGAAACAAAACGCGTTGCGGATGAAGAATCTCGAGAAAGGGCACTACTTCTCAACAAATTTAGAAATGTGGAGCATGAATTGTAAGTTTTAATAATTATTTTGTGGAAATAATCTCCTTCAATTCTATTCTTTACCTTCAGGGACGGTCAAAGACAGCAAATTGACGAAGAGGCTGAGAGCAAAGCCAACTTGTTCCGAATTCTTTCCAAGGCAAGTGCGGAAGCCCAGTTGTGGAGAGCAAAATACGAGTCAGAGGGTGTCGCTAGGGCAGAAGAGTTGGAAGAATCAAAGTAAATCTCAAAATTTGTTCATAAAATTACACATTAACTTACGTAATTAATTCCTCAGACGAAAATTGCAAGCCCGTCTAACCGAGGCAGAGGAGACGATTGAATCTCTCAACCAAAAAGTGGTAGCGTTGGAAAAGAGCAAACAAAGGTTGGCGACTGAATTGGAAGATTTACAATTGGAGGCTGAGCGCATGAAATCAATGGCCAATTCATTGGAGAAGAAGCAGAAATACTTTGACAAAACGGTGGAGGAATGGAAAGTCAAAGTTGACGGATTATCAGCAGAGTTGGATTCTTCACAGAAAGAGTGTCGCAATTATTCGACAGAGCTTTTCAGGTAACACTTTTACATCATGTGACACCTTTGGTAGATGAATAATACCACAAAATAAATTCAAATTCCAGGCTGAAAGCCGTCTTTGAAGAGAGCACGGAATCGTTGGATGTCGTTAAGCGTGAGAATAAATCTCTCTCAGAGGACATTAAGGATCTCATGGATCAAATTGGCGAAGGTACACAAATCTTACGGTGTGAGTCTTAACTGCTCAGTCTTAACTCATGTTTTTACTGAAAAGGTGGTAGGGCCATTCATGAAATGGATAAGGCAAAGAGGCGAATTGAAGCTGAAAAAGAGGAACTCACGGGTAACACAAATTATAATAAAATACCATAATTGCTCGATTTTTACAATTATTTCAACACTTTAGCCGCCCTTGAAGAAGCCGAAGCCGCATTGGAACAAGAGGAAAGCAAAGGTTAGTTCTTTGGAATTGTAAAATTTTGTGTCATAAGAATTGGGATCATTGTTCCTTTAATTTTAGTTCTTCGTGGACAATTGGAACTTACCCAAGGTAAATTGTACAATAATAAAAACATTAAAATGTCCATGAATTTTTTATCAGAGATCAAAACTAATCACAAATTATTTGCCACTTTCTCAGTCCGTCAAGAAATTGATCGCCGTATTCAAGAGAAAGAAGATGAGTTTGAAAACACACGCAAAAATCATATCCGAACATTGGATGCTTTGCAAGGACGTCTCGAAGAAGAGGCTAAAGCCAAGGCTGAAGTAGGTCCCAATTCTTCAATTTTCATTCATATGTATTTCTTATATTTTTTTTCTTATTGCTTTTTGCAGGCACTTCGAATGAAAAAGAAACTCGAAGCTGACATCAATGAATTGGAACATGCCGTCGAAAATTCGAACAAAACTAACGCTGAGGCCCAAAAAACTATCAAGCGATACGTCAATGTAAGTGAAATTTTTGTATCTTACAATTTCCAAGTGTAACAAAAATCAATAAACTTCAAAATTCCAACAGCAATTGAAAGAGATCCAGCAAGCTTTGGAAGAAGAGCAACGTGCTCGAGACGAAACCAGAGAAGGTACATATAAAATCATACAGTTTTCCTAATTACCCTTCCACTTATCATTGTATTTAACTCTTAACTACAGCCCATCAACAAGCCGAACGTCGCGCAAATGCTCTAGCAAACGAGTTGGACGAGTCTCGAACTCTGCTAGAACAAGCCGATCGAGCCCGTCGTGCAGCAGAACAAGAACTTTCTGAAGGTCACGAACAAATCAATGACCTCAGCGCCCAGGCTGAAAGTCTCTCTTCAAACAAGAGGAAACTGGAAGCTGAGCTGCAGACTTTGCATGTACATAAAATCAAATTGATGATTTAAAACTGTTCAATTTTTCCAAGTATTTACTAATTTAGAAAATAATAAAATCTTGTTTGTAGTCTGACTTGGAAGAAATCTTGAACGAAGCCAAGAATTCTGAAGAGAAAGCAAAACGTGCCATGGTGGACGCAGGTAAGCAAAGAATATACCATGAAATAAGCAAACAATACTGTTTTGACAAAGATAAATGGTGGTGAATGTTAAATATTGTTATTGATTGTTATTTATCTCCCCACCTGCATATCATTAACTGGTGCGACGAGATGCATTGTGCCCCGACAATTTGGTTTTTAACATTTTTAAGTTTTTAAGATTAACATTGTTTCGTTTAATGGTAGCTCGTCTCGCGGACGAACTTCGAGCTGAACAAGAACACGCTCAAGCCGCAGAGAAAGAGAGGAAAACGATGGAAATCGCCATGAAAGATTTGCAAGCTCGTTTGAACGAAGCTGAGGTTATACTTTTTATTTTATAAAAAAGAAATGTTTTTGTTAAACAATCGTAACTTAATTTGTCGAATTAATTTATTTTTATACAGGCGAATGCTTTGAAAGGAGGAAAGAAAACTATCGCCAAATTGGAAGGTATGTAATACTCGAGAAAAACAAATAATTCAGCTGACCAAAAATATTTACTAACCGCTTATCTTGGCTATGCAGAACGCATTCGAGTCATGGAACAAGAATTGGACGTTGAACAACGACGTCATTCGGAGGCTCAGAAGAACTTGCGAAAGGGTGAGAGACGCATCAAGGAATTGACCTTCACTGCCGAAGAGGACCGCAAAAACCACGAAAGAATGCAAGACCTTGTGGACAAATTGCAGCAAAAGATCCGTTCATACCAGAGACAGATTGAAGAAGCGGTAAGAAATTTTGTCACATAAGTACAATCGGATAAGATGGTTTTTCTCATGTATCATAAAAATTACAGGAAGAAATCGCAGCCATTAATCGCAAGTTTTTTAAAACTATTGCCATAATTTATTTTTTAATAGTTTTTCAGCCATTAACTTTTAATTTGTATCGTTACAGTCGCCAAGTTCCGCAAGACTCAGGGGTAAGTGAATCATGACAATCAATTTGGGATCCTATTTAACTAACATATTTTATTCATTGTAGTGAACTTGAGGAATCTGAAGCTCGCGTGGACACCGGTAATATAAAAATGGTTATCAATTATTAATTTACTATAAATTTAACACCACATTATTCTCTTGCAGCTGAGCAAATGCTGCAAAAGATGCGAGCTAAGGCGCGTGGCGAATCTGTGGCGCGTGCCAACCAGCAGTAGGTGCGAGGATCCATCGCTCTGCTATCTTGACGTCGACAGGAAATGACATGGAAAGTTTGATGAATGAAAGTTAAATCTAGTCAGAAGAAAGCTTTACCCTTTTCGCGACCCTTACAATAGTCTGCCTCATTCTGTTTATTGCATGCATCATAAATCTATACATTATAACTACATCTTCCCACTACAGTTCAATTATATTTGGTCACAAGTTGTTATAATTTTCTTTCTTCCTTCCTTAGTTATTCGATATTCTGTTGTCTCAATAAAAGCAAAGTGATGTTTATTCGTGGTGTTTGTGCAATTTTAATTCATATGCGCATATTTTTTGTCGAAACAGTTTTTTTTATTTGGCAAAAAAAGTAACTTATAGAATTTTGTATTTCAAATAAATTACATGCCGCTCAGTATTGGATATCAATTGTCCACTAATTTAAGGCAAAATTATCTGTAAAATTGAAAGAACTAAAAAATTATAAATTTGGGTCAATCATATCTATTTGTAATGCAATATAGAAAAATTCTCTAAAATATAAAATTCGACGTCAGCATTAACCTAAAACACAAAATTATGAAATGATATATATACGAATACAACTCGCTTGACTCCAATTGAAGCTGATTTTTAACTCATATAGAGTAGACGTTACCGAAGCATATATTAACATTAACACTAATTAACACTATGATAATTACTTTAAATTACCTCTCATGAAATAATTGTTCCTTGATAACTTTAAGTTAAAACAAATTATTGTTTGCACTTTTTTGTAAACTTTTACTGTACCTAATTCTTTATCTTAGGACTGAGAACTCCTTACGATTGCACAAAAAAATGCACTCTGGAGTTAATTTCCCCTTATTATTAACGTGATTAACCTTGAACTTCTTATCATGTCAAGAATCGTCCGCATTCCATAATTATTATGGCGTCATTATCATTATTTCAAGCCGAATGGGACGCTTTATGGCAGAAGGAGATAAAGCAGATAAAGAAAGCAATGAAGGAGAAAGCGATTACAAAAATTGCCCGCTTTCTCTACTTTTTTCTATACTTTTCTTCATTTTATTTCCTCCTTAGTTTACGAATGGTTTCAATGTAGAATTCTGTTTCAAATTGGCATACACATTTTTTTAAATTTTAGTCGTTACAGGTTTAGTTGGAATTATAAATATCTTTTAATCTTTATATGACTATTATTTGAGAGATAACTTGAATTGTTTGATTTCACCTGACTTCTCCCACATACTAATTTTTGCAACGCACTTCCAAGCATTTCATAAATAACTAAATTCATTAAAATTTACTCATATTCTTTGTTCCTCCTTTATTTTGTCATATTCAATAAACGAAGTTCCACCTTCATGACTTTCTCCGTTGCTTTCACCTTCTCTTGAATCGATCCAGTAACTCATATGCATAGCAAACTAAAATAAATACGTGTACAACACATCATGCAATGCACTTTTACATATGACTAATGGATAGTACCCACTCACCCAACTAACTGACCTGGAAGTGAGCCAAGATGAAAGGAAGCTTTCAAAGATCCAATTATGTCAGGAGTATAAAAAGAACTAAAGGTGATATTCTCACGAAAATGCAATAAAACAAAAACGAACTAAAATCATGCACCAGTTTGACTTTGACATGCCATCAACGACACGACAACGACACTTTCTCCACTGGAATACGTACATAAGCCAATGGTTGACTAATTGTTTTCACTTCATTTCCGTTCTAGCATTGAGCCTCTATTTTGTGTAGGATGGGAAAATATGGTGAAAATGAATGTGTCTGTAATAATACATAATTGCAATGGCAATAATATTGCAATAATAGGAGCACATAAATGTGTCATTTTCATGTCAATTTGTCAGAATAAGATAGGAGAGAAAGCCATTGAATGATATCAACCCAAATTTTATTTACAAACACACTGTTCATATTAAACTGTGCTTAAACTTCACTCCTTGTCGCATTACACAAGAAAGTAAATATAAAATTTACTTTCATCATTTTTACAAAATATTAATCTAATCCCCCGAATTTGATTAATTTATTCTATCTTCTACGCCAAGTGATTTCTTTGAGAACTTATTTTTAGATCGGAAAGTAAAGTGGATAAGTGTAAGGAGAAAGCTGAAGGAGCTGAAAGTCGAGATAAAAAGTGAGCCAAAAAAAACTTCATTTGTCTTTTTCTGTGAAATAAATAAGCTCACTCTTTTCTCTTTTTAAGAGTTTTTAAGCAATTTATTTTTAGAAGCGTGAAACAAATATTTATCTAATGAAAACAATAAATAAACAATAACTATTTTTAAATAATTCGAGTGAAAGCAGAAATCCCTTACTTCGCAGACTGGCCATTGTCCCCTACATGTACAGGACAGGACAAAATTGTATACAATGATGTATGTAATTGACAATACCAAATATTTTCAACAGTCAATATAAAATTGCTGGTTTTGGAACCCTACACATTTGCATTATGCAGTTCGTCTCTTTCCATATCTCACAATGCCTCCCTTGTAAACTTACTTGTTAGAGAAATTAGCATATTCTGGGATTATCGACTTCGTGAACAAATCCGATTTAAATAATGAGGAGAAAATTGGACGAAAATAGAGTGAAAGTTTAAAATAATCAGGGGACTACTTTTACTCGGATCGCCGACACGAAACAAATTGACGTGGGGTGAAGTGGTTTGTTTGACAAACAAATTATGCAGATTTCTCAGCATCATCTTGCACAAAGTGCAGATCTGCGTTTCATAATCTCAGAAACACGTACAGCGTGGGAAGTGGATTACATAATAAAATGCATACACATGAATTATGTAAATTCAGGTTAATGCAAGGCGAGGATATTCATCAGTTTTTAGCCCGAGTCAGGGCTTATGTACCCGTCATGTCCGTCTGTCTGTCTGTCCGTCTGTCTGTCTGGTTTGCGATAACTGCCGTTAAACTAATCCGATCGACTTGAGATTTTGCACAAATGTAGTATGGGTCAAATGAGGAGTTAAGTTCGAAGATGGGCGAAATCGGTCAAGTGGTTGACCGGTGGGGGTCATATAGGTGGGTGGGGTATTATGCATCAAAATTTCAAAATTACCGGAGATTGCTGAAATTTGGCGCAGGGGTTGATAATGGTTTCTAATGAAAGAATACAAAGTAAAATTGCAAAAATTTTCATGTGGAGGGACCCTAGGGGGTGACCCATACCGATTTTTAAAACTTATCCAATTGAGCTGAAATTTGGTGCATAGGTTGTTAATGACTACCAATGGAAGAATATGAACTGAAATTCGACACATTTTCACCTGGACAGATCCTATGGGGTGACCCATACCAATTTTTCAAATTCATCAAATCGAGTTGAAATTTGGTAGTAAAGATGATAATGGCTCTTAATGGAAGAAGATTAATTAAAATAGGAGCGATTTTCATATAGAGGGATCCTATTGGGTAACCCATACTGACTTTTTGTAATCGTCAGATCAAGCTGAAATTTGTTACATAGGATGGTAATTGTTACTAATGGAAGAATGTGAATTTAAATCGGAAAAAAAATTAAATTTATTGATATGCATTTACAATAAAATTTCATACACAAAAGTCGGATTGGCGGATCTATAACTTGGCCTGACTCGGGCTATATCAAGTCTGCACTGTAAATTTTTTTTCAAGCGAACTGACAATGAGTACTATGAGGCCGTACAGAAAGCATGTGATCAATTTTCAGAGAATTTTGACCCCTACCCTGACGTGATTCTGTTTATATGCCACAGTTCCTAACGAGATAGAAATGCACAAATTTGCAAACCTTTTTTCCAGCGAGTTATAAAGATTTTTTTACAGAACTTGCAAACCTTGTTCTATTACTAACATTAACGATGCGGAGTCGTAATTAACCTCTGGTCAAGTATAATTAATCATATTATTATGTATTCGGAATTTATCGTATCAATTCTATAAATTATTCAATAAATCGTTTAAAAATGAAAATCTTGTATGGAAATAGGTTTTAAGACTTTCAAATGATTACGTCTGAATGATTTGTGGAAAGTTCACTAATTTTTTTTCTGATTTCATACACCTTAAAACATGAAAATAAAATTAGGATTCACTTAATTTCGTTCAATCATTTTCCAAAGTTCACAAATGTCGTTTAACCAGTTCATAAAATCTATAGTCGGTAATCATCACACAAAGAAGCGTACACATTATTTCATCAATCTGTCATGCACAGAGTGAATTCATGCTCAAGGGGCCAACAATGTTGTGAGACAAGGTGACCAAAAACCTTTACGACATTCTCAGTTTGCCTCATTATTCTCAATCTCTCGATAAAAATATTACTTCCAGAAAACTTTCCCCACTTCCATAAAATTTCACATTTCAACCACTTTCACAATATTTTGCACTTCATCTCCATCATCACTTGGACGTTTACAAATGTATAATACTTCTTTGCACGAAATTCACATTGCTCTTCAAAGAAAGTGCACCATTCATTCCTCCTTCGCAACATGACGATAACTAACCGCACGGATATATGATGAAGAATTCGGGTGAAAACCCGGCAGTCTGCTCGTGGCCGTGTGCGGGTATTTAACCCACTCTCGCTCCTGGTTTCCGTCTCACTTTGTAATCAATCAGTGACCGATTTTCCTTCCGTAATTCTGTTAAAATTTTACACGAGATCCCAGATTTTATTTGTCATCACGGCGTCTTTAAGTAAATTCGAATTGTGAATTTAAGATGAAATGAAACTTGTGCATTTAAATACTAATTTTCTCTTGTGAAAAATAGCAAATTGCAAAACATTGCAAAACAAACACACTAAAATTTACAAAAAGTACATGTGTTTATATGTAGTATCAAATTAAAGTTGCAATTCAAGATAACATTTCGACACAATATTTTAAGAAAAGTAGTTTGTTAGATCAGTGTTGAGGTGGTTTTAATTAAAATGAAGACTAACAATGACAAAGAAAGGTAAGAATATTGACACATTTTTGTTTATAACGATCGCATAAAGAATGTGATTGATTTTCGGGGAATTTTGACTTCATGTTATAATTAAGGATGTGTAGCATACCTTGTCAATTCGACCATCACATTCTTTCTATATGCATACGAAAGCAGAGTTTAAAGGACAAAAGTGACAGCTAAACTTGCACCAATTTAGACCGAAAATATATAATTACGCCAGTGCTTTTATTAAATAGCCGATAATTTATCTACGTATTTATCCCCCTAAATGCGTCACAACAAATCGTAATGTGTCTCAATTTGCCTCAAAAAACAAGCTTATTGATTAATTGGCAAATTTAATTTTGCCACAAAGCAATGTATTTGTATCTACTAAACTTGAAGTGAGTTAGTTATGTGCTGTGCGAATGGAGCTAAACTCACGAGAAACCCTAGTCTCAGCACAAGGTACTTCAGGAGGCCGTAGGTTTAAGCTCCACCCGCACAGTACATAACTCGTTCACTTTATGTATAAACCACATGCCAAATTGACAAGGAAACAAGCACATGCCACACCAATATTACGACGCGTGCTTCTACTTTCTACATGATTCACGACAAGAACGTGCCGACAACCAAGCGACGGACGGACGACAATATTATTTATCTTCCGTATTCCAAACACTGGGAAGAAATCCGAAATCCAATAATGGTTCCGTGTGACATATGACATGACACGGCCCAACAAACCGTTCAGCTATGTATCCAAAAGTGTGACGATGGACACACAAATATGACGACACGTGAAGAAAGTGTGACGACAATACGATAGTTTATCTCCTTCGGTGACTGGAGTCCATATATCCGAGTGAATTTGGCAATAAAAATAATAAGGCTGGTCGACGGTGATAAATCGGCCACATTTTTCACCCGTCAGCCGCCCATCATCTCATCATGCCTCCACCCGGGTGGGATGTTATTGTAATGAATTCTTGCCGAGGAAGAAGGGGAGGTGTCGACTTATTTTTAGACTGGGGGCTCCGTGTGCAATGGAGGAGAAGAAAATAAGATTTATTTCTTCTTTTATGGGTGCGGAGGATTTTATAAAAATACAATTTTGGTAGCTTCAAAATTTAGTAAAGTCACCACTGTTTAGAGAATCGTTCGTCATTTAGGGTAAGAAAAGTTCCAGAGAGGATAAATTCATAAATAGGATTTTATAAATTGTGCCGTTATATTTGATTAGGAAAGATTAAAAGTCGGTTTGATAATTACGAAAAATTTTAGTTAGTTAAGCACAATAAAATACAGATATAGTGTATAGGTTTTCGGGTCGAGAACTGGAAATTAGTTACGTTGTTTTGCTGTTGTGTTTCATGTGGACATATTTCAGACGTTTTCATAGCCAATTAAATAATTCCGTACAAGAATTGAAATATTGTTTGTGGAGTAAAGGCAATTTCTCAACTTGCCTCACTCATCCTCATCGTTTGCATCATGAGTTGAGTAACTTGAGTTAATCTTTGTCTCAATTTGCCTCGGTCAACTCTGCACCACTTCAGTCAAGCCCTGCACATCAATCGTCTCAATGTGCCTCTTTTCTCAAACTCAAGCTATTGAACTCACTATTTATAGTATTCTCAGGTGGGCCTCGCTGCGTCAATATTTTCATCCTTCGCTCGCATAACATTTCCACAAAACTTTGCTATCTCATCTCAAACTAGGGAATATTCCATTGTGATCCAGACTTGTGTAAGGTTTGACATTTAAACAACTTTCACAACAACTTTCTCCTCCGCAATCCACCCACTTTGATCTCATTTTCAGCCTGATAATGCTCATTGACTGACGTTCACCAAGTGAAAAGGAGGAAGATGCGCTTTAAATATACATAACTTGGACTTTTGTTGTTCCTCAAAAATCACTAAAAGCTTGTAACATTTATCCAAATTTTTACACTGTAAAACTAACACTTTTATAACCACACGAGCAAATGTCGGACGCCAAATAAATACCGCAATTGCGCAAACCCTCATTTTAATATGAAAATTTACGATTTCCACAATAACTGTTCAACTTTAAGACCGTTTCTAAACATCGGATTTTAAAGAGCACGACTATAAGGATCTTTTATTCCGTACACCAATCATCAGAGCTTTCTGAGTTTAAACACGTATCAACTGACAAGCAACTTTACACGATTCATCCCAAAATAAAAACTCAATAAGTTTCCTGAACATAAATTTTATCACGAATATATTTTTTGATGGGGCTACAATTTTGATAACCGTTACCTCCAATCCATCGCCCACTCATTCACTAAATAAACAAACTCCTCCCCACTAAAAACTTTCACTTTGTTGAGCAGCCAACCGATTCGTCAGTCAAAGTGTCAAAGTTTTTTGTACTTTCTCTGATTTCAGTGCAAATCCAATAAAAAAAATGAGTGTTTAGCATGCATCGGATGCGCCGAGGAATGATTACTTGATAACTTTCGCTTCGTTCCATTTTTAGACAATTCTGCTAAAAACCTGACCGTAAAATCTTCCCCTATAAAAAATCTTACAATGCGATGACGCCAGCGGTCTCGCTCCGATTTTGACGAAACAACGATAATTATGTAACCTTACACAAATAATTGAACACGTGTTTCGGGATTTTTCATAATGCTCAGCTTAAACGAAATTATGACGTGATCCGCGAGCGAGAATTTCAATTTCTACCGTGACATTTTTCTCGTGAGGGAGAAAAATCCAGATTCACGCTTAGCGATTATAATTTTGTTTAAACCTAAAATGCGTGGGCATGAAGTGGTTCTCTACCGATTCCAAATTGCTCGCACAAATTTTGAAAAATTTTGAAAATTTTGAAAATTCAACAAACCAGAAATTTCGAAAAATCAAACTTTTTGAAAACCAGATTTTTCTTAAGTTACTCAATCGAATTTTCTTAAGTCACTCAATTTCCGCTACAACCGAAATCACGCGTCTTCATGAAAAAGTAAAAATACGGGTAGGGTTATTTCGGTTGTGGCTGAATTTTGGAATACATTTTAAGCCAAATTAAGGATTTATCGAAATGCGGTAAATTTTCAAATCTTTATCCGGTTTCAAAAATGCATAAAGATTTTTGCACATAATTACATTGAGTAACTTAAGAAAAATCTGGTTTTCAAAAATTTTGATTTTCGAAATTTCTGTTTTGTTGAATTTTCAAAATTTTCAAAATTTTTCAAAATTTGTGCGAGCAATTTGAAATCGGTAGAAAACCACTTCATGCCCACGCATTTTAAGTTTAAACAAAATTAAAATTAAATCGCTAAGCCTGAATCTGGATTTTTCTCCCTCACGAGAAAAATGTCACGGTGGAAATGGGAATTCTCGCTCACGGATCACGTCATAATTTCGTTTAAGCTGAGCATTATGAAAAATCCCGAAACACGTGTTCAATTATTTGTGGAAAGCTACATAATTATCGTTGTTTCGTCAAAATCAGAGCGAGACCGCTGGCGTCATCGCATTGTTAGTAGATCTCAAGGTTTAAGTATCCTGTCTGGGAATGCTTTCTTGGTGTTAAGCGAATTGAGTTATTTCGAATGGTAAAAAATTATTATGACACTAAAAAGCGATCAGAATTTCTAAAGTACTGAAGTCACAGAGCATTAAATTATCACAAATTTTATTTACTAGTAACAAAAAGGACGGTATCTGTTATGGTGATCGTTTTGGGTGGATTTTTCTCCCTTGCAAATTACTTCACCACAGAAATTAAGGGCATTTTTTGGGTGGTGAATAATTACCAATTTCTGAAGGGTTTCCAAGCAAAATATGCTGGTTGTGATGCAAGTACTTTACAGTGTCATGTCGTTACGCAGAAAAATTGATGATGCAATATATTAATACTGGCGTATAAGCCCGTCTACCGCCGGCCGCCGGGCGAGAGCTTATTTGATTTTCATGAAAATGAGTGGGACTGTGCATAATTCCACCGAATCAATTTATAATTGTATCAATCAATATTATAGGCTATATATGGAATGGGAAATGTTTGTTGGCATGAGAAATGAAGATAAATGTTTCGCAACGGAAGCGAAAGTGGCTTCCACTTCACTTTAACTTTACTTTAAAGTGGCCAACCCTGCATACCCGGGACTGACTTGCACTTCAATTTTAAGTAAAGTGAAGTTAGATATTGGGTGAAGTCGCTTTGGTTCGAACATGCACTACATCAGTGGCTGCGGAAGCCGTGGGGACATTTACATTGCAGGATAGGGGAGGGAGGGGTTTGTATAACATGGACAGGTGATAGGGACATCGAATAATCTTGGGGACATTGTCCCTCTGTGCGCTCAGTACAGAGTCGATGAGTTTTGTCAAGTCAGCACTGGTGCTCTAATAACTTGTGCGCACACGGGGGCGTGCATGTGCGCCCAAATACAAGGTCTCTGCACTTGGGGGGTTGCTTTGGAGATGAATTCGAAGCTACAACAGGTTGTGTCAGTTTATTCGATTTAAAAAAAAATTTAAAAATCCGGAGTTGGGGAATTCGCAAAATTGACGCTCGATTTTTAATTTGTAACTCTTGACAACGTAAAAAAATCCAGCGTAAATTTTGCGAATTCTCCAACTCCGGATTTTTAAAATTTTTTTAAAAATCGAATAAACTGACACAACCTGTTGTAGCTTCAAATTCATCTCCAAAGCAACCCCCCAAGTGCAGAGACCTTGGCCCAGATAACATCGATGCTGTCTCTGCGACCCAAAATAACCTAACCGAAGTCTCTGTCTGCCATATCAGTGTATCTAGTGCAAGTTCAGTTCAAACCAAAGAGACTTCACCCAATATCTGTTGGCAGTTTTCTGGGGGTGGTTGTCTGATGGTAGTTATTTGGGATGATTGTCTGATGGTAATTAAGGTTGATTAATTACTGCAGCTATATGTCCACAATAACCAAGGGTTCCTGCCCCATTTTTGCAGAGAAAGTACCATCCTACAATTGCTTCCTGTCTGAGTCCCCATGGGAT